CCATTGTACCGCACTCCGGTGGTGTCGGTCTGCCAGAGTACACTCAACATCTTTCTACCATTGACTACGTTGTTGTCTCAGGGAAGAAGTCGGTGCTAGAGTACGTTGACCACTTGCACGAGCACTTTTTCCACCCCTCAAGAATCGAGAACGGATACTACGTCACACCTATGGACCCAGGTTACTCGGTTGAGATGAAGCCCGAAAGCATGGACAAGTTTAGCTTCCCTGGAGGCAAGGACGGGTGGTGGCAGAGTGAGGAGGCGAAGCCAATCTTGGAGGGTATTAAGATTTAAGTCTTGGCTTTGCAGATGAAGTTTAAGTAAGAGAGAATTTAATGCATGGAATGATTACAGGTTTTGGAATATGCATAATTACTCATCCTACTGCATCGGGATATGATAGATATCCGAATTTGCAGCTTCCAGACCAGCGTTTCGCATCGATGTGCATTCCTGACTACTCAGGTAGACGAACGCTGTCTAGATATCCTGGTTACTGTCAAACTCTATTGCAATCGGTGTTTCTGCTTCTCCAGGTCTTCGAGCTCTCGAACAACCTACGTTTGTTTTTACTCGAAGAATTCGCCATCAAAGTCAGTAGGACTTCAACTACAGTCCTGATGCATTCCAAGGTTTTCTGGAAGGCCTGAAATATTTTACTCTGCCTTCCATGACCGTCTCCGTCTTCTGGTTTGTTCTCCGCTTGTAAGGTAGACGAATGCTACTAGGCCAACAGTCCTGGGAGATGATTGGATATTTTGAGATCTTCCGTAGCGGCGTTTTGACAGAGGAACCTGGACTCAAGTACCTAGTGTATACGCTCCAGGTTCTAGAATTTGACTACTATCTTAGCTAGTACTGTTTCTGCGTGTCTTACGAATAAGTCATCCCACTCCTTTCTTCCCATTATGACACATTCCACGACTGTTTTTTTCTTAATGTTATCAATATCCTCTCTCTTGTACATATGGGTATTGTACATACGACCTTGCGTATTCTATGTCAAAAACCCAATTTACCACCAACTCGATCTATAATCTTCCAATGGCCGCAGTATCTGCAATGGGAGTAGTTTTGGAGACGAATAGTGAGAAATATTGCGGAGAGATTAAATGTGCCGACGAAACCCCCTTTACCAATATCAGACATAGCTGTTTCCATACCATTGTTAGACATTACAGATATCTTGCTTCTTCACGAAATTGATAACTTGGGGATGGCGGACGCTGTCCAATCTACCTAGGTATTGCGAATAGCGGCGGGGTTAGGGGTGAGAGCTAGGCCGGCCATTCTCAAATCACCCTTGCAGTACAAGCGTAAATTGAAATGGTGAAACCTCCACAAGAGAGCATGCTCTCAAAATCGCTGATCGTCAGAATGGTGAAAGATGTTAGGATTATACCTAGATTGGCTCAACGCAAGACATGAAGTTGCGTTATCGGACTGTCGGACCGTTCCGTCCAGGCGGCTATTCAAGGCTCACGGCATACCTCCCGATACTGCATGAACACCTACGTCTTCTCAACTCATCCGTGTTATATATACCGTCGCTCAAGACCTGCTACGTCTTACAAATTGACTTGCTCAAAGCGACGCTGGCTGGACATCAACATTAAATCTACGGCTCCATCCATACCCCACCACCCCGCCTAGGTCACCGGAACCTGTACAGAAAGCATATAATCTTCAAGGGCCAGTTCCCACGACTAGTAACATAATGGCTCCTCCCCCAGCTCCAGGCGTCTGGTGCCCCGCGGTAACCTTCTACACTCCTGAAAGCGACACGGCAACCTTGGATCTCGCGGCACAGAAGCAGTACTTCACATACCTCTCCAAATCGGGTCTTACTGGTTTAGTCATTCTTGGCTCGAATGCTGAGGCGTTCCAGCTCACTCGCGACGAGAAAAAGGCATTGGTGAAATGCGCCCGCGAGGCTGTCGGCCCCAACTACCCCCTTATGGTGGGAATTTCGAGCTTCTCCGTACCACAGGTAATGGAGAATATCAGCGACGCCATCGAAGCCGGAGCGAACTACGGGCTGTTGCTGCCAGCCGCATACTATGGGCCTGCGACATCCAAAGAGGTCGTCATGGCCTTTTACAACGAGGTCGCACAGAAATCTGAGTTGCCTATCGTCATCTACAACTTTCCGGGTATCTGCAATGGAGTGGATCTTGATTCTGTCACAATCGCTGCGCTTGCCAGACAGAACCCAGGGAAGATCGTCGGTGTGAAGTTGACATGTGGTAGCGTAGCGAAAATCACAAGGCTTTGTGCTGAGTTGCCGGGCGATACCTTTTCTACGTATGCTGGACAGGCGGATTGGATGGTAGCCGGTCTGGCAGTTGGAAGCGCTGGTTGCGTATCAGCATTCAGTAATGTCTTCCCAAGGGTCTGCTCGAAGATCTATGAGTTGTATACCAGTGGCGAGACACAAGCAGCACTAGAGCTACATCGGAAGGCGGCACTTGCAGAGAGCCCAATCAAGGCTGGTATTGCGCCTACGAAGCACGCCGTCGGCCAGTACAGTGCGAAAGCAGCCGGTATCGAGGGTGCAGAGGAGAGGCTTAACCCAAGGCGACCATACATGCCTGTTAGTGAGGCGCTCAAGACTAGTGTAAAGAGTGCCATGTCAGAGCTAGCTGTGATCGAGACCATTTGTTAGATCAGGTCTACGTATGGTCTTTCCAAATTAGTTCAGATAAAGATAATTGCATGTTGCGTAAGAGCGATCCTTCCATGTTCTATGCGCAGCAAGCACTTTTCAGCGTACACATTGTCATCTCTGAGAGCTTCGAACACGCGTTAGATGAGGGCTGGTCCGCGATAATGTTTGCGTTGATATCGTAAAGGCATCCATGAGCCAAGAGAGACCCCAGCACTGAGAAAAGGGCAGACCCTGAATTTAGCGGCGCACGTGCCTTATCGATAACAATCATTCACGTCTCGAACTTTTTCCAACTCCATTCAGCACAACAGAGATGGCGGCGCAAGGAGGAGCAAACATCGTTGAGAAGAAGAAGAGGTCAAAGAAGAGAAGGACGAGGACCGAAGGTGCGACAAGCGTATGGAACAGACGGCGAGGCATGCGCTAACAGCTGGGCAGTCTCATCATCGAGCGAAAGTGACAGCGATGTCTCAAGCCCAAGGAACCAAAAAGTGGCTGCGGTAGAAGAAGAGGCCAAGGTACTATAGTCGCATCGAAGAGAGTTTGTCTGAGCTAACTTGAAAAAGGAGCCTTCACCGGCACCGACACCCGCCAAGAAAGAGAAGAAAGAGAAGAAGAAGAAGAAGTCTCAAACTGCCAGTGCACTGGATGCTCAGCCAGACGAAGATGTTGCCATGGAGGATGCACCAGCTCCTGCACCGCAAACAAAAGCAGCGTCAAAGGCCAGCAAGCAGGCGCAAGAGGACTTCAGCGCTATCTATCTACGCAAAGTCGCAGCCGAATTCGCCGATGATCTTGACAAAGTGCGTGAAGCGCAAGACTTCAAGGCGAGTAGCGTACCGATGCTCATTCATGCGCTCAAGCAAGGCGAAAGTCTGTTCAGTGTAGAAGAGCGAAGAAGGGTTGCTGGGGCTGCAAACGCGTAGAGAAAGAGGCAAGCATAGGCGGCGTTTGGTGTTTGACTTTTGGGATCGATTCGTAAGAAGATTATCTTAATGGAAATATGTGTAATCATGTAGAGGCGCCTAGGTCCGGTCCTGTCCATGCACCAAACGCCTTGCTATGCCGAATCTTGTGAAGACATCTAATACGCCTCAACGTCCATGCCGCTCCGCCATTCCAACTCGATTGTCCAAGCCAGTAGATTCGGATGCTTGATAATGACCATGTCGTGTGCCAGCTTCATGACTTTCTCTCTCTTGTCTGCTTTCTCTCCCGATGGCAGCACCATCAAGGTATCGTACGCTCTAGCTAGTAGCTTCTCTTCGTATTCGCGCCTGAGCTCGTCGTCTCTCGTCCAGTTGATGATCTCCTCGTATATGCCTTCTAGTGGACTGGCAGCATATATCTCATTCTTTACAGAAGAGGTAGTACCTTCTAGCGTCGCGCCGATGCGGAGTCGCCTCTCTTCTATGAGGCGCTTGATTGTGGAAGCCTCCTGTGTCTCGTGGATCTCGGCGATACGCGTATAGGTTTTGGAGGGGTCGGGCAGGCGACCTTCAAGGTACGAATAGACGGGCGAGGATGGCAGTTGTGTGCTAAGCGCACGTGCATATTGAGTCTTGGTGCCATGTGCGCGGGCATGATCGACGAGCTTATCGATGGCTGATTGGGACTTGTACGCGTCGTCGCTACTCTGGTCAGCAATTCATCCTCGTCTCCAGTATCTGCACCGCATACAGGTTCATGTAGATTTGTGCCAACTCCAGGCCAACATCAATGTTCTCATCAACCTTTGCGCCCTTGAGGCCCTCGTACATGCCCCTCAGCCCTAGCCATGCCTGCGCATCGTCAGGCTTGATCTTGGTCGCGTCATAATAGGCCTTCGCTGCTTCCTCAAACCTGCTCAAGCCGTCGTTCGCGCGCCCCAGGAACAAATAGGCAAAGTAGTTCTGGGCATCCTGCTCCAACACTGCCTCCGCTTGGTTCTTTGCTTCCTCCCAATCCTTTGCGCCAATAGCAGCCTTTGCGGCCTTGAGAGCGGTTTTTGTAGACATGGTGTTATATCAGGTAATGAAAGTAGGAATATGGCCGTCCGTACGGCGTTATTCGTGTTATGACACAGCCATGAGCAGTGAATTGAACTGTGGAAGCTTTGGTGGGGCTTGCAGCGTCGAAAGAGCAAGCAATGACGCACGGCATGCTAGCGTCGATCCTGGTCCGCAGCCTTACCAAACGACAAACACCAACCTCGACCCTTCTGCAATTATCAGCCACGACTTTTCGCCGCCTACTTTTCCAGGCGCCTTCGATAATTCCACTTCCTTTCGTTGAAGCATCTATCGGCGTTCTACGTTCCATTGGCTGGGTAAAATATTTGGGTTGCTGTCATGGCGTCACACGCGGACAGTGCGCACGACCTGCTAGATCTCGACATCTCGACCTTGCGGCAATTCGTCGAGCTCTTCCCCGATGAGGGCCTGTCTAAAGTCATCACTGGCTGGCTGAGCAGCGGCATATCAAAATACCCGCTAACAGGAGAGGGCGACTCGATAGAAGGACCTGACCTGAGTGAGGGAGGGGTAGCTCTTACTCAAGATGTGCCCGTATCACAAGAGGACTGCTTGGTGTTGATGACGGAAGGGATTGGCGAGGCTGCTAGGTCACCATTGGCGCACTGCTTGCTCGGAGACTACTACCTGTCCTTGGAGGAGTACGAAAGCGCGGTCGAAACGACAAGAAAAGGATTAAAGTACGCGGCTGCTGAGGCAAAAAGAACCGATTTGTCATTTCAAAGGACGCGCGACGCTTTGAGCAGTACACTTGCTACTGCGTTGGTCTATTATCAGGCCCCAAGGAACCACCTGGAGGCCAAAGGCATCTTCGAGTCCATCTTGAAGCGCAAACCACAATTCACCTCTGCACTCATCGGCATCGGACTGGTCTTGGAAGAAGACGAGGAATACGAGCAAGCTTTCCAATTTCTTGAAAAGGCGTTGAAGCAAGATCCTTCAAACGGCCGCATAGGTGCAGAGTCAGCCTGGTGTCAAGCACTTGCAGGCGACTACAAGACTGGATTAGAACGACTGCAAGGATATCTCGAATACCCACAGCTCGATGCCTCCGAGCAACGAGGCCGTGAGCTCCGCGCCCAGACGCTTTATAGGATAGGTGTCTGTTTATGGGAGCTCGACCCGTCAAAGGCTGCGAGGAAGGACCGCCAAAAAACGTATGCGAAGCTACTTGCAGCGATCAAGGCAAACCCAAATTATGCTCCAGCATACACTCTGCTCGGCATCTTCTACCAGGATTATAACAAAGACCGCAAAAGAGCGCGACAGTGCTTTCAAAAGGCCTTCGAGCTATCGCCCTCTGAAGTTGTTGCAGCCGAGCGCTTAGCACGCCTTTTTGCCAACCAAGGCGAGTGGGACATTGTTGAGGTCGTTTCTCAGCGAGTTGTAGACTCTGGTAAAGCACGCCAGACCCCAGGCTCAAAACGAAAAGGTGTCAGCTGGCCCTTTTCCGCACTGGGTGTCGTGCAGATGAATAAACAGGAATACCAAAAGAGTGTCGTATCGTTCTTATCCGCACTGCGCATTAGCCCGGATGACTACTACTCCTACGTCGGCCTCGGCGAGAGTTATCACAACTCTGGACGATACAACTCAGCATCTCGCGCGTTCAATTATGCAGAAAATCCCACAGATGGTGTTGTGTTGAAGAGATCAGATGAAGAGGGATGGTTTACCAAGTACATGCTTGCCAATGTCAACCGCGAGCTGAGTGAGTTCGACGAAGCTCTTGCAGGTTACGAAGCAGTACTAGCATCTCGCCCGAAAGAGTTTGGCGTCTCAATAGCACTCCTACAAACGCTTGTAGAAAAGGGTTGGCATTGCGTTGAGACTGGCTTTTTCGGAGAGGCTGCCGACAGCGCTACCCGGGGTATCGAGGTTGCGCTGACAATAACCGAGTACAAACCGGATGCTTTTAACCTTTGGAAGGCTGTTGGCGATGCATGCAGTCTGTTCACTTGGGTCCAGGAAAAGCTCAAGCAATTCCCTGTAGAGTTGATCGAGAAGGTGCTGCGCAGCAAGTCGGATATGAAGATCGACTTCGACGAGCACAAGGATATCGATGGACTCGGACAGGATGCTTTGACTGCACTTTGTACAGACGAACACAGTACTCTCGCAAAAGTGCTCAAAGCCTCGATACTTGCACAAAAGCGAGCAATATCCAGCTGTGCGCACGACATACACGCACAAGCTGTGGCGTGGTACAACCTAGGTTGGACTGAGTACAGAGCGCATGTCTGCCTAGAGCAGGAAGGCACTGAAGGCTTCAAATTAACAACATACCTCCGAGCAGCTATGAAGTGTTTCAAACGCGCTATCGAACTTGAAGCTGGGAATTCAGAGTTCTGGAACTCGCTTGGTGTCATTACAACAACGCTGAGCCCCAAGGTCGCTCAACATGCTTTTGTTCGTTCCTTGCATCTCAACGAGCGCAGTGTGCACACCTGGACGAATCTTGGAGCGCTTTACCTTTTACAGAATGATCACGAGCTTGCACACACCGCCTTCTCACGAGCGCAATCACAAGATCCTGACTACTCGTTGGCTTGGGTAGGCGAAGGAATCATCGCATTGCTTACCGGAGATTCCAACGAGGCGCTCTCCCACTTTACCCACGCGTTCGAGCTCTCGGAATCATCATTGCTCTTAACGAAACGACAGTATGCCGTCTCAGCTTTCGACTTCCTAGTGTCTTCGCCGTCGTCATCCAGCAACATCACGAACCTCATACAACCTCTATTCGCGCTCCAACAGCTCAACATGCAAGTACCTTACGATATCCCACATAAGCACCTAGCTGCACTGTTCCTAGAACGTGTCGGCAATTACGATGCAGCAGTGGCTGCTCTGCAGACTGTAAACGAGACCGTCGAGCAAGAGTATGAGAAGTCAGAATCGCTGACATCACTGGCTCGTGTTGCACAAGCCAAGACGGACCTGTCTCGTAATCTCCTCGCTGTCGGGTCTTATGATTCAGCCGTGGAAGAAGCTGAGACAGTATTAGACCTGCTATCGGAGCTAGAAAGCGACGCGGAACAGTCTGCGTTGTCCAAGGAGCAGATCACAAAGACCAAGCTATCAGCTCGTCTTACAGCTGGTCTAGCACACTACTTCAGCGGCTCCTTCGATGCCGCCATACCCTATTTCCGAACGTCGCTTGAGGCAACCGGAGCCAACCCAGACATCATTTGCATCCTCGCTGAAGTACTCTGGGCCAAGGGAGGAGAGACCGAGAAGCAAGTGGCTCGCGACCAACTATTTACCGCGATAGAAAAGCATGAAGGTCATGTGGGCTTGTTGACACTTATTGGTGCCATGACAGTGCTTGATGATGATTTGGAAACCATGGAAGCCATCAAGGACGATCTGGACCGACTGCGCACGAACAAGGAGCTCAGTGACGAGCAGCTTGCCCGGGTGGAGAAGGTTGCTGAAGCCATCTCGGTTAGTTTGGGTGGCGAGGAACAAGAACTGGATGAAGCTCGACGTAGTGTCATGCTTGCGCCTTGGAAACATACCGGTTGGGCTGAGCTCGCTGACGCTGCTGGAGGCGATGTTTTTGCCAGTACACTTGCCAAAGAAACTGCGATGCGAAACGCGCCACCGAATGGTACGCTGAGTGCTGTTGGTTTGGCAGGCGCCATGGGCAGTACTGGTAATGTAGGAGATGCTCAAAGGGCAATTGTGTTAGCCCCTTGGTGCAGTGATGGCTGGAGTGCCTTGGCCGAGTGTGTTCAAAGTGCTTGAACAGGAAAATGGCTATTTCGCAGGCATACGCTACGAAGCGCAACACAGCTCTCACGGTTTCGAATAATTCATTTGCATCAAAGAAACTACTTCAAACATGTCGTTCATATTGTATCTATATCGCCTACTAACGTCGACGTCCGACTTCTAATGATGTCTTCATACAACTGTCCAGTCGTCATTTCACCGTCGTTGCGAGCCCTTTGAGGATTGGTAGTGTATTATCAGCAGCCGGTACCCCCACATCAGAAGCTGCACCGAATATACTTCCGATCTTCGGTTCCGGCTTGGTATCTTTGGAATTTCCGTCCACTCTTGTAGTATCCTTCTCCACTGCTTTAGCAACCTTGACCGTGTCGCTCCTTTCGTCTACCGAGGCTTCCTTTGTTTCTTTGGTGACAGTGCCAGTATTCTCTGGCAAAGAAATCTTGAATTCGTAGTAGTAAGACGGAGGGCGCTTTTCCAACAATCGGACGGCAACATCGTAGATGAAATCGGCCGGCAACATTGCCTGCGCCTCCCGAAGCAAGATTTTGTCACCAAATTCTGCGTAGAAATCCACAAGGAGCGCCCTGACCCGACTTTTTTCGGTCATACACTCGAACAGCATTGCCGTTGCTACAGCAGGGAGATAATCTTTCGATCTGGTAGAAGGTGACCAGGGTTTGAGGAGAAGCTCATTCAAGAAACCGTACATTCCCTCAACGATCTGGTTTTTGGATTTGGTATCTTGTAGTCTTTCTGCCAATCCGTATAGCTCACATAGCTTCAACCACTGGTCAGGACCTCTAGTGGCCAGCTGATTCGCGTATACGAGGTTGAGGTATAGACGAAAAGTTTGAGGATTTTCATCCAGTAGCCATACGACTAATACATCCTTCCCTTGTGAGTCCTTGCTAGTAGCGCGCTCGATGAATCTGGACCTGGATGTAAAGAGCGTTTTGTGCACACGAAAGTCTGCTCTGTCACCGCCTGTCCCGACAACCACAGGCATCATAGAATCGTCGAAGCTACGGACCATGAGTAATGATAGAGTTCCTCAGATTGAAACACTTACACCAGCATGTCCCACTCAAAAACTCGTTTGTCTTTGGTTTGAAAATTTGCATTACTAGTCGAATCAATTTGCTTATTCGAGATGCTGGTGACGGTCGGACGCTTGGGGTTACCGGGCGTGAAATCGAACTCCGGCATGATCAACTAGCGATAAACTTGGAGTATACTTGGGTGATTATGATTGTTACTGTTCTTTCGCTATATCTTATAATACGATCCCCTGAGGTGCCTTGGCTGAAATACGAAGGTCGCGACTTCATCAGGATCACAATTGTCTCAGCCGTGTATCGAATACGCGTGCGTGTGTAACCACAGCAAACAACAAATCGAACTTGGGGCTTGGTTAAAAGTTCATGAAACGATTGCGCGACCTCAGAGTTCCTGACCCCGGCCGAAGTGCGTCCTCCAGCGGTTATGCAGGGGTGAGGCGCAGCAGTCAGGACCACCCCAACCAGAAGCGATTGTGGGATCTTGTTTTGTGTTAGCATCTGTTGTTCTGACATAGTTGCGGGCGAATCATGAACAGAAACTGTGTATCATACGCCGAGTTTTGTAATGCATATACTTAGGAAAAACAAAAGCACTGAACAGACTAGATGGCCTAGCTCGCGCTCATATGTGGTATGTAATTGCTCCGTTTACGCCATGCCAACCGAGTAGGACAAGCTAGCGTTGTTACGAGCAAATTCTTTTGAGGGTACGGTCTAACGTGAGAAAAAAAACTAAAGAAGAAGTCCTCTTTATATACTATCGTTTGCCTAGGAGTGGACAGTCGATGGTTCTCCAGAGCCGGAAAGTATACATCTCCATGGTTCGATGCATGTGGTGATATTAGGCTACTGCAAAAACAATGAGCATTAAATCGGTCATATACACGTTCTGATTTCCGTTATTTCAGGTCATAATCGTGCGTGTGCTGCTGAATAGTTGAGAGTCCTACTTCTTCTCATCGTCGTTGGATGGAGCCTCTCTCTTCTCCAGTATCTTGTCTACTATACCGAAATCTACCGCCTCCTGCGCGTCCATGAAGTAGTCACGCTCCATGTACTTCTCGATCTCTTCCAATGTCCTCTTCTTTGTGACATGCGACTGGTATATCTTGTTCAATTTATCTCGAATTCTCAAGATCTCTTTGGCATGGTCGGCAATGTCGCTTGCCTTACCACGGTATCCGCCACTCGGCTGGTGTATCATGACTCTTGCGTGTGGCAGTATGTATCGCTGGCCTTCTGCGCCGCCTGCGAGCAACAAGGACCCCATGGAGGCTGCAATGCCCATGCATATCGTGCTGACTGGGCAGCGGATGTAGTTCATGGTATCGTAGATGGCAAGACCGGCGCTCACGCTGCCACCAGGCGAGTTGATGTACATGGATATAGGCTTCTCGGGGTTATCGGCTTCGAGGAAGAGGAGTTGCGCGACGGCGTTGGCGGACATATAATCGTCCACCTCGCCATTCAGGCAGATGATTCGCTCTTGGAGCAGACGCGAGAAGATGTCAGAAGTTTTCCAGCCTCCACCCTATGAAGTCAGATAGGAAGCGAACAAAAGCGTCATTGGGCTTACAGTGGTCTCTGTCACGTAAGGTATGGGTAGCGAGATTGCTCGTGGTGTCTGTTGGTCCTGTTGCTGTGGGCTCCATTGCGGTTGGAAGCCGAATTGGCTTGACATGGCTCGCGTGCCATGTCTATAGAAGCCTTGTAGTGTCGATGGCCTTGTAGCCCGCCGTAGAAGAAAAGCCATGATGTATGATGTTGGGGTAGCTCCCTCCTCCCCACACGAACGAAGCTATGGCGCGCCAAGCCGGGGGTCCGACGCAGTGGTTTGGAATCTTTCATGATGCCGCCTCATTACCTCATACGAATCACACAGTCGCCCATCTTTCTTGCCTGATGCCAGGCAGATGGACTTGTCGCCCGAAACTATGCTTGAGCCCCATTAGACTATCCTTGCGGGCTCAATGCCGCCAGTCTTCCGCTCACGTCCCAGGTCGCATCCTGAGGGGCCGCGACCTCGGCCCTACACGAGAAGATGCCCACCAGACGTTCCGCCTTCGCAGGGACGAAACAGCCAAAGAACTTCCATTGTCGCCACTGCTCGATCCGTTAGTCGTAGATGAAAGATCTCGTTTCGAGCAAACAAAAGAGCGCCCAAAATTTGCAGAATTTACACCTTTTCAGAAGAAGCTATGGATGAATCCATTCGGTATGCACATTCCTGTACTCAGTCAATACACGTATCTGACGGTTCAGCCCACGCGTTGGCGTCACCTATTCGCCATTGTCGCGCGGTACAAATCGTGCTCCCCACCGCTTTCTTGGTGTCTCTCAACGCCCGCCCCCACCCCACAACGAAAGACCCGTGGCTCCTGCCTGTCTCTCTTACCACAGATAAGAAGCATCTTGGTCCTCCGTTTCGTTTTCTCGGGAGGCATTTGACCGCCGCATACATGGGCAAGAGGAGAGCATGGGAGAGAGCTCTTTATGCACGCATGAACGAGAAGTATGGTGGTCATAACTTGAGGAAGATGGTCTGGAGAGAGGACATGCCAGATTTCATACTGGATGTCATGCGCAAGAGAGTAGTCAGCAAACTCAGCTGGAATTTTGGTTTCAGAGGCCGCTTGATTCCAGTCGCAAGCCCTCGCACTGAGGATATTGAGGGCGTAGAAGACGTTTCCTGTGTGCTCATATTCCGATCGCTTCGTACTCGCGCGGACGATTTGCAAAATCAGGCAGATCGGATCACGGCCGAACTGGAAAAATGGTCAAACTACTTTACCAAGAGTTTCGAGGCGAAGCTCGACCCTCACGCTGCTCTAGAGGTCACCCACAAAGCCCCGAACTGGTATAGTGGCCCTGTTGTTTCTCATTTCAAACCTCGTGTGCGGTATCCAGAGCTTGAATTTCATACCACATTCTGGCGAGGGAAGAAGGTTGCAGTCTACAGCTTGACGGATTTGCTTGGAGAAAACAAGGCACAAGAATTGATAGAAGGCAGTCAATACGCTGGCGAGAGATCTGTGGTAATCAAGGCAGCAAGACACAACGTACCGGTCGAGATACTACTTATGCAGCTTCAGGCGTATATCGCCCAGCCGGGACCTTGAACGTCCAAACAAACAGTCTAATAGATTTCTCTAATTCGCTCCTTGTGCCGCACATCACAAATACTCAGGTCTTGGTACCCTCATTCATCCTTCTCTCCCAATTGGACTTTGTCATCCCAAACATGTGCTCATCCTTGACCTCACCATTTTTCACAATATGACCCTTCAGTACACCTTCGAGCGCATATCCATTCTTTTCGAAGCATCGCATGCTCCCCACGTTACCAGAAAATACGCCGGCGTAAAGCTTCGTCAATCGCTGTCCATTGTTCTCGTAGCTCTCAAATGACCATGTTGTGAAGGCTTCCAGCGCTTCTGTCGTATACCCCTTTCCCCAAAATGACTTTCCAATCCAGAAACCAACTTCCGCAGTATGCGCGTACACATCCATGCCTAGTTTCAAACCGATACCCCCAATAGCGACATCTGGAGATGACCGCTCACAGATGACGAAATGATGTTGATATGGAAGTACGAGGTTCATGTTGATCCATTGCTCGGCACTGGAACGTGTATATGGGTTGGGAAAGGTGTTCCTCATGTATTGAGCGATCAGTGGGTCATTTGCATGGAGACTTGTGTTTGAGGCATCTTCAAGACGCATAGAACGGACTATCAGACGCGTAGTTGTTACTATGGGCGATGGAACTGATGCGCTCGTCTGTGTTGGTGTCGATTGTCCGGTCATGTTGGCTGAGATGCAGTACACAAACGGAAGCTGCCAAAGAGGAAGGATGCAATGAAGCCAGGGTGCCAAGGAGAGTTCAGTGTGTATGCAGTCTTAAACAGTTTATCTTCTTCACAGCCGTTGACTCATGGCTGGGATACGAAGACGCAAGATCAGGCTAAACGACGCGAGGCAGACGCACCTTCCCGGTTAGGAGGGGTGACTGGTGGCCTGAGATAGCTGCACTCATTGATTACCATCAAATACGACCAAGATGTGGTCATGACCATCAGGTAATGAAAGACTTGGTGGTTATGACCTGCACGCTGGATCATAATCCTACAAGGTTGGGTTGGGGACATGTGACCAGAAGAGGGGTGACGTCGTGTGGAGGTGATACTAGCGCATCGCGCTAAAACGCGTCTGTCGCGTGGGCTAACCAGCGCTCGGAATTCCTACATCGCATCGCAACGGCGCTCCCATGTCGTCTTTCGGAGCAAAGTGAGTCAGAACACTGAGAATGCTTTACACGTCTAACAAGGTTATAGGAAGGTTGTGAGAACCTACTCGCGACAAACAAAGCGCCAACTCTACGATGAGGAACCGCCCACCAAACGAAGACGCGTCGAGACCACTATCGAACACACCAAATCCACAGCCTTAACGTCACTCGGTGCTGCTCCCACGGTCGTCGTATCGTCTCTTGAACGCGGAAGCTCTACCCCTCCTCCATCCAGCCCGAAAGATTCGCCCGCAGTCTTCTCAGACGAACCGCCTCAGTCTAGTCCACCGTCGTCCCCAGTCTCACGCAGCTCGCCGCCGCCCGTTCAGAAACGGCGGCCGGTCTTCTCGATATTCAAGAAGCAACTCAAGCCTAGAGCGCCCGTCAAAGAAGCCCTTGTAGAACAGAGCCACAATGCGCAAAGCTCGCCAAAGCCAGCGCCTAAGAAGAAGCAGATGGTGCAGATGCAGTTAGACTTGGCGTCAGAGACGCGGAAAACGTGTAAAACATGTGGGATGCAATATATACCGTCGCACGCTGAGGACGCGGCGCTACACAAGAAGTTCCATGCGATGAATCTTGGTGGAGTGGACTTCACCAAGCCAGTCGTTGAGCGCTTTAGGAAGAATCAAATATGGAGTGGTGAGGGGGGCTTTATTGCTGTGGTCGGAAGGAAGGATACACTGGCGCTGCGCAACCGGGCCAGCGACGTGCTGAAGGTCGTGAATGCCGAGCTTGCAGCTGTTCCAATATCAGACGATGAGCTTTGGGTACAGACCAACCGGACGGCCTGTGCAGACGCGACTGAAAGAAGAACTGCGAGTTCGAAACAGCAGTCCTCATTGAAGAGTGAAGCAAACGTGCCCCTTGTCGATCGATTCAAGATATATCTATACATCCGAGGCAACAAGTGCGTAGGAGCATGCCTGGCGGAGCGTATTTGGGAAGCCTATAGGGTCTTGAACCCCACCACTTCACTCGAGCAGGAAGATGGAGATGCTGTCGTGTCGCAGAGCTCTTCTATTTCTATCAGCACCGATTCGGATCCAGTGACCCTGGGCATATCGCGTATATGGACTTCGAATCAGCACAGAAAGAATGGTATTGCTACCAGACTGTTAGATTCCGTAAGATCCGACTTTCTCTATGGGCTAAACGTCGACAAGGCCAAAGTCGCTTTTAGTCAACCGACGGAGAGTGGAGGTAACTTGGCGCGAAAGTGGTTTGGCTGCCAGGCTGGATGGCATGTGTATGTCGACTAGCATGATATAGAGGCAAAGATAGAGATAGACGTAGATAGCTTTAGTCGCTGCGAAGATGACTGCACATTAGCGGTGATCCGCGGTTTCAGAGAACTGGACTGATGGCAATTCTTACAACAAGCCTGTTCTATAACACGAGTCAGTTATCGCACAAGGCCCATCTGTAAAACACAGATATCGTCTGCAAGGTTGTGACACATGCATATCAGAGTTGTCCATTGGTAGGCAACAATGCGTACGAGGTACGATGGTGGGGTCTGTTCGTTGTCCCACGCCGGATCGCCAGCACCTGCATATCGGCGATGATCAAGTCGCAGAGCCGACCATCAGCAGCAGCATTTCTTGCGCTGCACCATCTCACCGCCTCACCCAAGCTTCTTCCATGTACATAGAACAATGCATTGTTTTTAACGCCCGCCATGTCGTCCGGAAACCCTTTCCGCCTTTCTCAAGCTCCTCGTCAGCCCGCGGCCATCCCGCAGACTTCCTTCATCAACACGGATAGCAGTGTGTCTGAGGCGCGTAGGGAGGACAACGACCATGGTATTCCCTCGCCTTGCCTTTCTGCGTCTGCTGGCATTCAAGGAGTAATTGTCTTACAGTGCTCGAAGATGCCGCCCCTCCGCCGACAAAGACCAAGAAGTCTGTCCGCATACTTTCTCCCACTACGACAATCCCACCCTACTCGTTTGACGACAAGCATGCGACTCTGAGCGAGCTCAGAGACAGGCGATCGAGCCAAGGTCCTCCTGCGAGCCCTCCGCCCCCCGTAACACCCGCTGGCCATGCCAACAGTTCAGTCACAGCAGGCGAAGCCAATGCCCAAGTCATTGGGAAAGACGCCATGGCAGTAGCAGACGTGCCCCCAAGTCCAAGTCCATACGTGAATCACCCTCAAGCGACCCTATCGCCGAGCAACGTACCGGCGAATCCGTTTTCGAGAACGCTGGCGTCACTAGAACCGCAAGAAAGGGAGAACGACGAGGAGCGGACAAATACGGGAAGACCAATGTTGGGCAGCAGCAGGGCATCTTTAGACGTAGAGAGCTTCAAAAACCTACTCATGACCGGAAAGCCAACTCCGCGACCATCCGGTCCGCCTCCGCAGCCTACAAGCGTGTCACAACCACTTGCTGGCGCACAGTTCGAGACTAGCAGTAGCACAGATACCTCGTCAATCTCGCGGCAGTCGCTATTCGAGCCCCCACAAGAGACACGTGCAGATTCTCCGCGTACATCTGTCGATATGGCTGCATCTGACGAGGACGAGAGTATGGGGCTGGTATCCGAAGTGAAGAAGGGCAAAAAGAAGCCTCCGCCTGCACCCAAGCATCGACACGGGAAGCTGGTCGCGCCGAGACAGCCACAGACAGTGTCTTTCGAAAGCTTTGCCGCGACCGAACCAGCACAAGCACCTTCTCCTCCAGCTATTAGACGAACCGACAGTTCAGATATGCAGAAGCCACTCCCACCAACCCCGGTTACTGCGCCACAGTCCCTCCATATCAGCACACAGGATACGACACCATTACAGTCCCCACCAATACTACCGACAGCGACTCAGCCTTCAACACCGTCAGAGGGTCCAACTCGACAAAAGAAGACGCCTCCGCCCGTGCCGTTATCTCGAAGACAAAGTCAGCTCAAGACTACAACTACAGGCAATAGATCGCGAAGCAGTTCAAACCTTACTATATCCTCTCAATATTCAGTCGATGCCCCACAGAGCCCGGGTCCGAATACCTTCGACCCATTGCTCGGAGCAAAATCACCACCCCCTCCTCCACCCTCACGGCACGGCGCACGGCTTGCGAACCTAGGCAACTCAAGCGCAAACTCTTCCAGTACCGAGTTGCCACAGCGGTCGAGCTCGGGTCGAATGCCGAGATCTGTTCCTGAGCCTCCGTCGTCTCGTCGGAGCACTCTAGAGTCACAACCTTCTTCGCCTGCACCTAGTGTGCACCGCACCTCATCCATATCGTCTAATCGCAACACCCATCGCAATGTGTCTGGAGAAAGTACAGGAAGCAATATGCCGCCACCTCCGCCACCACCAAGACGCCGACAGTCAAATCGCTCAAGCCTTGACCAGCAAAGGCCTCATGTGTCCTATTCCTCTCCCACGGAAAGTCGAAGAACGAGCACAGAGTATCGTCGCACAAGCACAGAACAGAGGCGATCGAGTGTAGCTAGCGAGAGTTCGCTGAGAAGAACGTATGAACCTGTGGATGAGAAGAGCGAGAATGAACACGCTTTGTACTCTCCAATTGAGGAGAGCGAGAGAAGGCTAGGTCTTGATGAGAACATAAGCGGTGGAAAGGATGGCGAAAGGAGGAGTGATTCGAGTAATATCCTTGACGACATGGAGAAGTTCCAGCGCGAGATTGATGAGCTGAGGACGAGATACAAACAAGCGGGATAGTGCCTTGCTTGAGTAGTCACTAAATGCGAAACACGGAGAATAGATATTGGCACGAACAGTTTCCTCGCGCGAGAGACTTTGAGCATCTTGCAAAGACATTCCAATCGATACGCATGCACCCTTGTTGTCTGACTATTCACAATCAAGGTTGTCTTCTTACATGAGCAAACAGCTCGTCATAGGACACATGCTCTGTTCTAGGTTGTAGCTTAGTCGCGAAACTCGTCTCCTTCACGACACACCCCTCTCAATATTCATATCAGCACTTGCCAAAACGGGGGCTTCGAGCCTTTGAATATATCATGTGGAGGGCTAGAGATGATGATTCAGACGAATCGGAAATAATTAGCTTGGTGGTTTTTCACAGAATTTGCGGACAGTGAACAGTTCCATGAATGTTGTGAGGTGCTCTAGTCCCTAATATTGTAGACCATGCCGCTTTTTGTATTAGACTTGTGAGAAGCTACAAAGATGCTATATCACGCGGTAGCTAGCTAGTTTGACGAAGGATGATACCCCGTTCCCGTAAAGACGGTCAACGCATGTCAAATGGCTTAGACCATGACAGCCAGCGCTGCGGCGCCCATGGCGACGAGCGAGCCCATACCGACTGCAGGTGTTGCAAGAGCGGCGCCAGCAGTCTCAGGGGGAGGAGAAGTGCTGCTTGCCTCGGGCTTACCAGGACGACCTGAGGATGATGTAGCCACCACCGTCGTAGTAACCGACGCAGTCGAAGAGGCAGAAGCACCAGAAGTCTCACCAGAGGGAGCAACGAGCGTGGAAGACGCAGGATGAGCTACTGAAGTGGGGATCGGATGTCCGGGGGGAGGCAGGATAACGCTGGTAGTAAACAGTCCACTGCTCAGGGCGGAGGAGACGACCGACTCAGCGGGAGGTGGCGCATACGACGGCTTGCCAGGCTGCGGAACGCACTCTGTGATGGTAACGGTAGCAGTCATGGTGGCAGCGGGCGCGCAGACGGCTGGAAAGCTTGTCAATTTGTGTGGTGTGAAACGTGTGGAACAGGTACTTACAGTCCGCAGCAACGACAGCCAAGACCAGTGCAGCAACAGCGAGGAGCTTGTAGCCGAACATGTTGATAGCAGTAATTCGATTTTGGGTGGAGATGGAGCTGAGTAGAGCTGAATTGAAGTATATTTGACTTGAATGGATGCAGCTGCAGAGATGATGGGGCGTTTGATGAGTATCGTGAAGAAGAGAAGACACGGAAATTCAGAAAAGTTGTTTATATGACGTGCTGGCAGCGTTTGCAGTCACGGAGGAAATTAGCTCCGTGGCAGGCAGGAGCGAAAGTGAAGGTGAAGGCGCACTTGTGAGTGGGGTGAGAGCGTGCCTTGCTGTGCTCTGCAGTTACCCAGGAAAGGGACCTTGGTGTCGCCGCCTGCCCATACAGCACCTAGCCAGCCGGCGATATGGTATCCTGTACCTCTGCTTGACGCTGAGATTGCCCAAGTATACCTTTGCAGTCTCCTTTGGGCTCCAAGTTTTTGTCAACTTTTACTAACAATCTTAGTGCCGTGATGCAAATGCGACTAGCCTCCTCACCAGATTGCACCATGCACGACAGGAGATATGCTAGAAACGTGACTGTTGGAAGGTACCGGTTGATGACATACGTAGATACGTTGGCAGGTGGTGTTGAGGTTGCAGGAACGAAAGACCTTGTTCAAACCAGGTATACTTCGATTGCCAGATACGAGCTTCTTCATAGGATGCGTTTGCTCTTTCCGTTGTCGAGTAACACTGTCCACCTCTTAAACAAAACCTATGGTAGTCTGGTTGACTTCATAAAATCTACGAACAGGAGGACTGAGTTTACGTGCATTGATAGTTGAGAAGCACAGGTAGAGTGCGGTCAGAACACTACTGGTACCTGGCCCTCCATCGCATCTGTAGGTATCAATATACTGCTCTATAGAAGACGAAATAAGAGAAAACACGGGAAGACGAGACGCGCAGATGGTTACAAAAGCACTTCGAGAAGGTGCTTCTTTGCGAATTTGACATATTGCCGCAATTAAATCGCGCCGCTTTTTACACTTGGTTGGCACAAGGCAAAGATCTCGAAGACAGCACGCCTAAATGCCCAGTGTCATGGAACAGCAAGCCAGTCTGGCTCTCTGCGGACTGCATCTCATCTGGACTACAAGACTTCGTGGACATGGTAGCGAAGGCTACATTCTGATTCGGCTTTCCTCAGACAGCTGTACAATACTGCTATGGGTCAATTGGAATCTTCATCTCTACCTGCTTCACATCCTGCTCTTTTGGTATTTGTATATGTATATGCTAGACCAACCAATCTGAAAACAAGTCCAGGGAGTCGGACCCCGTGGCGTTAGGTGCGAGTAAGCAGCCACCTGACAGTGTAGGACAGCCTTGGAGACAGGACGTGTGGGGACCCGTTCTTAATCGCCACTTGTCGCGCAGGAGTAACATCTACCGCTCCAAAATAGCCTGTGTTTTCTTCGAGGGCGGCTGCAAGTTTATCGCCATGCTGTAGGTTAGCCTCGAGTTTCACGGTCGGTGCTAGCTGCACAGGAGATTTCCTCCCGCCTCGATATGATGCGATAACGCTAACATGGCTGCGAATCGCGTGGCTCTGCTTGGACATTTACCCATCGTCTCGGGTGTTCCAAACACTATACAATTTCTTGATTCTGCGGACGCGAAAAGCCAAAAAGTAAGCTGCTGCTGCGTTGTCCCTACTAACCGGACGTCGGAATCTGGGCTTGCTGCACGGCCCGATACGAGCTGTATGCGCTGCCTGCTTGCTTATGCCGTACTGCGGATATGCTCGTGAAGACCATTGGCCACGTAAAAGGCCAAGCCGGTGGCCTGGATGCGGCGGTGTCATAGCGGAGCTGGTGGCTGTTTAAAACTGTAAAGCCTAGGGTTACAGGCGCCTGTATACACGGTGTTGTACAAAGGAGGGAAGAAGCAACGTTCCGCTGGACCCTTTTGGGCCCTCCAAGATTGACCACTCGCACACATGGAGCGGTCTGCTTACTTGCATGAGTAATCATGCATTGCTATAGAGACGCTGGTAACAGCTTGCATTGATGTGCGGGAAGAGATACTTTTGACAGAAAACTACAAATTGAAAGCATGGAAAAGACTTTCGCAATCAGAGAGTGATTGAGGACGACGCAGAGCTGGGTCTGAGTTAGAATGAGTGTACAGCATCGAGATCTCCTCACCGCATCATTTGTTTCGCTAAAGAATGCCCAGGTGCTTACACACGACGTGTGGTGCAGACCGCCTATACGAGGTTGATCGCTCTTGGAATTTTCGGACATAATTGTTCCTCTGCGGGAGGCACAGGATTCCTAAAACCGATAACAGGGCTGTGCTGCCGATCACAGGATGAACAGTGGCGAACTCCACAGAACGCATCTCGCAGGATTGCGAACCCAGTCATGAATGGCGGTTCAAGCACTCCGTATAGCACAACGGTTGAGGGAACCAATGTACGGACTGCTCGTGGGAGTTCTCTCCGATGTGCTATCAGCCAGTCATCTCCAAGGGGCTTGCTGCAAGCTAGCCCTGGCCCATTGCACATATGGCAAGCTAATGCGGCAGATTAAGCGCATCCACGTCGACTTGAGCTTTTACGGAAACCCGAGACCGCGTACGGTACGAAAAAGAAGGAACGATAACCTCGAAGAGGGGTTTCTGAGGGGCAGGTTTGATTGGAGAGGGGACAAATCGCCGCTGAGAGGTGCATGCAAGCGAGTTCTAACCGGCAGCCGTGCGTTAGGGCCCGCGGAGCGGCATGGCAACGAATCTCGGTATTCTGGCGTTGTGTAATTTGAAGGTAATGGTATGAGACATTCATACCTTCCGAATCGAGGAAGAAATATTGTACTGCTCACAAAAATTTGGCGGCGTTGTAGACCGCAATAAAATGAATTGTCCGTTACAACGCCCAGCCGTTTGCCGTATATTTGAGACGACGGAAGGCTCATCTATTGGGGATTCTGGAAAAGCCATGTTCCAAGGCTGTATTCCAAGACCGTTCCGCCGTCACGCAATTGTGGTGGATGGCATGGAAAATGTAACGGCTGCTGCGGAGTGGCGTAGGCGCTCCACTTGCCTCATTGGTATAAGCTGTTCATCGTCTCGGCATGGAACTAGACAGTCAGATTGTGTTGCAGCCTTGCTTCATTCCAATAGTGTTAATCACAGATAGTCTGAAAAAATTCAAGGGGTTTCCAGGAACCCTAGCGGTTGAATGGTTGCTTGAGGTGCGGGAGCAAAAGCCGCCATGGAACGAATTGTGTTCAGGATGCCGCGAAGGTTATCGTAACCGCCTTGGATGCAAGATCATGCAGCTAAACGTACGTTGGGCTAGAATCTTGTGCGCCGGCTCCATATTCCTTCACATGTGGGAACAAGATGGCGCAAAGCCATTCCTACACGACGTCACTTCTGCTTAAGGTTGATGCGGAGCGTTGTGTACCAGTTATTGTAGCAACGTGGAACCTGCGCGCCATTTGACGACGATCTCAAAGCATGAGACTAGCCCAAGGGAAATGGGACGTGGCAAGTTTGGTTGAAAAAGGACTTGGTTGACCATACATGTCCGCAGTCAAAGGACTCCCAGAACAATGGTCACTTATAGCCCTGCAATGAACGAAAGCAATTCAGTGTGTTTGATGGCGGGCAAGCCCAAGGACAGCTGGGCATGCTAAATGCAGTGAGCCAAGCTGAGAGAAAGGCAATGTTGAGCGTCTAGATGCCTTTGTTGGACACTCTCTAGCATGGTTCCTGCTCATTCGGTGCACAAAGAGCCGATTGAATGCACGACGGGCGGAGATATTTCATCTAAGATGAGATCTTGAGATCTGAATCTAAGTGAGAAAACAGGGGTTGTCGGGATTGACTGGCTGATACAATGACAGGCCGAAACTAGCACCCCGGCGATCTGGCTGTGGGCACTCGCAGCGGGGCAGAAGCGATGGAAGGAAGGAGGCATGCCGTGTGACGTCGGCGGCCGGCCGGGTCTAGGTTAAATACCATGGTGACAAATAGTCCAATTCAGACGATCAGACACAATTTCCCATACTTCCAATAGTCTGGGGAACGACAGCGTTGCACTGGTCGTGGTAGTGACAGAGCGCCGTCGCTTCTTCCGACACATGGTCTGTAGCTGGTACAGAAAGCGTAGTGGGCAGAGAGACCAGCAGTGATTATTGTCGTAGACCAGGGAGTCGGCGACATGTTTTTATCGAGCGATCGGCACGCACGTCCTAGACAGAGGGCAGCAAAGTTCTCAGGGCGCATCAAGGCTCCGAAAATGAGTGGGAAGTTCGATCAGATCGGAGCTATGCCCGATATGACGGTCGCGTATCTCAGGTTTGTTGTTTGGATCAGGGAGCCCCTTGTTCCTGGACCCAGGTGGTGGGCTGTCATGAGATTTGTGCAGCAGGGTGAAACCAGCCGTTTTGGACATTGCACATGGTTGCAGATGAGAGTCGCCAAAACTCGGTATTGTTTGGGGGTGCATGATGAGGCACGACGTGATGGCGCAGGATTAGACTCGCTACAGCGTCGGCCGTGGGCGCAGACTGGAAGCCCACGGAGACGGGAACGAGCCAACGGCAACCCGACGGCTGCGACTCCTTAGCGCGGGCCACTTTAGGTGAGCATGTGCGTTCGCGTTTGGTTGAGCAGTTTGCGGAAGCCTCTGCGCGGGCGCGATCGCGATTGCGCTGGTCACAATAGCCGGCGCACGTTTGTTTGGGTGAGCGTGGGTGGAGCAAAAGGAGAAATTGATGGTTACTATGGTAGTTGGTGGTAGTCAGGCACGCTGTGAACGTCGTCGCGTCGCAGCGCAGGTGGAAGTGGTGCCAGAGCCAGAGCGGGCCTGTTAGTCAGCCCACCCGGAACAGAGGCTGCTTGACCCCGCCCAAAATGCCAGCAAGATGCCAGATGCGATCGCGATGGCAGACATGCCAACACCCCCCAGGGACCAGCTGTGATATGATGTTGACGCGTCTCGTTTATCGGCGGGAAGTGCCACAGAGATGCTAGCGTGCTCGATCGCCAGCGCTGGCCAAGCCACGGGCGTGGTGTTGTCCTGTCGCTGGCGTGCGGGTGCCGAGGGTAATCTGCAGCCATTGAGCCTGGCACAGAGCTAGCCGCGAACCTTCTTCCCCTACTCCACACACATCGCCGACTGGCCTCCAGAACACGCCGGCCTTTCTGCCGCTGCCCTTGACTGGCTACATCACCTGCTAGCCGTCCCCCAGGCGCTGCGGGGACTGACTGGGAACTGCAAGCTTCTGGCACGCTGCCCTGCCGCTGTCTGGGAGGAATTGTGTGGTCAAATTCCAGAAGACTGCAATTGCTTCTTCCCACTGCTGCTATAACATATGCTAGGCAAGCCCTCGACGTAACACACTCGTACTGCTCCTAATCCGCTTGCTTGCTGCCTCACCACCACCCACCAACCAACCACCTCTAGCAGCCTCGTCAATCACTCAGACGAGTATCGATCTGCTTTGCAAGCGTCCATGCGCAAACTGTTTACTGCCATCGAAATACCAAGTCTTCGCCTGCTAGGCTCCGCCACCTCATTATCCTGGCTCACCCTCCCCCGGCCCGCAAACAGAGATTTGTGCGCATCGGAACTACTCACACGCCCCTCACACCTCGATCGCTGACGTCCCAGCGCCAGTTCCCACTTTCGCACCAATCTTCTGCCTCTTTGGGTTCCGCGGCCAACTTTGGCCGTTGCTACTGTGCCTCACGTCACTCGTCGCGTATCTGTATCGAGCTGCGTCCTGTCCAAACCCTGTCGTGCCGGTACGTGAGCGCCTTTCTAGCTCCGTTGTTTTTCGGCCCATCTTTAGGCCTGCTCCGCCCAGCCCAGCACATCCGCACCCGCGTGGACAGTCGCCACTTTTCCCCTCCGTTTACATACTTTGCCCGCCCACTCCTCGCACTTTCTCTTTCATCCATTATTCCTCACAGTCGAAGTCGTTGCTAGACGTACCCCTCGAACTGTACCAATCCAGCATCTGTTGTTGTGCTGACTCCGCCATTTGTCAGCTACCCCGCCGCCACCCACACACCTCTGCCACACCACCACGCTTCATTCGCCATCTGTCGTCTGAACCCTCACCATGCCTGCTGAACGTCGAACCTTTACTTCGACCAGACCGGTCAAGACCGAACGCACTCATGAAGAGAACCAGGAGCGGTTTGTCATCTCAATTCAGTTTACACGCAACCAATTCTAATGTCTGTTAGTGCTTACATTGCTGCCTCGCGCCGCAGTGACCGTAGTCTAGAGGCTCGCATTGAGTCGGCACGCAGGGCTTCAGAGATCCATAAGAAGCGTACTGGCCGTGCTTTGCGTGTGACTGAACAGGATGTCATCAATGAAGAGATGTACGAAGAGGAGGACGATGATCTGCCCACCCAGTACCAACGCTTGAATGCGCATCTGCACACTACCTCTGTCATGTTTAACAAGAAGCTCCATGATTACATTGCGACACAGCACGGTGTCCGAAACATGTTCATGTCGCAGTACCAAAACCAAGGCCCGGCGTTCCCCCAGTTTGGTCAACAGTATCCAGCCAATGGTGCTTCGCTTCCACAGTCAAACAACTGGCTGAACCCTTCCATGCTACCACCACAACAATTCACACCAGCTTCTCCTCAGAGTTTCCAGCAAGCGCAGCCGTTCAGCCCGACTTCTACTCAACCACAACAGGGCTACCGCCAGTCACCGTACCACATTCCTCAGCGGACCCAGTCTCACCAGCGCGCTCTTTCGATTCAACTGCCTCACGGCCTACCGCACTTTGATCCATCAGCTCAGCCGGCAAGTGCAGGTACCACGACGCCACAGACCGAGCTTAACCGAAGACTGTCTCTACCACCGCAAGCTTTCCAGCAATCAAACCAAACAGTAGAACGACCAACGCGCCCTTCGCTATCGCGTTCGCCTACTGCGCATTCGCTTCAAAATCGCCAGTCATCTTCACCACAGACTGCTTCGCCAAATGCGGTTTCAGTCCATGACGCTGCAACTGCTCAAAGCGACCCTAACACGCCTACTTCCTATTCTTACAGCCCAACGAACTACCCACACAGTTCGCAAGCACTTAACTCAAACCCTTTGACCTTGTCCATGCCACCTGAGTCACAGCAGTTCTTAGGTTCCGTCCTCGATCAGAACGATCCTCGCACTGCTATCTTCATGGCTGGTAGCGACAATCTTCCTCAGCCATTTGCTCCAACCTACACATACAACCCCAACAAGGTTACACGGACACCGAGCAGCGCAAGCATATCAGAGAATGCTACTGGTTCCGCTCAGACTCTATCCTCAGGCCTTAATCTGAAGACTGAGCCCGTCTCTGATACCACATCATTATCAATGCCGAGCGCTATATCCGATGGATTCTATTCTAACGATTCGTTCTTGACACCTGGCAATGGTGACTACAGTGCCTTCTTCGACTTCCAAGGCGGCGATTTTACACAGTCCTTCGATGACCAGTCCGCGAACGACCAAGACAACGGCAATAGCCTTGTCAACTGGGACTAGGCTACTTTCCCTTCTTCTGTTTATTCCTTCTTCTTAGGCTAAAGGCCCTTTTGTATGATCCTCTTTGGGTCTTGTGTGTTGACTGCCTTGATACTTTGCTACGCTTTTGGGTAACGGTTCTGGTTTCACACGCACATGATACCTTTTGTACAGTGTCGTTAACGAGGTTACGACTGGAGGCGTTGCGTGGAGTTTTTCACATGGGCTCAGAAAAAGCTCCATATGTTTAGCATACAAGCGTATCCTTCTGCAGGCGCTTCGAGGTTGCTGTCGCCTGTATAGCGATCTCCTCTCTCGGTAACACTTCAACCCGAAGTGCTTACTTGTAATACATAATTGTAACGGCTATTAGTCGTATGCGATTCATCGTGCATTCCTACCGTGTGTGACTTGCACGTGATGTATCGTCAAAAACTTCGGTATGCAGCTACATGTTGTATTTCGGGTTTGCGAACATTATAGTCATATGCAAAATGGCTTTGAATAAGGGTCTGAAGATGTACTACACAGAGAGAGGGATTACGCAGAGGCCCAGAACATGAATGAGAACTGGCTGTTCAGTCAGTGGTTCCGTGGCGGGTAACACCCTCGAAGCGGCCCGTCGAGGGATGTGCAACACATACCAGTCTGGAACCTAGTTACGCACAATGTTCTGTTATGTGGCGAATCACATACTTGTCACTCATGCCTTCTGCGTGAGTGTGCCTATGCGTACAATGTTCTCGTCGAAGTAACGCTGGAACAGATAGTTCGGCTCACGTAATGACGCTAATGGTGAGCTAGCGTCGTGAACAGCACCTTCGTACCGTGGATGATGGTTTCAGCAGATCTGTTCCATTGAAACAACGAATACAGCCTATGCGATGCGCAACAAATTTTATATCAGCACATCTGGCCTTACATCGCCATCAATCTACGTTGCTACTCCTGAATCCATCAGAAGCTCTCACGGATAGCTGCACCAACCATCCCGAGGCCTTGTCTTACCGCGGGGTTTTCTGTAAGACGCACAACCCTGAGCCGGAATTTGGTTCCTGCATCTGTGCATCGAGTTAGTAATGGCAAATTACACACGAAAATATACAAGCTGTTCAGTGCGGTCCCTAAACTCGAGTCGTCCTTGGTCCTTTTGCTGCACGCCTCTGACAAGCTCTTATATCGTACCAATGGTACTTGCTCTAGAGAGCCTGAAAACTGCACAACCTGTGATAATAAACAATATTTAGCAGAAGGCGGCAATGCCGACATCGCGATCAATCTGCCGAAAGCAATTACAGAATGTCTACTGATCCTGCAACGAACCATATTCATGTGACTCAAGTACTGATTCGTGGAATGCATTTCAGTTCGGTTATGATACCTCTTCCTGCACAGAGTTTCTTGCTCTTGGGAGAGAAGCACTGCAAGGCGTCTGTCAGGCGGTATTCCAGCCGACTCCATCTTCTTGTGTCATTCGTGTAATGCCTCCGAAATACGAGCATGGTCGAGTGTAACGGCATTGAGTACATTTTTCAACGTCAAGTTACGCCGATCCATTGGCTCGCAACAACACCATGCCCAGAGAAGTGGCTGTATCAATCTCTTCAACCCCAACGACGGTAGGCTGGATCACTTCGTCATCTGTGAACTCCTTCCTTGAAGCCTTTCCCATCTTCGCCTCCTTCTGCACTACCGGTGGCGGCTGCTGCGCTGCAGTGTGACGTTGGCCTTCGTCCGTTATCTACCATCCCGTAATTGCTGTTTCTAGTTAGATTCAAGATGACCAGCATCTTGTCACACTACCAATCTATACGAACACACCAACTACCTTGCCTACGGATCGCTGCAAAGCAGTCTTGGCCAGTATGGTCTATCGAGGTGGTGCAATTCTGCTTCAAACAAGGCCGCTACTCCAAGAACTCACAATGTCAAAATCTGGAGGCCAACATATCGATAGGAATAACCTAAGCATCATAGGTTGTACGCCGACTGCCGTCAAGTTTGGTACTTCGATGACTTGTAAGGTGGATACCATGAATGGAAGCATGATGCCGTGTTGCATGTTCGCGTTAGTGCTAACCGGTTGTTCTGTTACTGCAGTACAGCGGTGACAGGATCACACCATTTTACCATCGCGGTGAAACGCACATCTTCGTATATAAGATCGTCATTCTCACTCACTTGAGGCACAAGCCCTTCAGCTCTAGTTGACAGCCAAACACAGCCTCTCGTTCCTTTCTCTATTACCACTCGCTCATTGCTTTAGCTCTTAGAAAGAGTGACTCTTGTGACCTACAAAGAGTCATGAAGCTCATTACTTGCATACCGTTTGCGGCCTTTCTGACGCTCGTTGCTGCTGAGCGGGCGCTATGTAAGTTTCAGTTCCAACACTGCTTCTGGGAGCATATACCTTATCAATCGACACATCGAGAATCTAGTTCCTTTTCGTCTTTTAATATGAACTGACAACTCTGTCTAGTGAACTTTCCACAGCACATACGGCCACGGCAGTATGCGCCGCCACCGCCTTACTCCCCCACTTATCCTACTTCGATCAACAGTGCTACTAGCATCTCACTGTCTACTGGTATTCCTCCAGTTTCGACACCCTCTTCGTCAGCAAACTCCACAGCACCAGGGCCCTCCACAATTGTCTACACCAGCGTCGTGGTCATTACATCGGTAGTTGTCCCAACGACATCGTAAGTTATGATCAGTTCTCGTGTTCAGTTCCTGTTGAACTAATATGTTGAAACAGCCGAACTTCATCTGGAAACTCTACATCCACAGAGGCTACAGCAAGTAGTTGGGGTAGTAGCTCTTCGTCTGTGAGCATCTCTCTCTCAACTGGACCTCATTCTTCCGGATCCGGATACTACCCATCTTTACCACCGTACCCGACTTCCGCGCCTTACGGTAACAGCACCGGTACAGCTTCGTCTACTTGGGGCACAGGTACCGCAACAGTGTCCTCGATACCGCCGTTGACCTCCACAGCTAGTGTCAACTCGACAGGTTCGCAAAGCTCCTATATCCCAAGATCTTCAACGACAAGCACCAATGTTACTGTCATTACCTCAGTCATCGCTTCCACTACTGTCATCACTATTTCCCCTCCACATCCTTCGAATGGAACGGTGACCCAAACAAACACAGAGCCTACAGCGACATCCAGTGGTGATGGGACTACTTCTGGGATTACTACGTCGTCCGGCTACTATATTCCACCTGGAAACGCTACCAACAGCGCCAGCAGTCCGACTGAAACAGATACCGTGTACTCGTCGACCATCAATATCTCGACCATCTCCTGGATCACCTTTACCTCAGTAGAGTCATACACCACGACTGAGACACCTACGTCAACCACCGACGATTCAGTACCATCGTCGACTTCAGATTCATCTAGAAGATCAAGAACCACCCGGAGTCGCACCAGCACACGTGATTGGTCTCGAACTCATACTATGTCCAGGCATTCTACAACTAATTCTGCCTCATACACGCCTACTTCTTCCAAAGAGTCGTCAACGGCATCATACACTCCGAGTTCTTCTGGAGAGACGCTTAGTCCATCTAGTGCGGAGTCTTATACACCATCGTACACAGCATCTTCTACAGATGATACCAGCAGTGTACCTAGTGCGTCCAAGACTTACTCTGCTTCATCTACGTTGTCGCAATCGTATAGCTATTCGTTTAGCTCGATCGTTACAGACACATTCTCGCCCACCCCATCGGATACCACAACTTATCCGGGGCCAACGCCGACAACGGAAAGCTTCTCGTACTGGACGACCTTGTCGTCATCAAGCGATTTGGCCAGTGAATCTGAGACCCCTTCGTACACATGGCCGATCAGATCAAGCACTACGTTGGTGCTTCCTTCTGAGACATCATCAGAAGCGTTGAGCAGTGAATCTGGTACCATCGAGACTCCTTCTGCCACTTCGTCACCTTCTAGCAGCGCGAGCAGCTCAGAGACACTTCAGGAGCCAAGCACGTATACGTCTACCGGAACGGAGTACACGTCCTTCACCTCCTCAATCTCAGCATCCGAGAGCTTTTCCAGCTCAACTTCTATCATAGTCAGCTCTACCAGTACTGATGCCACCGCTACCTCTTTCCCAGTCGGGTCTTCTACCTCAGGCTATTCCTACTGGACTCCGCCCATTAGCTCAGCAACCAACACGGATGCTACCGCTACTTCTTTCCCGGTGGACTCCAGTACCGACTTCACGAGCTTGACTGGTAGTCTCACTCAGACGACCTTTGAGACGAGCGTAAGTTCGACCAAGAGCGGTTACGCACTACCGCCTGTAGAGACGTACGAAGGGCAGGGTGACAAGGTGAAGAGGGGCATGGTAAGATTCTATGATGTTGATTGAGACACAAAGGAACAAAATCTAACTATTCTGGCAGATGGGTATGTGGTTCATGTGAGAGCGAAGCATCGGATTGGGTAATCATGGACCTCTTTGGGAAAAACGATCAGATGAAGCATTACAACATGTTATTGCATCTCACCAAAACAATCCCACATTACTTTCTCTACTTACCTCGATTAGTGTAGACATTCATTCCATCTCCTTCTCAAGTTCTTTTCGCTTCACTCCCTTCTCACCCTCCCGCTCTGTCAATGGTTTCTGGGATGGTGTATTTAATTCACACTGACTGCAAGATGCTGGGTCATAGTTCGATATAAAAAACTTGTTTCTTTAGAGATTCAAACTTCTGCTTTGATATAATGACCATATGATACCATGGGGGACAACGCCTTTGTGAAAACTGAAGGAGAATTTGTGACGCTTCACAATGACATTGATATTTGCCTCTGCCATGACATGTTCCATCACCGGGCAGCCTCACTTGCCAGAAATCTACTTTTTGGCTCAGTACAAGTAAGCACCTTGGGCATTCCTCGCTCTTCGCCAGTTTAAAAAGCAATATTCACAAATTTTCTAGTCACAACCCCCGATGCTTTGGTTTGACAATGTCGCCTTGTTGAGATGAGGAGAGTGTTATCCAGAGAACGCGTTTTCCAGATTTGCATAGAGATCACGTAGGATATAGCTTGGTGCTACACTACAGTAGTTGGTGTATGGGCAACTTGGACCGGACAGTGTTCGAGCGTAAGGGTGGAAAAGCGGGAAGACGGTGCAGAAATGCGATATAGTAGAGGTATCGGGGCGCGTGTGACCAAACCAGTTGACGGAGACGCCAAAGCTGTGATTGTTCGCCTACATCCTAGACGCGCGTATGATAGGTCAGCAGCATAGCGTCAACCAAACACCCATCAAGTATCACCTTTCCACAAAGACCACACTGTTGATATTGAAACATTATTTCATTCATTCGGCCGTGACAATTTAGCTTTACCTTCCTGAGGCAGCTATGCCATCGAAGCATGTCTCGCTCATGTCATTACGTATCGTTCCCAATGGATATCAACTTTTTTACATCTTGCTCTTGGCCTCGCCCTTGAGCTCCTGCGCCTTGCCCTTGGCCTCACCAGCGAGCTCGTTGGCCTTGCCCTTGGCCTCGCCAGCCATCTCATTTGCCTGGCCCTTAGCCTGGCCAGTGGTCTCGGGGACGGACTCCTTGACGGCGCCAGCGACTTCCTCTGTTGGTGTATCGTTAGTTTCTGTGTTTATGTGCTACCAGAATATTTAAAGCTTGCGCACTATACGATGTCGTCATGTTCTCGGCTGTGTGAGACAAGAGAGCATCAGGTGGTGCAATATAGATGGGAGGCATGGTGGATGGAAAGTGTACGTACCGCCCTTCTCAATGCCCTTTACAGCGGCACCAGAGATTGTCCTGTCGACAGCCTTGGCAGCATCCTTGATAGCATCTACGGGGCTCTTGCGTGCGACGGGTGTGGTGCTGAAGAGGCGGGCCTGGCGGGCAATCTGTTGACGGAACATATTGACGGTGTGTTGTGTAGTGTAGTTGTTTTGGAAAATATGGAGATCGGTAGAGGAGAGGTGAGGAAGGTGACAATTGAATTATTGGATGGTTTGTTAGATGAGGTTCTTGTGGGTGTGAGGGAGACGACAGCTTTAAAGCATGTGGACGTGGACTGAGCTGCTGTGCAATGACGTAGCTATGATCAACCAATCGCGGATGTGGGTCCTAGTGCTGCCGTGCATGGCGGAGGAACATCGCGATTGCGGATTTAGCATGCCTAGGCCTCACAAAATTTTGCATGTGCATGTGTAATGTTATGAATGTGATTGATTCATTATGATTATTCGTGCCCTTTTATCTGGCGATTTTGCGTCTTCCTGCACTTAGTACAGCGCCTTCTGCCACCATGCACACCGCGCGTTCGCGTTGCTGTCGCGTACATCCTCAATGCCTGTGACATTGAGCTCCAGAACCGTAGCGTCGGGACCGTACATGTTAAATTGCTTTACGCCCATGGCGTCTGGTACGCCATTCTCAGCGAAGCTGGTGATGAACTCTTGCAGAGCGATGGCAATGGTCGTGTTAGTAACGCCAGTCGGCGAAGTAGAAGCAGCACCTCCCTGGAAGTACGTGTACGCAACATCTTGGCCATGTATAGCCGGAGGGACTGCAAAGAGATACGAATATGTCTTGTTTCCATAGGCTCTGGAGAGGTAGTTGGTGTTGCATGTGAAGACACCCTCACTAACGATGAGGCTGCCGCGCTCAAAGTTGTTGGTGTAGCCCAGTGAGCCATCGAACACCGGAGGGTAGAGGGTACTAACAATGTAGTCCACGGACGACTTTGGGGCATTTGCGAAAGCGCTTGAGATCTGGTCTTCCAGTGCATTCTCGTTTGGAAGATAGAAAGGAGTAAAAAGTGCTCCTTCGTTAGCATTATGCCCGACCATTACGCGTACGTCCTTGTCGAACCGGCCTTGAGCTAACAGTTGAGCGGGCTGCAGAGGAGCGAAGAGACCGTCCACTACTGGTCCATAGGTGAAAGTGCCATACGGAGAATCATAGATGATCTGCTGAGCACTCGCACGTATAATCTCTTCAGATGGAAGAGCACGCAGCTCTGCGAGAGACGTAGTGTTGGTAAGCTTCAGGAACTTCTGGTAGACGTCCTCCTGCGTAACAACAGAAGTTGTAGGCTGCCAACCAGGGCTCTGCGGAACAGCCTGTTGGAAAGGAGCCGATCCGTTAGCACCGCCATATGCAGTAATTTGATGCATAATCGATCCACCTCCAGCACTTTCTCCAAAGACAGTGACCTAAAAAAAAAAGAAAAAAAAAGGTCAGTTACAGCTGCAGATCCAGGCTCCAGCTCGACTTACTCGGTTCTTGTCACCTCCAAAGAGGTGGATGTTCTCCTGAACCCACTCAAGCGCAAATCGCTGATCGTACAAACCTAGGTTTGAAACACCTCCTTCCGCTTGATACGAAGGACCACCCATCCAGCCCATAGCGCCAAGACGGTAGTTCATTGCAACATAAATGACGTCGCCATTGGTTGAGTTGCCGGACGCAGCAAATAGCCCTGCTGGGTTATTGTTTTTCTCGCCTCCTGTATAGCCGCCTCCGTAGACCCACACCAGAACGGGAGCCCCATAGCCTTGCCCAGCTTTGCTTAGCACGTCCTCGGGAACGAAGACATCCAGAAATAAACAATCTTCAGATTCGCGGGGATCCGGGACTGGAATTGGGCTGCTAGCGTTCGCCCCCGGTGTCGAGTACGATGAGTTAGAGGTAGGAAGACCGAGCACATATCTGGTCAAAGACTGGGCCGCAAGTGCATTCCAGCCTGGGGAAGCCTGGGGACATATTCTGTATATGTCAGTTTGGTCGTCTAAAGACTATAACCTCACAGCACCTACCTCGATACACTGCCAGTGTTGATAGTTGATCTGTTTTCTGCTGGAGCCTGAGGCGGTGCAAACCTCAGGTTGCCAACGGGCGGAGCAGCATATCGTATGTTGGAGAAGTTGTAGAAGTTGCCGGTATCCTGGATTAATTAGCAAGCCGGCATCGAAACCTAAAGAAGATTGACGAACGTTGAAACCTGAAGCCTGGTAAATCTCGTAGCCAAGATCGACAGTAGGCAGCGACGAGTTCTGTGCATAGGCAGCACCTATCAAAGCTGCAGCTGCGGCGAGTTGCAACATATTGGAGAGTTAAAATGAGATGTAAATAGGGCAGTTACGACGAGGTTGCCAACGTCTATATCTCCAGATGCCCGGGACTTGCAACGATGATAAGTCTACTTTTGTGCAAGGACAGCCCGTCAACCAGGTACGGGTCGAGCATCCATATATACTCCTGTCATTTAGCTTAGCCCAATGAGCAATATGTTATGCCTCCGCGGTCACGCAAAAGCCGCAGACATGTCCCGCCTTGCCCTAACGCAAATACCTCCACCACAGTAACCGTCACCGGAATCAAACCTGACTCCCGTGCCGATGGCTTTCCAAAGCAATACAAACGTGCGTCATCGCGGCGGAAGCCTCGGCGACTAGCGCTGGAACTGATTCGCTCGCTGACAACCAGCGCGAATACGATCAATACGTGGCCAGCTATGCATGGCCGTTCAGGAACCTGAAGTCTGAGGATATTCTTCGGACTTTGTATGTGCTCAGCTGTAGATGTACTTTGACGTTTGACAGGTGGAATTAAACTTTCAAGCTGTCGTTCGGCGTTCCGGTGAGATGGGACGGGGTGTCATCTCGGTTCTATGATGCGAGACGATCTGACGAGGATGTTCCCCGCATAAAGGATCCAATGCTGTCAGGGCGTTCTACCGAGGCATCTCGCTTGGCCGCGCAACTGTTTCCCTACAATGGCCTGGTATACTATCGCCCTGTCTACCATTGACCGCATAATACAAGCTGGACTGTGTAGCCCGGGCGAACTTTCGGCCGTCGCATTTCGCACGGGTTGATCATCTAGACGAAGATGTACGCATACGCTAAATACTGATGTCGCATGTAATCTGCGCGTAGACCCAGGCGCAGTTTGCAGCGTATGTACATACTTGACAGATCGTATGCGCTTTTCTACGTCGGTTGGCCTACCCTACGCTGGCCATACATCGTGAGCTATCGAGTTGTGAACTGGGATTCAATTGCAAAGGGTTCTGGTGATGACGTCTGTCTCGTCAACCATCTCAACAACAATCGCCATGAAACTAGCAGCTCGTCCTCAGCTACGCGGCATTCCAAGCATACCAGTAGTCATCTGTTGATGGCTTTCTGTGGCATAGACGTACTGCGTGTCGTGTTCATTGAGACATTACTGCTCAAGACTGTCACTGCGCTTACTCACTTACTCGGGATAGCTGCAGTTTATTTAAATTCGGAGAACATCTTACGTTTCGGAAATGTAAGCTAGCGTTCACTGCGAGTAGACGTTCAGAAGATTGAGGTGCAACAACAGAAACTCTCGAATTGGAAGAGAAGAGACGGGTATCAGGACCGTCAACGGAATGGGGGCGAAATCGTGCGTTCTTGACAGCACTAGAATGCCCTGGTGACCTCCACGCCATAACATATGCGATATGTCATGGTAATCCACTCGCTGTATCTTCTCATTCTAGCAAGGAGAGTATTCTAGTATACAGGATGAGAGAGCGTAAACTTTTTCTTTGAAGATGATTACTATAACAGCCCACGCGCACGACCATACGCTGTCTACTTGAACATCGGTAATCCTCTCGCGGTCCCCGATGCTCCTACGCTTTCTTGATACTGGAATTTGTGCACAAACTCCTTGTACGCAGCCTTTGAATATGTTTTGGGTACACCCATGGTCCTTCACTGTACGGACACTTCCAGAGCCAGCTACAAACCTACACGAAACATGAACCCGGCGCCATTTCCTAAAATTTGTCCAACTCACGAGGCAAGCAGGTTTCTAAAATTGACGCAAATCGACCCAGTAATAGAAAATCAGCTGCTGAAGAGAATGGGCAATGTCTCGCACTTATCGAAGGGCTATTTTCCTCCCTCAGCCTATCACTTCCACGATCTGAAGCAGCGCGTCCTCTTCAATGCTCACGCCTACAATGTACAATCCTCCACAAAAGCTGAACACTTCGACCTCATCACCTCCACTACATCAACCGGCCGTTTAGAGGGCGTGAAGTAGGCAGGCGCACTCGTAGTCTATTAAGATCCCAAGTTGCACGATTGAAAGACGCTGTGTAAGAGCAACCCTTATCCCACAGGGGAAGACGCTGTGTTTGAGGCCAATCATCGACTTGAGGATATGAGCACTATATTACAAAAGATGAATGAAGAAGATATATAGGCGCCAGAAGAGACGAGTGAACAAAAGCCTTCAACTGAAGCGTCAACGAAAAAGGAGAAGGGAGATGACGTGCAAGCCACAAAAGACAATCTCAGTCGCCGAACAAAGCTACTGTTGATTATGATGGCACTGGAAAAGCCGAAAAGGACAAGGTCAAGGTCGTTCCGAAGCAGCCAACCGCCCTCACTGATCGGACTCAATCTGAAGTTGCTACTATCATGCTTGATCTGAAGCGCAAGTCGGCGGTCGAGGACAATGTAGATCGCATGGAGGGTATAAGAACTGATGACGAGGAGCGTACTTTGTCGACGAGAAGAGGATAGACACAACTACCCAGTCACAGAAGAAAGCCCTGCCTAGCCCGTCGCCTATTCCTCCATCAAGTTGAAGCCTCCTCAAACTAAGAAGTAGCCTCAAGTGGCACATTGGTTCTGGGTTGGGCGCGAAGAAACATATAGGAAATAAATGGCGGATACGGTTGCTTTGACAGCGACGACGATCTGGGTAGGACGTGAGCCTGTAGGGACTTGGACGACACGATCGCCGCCACACCTGTGTACTCTCAAGTACTGGAGATTTTCATGAAGCAATCAACTGTGTTTCTTCATTTCCCAAACTGAATTACTGCTCTTCTGTCACCAGCATATACCATGACCATTGATGGTCTTCTCTCTGCACTCATAATTTCGCCTTTACATCTCCCGCACTGAACCGATAGACAACATCTTCGAATCCATCGGCAGCAAACACATACAGCCATACCAGATCCTCGTTTCCTTTGTTGAAAATCCCATGTTCCGCATCGCCCGGTATGAAAACGACTGAGCCCTTGTTGACTTCGTACTCTTGCTGATCGATACAAACAGTTCCACTCCCGGATATCACGTGATATATCTCCGCATGTGAATGTCGATGTAGCTGCAGAAATCCTGCATCACCCAGTGATTCTGGATTGCACAGAGATGGTACCGAAGGCCTTGACTCGGAAGAAGAGGAAGCCGTACAAGTCATCACCCTTCCTGGCGGGCATGTGGCAACACCCACTGTGAAGGTATCCGTCGCAGATTTCTCACCCGACATGAGAGTTTTCCACGTCACATTGCCTCCCGTACTGGGATCGGGAAAGCCTTCGGGTGGCATGCTGGCTATCCGTGCGGGATGCAGGACTAAAGGGTTGACGGGTCGCTTCGAGGTGGTGGAACGCATTGTTGTTTATGTTGTGTGACTTTTGTAGTGAAATCTCTTGGGAGAGGTTTATCTGCGGAGAGCGGGAGTGTAGCTGTGCATGTACATGTGCATGTGCACGAAAGGGACACTTTGATAAGGGTAGATGAGATGGGGTCACGACATCGCGGAGGAGCGGATGTAGGGATATACACATATATAGGTGTCTAGCTGTTCTTTCTAGTCTTTTGATGTTATGAGTATCTCGACTACTACGTCTTGTTGACATATGTATGTGGGTCCGGAGGGGTAGCTTGCTGTGCACACTCGGGATTGAAGCTCCGAATTCTGACTAGTTCGAAGCGTCAGTGGTCAATACCAAAGCAATTCAATCCTACCATTCTCGAGCCAAAACCAATGGTCGTTACCCTACAAAGTCCAGGCCTCCAAGAGACCCAAAGGCACATCTTTGTTCCCGTAGAAGCGTCAGTAACGTTTTGGGAGTTGGGTTTCTTCCTGCTTGCTTCGGACTGTCGTGAAAGCACTGCGACGACCCGGTGGCTTGGTGTTGTGCTACCGCATCTGCTGCTGTCAGGCCACATGGCAGTTGTCGTAGCGATCACAATTTAACCTTAACTTCCCACATATGCATACAGAGCACACAAGAAGACACGCAGAATTTATCTTGTTTGCTCAACAGGTTGCGATGAAATGGCTCGTTTTGTCGATTGGTTGTTGATGAATTCAACTCCACCATCTGTTATGCCCGGCAAGGTAACAGTGATTCAATGTGAGTGATGCCGTACCGAACATCTGGACATTAGCCACAGCGGGTAGTCCGGGTAATGATGTAAGCCGTTCGGAGCTTACTCGTACCTGACAGGGGCAGCTTAAAGTAACGTTTACGTAGGTTGGGCTGCCACGTGGTAAAGGCGACGAAGACGCAGCTAATAGTCCATGACAGAGCCAGCCATCAGAATTGGGCACTCCTACATGGTTCGCATGATACGCCTCTGTGTCAAGACGTCAACATGGCAGGGTTGGCCTTGTGGTTGATGTATGCTGTGCACGGTTACTACTGATACTGTACATGCGGTCTGTCGCAGATGCACACTGACGGCATGACGTACTACTCTGTAAACCATCCGCCTTTAGTGCCATGCACAGCAGCATCTCGACTCTATCAGTCGCGCGGAGATTGCACGATCGGATCGCGAATACACAATGACATTCTGTGATCGTACCGACGAGTCAAGCGATTGTCAGCACGTCTAGCGCGGCGAGTCGCCTCGTCCAGAAGCAATACCACTTAACTGGCCTATTCTTAGGCGGTCCGGCGAATCCACTGAGTTTCAGAGTGCGTCCCTCGTGGCCATGTGGCTTGGACCGGGCCTCGTACCATGCCCTGTCGTGTTTACCGATGGCCGAACGCTGGGATAAGCTAAGGCCAATCTGTTCTGCATCTCATCATGCGCATGTGCGTCCAATCTGACTCCTGACAACTCCACCTACCTTCTCGACGTCTTTCCCTACGCTTTTCTGTGCGACCAAAGGATGCTGCAGTCTTCATTGCGATAATGAAGTTTTTGACGTGGACGTGAAGCAACGAAATCGCGCGCTGAGCGCTGCCGCTTCCACAAGGCTGTGTTTAGCCTGGATTGGCCGATTGCGATGGCCATGGAGAAGTTTCAGCGAGGGCACCCAGCGCCCGAGCGGACGAGAAACCGATCTGGGACTATGACCGGGGACAAAGCCATTGCGAAGAAGAGATCGAGCTTGGGGAAGGCGGCGGGTGGCTTTCAGAGTAGATTCCTTGCGTCGCTGAGGAGTAAGAAGAAGAACGATGCAGATGAAGAGTTAGCGCCGAACCCCTCGAGGTACGTACTGTATCCCCTTGACCCTTGGATGCCACTGATCATCGCAACACAGCCCATTTCTGGATGCACTATTTCGATTACCGGAGGAGCTCCACATCTACATGCTGCGCGAGTTATGTGTCGCGGATCTGCTCGCTTTGAGAAGAGCGTCGCGTGTGCTCAATATTCTCGTTACAGAGAACGCACCTGCACTCGTGCGCTATTGGGTGAAGCATCGGCTCGGCAATCTTCATTTGCAACTTTACCCGGCTCCAAGACCAGACGCCATCGACTTTCCATTTTTACTCACCATGAGACGGCGGCACATAGCGTCTATCAGGTTGACACGGCAGCTTGCAAATCACCTTGTGGGTGAGCCGCAGGAACATAAGCAGCTGTGGACATCGGTGTATGAGAGAATGCTCCCACTAGTCTTTGGGGTCGGATATTTCTTAGATGAACATCGACGACTACTCTTGGAAAGAGATCTTGGCCATATCCGGCCACGCTCACGTATTGGCTACCATGTCCGTACGACAGGCGGTATCACAAACCAGGAAAGAAAGATATTGAAGAATCTGGATGCACCCCTGCGGCTACAATACTTCTACATGTACTGCTTCATTGTACAGGTGCTGCTCCGGAAACTACGACCATCAAGTCGTACCGGAGCGGTGGAAAAGTTCCTACGAGGGTGGTCCAACCAGCCGGCTTGTTCAGAGGACATAGCCTTCTTGCTGATATTGGGCGGTACTGGTCAGATAGCCAAACTCCTCGCTTGCCCAATGTACAGCGATCGGCGAAGATATCTCCTTGCGTACAGAACGCACATGTCGCCTCACACAAGCAAATGTTGGAGAAGACACTGGAAAGATGCTGGCGTGGTATCACCTGCGTTACTGGATGATATTCCCTGTACGCAGATCGGTATAACACAGCTCGATCAAATCTGGGTGCCACTGATAGCTCATATGATGGAGCCGGGGGCAAGGAATTTTACTGAACAGGAAAGGATACGCTACGAAGAACTGAAGATGTCGAAGAAGTTCATTAACGAAGTGATGGGCTATGATATCCTGCGAGGCCGCGCAGCTGACGGGGGCGAATCGGACGATGAACACGAGCCATGAGAAACGAGTTAGTATCGTACATGGCAAAACAAGACACTTTGTAGCGGCCAAACTCTGCACCTTCCTCTGCGGGATTTGACACATGTCGGTTGCCGTGCAATTTCCGCATTTTGTCGGTTGTTGAGGCTTGTACCTGCTGGCTTGGCTTAGTTTCTGCTTCACGATGCCACCAGTCAATGCCAGCCCACAGCTATTACGTACTGGTCCGGTCGGGTAGCGCGCTATGAATGTTAGGTGATCATGAAGGCCGACGGCAACTATGGACCCTGCATATGTCAACTAGAAGAACGTGTTGCATGCGAGCAGTTTCTGTTCGTGTCTAGCAGGAAGCTTGGCCTAGCATTCTATCGTGCTTGACTTTGGCGGGAGGGCGCTGGGCCTACCCACTTTGCTCTGGACTTGGCAACCCAAACCTCGGTCGCTGTGCATTCTACCATATAGACAAAATTTAATTGGATTAGGCGGGGGTTCTCATTCGTAGATGTGTATATTGCATTCCCCGGACTTTTTCTTGTGCAATTTTCCAGCGGCCGGGTAAGTGGCGGGTAAGAGAAGCAGATGCAGACGAGGCGGGCTCAGAGAGTGACCAGACCCTTGAGTGGTTGCCGCGCAGAGGCCGAGCAGGCAGGTCGTCGTTGGAGAGGACCCACTTGGTAGCTTCCATAGGCGCCCGTGCGTGTCTTCTGGAAAGCGTCGATAGTAGAGTGAGGTGGAGCAGGTTGCAAGGCTTGGAAGAATTGAGCCGATGTGACGCGAGGGCACAGCCAATGAGGCAGTCGGCGGACTTTGCCGCAGCGTCAATGAGAGCGCGGGCAATTACTGACGATGGAGTCGCTCCACCGCCATAGCTCGAATGAACATGGCGGAGTGGACGCTTGCGCAGCTTGCAGCTGTAGGATGAAGAGTCTGAGGGCAGCATGACAGAGGTACAGTAGTGGTTTCAGGCGGGTGAAAGTGGAAGGCGGAAGAGAGTCGAGGTGGAATGGAATTGTTCCGTGGCAGATTGGGAATGACGCGCAATGGACGTCTAGAAAAGCAAAGCGCAACGTTGAGGGCGCGCTGATCGGTGGTGGAAGAGGCAGTCGCATCCCATCTGGATCGGGAAGTGGCGCATGGTGGGCGTGCAGGCGCAACCGGAGGGCGATGGATGGGGCCAGGGCTGCAGCTGCGTCATTGGCTGTGCGTCGGGGACAGACAGACAGATGCCATATGCAATCCGCCATCACACGTCGCACCGTCCAAGGCACGCAGGATGCACAGAGCCCGCGTCACACCATCTGCCATGTCTGCGTCTCTGCATGCCTCTACACGGCAAGTGTGTGTGTTGTCTGGTAAAGACGTGTTGTGGCTGGGCGGCCAATAGCGCGCTGCTGATACTGACCGCAACAACAGCCCGCATTCACCCTGGTCGCAATAGCGTCGGCTCTTGCAAAGATGCTGGTCCGCGCCCCCCGTAATTGCTCCCAGGAATCGTCGCCAGTATGGGAGCTAGAGTCGCCAGGTCCTCGGCGCCATGCGTGCAGCGTGCCTCCATCGTCTCCATGGCAGTTCCATGCCGTGCAGAAAGCCAGTCGAGTCCTAGCGCTGCCCTGTCAGCCCGTTCCATATAACCCTTTGCCAACAGCCCCGGCCCAACGTTTGCGACCAAGACCACGAATTCCCCCATCCGAGTGCCACTCAACACCTTCAGCCACGGCACCACGCGACCTTGCCACCCCATCTGCGTCCTGAGACGTCTTGCTTTCACCACTCACAGCCCAACGAGCACCACACCAGAGCACCCCAGACCCGAGCAGCGCGGCAACTACTCCCCTCTGGGCCACCCACTGTCAGCTGAGCCACCATCTCCGACCCACCACGACACACAGCGAACACCATGAGACGATAGAGAGATAAGACACAGAGCAGGAACCATGGACTTTACGGTAAGTACCCGCGCGCTTATACTCGTCGGCGCACCCCCAGACTCGGCACACGAGCCCGTCTAACCCAGCCCTCCAGATCTCCCTCGCACACTTTTGCGAGACCCACGGTCCGACATCCATCATCTGCACCCAGGCCTCGACCTCGCCCTGCGGCTCCTGCAACCCATGTGTCACGCCGCCCTCCGAAGAGCCGCACACGGCCTACTCCTACAACGGCCTGTACGATCAGCCCACAACCCTCAAGCTCAACCCGCGCCTGCCACAGCTCACCTCGCCCTTCGACTCCCCACCCAACAGCCCGCGCTCCCCCACACACAACCCCTACTTCCCAAGCTTGCCCTCTTCCTCTGCCGGTAGTTTCGGCGGAAGGAGACCTAGCAGCACCATTGACTCCGACTCGGACGCATGTGAAAACTGCCAGATGGTAGTGCCCCAGAAGTACAGCGACAAGATCCCCAACGGCGCCCCTGGCAGTCCCACCAAAGACGGACGAGGAAGGAACGGTAGTCCTGTGCTGCGTAGCTCCCAGAACTACCCAGTGCGACGACCCATCTCCCGTGACGATGTCAGTAGCACTGATTCCTCCGATGTCTCCGATACAGAGCAGTCGACTTCTTTCCAGAGCGGCGCGTCCAGCTCCTTCCCAGATTCCATACCTCCCTCGCCAATGCTCGTGTCGAGGGGCATACACACCCACACACTGAACTACATCTCCACCAGTCAGCCGCAGTCGCCCAGCACCTACTCGCTCCTGCGCCGCACCTGCATTCGTACCTTGTCTACCGAAGTCCTTCCTCTCAGTAAACCTTCGGGCCCCATCATGTTTGGAGATTCGGTTGCCGGTTACACCATTGCCTACGTCTTCCGTCTGCAGGACCCGCGTTCGCGAGGAGCTAAGCGCACCTACGCCTTTATTGCCATGGCTGGTCGCGACTACCGGAGAGCCACCAAGGCCATGGTCAAGATCATCGAAGCATTCGAAGGTATCGCCAACCGCATCATCTCCCTGGCCGACAGAGTCCTTGAGCGCGAGAGCGCAGCGTCGCACAGTCTTTCACGTCCGACCACAGCAATTTCCGGCAGCACGCCTTCTCTTGGAACTTCCGCCTCTTCAATGCCGCCAAACTTTTCCTCGGGCCACAAGGAACGAACCTTTTCCACGGCAAGCACACCCAACTTCCGCAACATCACACCAGTCTCCTCCTTCCTGTCTGCGAAGAAGGTTGACCCGGATGGCTTTCCTCGTGTCTCTCGCGACGTGATGAAGGCAAAGAGCCTCGTCGAGATTGTTGGCCAGGAGAATTTCTTTGTGGACCTTCATGGCCTCTTCTGCCATCTTCTGCACTCCCTTATCAAGCAGTTCGGATGATCGCTTCTCTTCCATTGCTTTGCTCCGTTGATACGTTTTCTTTCCTCTTCTTTGCATGTCTTATTTGTCGCTTCTTGTCGTGCGTTATAGCGTCTTCGTTGTCCGTTACATTTTGCGTCCGAGCACAGGCGTTGGGTCAGGTGCGATTACTTCAAAGACGTTCTTGTCTAGCTTCGCCGCGTAGAGTTGTCGGAGCCGAAGTAGCTTTATACCCCTTTTGAGATACCCAGGCTTCTCTTACACATTAGAGACGTGGACTCAACTTCACAACGGCGTTTTGGGGCGAAGAACTGGGGATGAAGGTGAGGATACCATGTGATGATCATGTTAAGACATGATCATGAAATCGATGGCGTAATGGCCGCGATGAAATAGGTGATGGTGGTCTAGCTTGTTTGTAGAACGAATATGTACAATGCCGTTCGCATATTAGTTTGACGTGTATTGCGTGTTTGCTTGAGGTCCTGTTCCATTTCACGCATTCAGTTTGCGAATTTGTATGACAATATCGTGGCGCTATTGAGTGAAGATAAAGGTAGGTATGTTCTCTGGATCTATAGTCTAAGCGGGTGACATCTGAGAGTGAGATCAATCCATCAGACACTCCTCTCCAGGCAGACGCGCCTCAAAGCAGACGAGGCAGACGAGCAAACGTGGTGCGTGCTCTTTTTGGTTAAGCGCAGGTATGTGCAAGGCTGAGGTCGCCCAGGTGGAAACTTCGAGTAAGAACATTCTCAAATGCATGTATACTACACAGCTCGGTCAAACAGAAACACGACCTCACGATACAAATGCACCGAGTTCCACGGCTCACCTGCCGTGAAAGAATCCTTTCAACAAAATCGCTTATGCCTGCTCGCTCCACCATCGTCTCCGCATCATGCACGACACGCAAAGCTGACCCACATCTCTCGTTCCGCTTTTCGGTCCCAGTCCTGGATAAACATCCATCGAGAAGCATCGAGATTTTGCAGATCAAGCTACTTATGCTGCGTCATACCGGGTAAAGTCTCCTTGAATTGGGCGATGTGATGTCATAGGCATCCGAGATCGTTGAACAGCGCTTGTACAGAGCGCTTTCAGAACCAGTGATGGAATATTACGAGAATTTATGTCTCCGTGTTATTTGATAGGAGCGATTTCTCAAACTCAATAGATAAAGGTTGTTATGCCCGTAGTTCACGCGGCGTCAGGGCCAAAGCCAAGTTTAAGTGCCCGAAAGCCAAGTTTTTGGAGATTGGCAAACGATCTAAGATAGAGGATCGCATGGTTAGGGACATGTAAGGCTGCTGATAGGGCAGTTACGCTCGTCTGATGTGGCTGGTGATTCACCATGACGAGTTCCAGAATCGTATCCCGCTGCTTCCTATGTGAAGTCAGAGGTCCTACTTAAAGAACTTGATGACCCCGTGGCGCCATCATTACACGCTTCAACTCACGCTACAGTAATCACTACACCACTTAGCCACATTAGACTTACGCTGCGATCCGGATAACCCGACTTGTAAGACTCAGACCCTGGATCGTACGAATCTCCTGCTTATACTCGTCATCCAGACCTTTTAGCTTTCCATACACTTCACACGCATAAGACAAGATGAACTCCATTCCAGGAAATGCCTCGCAAGAACCAACCAGCAACGATACATCGACGACGGGTGTTCAGCAGAACCAAGCACAGCGGGAAGACTACCTCGACAAGGGTCTCGACGCCGCTGAAAAGAAGTTCGGGGGCGCCGCGGGTCAAGATACTGAGAAGAATCGGGGCGTTAACGAGAAGATTGTATGTTTTAACCTTGGCAATTTCCAGGTTGTATAAGGTTCAAGTGTTAACGGTTCTGCAGACCGATGGCGCTCGTAACATGTTCGAAAAAGCAACCGGCAAGGACGTCCCCGACAAGTTCTCCAACTAAGGAGCATTTGACATTCAAAGAAAGGATGCACAAGTTGGACGAAAAGTGGAACAAGTGCCGACCTTACCTTGAGAGAATTAACGGTGTGGCTGTTCCGCTAAGGCAGAGTTTCGATGAGCAGGACGCCGACCATCGAGAATTCCAGCAACAGGGAGTTCAACGACAACCGGTTGGGACGGCCCATTGATGAACACTTGAATATGTATTTACGACTTGTAATGAAGCTTGACGATTTCTCACTCGACGTTTGACCCTTCACATGCATCAGAGTGTGATGACACCCATGACGTCATGTCACACCGCCTACACGCAGCCGCTCGCTCTTTCTGCGCGGCATCACATCCTTTGCTCTATTCACCCATACTATAGTGTCACGTTCGCGCGTTTGATTTTTCGTAAGCTGCATGTTCCCAATAAAACCAAGCTTCAGCGGCCCGAAAAGCCAAGTCCTCTGCACGATTGAGCTAAGACGCAGACGATGCACTATACGTAGTCCTGCAACCATTTCTAGTATGTATCCGGCTTATCATGGCAACAGCGCAAGTGAGCGTACGTGGGACGATTGTCAAGGTGAGCTGACAGACAGCGAACGAGACGTCATGAGAGGCGCAGTCCTACCACGCGCTCCAATCTCCGCGGTCTAGACGCTCTATCATCTACCATGAAAAGTGGCTGTGCGATGTTCGTGACTAGCCTGAGCGTTCAATTGGCCCAGATTCCAAATCGATAAGGAAAAAGAATAAGTGATGGCTACTTAAGGTTTCACAGAACAAGGGTCCAGGTGAGGGAAGCATTGGCAAGCGCATAAAGAGCTTGCCTCTAACTCACGGCCCTTTTCGCAAGCTTGCAAGTTGACTCACCTCATTGTTTACATACCGTCTTCATCCACACAAAGTACTCATCCGCGCGACAATCAACATCCACTATCACCACTACACACGATTCATAAACCTCCCAAAACAAACCTAATATGAACAACCCAAACCAAGGAGGTGCCGCAGGAGGTGATGACTACCTCGACAAGGCCTTCAACGCAGGTGCCAAGAAGTTTGGCGGTGCACAAGGTCAGAAGATTGCTGCGAACCGTGGCATGAGCGAGAAGATTGTGTGTACCCTACACACTCCCCCATTTTGGCCATTTCGACTGCGCCAGTTGTGTTGAGAGGGAGCTAATGATATAAACAGACCGACGGCATGCGCAAGGCCTATGAGAAGGTCACTGGCAAGAAGGTTAATCCCAAGTACTCCAACTAACGTGGACTGCTATTTGCTCGGGTCCTCTGAAGTGCGGGGAACGAGGAGGCGATAAGAGACTTGGTTGTCTGGTCGGGTCAGCACGGCGCTGAGTAATTATGCAGCATGCGAGGGTAGTGTGCTGTCGGATGTGGGAAGGGCAGCCAGCAGAGAAGATGGACATGATACCCCAGGAATGGAACTAAAGGTTTACTTCACATACTAGTATGCGTTACCAAGTGAGACAAGGCTATGCCGTTGGCCAGGCACATGTATGTCGCGCTCTAACATCGGGCGCATTCGTCACCGTTCGTAGTCAACACCACAGATGCCTTTGTGACAGACTGGAATTCAACTATTGGATGATGGCTGATCTGCGGAACCCTTCCGGGAATTCCACCGCCCCAAAAGCATCAACTGGAAATCCACAACTTTAACCAGCCAGCTCAACCCTCCTTCTCAGCAATGCCCGCGCCTCCGTCTCACTCAGAAACTCCAATCCCAAGTCCTCGAGCACATCCCTCGCAGATTGGTTATCCGCAAAAAGACGCCTCTCCACCTCCCACAGCCCCAGTTCCCCTACATCAACCCCAGACGCGGTGCCGCGGGCGGTATTTGCTTTTTGCGGAGCATCATGGACCTCGTCACCGTCTTCTGCGTCCCAAGCCTCAGTATCCCAGTCCTCGTCTTCGTCGCCACCATCGTCATCCCGACCTTTTGCAGTATCAACCTGCGAGGCTGAACTACCTTTTACAGGTAACCCAACGATTTTGATGCCTTCAAGGCATTTTGCTAGACCCGCTTCTGCAACTCCTGTACCTACGTGCTTGTCTACGACGCGGCACACAGCGGCCAGATCAGCATGGAGCTGGGCAGCACCTTGCGTGGAGAATCGATATCGACTAAGCACATTCTCCCAGAGCGTGGTCGAAATGGTAGTCAATACGGCCCGAGTAATGCGACGCAGCGGCGCGGATGCTAGGGCGCGCGAGAGGAACGCTAGCGTGCTACGTAGGTAACTAAGTAATGGGTCGATTTCTGCAGTCGGGGAGAGTTCCGTGGCGTTCGAGGCTGAAGCGGAAGCGCCGCTAAGAGTTGCCCATGGGTTACTGTTTAAGAGGAAAAAGCAAAGTCAGTACGTAGGTTTAGGCATGTGGAGTTCTGGACCAACGGTGCAAGGGTCCAAAAAGGGAAACGTACATGTGCCGATACGGACGCAGCGCCTCACGGACGTTACTGTTTAGTGTATCGATGATAATCTTCTCACTACGTTCACGGAGGCGCGCGTACCACGATGCCGTTTCGTCAAAGAGTGAGCCACCATCGACGTCGTCGCTTTCAACGTTTTTAGACGTGCGTTCTGCCACATCGGCAACGCTCATGGTACCAATATTGCTAGTCTGGCCACGAGCACGATCTTGTAGGCCTTCCCAGATATCGAGGAAGAACTGCGGAACAAGGAGTTAGCTAGTGTTGGTGTCGTACGAGGATCATGCGAGTGAGAGCCTACCACATCGTCACTCCAGTCACGCATTGCCCGTTCAAGGTAGTCAGCACTACCATACGTCTTGCAGAGGCGCTCCAGTCCGTCGACGCCAAGCAGCTTCTCCTGCTCCTCCTTGGTCACACCGCCCATAGCGCGACCCAGTGACGTGGTCATGGATAGGTAGGCTTCCAGATTGCTCTGCAGCCTTTCATGGAGTTTGTCGAAAATGGCAATCTGAATGTCTATCAGGAAAGTGAGCTTCTGGCTGAAGGATGTCAAGGGTCTGTATCGATCTGCAATGCATTTTGGATTAGCGATAGATCTGGAAAGGAGGGGTAGGCGAGGACATGCCCGTTATGGTTTCGAGCAGGTCGTTGACGCGGATCGCTCCCTTGGTGGGCTTGGTGGCTTTGGGATCGACGCTCTCGTAGTCGAGATCACCAAAGTCTGGAGCCTCGACAATGTTCTGATAGCGAGACAGTGCGACTGCCGGATGTTAGCGATCCGAGATATGTAGCTGGGGCGGCAGGTCAACGTACAGTCCTTTTCCACCTGCAGCCACCGGCCAAACCAGTCGCCCTGAACAAGGAATTCCCATGACAGGCCCTTCCACCCGTCAACGCCATAGCCGCCGTCATATCCCCAAGTGTCTCTGATAGTCGTGTCAAAGCTCATCATCTCGTGCATGAGGTGGCTCAGCAGCTGGGGCTGGCCTGCGACCTTGGGCAGTAGCGAGCCAATCTTGGAGCGCAACATGGGCAGTAGAGCGGTTATGAAGGCGGACATGGCGTCGATGTAGACGGGGTTAAGCGCGAGATTTGTGCCCCGGAAGTGACGAAGTAGGACAGGTTGCACATGGTCACTAACGAATGCGCTGTAGTCGTTCAAAAGCGTGGTAATGTGAGTGAGAAAGTACTCGGGCCTATCGATGCGATTGGTGGGCTTGTCGCCGTCGAAGTGATAGCGGAAGCGCATCTCGAGCGGTTGCACGAGCACCTCGATGGGGAAGAGGACGGGCGGGAGTTTGATCTTGTCGCCCGCTCCGCTGGCATAAGTCATGCCTTGCAGCTCGGGAAGCTGCAGGTCGAGCAGCTTCACGATGGCGGTCTCCCATTCCTCGTGCAGCTGGCTGGGGACAGTGGCCTTGGGCGTGGGCCAGTGTATCTTCTTGAGCGTGCGGTCGAGGTCGGCGGAGAAGGCGTCGAGGATCTTGGTGCGCAGGGCGTGGGTGATGGTGTTGACGTGGTGCAGCAGCTGGGGAGCAGCGCCCTCTGCGTCGTCTTGCAGGTTGACGAGGCGGGTGTGCAGTGCGCGCAGCTGCTTGTAGGGCGCGAGGGCGGCTTCGTTGGACGTCTGGAGCTGGGCGTGGGCTTGTTTGCTGAGGCTGTCGACCTGGGTCAGCAGTTGGACGTAGCCATGGGCCACGTCGAGGCGGTGCAGCGTGTCGAGGACGTGTTGGAAGCGGGGCACGGCATCGTCACTCGTCTCCGAGGCGGTCATGACCATCAGGCGGCGGTCAATGTCGGCCTGCTCCTGGCTGAAGTGGTCGGCGCGCCGGGTGAGGTCGCCATGGTGCGAGTGCGACGCCTCCTTGGCCGTGTGTAGGTCGCGCTGAGCGTCGTCGAGCTGCTGGCGGAGCAGGCCATGCTGGGTGGTGATGTTGGCCAATAGGGCGTCGAGCTCGCCAAGATCCCCTGCGTTCTGGAGCTTGTCGTCGAGGAAGTCGGCGACGCGAGTGTGCTGGTTGTCGTCCATCTCGTACGATGGGTGAAATGCGTGGGCGCTGGCCTGCGCCTAGGCACGTCGCTACGCAGCTGTGGCGACGTCGGCAGGAGGGTTTGGGTGGTTCGTGCGGCCGCTCCCACGATTTTGTGGCGTCCCCGATCGATCATCCCAGCGATTCCCAGATCCCAAGAGATCCAACCGTGCGTCAGGCCACTATTGGAGAACATCCTTAATGCCAGTACTGCCGTGTCCTACGCCCCCCTACACCTCTGTACCGCTGTCTCAAAACCCCTCCGGCGGTCCTGTTCCGCGCAAGTCTATTTACTGCCCGTCCTGTCCTGCCCTGCACCGCAGCGAGAGCACCGCAGACCCTGCTCCCCGCCGAATAGCCGACCGCTGCGAACTTTTTTTGTGTTGCGCCGCTGCCGTCATCGCCAGCCGCCATGCCCAAGGAACACAAGAAACGCGGCCGCCGCGAGGAGCACAAGAAGCGCAAGAGGGACGTCGACGACGAAGCGAGCGCAAAGCGGGTCAAGAAAGAAGACATCGACCAGCTCGAAGCTGAAAACCCTGCGCAGCATGTCGCCGAACAAGACGTCGTCCGCCCGGATGCGACGCCCTTCTATGGAATGCTCGACGAGCACGAGCAGGAATACTTCAAGAAGGCTGACGAGATGCTCGAGCTGAACCAATTCGAGACCTCGGAAGACCGCGACATTTTCCTCGCCAGCGTCTGGAAGGAGGCCGACGGAAAGGAGCTGAAGATGGCCAACAGCCAGACGTCGCGCCTGCTCGAGCGCCTCATTCTTCTCTCCTCGCCAGACCAGCTCAAGGGCCTGTTCCAGAAGTTCAGTGGCCAGTATGTGCGCCCTCGCTCTTTCCGCATTCAACATGCTAACACATCGCAGCTTCCTCAACCTCGTCCAGAACCGATTTGCCTCTCACTGCTGCGAAGCCCTCTTCATACAAGCTGCGCCTGTCGTCACCCACGAGACTTCTATCAAACCCGAAAAACCTCAAACGCCGCCGTCTTCTGACCCCGATCAAGTCCTCGTTTCCATGGAGAATCTGTTCTTATACACGCTGGGCGAGCTGGAAGGTTACATGGGCTTCTTGATGACGGACAAATATGCGTCGCATGTACTGCGCGTGCTGTTAGTCATCTTGTCGGGCGCTCCGCTAGAAAAACAGAACAAATCCGCCATGCAGAGCAAGAAGAAGGAGAAAGTCACCGTTTCAGGCGCGGAGAAAGAGCAGGAACGCTTGTTGGAAGAGAGAGCTGTCCCTGAAAGCTTTTCGGAAGCTCTGGAGAAGGTCATTACCGAGAGTGTCTCCGGTATCGAGTCGCACTACCTCCGCACTCTTACCACACACCCACTCGGTAGTCCCACCCTACAACTATTGCTCAAGCTGGAACTTTCCCACTTTGGCAAGTCGCGGGCCAAGGATGAAAAGTCCATCATCCACCGACTCCTGCCCGACAATCCTATCGCCGAGGGAACGGAAAGTGCCATCTTGATCAACGGGCTGGTGTACGACACTATCGGTTCCCGACTACTGGAAGTCATCATCGAGAATGCGCCCGGAAAGGTCTTCAAGGCCATCTACGGAGAATTCTTCAAGGAGCGAATGGGTACGCTAGCACGCAATGAGATTGCGGCCTATGTGGTTGGAAAGATCCTGGAACGACTTGGAAAGGACGACCTAGAAGAGGCTATGCGCCAGATCGTGGACCAAATCCCCAGTCTGGTGGAACGCGGTCGGACAGGAGTTATCAAGACCCTCATCGAGCGATGCGTGGCTCGAGAGATTGACTGCTCGCCTATCAAAGCTCAGCTCGAGACTGCATATGCTGGCTCCAACGGCTTCGAAGTCACACGTATCCTCAAGCTCAGTGAGGAGGATGGAAAGCCCCGTGCTAAACACGAGCATTCGCCAGAAAAGGTACACGGTTCACTGTTGGCACAAACCATGATGACGGTGGATGGACCTCTTGGTCAGCTTGTTTTTGATTCCCTCGCCAATCTTTCTCCTGAACTCGCCGTTCAGCTTGCCCGGGACTCTACAGCATCGCGGACGCTGCAAGCAGCCTTGATGTCTAAGAATGCGTCCGTCATCTTCCGACGAAAGATGATACAACAGTTCTATGGAAAGATTGGTGAGCTTGCACTCGATCCTGCCGCGTCTCACGTCATCGACGCCATATGGCACGGTACAGCTGGCCTTGCCTTTATCCGCGAGCGCATTGCTGAAGAGCTAGCCGAGAATGAGAACTCGCTACGCGAATCCTTCGTAGGCCGCGCAGTCTGGCGAAACTGGCGCATGGATCTATACAAACGCAAACGCGGGGATTGGGTCACACAATCGCGTTACACAGCCGGTAACGATGGTTTCCAAAGCTTCCCAGAATCAAATGGCGATGCGACACCACCACAAAACCATCGACAGGGAAGACACTTGACCGCCATCGAATTGGCACGGCAAAAGCACGCAGCTGCCAAGGCCGCACAAGCGAAGGATGGCAAGAAGCCGAAGAAGGGGAGCCAAACAACAAGCAGCAGTGGAAGTAGCAAGGCAAAGAGTCTTGCGGCGCAATAACAGTCTCACCAAGATTCCGTACAAGGATTTTCTATGTTTAGCACGGTTCCTGAACATATGGGCATGTAAAAACGGCGTTTTTCAAGCAGGGTGGGTCCTGAGTACGCATTTTTCTGATTCGACGACTCTAGATACCTTTTAGTGGCTTATTTGCATGAGAACCTTTTCGCGTTAGGAATGTGGGCTTATACCCCGAGTAGACACAATCGATGACTCCATGTTCGTCATTATTCCAAGTCGGCGATAACGCCGATCTCTTAGCAATCCTACTCGTAGACTGTGACTTCTTTTACAGTCATCTTACATCTAAATACCGACACAACTCAATACTTTGACACAACCCACGTCCTTGACAAAACGCGTGCACCTTCCCGTAACCTGTGCAAACTTACCTCGACATGTCTCACACACAGCAAGAAAAACCACTCAATCGCGCTGACGAGGTCAAAGACGTACGTACTTCGGAAGTGCATTCCGACAATATTCCGAAATCGCCTGAAGTCACATGGCTCATGATCACATCATCACATACCAATCAAAGTTCAAGGTCAGCTATAGAGATACCTGCTAATGACATGAACAGCTTCTCGACGCCGTGCAAGAGCTGATAATACCCTTTATTCGCTCTGCAGACGAAGACGCAGCGACAAAACACACAGGCCATGGACTGAAGATCGAAGGTGGCGGGCCTAGAACCGCATTAGTGGAGCATCACCCACCTAAGAAGCTCGAATCCATCCTCAAAGAAGAGCTGGAAATCAAGGACGAAAGAGCCGGTAAAGATGGGCTGGTGAAGCTCGTGGGAAGTGTTTTGAAGTACTCCGTAAACACATGGGACCAAGGGTTCCTGGATAAGCTGTACGCAAGTACAAATGCTGTGGGAGTAGTCAGCGAACTGTTATTGGCGGTATTGAATACCAACGTATGTTTTGTCCTTTGGATTTCATAAAGGCGGCACGACTAACAACCATCAGTCACACGTATACCAAGTCTCGCCTGTGCTAACACTTGTTGAAAAACGCACTACAAAGTATCTAGCCTCACTGTTTGGCCTTCCTTCCTCGACTTCAGGAGGCATCTCCCAACCAGGCGGCAGTGCATCAAACAGCGCTGCCATAGTAATTGCCCGCAACAACCTTTACCCCGAGACCAAAACTGATGGCAATGGATCCCGCAAATTCACCATCTTCACGTCAGCCCACGGTCACTACTCGGTTGAGAAAGCAGCCAACCTCTTCGGTCTCGGTTCCAAGAACGTGATTTCCGTCCCTGTCGACGATCGAGGCTGCATCATTCCCTCTGAATTCGAGCGCTGTGTAAGAGAAAGCAAAGACCGAGGCGAAACACCCTTCTTCCTAAACGCAACAGCCGGAACCACCGTCCTCGGCTCCTTTGACCCCTTCACCGCTCTCAGCAAGATCTGCAAAGAACAAAACCTCTGGTTCCATATCGATGGCAGCTGGGGAGGAAGCGTAGTTTTCAACGCCCAATACCGCGAATCACGCCTCAAGGGCGCTGAACTCGCCGACAGCATAACCATCAACCCGCACAAAATGCTCGGCGTGCCCATGACGTGTTCATTCCTTCTCGGCCGCGACATGAACACCTTCTACCGCGCACTTACGCTACCCGCTGGCTATCTTTTCCACAACGCACCTGGTACTGACGCAGCGGACATCTACGATCTTGCTGATCTGACACCTCAATGCGGTCGTCGCGCTGACTCGCTCAAGATGTTCCTGGCCCTTCAATACTACGGTGCGCAGCACTTCAGCGACTTGGTAGCCCGTGGGTACGAGAACGGAGAATATCTTCTGAGCAAACTGAAGGAGAGCGGCAACTTCAAGACGATCAGTCCGGAGCCGCTCCCGTGTCAGCAGGTGTGCTTTTACTATGCCAAAGGAGGAAACCTGGGGGATGAGGTGGACGCCAATAGTAAGGCGACGACTGAGATTGCCAATAGACTTATCAGTAGAGGGTTCATGATTGACTTTGCCCCTGGGGAGAAGGGCAAGTTCTTCAGAGTCGTGGTTAATGGGGGGTTGATCAAGGGGACGCTAGATGGGCTTGTCAAGGCACTTGAAGAGACGGCCACAGATTTGGGGTATTAGACAGGTTGATATGACAATGGAAATTGTGGAGGTCAGCAGAAGGCAGAAGAACAAAGATACCACATCTGGAGTCTTTATGCTCCACGCGTGAAGCATTATGTATTACATCATCGAAAGCCATAAATGGCAGGATCGTACAGTTAGGACACACACAAGTCTGGTAGAAAACTTGATCCGGAAGCATTCATTCATTTGATATCATGTTATCTATGTTACATGACGCATGTTTTTCGTGTCCATACCCGTAGGATGTTAACGTCAGAAATGATCTTCCACGCACACTTGTGTAGCACTAGGCTGCAGGTACATCGGCAAGAAAAATGGCAAAAGTGATGAGCGCGCAAACTTGCTTGTTGGAAGATGCATGTCGCAAGATGCAAGTCGCAAGATGCAATCCGCAATATCCTTCCAACAATGTGTGCTAGCTCCATTCAGCACGGCTAATCGATCACACCCCAATAACGCTCAGAGTTGAAAGTTGACGCAGAGTCTGCCTTCCAGCCCGAGTCAAAGGCGCTGAAAAGGAACATGTCGCTGTTGAAGTTGGAGCGGATCGATTCAAGAGCGATACGCTGGTTGTCGGGTGAGGGGATGGCCGCGCCATTGGCATTACCTTCGCGAGGCCAACCAGACTCAGTAACGACAACACGCTTGTCATCGCAGGCAGATTTCACACGCTCAACTTGGCTCTTGACAAACGTACCGGCATCCTGAGCCTTTGTATTCCTGTCGAAGAAGGCGTGAATGTTGACCATGACCACATCTGCAGCACCACAGATAGCAGGATTATCCATCATAGCAGGTGCAGTCTCGACTGCGCCCACAAGTCCGTTGTAACCGAAGCTTTGTAGCTGAGTGCGAGCACGACCAATGGCGTCAACGACTTGCGAGGATGTCATTCTGTGCTCGTTGACGCGCTCGTTCTCGACTGCGAAGAGTTGGAGAACATCCCAATTTCCGCCAGCATACTGATCGATAGCGCTCTTGTAGGTCTGAATGACCTGGTCGAGGTCTTCGCCGCCACCGCTAGTATCCAGAAATGCGCCGCCCATGAGCTTTTGACCGTTTTTGATGGCGTTCTGAATTGCAAGCGGAATCTGGTTGCAGTCCATCCCATATATTCGGATCACTTTGTAGTCCTTCATCTTACTGAATTCACTGGCGAGTTGATCCGCACTCTTGCAATTGGCGGACCCAGTGTAGGCATCCCAAGTTATGCCCAGAGGCAGGGTACCGGCAGCGGCCTTGTCGACAGGAACATCACCAGCTGGAGCTGATGGCTGAGGTACGGGCTCAGGCTCTTGTGTGGAAGCAGGCACTGCAGATGGTACTTCGGAAGTGGTAGAAGGGGGCGCCTGTGTCGTAGTCGCATCCTGGGCACCGACAGCAGTAGGTTCCACTGAAGGTAAAACGAGTGTAGACGATGGCCATTCGAATGAGGTAAGTGAGGGAGCTGGACCTGAACTCGAAAGCACTGCCTCGGCTGTAGATGTGGCTACAGTTACAGAGGGAGAACTGGTGAGTACCGTCGAAGTTGTGGTCCAATAAGGCGCGCCCGCCTCGTCGACGTAGACAATAGCTTCGGCGATCGTCTCGGTGACGTATACCACCTCGGTGACGAGCTTACGTTTGTGGTCTATAGCTTGTTACGAAAAGGATGCGCTGCTAATCGCTCTCGCAACTTACAGAGAGGACGTCCGCTCGCAGAGCTCACAAGAAGACTTGCAGCTGCCAGAGCGCTCGCTAAAACGATGGACTTCATGGCGATGATGAAGCGAGTGTTATAGAATGTCTGAGCTGTATATACAACGTAAAGGTGTTGTTTGTGGAAATGTTGTGGAGTGTTTGGGTGAGATTTGGTGAGTGAAGCGCAGCGCAGGTATAGGTATGAGAAATGAGCGACTGACTGCCTGCAGTTGAAGGAATGGAAGAGGGTCGATTGTGAGAAGCCACGAGCCAAAGGCAACGGTAGAGACTGTATCCGGCGTGAAAGAGGAAGCGCAGCAGGTGATGTTGACGACTATGCGCTGTATCGGTACTCGTACCTGCCTACGCTAGCGTCTTTCGGGCTGCACCAGCGCCATTGGGGCAATGACGACAAACAGCGAAGAAGATCTTTCTGCAGGGACCAGATATCATGGTCGCGACTGCCTTTAATGAGGAGATGCGGGGTGAAACGCGGACTGGACTTAGAGTAAGGAACATGGGATGAAACATCAAACTGCCTCAGGCGCAGAACTACAAACATCTCAACGAGTAGGACCAAGTGGAGAAGGAAACAATTTAGGTCAGAACAGGCAGCATAATTCAGAGCTTGTCTGGCGAGCACGTAGCTTCTCAGGACTAGGATGCTGAAAAATGTAGTTGCGTATCGAATCAAGTCATGAAGAAGCGCAGCCAACACGCCAATACATGAATATTTACAGACATGTGTATGGATTAAAAATAAAGAACAGCGACATGAAGACAGAAATCGAGATTCGCCAAGCCAGGCCACTTGGTTGTACGTTTGCATATCCGTTTGTACACAGATACAGCTTCGGGAGCATGCGATCGTGCTGTGGCGGACGTAAAATGTCTGCTATAAGCAAGGGTCTTTGGTATTGCCATTTGCGGTGAATGCTCCAATCAATCTTTGGTGAAGTGAGACGTTGGCGTGTGGTACTAGTCTCTCGTCCGTGAAGAACAAGAAGACAGTAAGTCCATCGATTGTGTGGGCTGTTGCTGAAAAGTGAAAACAGAATGAAATCGGTCCGAAGAGATAATAGGGGATACAGTACGGAGGAAGTGATGTGTTGTGGAATGCATCGCGACTTGAATGAAGACTACTGCAGGCGAGAATCTAAGAGTGATGCTGTCACATACTCACACTGAATCGAGATGTCTGTCGTTTGTACGCGCGCTCACAATTCGTGACTGGATAATAGCATTCTGAAGATTTTTGAGCTTGCAGATGGAAGATGCAGTCCCAAGGAAAAAGAACAAAGGATCAAAGAGCTAGACCAGACGATGTTACGCACTTGAAACCAGTTGGAGACGACGCCTGGCATGACTGCATCATTCACAGGTAAAGTGAGGGTTTCTAGATGCGCATCGATGAACCACGCATACGTTGCGATCAAATGACTGTGTCGTCTCTTGTTAGATGATCTATAAACGTCGTCGGCGGGCACTGAAATGTGGACAAGTAGGCCTGCAGCCTAGAACGACCCTGATAACGGGGCACGTGTGCCGCCACAAAGCTGTCAACCCTCCTAGAAATCAAGCGCGGGGCATACACCATCTCCCCTCCTCCACCCCTTTCCGTGCCTCAATGCGCGTTGACTACCTGCCAACTCGAGACGCGACAAGACCACAAGTTGGACCACGAGAGTTGCGCGAATGGAACAAGTCGCACGACTCGAGCGACGACCGCACAGGCAACACCGCAGGCCCAGCTCTTCAGTGTTCATTGCAGACCGTGGGTTTCGCCGCCTGCACTGGCCCTCGCTTCCATTAGCGTTGACGTCTGGCGCCGACCTCGCACGCGTCAACGACGGCTTTTACTCAGTATATATATCCAATATTCGAGAAGTGCTAATGTGCAGTGCGAGGATTTGTACGAACTCATTTCTTGCCTTTTACCAGAAGTGACCGCGAGTCCCGCACAACACTGCACTTACTCAATCTTTGGAAAACATTCACCCGTCGTGGGTTCGAAACTCTGTTTTTGCCATTTTTTTGCCCGGTCTTTCTTGTTCGCACATGCAAGAGTCACGACCGCTCTAGTTCAATAAGGCTAGACTGGCTACTCTCTAATTCACTTACAGTATTTGAGTGTTTTTTTTTGAGTATCGAAGAATACAATCCAGCTAAATGATCTGAGGCTGTCTTTATGCTTGCAGTGTCACTGGAGTTACTTATTCATTTTGTACTCGTGACTACCTCGACCTGTTCATGTGTGTCTTTCGCACAGCTAGTGAGAAGGTATAAGCGTCCGGTCGCTGACCAACTGTATGTGACCTTGAGATCGATGATATCTCCGTGACCGACCATAAACTTTGAGCAGCAGTGCTTGTCAAACACCGAGGCGGGACCAAGCGACAGAAAAGTTATAACAGGGCTCACAACGAAGGTGCTTCCTGCATTTCCGTCCTACGTGAGCAAGCGGGAGCCAGGCTACTTGCCTTGTGAGACGTACTGAGTGCTGTGACGGGAAGCAAACATATGCCAAGAGTCAGGAAAGGGAGACGACGCGAAGTACTGTATCACTATGTAAGCTGGGAAGACGTCGAGAAGAACATGAGCCTTATGCATATCTCTAGATGTCACTAAAGATGTGAACCATCAGCTGCGGTGATCACAAGCCGAGAGTAGTACTAGAAGGGTAACCCGAATAACACTATCTGTACAACCAATCGAATAGACCGCCGAAGTCTAACACTTCATCTTGATTCCCCTCCTCTTCTCTTTCTCCCTCCATTCGAACATAAACTGCACACCGGTGAACAACGCGCCACAAGCCGTAGCAAGGAACATCCAGCCAGACCATGTCCCCACAATGCCACGAACCAAGTCCTTCAGGCCGTCAACTCCTAGCGCAAAGCCAACGAGGTTGGCTGTCATGAGCATCAAGATCTCAAATACAGCACCAACACCGCATAGCCATCGATACGCATCCGGGCTACTTTTCCACTTCCTCGCGGGGAAAATGTACGAAGCGACAATCTCTGGGAGGACGAAGAGCGTGACAAGCCAACCCCACATGAGTAGTCGAAGCTGAATGTCGTGCCAAATTGCTATAAAGGTAAACACGGCGAGATAGTTTCCAATTGACCTTGCCTTGCCCCACATGCCTTCGCCCCTGTTACCACCCAGCGGGATATAGAGATATCTCAAACTCCACTTATTGAAGCTGCGGTGCCACCCACGCCAGAAATACATGACGGAGTAGTTGTCAGACATGCATCTGACCATGTTCTCGGGAGGGTCAATGCCATCCATCAGCGACCAGAGACGGAAAAAGCGCCATGGGATGAGAAGCTTGAGCCAAATGTGCTTCAGGTTGAAGAAACCCAGCATACTAAGCTGGGCTGGTGTGTACTGGGACCAATCGGGTCTGGCATGGAAGATGGCGACCATGTACATGTAATGAATCATGATTTCCATGGTGAGCAAGACAACAATGAAACGAACAAGGTAGAGGGTGGTTCGCTTGGTAGTGATGCTGTGAGGTTTGTATCGGCATTGAGCGATGTAGTCGTTGAAAGTAATGATGGGCCCAGCGAGGTAGAGGGGCGAGTACATGGCATAGGCGAAGTAGTTGCGGAACGTATAATCAGTAGGTTTAGCGGGTATAGTGACTCGGTCCCGCTCGGAGAGATTGGAAGGGTCGAGTTGTTTCTTCTTGATGTTATTAGCCATATCGAACTAAGGAAGGGTGGGTAAAGTACTTCAAGGGGACTACTAGTGCGGGTGTTCAGACTCCAGTAATAGTCAAGATTGAAGCTTATCAAGCGAAGAATGGTGAAGTTGAAAAGGACTTCCCAACGGGGTATCAGACCGCCGTAGCTGTCCAGAGTGTGACCAAAGTTGGATGTTGGCTCGCCTTTCTCGGACACAGTTGATGGGAGGAAAACCCCGAGGATATTGGCGTATGAGTATCCGTCCGAGAACTCGTTCGCAAACAAAGTGCCTACATTGAAGATCCATGTGGCAGCTGGTACATACTGCCGCGGAAGCTTGGTTCCGATACAGTAGTTAGCATATAGAATGGCAAGGATCTTGAACGCAGAAAAACCATGCAGAGCAGCAAGGAAAACGGCGGCAAAGAGAAGGTCGAAGGAAACGCGTTGGTTCATGCGGGCATCTGCTGCAGCACTGGGAGTCAAGCCCATGGTAAGACCTCCAATGGCTGATGAAGAGCGGACTTGAGTATATGTGTCGGCCCTCCAGAACGAATCATAGGCCTTGCGCAAGATAGGATGAAGCACAACAACGATGAAAAGATAGGGAATGTTCTGACGGAAACCGCCATATTGAGCGTCAGTGTTGTCCTGGAAAGTCAGCCTATGGCATGTGATAGCTAGTGATGTGACATACCACTCTGCGTCCAGGAATCCAACCATCAGACAATAGATGGTCGAACTTTGGATAGTTTGGGTGAGATTCTACAAACAGTCAGAATGATCTACCCTCTTTCTGCTATGCTGTACGAACCTTGAGACACATCTAGCACCAACTTGAACATAAAGAAGACGCTAGTCAGAATGACCACGTAGTAGAAGTAGAATTCCGGCGTGTTCCATAGTGGGGGATGGCTTCTGTTTTCTGGGTCCTTGCTCCCGTTTCGACCATCTTTGACTGGTACGGGCCCCGCGGGATCAAGTTTGGCCTCCTCGAGCGCCTCTTTCGGGGGTGAGGTGGCTGGAACAACGAAGCGTGTATCAAGGGTGTCCAGCGAGTAGAGCTGGCGAATGAAATTGAGCACCATTGTATTACCTAGACTATCTTTTCATCTTCTGATGTTTGAATGGCTCTGCATGTGCGTCGCTGACTTATGCGAAGTGGAGGCGCGGGGGACAGGTGCGGTGACAGAGGCCAGGCAGGTCCGCAACCTCGACTTGAACTTTTGGAGTTCGCGTCTGGCGACAGCTACGCTCCAACACCAGCACCCGGCCCCCCAACCACAACGCCCAAACAGTCCCAGAGACAGACAATCACGCGTCAATTAATCTCTGACTATACCATCAAACTTTTACCACGATTTGCGCACTCCGATAATCGCGCGCGATGAACATCCCCAACGCATCGACCGCACCAGCTGCGGGAGAATATGCTGGAGGTACGTGAAGCTCTGCGAAGCTTCATGGACAGCGCATACTGATTGATGTGTGTAGATGAGGTCTCCGCGATCGTTCTGGACCCCGGATACTCGACCGTACGCGCTGGATTCGCCGGCGAGGATGTGCCCAAATCCGTCTGCCCTTCCTTCTACGGCCAGACTTCCTCAGGCGAACACCTCTTTGGCGAGAATGCGATACATGCACCGGTCGGCGGCCTAGATATCAAGAATTACTGGGGCTCGGATGGCATAGTAGAGGACTGGGATACTGCGACCAAGCTGTGGGAGTATGCGATTACGAGTCGACTCACCGGCGCAAAAGCGACCGACCCTACGAAAAACGGCCTGAACGATGGAAACGGCGAAAACGAAAACGAGGAGGGTATGGACGTGGACATGGACGCGTTAGAGAACAACGAGAAGCCTCTGGAAGACAGCCCGCTACTCGTCACAGAACCAGGCTGGAACAGCGCAAAAGCACGGGAGAAGTACATTGAGATTGCCATGGAGGACTGGGGCACGCCAGCTTTCTTCCTACAAAAGACAGGTGTATTGGCTGCTTTTGCATCGGGAAAAGCGTCAGGTATCATCATTGACGTTGGCGCGTCGCATACATCGGTCACTCCTGTACTCGATGGCATGGTGCTGCGAAAGGGCGTACAGAAATCGCCTTTGGCAGGAAACTTTGTTTCGGACCAGATACGAACGTCATTCAAGCAAGCCCAACCCGAAGTACCACTGACACCACACTACATGGTCAAGAGCAAAACGCCCGTCGACGCCGGCCAACCCGCCCAAGCAACTTACAAGACCTTCGAGACGCCACCCACCGACTCGTTCCGCCTGAACGAAGAAGAGCGCATTCTCACGTCCTTCAAGGAGTCGGTTGTAGAAGTCTGGCCCGGCCCCGGTCGCTTCAGCACGAATGAAGAACTCGCAAAGAGCATGCCTGGTCGACCCTTTGAGATGCCCGACGGCTGGAACCAAGTCTTTGGAATCGAGAGGTTCCGTGCCGCTGAAGGCCTCTTTGACCACAGCGCCGCGCTCGCTAGCGAAACCATGCCCGCGCCGAAGCCCGAGCAGACGATTCCAAGACTTGTCCAAGCCGCAGTCCAACAAGTGGACGCAGACCAGCGCCCTCTTCTCCTCTCCAACATTGTCGTGACGGGTGGCTCAACACTCCTTTACAAATTCAACGAACGCCTCAACTACGAAATCAATGCCATCTACCCTAGCACCAGGAACAAGCTCATTGCACCGGGTAGTGTGGTTGAGAGGAAGTACGCAGCTTGGATTGGCGGCAGTATACTGGCTAGTCTGGGAAGCTTCCACCAGCTGTGGATTTCAAGGAAGGAGTACGAGGAGCATGGTGCTGGTATTGTCGAGAAGAGGTGTCGTTAGACAATATAAAATATAGACGACGAGTACACGATGGGAAAGGACGTAGATGCTCGACATGTTGCCTGCAATGAAGGCCTTGGATCCATTCTGTTTTGTTAGGTAGCGTAATACTTCAAAGATGCCATGACTGAACATTGTCTTCATTTGATACTCGCTCTGCATGTCTGAAATGTTCATTGATCGTCATCATATTGCCTTGTAGCTATTCGGCTGAGGTGGTCCGTCTTGAACCCCGTTTCGGTGTAATAGTACACATTCATGTTCGTAACGCCATGTCACCTACGCACCTCCTACGAATCTATGTCCATGGTCTCGGCCGTTGCAGCTACATCGCCATCCTTGAGCTCATGTACGGTAACGTATTTGCTGATCTCCTCCTTTGTGATGATCTTCTCGTTCAGCACCGCCGTAGTTCCCCGCTGGAACTTGTAGTTCCTCTGCTTGGGCTGTCTGGTGTTTGGTGTCTTGTAGTTCCTCATCAATGTGGTCTTCTCCTCTGTGATGACCGCCACGTCCACGTTGCTACCTGAACCCAGATCGTTCCAGATACCTGCCTCGATGGCGTTTGCGCAGAGTGTGACGGCCTCCTCCCTTGTCAGGTTTTGCTTCCACTGTGTCTCGAAGACGGACATGGCGGCCAATGAACCCGAACCCATGGTGACGTACGGCAGCTTGTCGGTGGAGCCGTGGGCGTGGACGGTGAAGAGATGTGCGCCGGTGGGGTCGACGCCTGCAATGACGAGGTAGGCGCCAATGTGACCTTGGTGACGGAACAGGTGCTGCTTCAACATGGTCATGCAGGTAACGACGCGGGGCTTGCGGCCGGTGGAGAGGGCGTGGAGTTCGAGGTTGGAGGAGATGATGGCGGTGGTGAACTCGGTGTCTGCGGCGGTACCGGCACCGGCACACCAAATGTGAGGGGAGATGTAGTGGAGTTTCTCGCAGTTCTGCAGCACATGTCAGACCTATGTCCACGGTGATTGCTGCGTCTCTGGCAGGGACGAGCCTACCTTGTCTGCTACGATGGGGCCGCTGGTGGCTCGTGTGTCTGCTGCGATGACCACGCCGCCGTCAAAGAGACATCCGACAATGGTCGTTCCTGTGCTCGTCGCCTTGGGCAGCGGGATGCCCTGGGCGTGTAGGGCCGCATTGCGGTTGTGGTTGGAGAAGTCGAAGCCGCCCATGGTGTTGTTGCGAAGCTGCCGGTGGAGTCGTGGGGGTGTTTGGTGCAGAGACGCCGTGCAGCTTGGTGTGTGTGTTGATGGCGCGAGTCTGGTCCGGGAGGTTGTGCAGGCGGCGGCGGCGACGGTGAGGTTGCGTAGCTGTCGTGCCTGGAGCTTGGAGGTAGGCTTGGCGCGGCCATGCAGCTCCACTAGCTCGGGAACTTTCTCAGAACAACAAAGCGCGTCGCTTCAAAGTGTCGAGCTAATGGTCGCATGCTTGTCGCTCACTGTCCAGAGCGCCAGGCACATCCTCCTTACATCACCGCCGTTTCAATAGTCTTGTACTCTTTGGAACGCCTTCCGCCTAGCCTATAGCGGCCTGTTTGCTCTTTCCCAAAACACATCAACCCTGTTCACGCGCGGTCGCGCACGTTCTCCGATGCATATATGAATAAGCTGAGAACTCCTACGCGCGACACCAAGCCGAGCCTCCTACGCGCCAGAACCTGTTCGGCCTGCAAGTCTTGCAGAATGTCTAAGATTCCCGCGCCGGCTGTCGAGGCTGGGCCTGAGGTGGCAGAGGTCGAAACTGAGGTAGCTATAGCTTGCACCACACCGACATGCGACAGCACTGACTGACAACTCCGCAGCATCTTGGCTTCAAAGTCCTCAGCCAAGGCAAACAAGGCCCCAAGAAGGTCAAGATCCTGCCCCATCCATGGCCCACCGACAGTCTGCCTCCCGCTTCCGCCAACCTGCTCTCTGTCGCCTCCAAACCCGGTCTTCTCGCTGCCGCCGGCCCCAACGCCCTCGTCATCACATCCACAGACACCTTGCGCAAAGCTTTCCAGAACAAGACCATCGCCGATGCCATCGAGCAACCCGATGATCCGCGCCTCGAAAACCGCGACATTGATGTAGTGGCAGATTACACACCCGACATCACCATCTCCACTTCCAACCTACGCCATGTCGCATTCTCCGCCGATGGAGACTTTTTGGTCACGTCCGATGAAGCTGAGGGCGGTGTGGTTATCTACGGTGTTGCGGATGTTGTCAGCCGAGGCAAAAGAGATGCAGACAACAAATTGGCAACCGACACGACTATTCGAGCACTCCTCCCGAACCCCTCTCCTGAGTTTGAACAGTACTTCGCTATCGTCCTCGATTCCGGTAAGCTCGAGATATGCGACGTGGGAAGCGGTGCCAAAAGGACGATTCTAGAGCACGATGTCATCTGCGCCGCTTGGAGCGCGCGCGGAAAGGCTGTCGTCTCTGGCTCCACTGACGGCACCTGCGCTATACACATGGCCAATGGAGAGCTCAAGGGCGTCATTCCTCGGCCTCCGGACGTGGATGAAAGCCACGAGGCGACGGGCGTATCATGGTTGAAAACTGCAGAATTCCTGGTTGTCTACTCCGTCAAGAACCAAGACCAGGACAGCCCCGAGCCCAAGAAATACAGCGTCATACAATCTACCAAAGACTGGAGGTCTTTCACATATCATTCTCTGGCCTGGGATCCTCTGCCCGAGGCATTCGAACCTCCACGCCGCCAACTGCCTGCACGCATCTCGTCCACGCGCCTACAAAACTGGAAGCCCGATCTCGACGACATGCTCATCATCACCTCCTCCCATGCAGATTCCATTGCGATCTTGGCCTCGACCAGCAGCAAGATCTCTCCACATCAGGAGAATTGCAACGAGCTCATGCTTGTCAGTGTCGACGACACGAAGAAAGCTCAGGTACCGCGAACGGCTTATGGAGAGGACGAACTCGATAGCGTCTTTATTGGTGAGGCACTGGATCTGTCTAGCAAGGAGAAAATCTTGCGTCCTATCCCTGCCTTGGAAGAGATCAATGAGGCGCCGTGGCCACTGCCTGCATACATGGCTCTTACTCACGAAGGTCTTCTTTCAGCCTGGTGGGTTGTCTGGAACAAGTCTATCGAGGCTGGCGAACGCTACCCTGGTCTCATCTTCAACAGCGAAGCTACCAAACATTCATCATCGTCAACTCCAAGGGCTTCTACTCCTGCGTCAAAACTACCCATCGCTACTTCTACCCCCTTCAGCAAGTCCGTGGGAACACCCGCAACTCCAGGAACGTCGGGCATTCCTGCATTTGGTGGCAACACCGGAAATGGCTTCAGTACACCAACTCCCGCTCTGATGAAGCCCACACCACCTGGATTCGGCACTGCTGCCACGAGTCTACCTGCTCCAACATTCGGTAAACCTGCACAACCTGCATTCGGCGCCCCGTCTTCAATCGGTAAGCCTTCTCAGCCAACTTTTGGTGCGCCCTCTCAACCTGCCTTCGGTTCTGCCTCGTCATTTGGTAAGCCTTCTCAGTCAGCCTTTGGAACACCGTCTGCAATCGGTAAGCCTTCTCAGCCAGCCTTTGGAGCACCGTCCGCTGTGGGTGCTGCTGGTGGCTCTGGTTTTGGAGCAGCGGGCGGAATGGGAAACAAAGCATCACCATGGGGAGCACCTGCACAATCCTCAGAATCCAAGTCCAACCCCTTTGCGGCCGCTGCTGGTGGTTCATCTGGCTTTGCCAAGTTTGGAGGTGCTGGGGGATCGAGTTCCTTCTCGAGCTTTGGAAGCAACAATTCTGCGCAAACAGGCTCAGGTTTTGCATCGCTTGGACAAGGGCAACAAAAGTCAGGCTTTGGGGGTCTGAAGACGGAGCCAAGCTTTGGCTCTACTGTGACTGTTGGCTCTAATACTGGATCTTCACTACCCTCCTGGGCAAACACACCCGCACAGCAGAGCAGCTCAATCTTTGGACAACCAGAAAAGTCTTCGTTCAACACAGCCTCATTCGAGTCCAAGGCATCTGATAACAGCGACGCGAATACAGACCGAAAGAGGGATGAGGCTACACCCACCCCACAAGCTCCAGCATCACAAGGCCTCTTTGGCCTTGCAGGTGGCTTCAAGCTCGGCACTACCTTTGCTAGTGATGGCACGGCCAAGGACGATCCAGCGAAGCCTGCGGCTCCTGCCAACGGTTCATTCTTCGGTAGTGACTTTGCCAACGTGCTAGGAAAGACAGATATGAAGCCGCCAGCTACCCCTGCGAGTGAAGCTCCTCCAAATTACGTCTCAACCACTCCGGCCTCGCCGCCAAAGTCGAAGCCACTATTCCCCAGCGATACTCCTGCAAGAGAGAGTGCGACCCCCAAAGCAGCACCGCCTACACAAGAGGCCGCCACCCCTGCAGATGACGCACCTTTACCGCCAGATTTCACCAAGGCTAAACCATCCAAGGTTGACGACGCGCCTCTACCTCCGGACTTCATCAACACGAAGCTACCGAAGTCGACTAGCGACGATCTGCCTCCTCTTGCTGGCAGTCCTGGTGTTGAAGTAGAAGCACCCAGTTCTTCCGTCGATGTATCTCCCATTGACAACGAAGATGAGGATGACCACGATGATGACGACAATGAGGAGAGCGACGAGGATGAAGATGGGGACGAGCAAGACTCTTTTGACGAGGATGAGGATGAGGATGACGTTGAAGAAGTCGATGAAACATATCCACCAAACAACGCGTCAAAGTCGCAGCCTACGAAGCCGTCTGGCTTTAGCTTGCAGGAAAAGATAGATCAGTCAAAGAGCTTCTTCCCTCCTGCACCGACTCCTCCTACCATGAAATCCGGCGCCACATCCCAGTCTGGCAGCAGCGCTTCACTCGCTCAGCCCTCCTTGTTTTCACAGCCTTCGAGATCCGCTGTTAGCCAGCCATCGTTTGGAGGCTCATCGCTATTTGGACAGCAACCAGCCAAGGGTCCCAAGCCCGTAGTGCCTGCCAAACCGAATTTCCCACCCCCAGCGAACCGCGCCCAAGACCTTCGCTCGCCTAGTCCAGCTCGTTCAAGCTCAGCGTCTCGTCCTCGAAGAGAACCTCTGGTCGCACCGGGTGCTTCATTAAGCTCATCTATGCTTGGGTCTAAACCACCGACGCCACAACCACAGTTCTCGGATCTTGAAGATGAGGAAGATGAGCGGATGCGGGCACAGCTTTCGCAGCCGATCGAACCCAGCCGGAACCTGGAGGAGTTTGTCGCATACCAGAACTACCGTGGTGGCAAATCACCTAGCAAGACCGGCCACGCCGCTCAGATCGAGTTGATCTACAAGGACATCAACGGCATGGTCGATGCGCTTGGCTGGAACGCGCGATCTATAAAGTCATTCACACAATATCACGTACAGCCTCGGTCTGATCACACAATCGATCGACGTATGCTGGATGATGTCCAAGACGAAGGAGCTCATGGCTCTTGGTTCGAGGAGTTCACCCTGTGTGAGATCCAAGCCTTACGTTCTCTCGAAGACGAACTTGAGCGAGAGCTTGATGCTGGACGAGTACAAGACGTGCTCTTCAAGCTTACACAACTCGCCCGCTTACTTCACGACAAAGCCAAGCTGATGACTCGTCTTAACGATATCCGCCGCCAGATCATCAATCGCAAAGATCCCGAGAAGGCAGAAGCACTCCGCAAGGCGCCGTTGCCGAAGGAGCTTGCGGACGGGCAGAAAGCCCTGCGTAACGATTATGCCCAGTTGTTGACATCGCTACGTAAGGCTGAAGACGCCGTCGCAGTTTTGCGCTCACGTCTAGCTTCGCACAACGCCCAGAACGGCAGCACAAAGGCGGTGCCATCTATGGAAGCTGTGAAGAGGACAGTCCTTCGACTGGCTAGCCTAGCTGAGCAGAAGAACAACGATATCCTCGTCCTCGAGGCACAGATGCGCAAGGTCGGCCTCGCAGACTCCAGCCGTCCTTCCTCATCCTCCTCACGCAACGCCGGCACTCCCCGGCGATCACGTGGCACGGATCTACGCCGCAGCATTGCTGACACACCATACGCTACACCACCTACCAACCGTAACAAGATGAGCTTGAGCGAGCTGAACCGTCGTGCTCTTACTCCAGACGTTGAGGCTACTCCTACACCCAGCAAGGGCTATGGTTTATTCTACACGCCCGAAGGCAGCCCGACAACAGGCAAAGAGATTGCGCGTCTAAGTGACCTGGTTGATGACAACATCGATAGCTTGCGACAGACTGCCAGGACGAGGAAACAGGTTGCCAAGGGTCTCAAGGATGCGCTTCTCGATCGTGGAATCAAGGCTACTAAAGTTAATTGAAAGATGTGTTTGTCGATACAGGTGTTGGATTATGATTGTATATGATTAAGCGTAATTGTTATTTGGGACGTTTGGATAGCGATTGCATGCATATGGGATTGAAAAGGAAAATGTAATACATCTTGCATAGATGGAGTGAGCAGTGCAAATCATGGGTTCTCGCTGCGGTTTAGTTGATATTGACTGACATCGAATCGTTCTCACTCTCACTCTCACTTTCTCTGTCGGTCTGCAAATGGGTTGCAGTGGCACGGCGCTTAGAAACCACAGCCTCGTCCAGGCTGCAGCCTCAATTTCCTTATAATGCTGAATGTTTCTAGCATTACGTCTCCGTTCAATCGCAATCTGTCTGCACCAGACATTTTAGGATGTTATGACTTCCAAGGGCTCTCACTATAACAGCTAGTCTACACGAAAGATGGCTCCCACCGCACCCACACACGATTACTACGTTACCTTAGAGGTGCTACCAACCGCACTTCATGACGAGATCAAGGCATCGTATCGTCGTCTCGCACGATTGCATCATCCAGACAAAAACATCGGATCTCAACACGCGACTGCGAAGACCCAGCTTGTAAGTATCGGTACAGGGAGGGAGCGCGTTAGTACGTGTGTAATGTTAACACTAGGCGCAGATTAATGCAGCATGGGATATACTAGGAGATGTAGACAAGAGAGTCGAATATGATCGGAGTCGACCACAGCCAAAGGCGCCATCATCTGGCAGTCGATCTGGCCCTCAACCTACGTCCACCCAACAACCAAAGTATCAAGCATCCCATCGCCCCGACACAACAGCTCAGGACGAAGCGCGTGCGCAAGCAGAAAGCGACAGAAAGCGACGAGAGTGGCTAGAATTTGAGAGATACCATGAAGAGCAAATCCGATGGTGTCGGAATACTATCAAGCCCCTCGATGCCGAAGTCGACCGCCTCAATGCTACGATTGATGCTAATCGCACAAGACTAGCGAACGACGTCCCATACGCCTAGAATGTTTTTGCATTCTTGAGCAAAAGACTGAGCGATCAGGAGAAGAGCGAGATCAGGTTGGCCTCCATCAATGCGAACAACGCTATCAGGATCAAGCAGATACCACTAGATAAAGCCAAAGCACGACTGAAGCAGCTCGAAGAGCAACTGGCGCAGCGAAAGGCTCAAGAAGAGAAATGGATAGCGGCTGAGCAGGCTCGAAAGGCGAACATGGAACGGCTTGCCAGAGAAAGAGCCTACGATGCTCGACGCCAAGAGCAGGCAAGACAACAGGCTGAGCGGGACAAGGCTGCCCAAGAAGCGGCAGAGAGGTTTCGACAACAGCAAGCGGAGCAAGCAAGAAAATCTGCAGAACGCGCGAGAAAGGAACGTGCAGCCCAGGAGGCAAGATGGAAAGCCGACCAAGAAGAAGCAGAGCGTGTTGCACAGGAAAGAATTAGAAAGCAAGAAGCAGAAAAAGAGCGAAGCAGAAAATCTAACGAATGTAACACAAGTTTCGACAACTGCAACCACAGGCGTTGGTGGAACAAAGTTGAAGGTCATCACACCTGTGCGCATTGCACCCGACCACTATTCAAGTTTGCAGAGCAGTGTCCCAGCTGCAACACCATAGCCTGCGCGTCATGCCGACAAATCTTGAAAAAAGGAGGCGTTCCATATGTGTACAAGAACAGTGGAAACTGGAGTACGGAACATGCGCGGCGTCGGGATCGCAGGGGCTGATACATGGGGAATGCACTCCTTTGCGCATGACTTGGATTGAGGTATTTACTAGCACTTGTGCTTGAGGCGTAGTTGGAGATGCACAAAGTCAGCGATCAGCTTGGAGTACGAGTTGAAGCTTTTGTTCTGTGATTCGGGGGTATCAAGGTGTCCGATCGGCCATTGATGGAGCCCTCACCCATAAGCAGACTGTGCGGCTTCTTTATCTGACCGTATCCCCATTTCTGAAGTGGGAACTTCTACTTGACAGCGGTGTTTTGGCCATAACCTGTTCGCCTGTAGACAACTGCCTAGGTATGTCCCGGACATGGAAAAATGTAATGAGCCGACGGTGTCTGAGTTCCCACTTCGTTGGCCAACCCCGCTTCGCACCTTGTCACTACGTCAATGTGGGACAAAAGGCTTACCATACGCACGTAACATATGATACTCAGGTACCGCTGAGAAATATCATCTCTCTTATACTTTTCTCCTTCGTTACTATCCTGAACTCCATACAACATACACGAGTTCTGATTGGCATTGCTCTTGTGGTCTGAAGTCTCTCCCACCGCACTATACTCAGATAATCGTCTTCAGTCACATCCCCGAATACAAGATGTCCGAAAGCGTCACAGAAATTGTTTACTTGCATATGAAGCCCGGTCTGGATCTTTCATCAGGCGAGGCGAAAGAAGCATGGCAATCAACCTTGAATACCATTGCCAAGCAGCCTGGTTGTAAGGCATTATACTGGGGTCGACAGACTGAGAAGCCGGATACAGTTCAGATGCTCGTAGGTATGTGATAGCCATTATGTCCCTGATCAGCTGACCGCTATCATCTTCTCGCTGATCGACTATAGACTGGGAATCTATCGATGACCACAAAACTTTCGAGCGCACCCCGGGATACCAACCCTTCTTGTCAAACATTATGGAGAATCTTGTAGCCAGCGGTCCAGAGATGTTCCACGTCAAGTTCCCCGCTGAATACTCTACATCCGATAACCCATTTACTATGCCCGTCACTGAGTGCATAAACGCCTACTTTCCCCCCGCCTACCACCAGGACCAATACAGTTCCCAGTTCTCCGAATTTCGCGCTCAGGCCGCTGAGATGCCGCAGTCGGGAGCTAAAGGCGTTTTTGGTGGATGGAGTGTTGAGCCGCATCAGCATGAGAATCTGGGTGAGGGTGTCGATGGAAAACTGTTTGCAGGATTTATCGGGTGGCCGGACGTAGAGGCACATATGGCATTTCGTAAGACTGAGGATTTCGCGAGGATCATCCCATTGTTGAGGGAAGGGCATAAGGGAATGAAAGTTTGGCATGTCGCGTTTCAACAATATAATTAGATCGGATACAGTTATAGGATGGGTAAAGTGGAGGTCTCAAAAGACACAGTAAGGTAGTTTTCTTTGGGTATATGTATGTTGCCGAAACTCCGAACGGAACTGTAGCTTGATAAGAATTACGTTCGATGTTCCTTAGAGTGTAATTCTTAATTCGTCCCGGGTCATTCGTTCGCCATTCCTGAAATTGTATCGGTTGTTTTGCAAGTCCAAATGTGCACCAGTCTTCAAATGCAGTCTCTAGAGAGTCCATCGGTACGTCGGCGATAATTAAGTGGTCGCTATGTGCTTGCTCGACACAGGCTTTTGAAGGACATCGCACGATCTGATAATGCGCAGAAATCGAGTGGGTCATGGAATCCGCACCCCCATGATCATATGTCATGAATACGGGCTGCACATGCTAGGTTCGCAGGAATAAGATCGTAGAGCTGTTGATAGGCGCGGAAACCTCCAGGAAGTCTCGCAGAAACCGCCGCCTCCCGTACCAGCATCAGCGATCCCGAAAACCAAAAGCAATCGCCTGTCACCCAATAAAACTACTAGAGCGTGGCATATCGGTCTTTTGATAAGCCTTCGAGGCCACGTTCAGAACAATTTCCATCGCTCATGACATGCCCTTTGGTGGGAAGCTAGACTCCTTCTTGAAACCCCCCTTGGAGATCCTGGAGAATTTGAGTGTGGCAAGCTGCGCCCACTGGCCGTTCCACTCCTTCAACTTCCTCAGGTTGATAACATCCTCAAGGTCCGGTACCCAGAAGCCAGAGGCATACTCGTCTTGCTCTGTTTTCTGGTTGATCTCCAACAGATTTTGACGTGTGCTTGGTGGCCGTCCCGGGCGTCGTTCTGCCTTCAGTTTTGCCAGCTCTTCGTCATCGCGACCTAAGTAGTCCTCGATCATAGCCTGGATTTCTGATACGCTGAGTGGTGAATCATGCTCTGTGGTATATGATTGGAACGATTTGACTCTCAGCACTATCACGCGTTAGTTATATCGTGCCAACCTACTGGCAACGGTGTGCATACGGTATGGGCGATTTTGGTGTTCTCGGACTTTAGTAAGGCGATTGAGCTTGTCATCTCTCTGCGCTGCGCTCTGTAACCGCTTTGTGTCGCGGCTGCCTTCATGGAGATTAGGGTTCTTGCCCTTCTTCTTGGTGATCTTTTTGTGCACCTTGTCGAGGCGATTGCTGACCATTTTGAATGTTTGATACTTTGTTTGGTGCTGGTGTTGGGAGTAAGAAATTTTGGATATCCATCGGCGAGTCGGCGACGGGAATCACGCTAGGACACGGATGCGGACTAGAGCAAGTGTTAGCGGGGCGCGTTCCTGTCATGTCGTGTACCCGCGATCAATGACTGCTCCACACTTTGGATCGCGAACGCGCTTCCTTCTCTCTTGTCCTTTGTGTACTAGTGTTCAAGAGCTTCCCTTCTCCTATTGCCTGCCCACGATACCACCATGTTGCGGTAGTTGCTGCGTCTCAGTCCGTTGTATAGACCGGACGCGTGAGCGGCAAAGGGTACAAGATGGGCATCTCCGGTTGGTATATTCGATCACCCACCTTGCAATACTAATCCTGGAACAGGCCTTCTTCCACTGCTGAAGTCGGTCCAGCAACCATGTAGCCTCAAAAAGTACGCCGGCAAGACGATTGGCGTAGATACGTATGGTTGGCTGCACCGTGGTACCGCAGCCTGTGCCATCGAACTGGCGCTTGAGAAGCCGACAACCAAGTATGCACCGAATGCATCGTACACGTGACGCTCACATGCTAACCTAGTTCTAGATATGTCGACTTCGTCATGCACCGCGTCCGTATGCTTATCCACTTCGGCGTCACACCCTACCTTGTATTCGATGGAGACAACCTACCGAGCAAAGCTGGCACGGAGAAGGGTCGAAGAGAGCGGAGAAAAGAGGGCAAGAGGCTTGGACTCGAACTTTTGGAAGTTGGCAAGACAGCACAAGCGCAACAGGAGTTACAGAAGAGCGTTGACGTGACGCCGGAGATGGCGCGCATGGTCATCGAAGAGCTGAAGCGAAACAATGTCCAGTACGTTGTCGCTCCTTACGAGGCTGATTCGCAACTGGCATATCTGGAGCGGAAGGGCATCATCGACGGTGTCTTATCCGAAGATTCGGACCTGCTCGTCTTTGGCGTCAAATGTCTGATAACAAAGCTTGACAAATGGGGAGAGTGCATCGAGGTCAACAGAAATCACTTTACTGCCTGCAGGGAGGTTAGCTTGGTGGGTTGGTCCGACGCCGATTTCCGAAGAATGTGCATCCTGAGTGGTTGCGACTACCTACCGGGCATTGGTGGACTGGGCCTCAAGACTGCCCACCGCATGCTGCGGAAGCACAAGACTGTCGACCGTCTTGTCAAGGCTGCTCAATTCGACGGCAAGCTCAAGGTGCCAGCTGGATTCATGGAGTCATTTGATCAAGCAGAGAAGACCTTCCTCTACCAGTGGGTCTATTGTCCAGTCGCAAAACAACTGGTCAATCTTACGCCACTCGACGAGGGTGTCAACCTTGCCGACATGCCTTATATCGGAGAAGAAGTACCTTCACATATCGCCACGGGTGTTGCCAAGGGTGAACTATACCCACGTACGAAGCTTCCGATAAACGTCATGGGTAATAGGAGAACTAGCGGAATACCTCTTGCCTCTTCTCGCAGGGCTTCAGCAGTTGTACAGACACCGGATGCGAAAGGTATGAAGCCTATCGACTCGTTCTTCAGAGCCAAGCGTACTCCTTTAGCGGAGTTGTCTCCAAACTTGTTCACGCCATCACCAAGTCAGCAAGTACTATTGGAACAGCAGCGAGAATCTAGTGGATGGGCTGCAGTACCTGCCCCAATCTCACGCTTGCGGCCGCATCCGCCAACGCCGAGTACGGCGCCTCAACCACCCCGTCGTACGATGACTGATCCAACGGCCGGTCGGCGGTCGGTTCCGCATCCTTCTAAGAGACAACGACTGTGCTCCGATTCCGTTTCCGATACCCCTACTGCAGGCGGCGAGGGCATCGTCCGTAGTGAATTCTTCAAATCTTCCATACCAGAGCCGAGCCCAACATTACACCGAGCGAAGAAGAGTAGGAGAAAAACTGATCAGGATTTTGAGCTTTACTCAGATGACTCCATCCAGGAAGTTATGGTCGAGGTGGCTGATCTAGAAGAAGCTGCGACTCAATCCAAGAAAAAGCTACGCGTCTTCAGCGACACGCAGTCTAGCGGAGGAAGCGAATCACAGTCGACTGTCTTCTCTAGAGGCAGTACTGCGCAATCTCAGGATACTATCGGTACTCTCACACCAGCATCGTCACCGGAACCCGATTCAGTTTTCAGCACTGCAATGTCATCTCAGATGAGTGAATTGCGGACGAAGTTCACCTACAAATGTCCCTCGCCATCACTGGGTGTACCGCGAGCCAACAAAAGCCGTCCAAATCGTCGACCTGCTGAGGCATGGCAACCTACACCATCACCTCGAGAAATCACACCCACATTCGCTGCCGTGCTCGATGCTGAATCCATACTCCCCGGAACACCGTCCAAGAAGGATGGTGGAGTGGGGCTTGCAGACTCTACTTGGACTGCTACAGAAACCGACGTAATCATAGCTGCGAGCTCACCGCCTCCTATGACGCCTGCGAAGAGAAGGAGATCATCATTGAAGGGAAGTGAGGACCTCCTTGTGCCGGACAGCGAAGCCGAAAGCGAGTGCTCGCCCCGAAAACCCATGTTCAACCTCAAGCGATTTGCATTTGCCGGTTAGATTCACTTAGCGTTGCATGACTCTTAGCATATCTTTACAACGAGCGTACGACTTGCGGTATTGTTGGCGTTTTTGTAATTAACCGCGTTGGGTTGGTTCTAAGGCGCATTTTATCACGACCATGACAAACAAGGATACACGAAGTATTGTGACATGTATCTTCATTTGTATTATACCCTCAATACTTATTTGTTTTAATGGCAGCCGGTGTATCTCTGCGATTATGCATTCAATGCGTCCAATGCTCTGCATACGCTGAAGACTTTCTAACCCATGGACAAAGGGATAATGATATCCACGATTGTTACGTCGATGAAACTGGCTTCGACTTCCGACATCTCGAAACAGGCATCCTATGGAAGTGACACAGTGATCATAGTACAACATCACTGAGTCTTTAACATGGCATTGTTTTCGACCTTTTTGCTCACGTCTGGCTGTCAACTCTAGACAAGGCTGGATACCTACTGATGGACCAGAACTACAAAGTCACTCATCAAAACTTGCAGCACGGTCAGCTTGCAGTAGCTAATAGGCACGGATATCGCGCCGCCAATACGACCCCGGTTCCCACACCTGGATCATCCCAGCAATCTAAAGCTATCAATAAACAGCATCATGCCACAGAAGTTTGCTTCCGCTACAGCCTCTACACGCACCCGACTCTTGAGAGAGGCGGCTCCGGCTTCACACAGTCTTGATGTGAACGTGCACAAGAGATGCGGCTGGGGAAAGGATTACGGACGAGGCAAAAGAGTGAACAGGGATGAAGCTATCATGTAAATTCAGGTCCAGTGTCAAGTCCGAGCCCGAGGCTAAGAACGCAAATAAGTGTCGACCCCAAAATTGAAAGAAACTCAGCGCCACGGAAGTAACGAAGGATGTCTCGAACGAGACCAAAGGTGGCAGAGTAGCCAAACCGAAGGACAAAAAGATGGTGCTTGTGCCTAAAGGGAACGAATTAGCAGGCGTCTTACCCGAAGTGATAAACTTTCTTTGCTTGACCTCGTAAAATTACCGATGAGTTCCGGACGTCGCAAACTAGAACAAAAGGTTTCCTCCCCTGAGCCGTCTGAGGATGAAAACGAGATCGAGATTGACCAAGACAGGATCATCGTTACGAATGCATCTCATAGTGGTATATTAAAGGGTTGCAGCTACGGTAAGATGAGGATGGTCTATATAGGGCCAGGAGTAACAGATGGTTGAGACGAACGGTTGAATGAGTGACACCTACGTAGCGCAACATAGACAATCGCTTAAAGGAGAGTAGAAATTCTTCAAGAATGCAGAAACCCCGGGTAGGTCGAGCGAAAGTGCCGAAGCAGCTTCAGTCAAGTTTAGTAGCGACAAAGTCCTCAACAAACATCCAATCGATGTGATCTTCATCCTCGTCATTGTCTTCGACCCAAGCCTTCATAGTGCTGTTGCGAGCAGTTGGGTGAACGAATGTGGTATTGAGCAAGGTGTCAATTGCTATATTTAGATGAGTACTTTTACAATTGACCGTATGTCACTGAAGAAAAGAGGGAACTTACGCAGCAAGACTTCCATGCCACTGGACATCCGGAACAGCGCAGACTGGGCCACAGGTTCAAGCTCAGAGCGCTTCTTCGTTGTGGGACGCACATCGGGAGCCCCGTTTTTGTATATCTTAGCAATTTGGTTGTTGATGCATTTACCGTGTGGATTACTGTAAGCCTGGCAGTATTGTACGCCAGCTGCGGCCGGGTTACCGAAGCCGATAATGAATGTGCATGGCTGACTATTGCAAGAGCTTCCGTAGTACTGTTGGATAATGCGACCTTGGCCTGTATGTGAGAAGCCCGTTAGTTGAATAGTTGAACCCCAGCTCTAGGGTGAATTGGACTAACGGCTATTGTGCCTGCTGATGACACACTTGGTAACTTGCCCACCCTTGTCGGCGTCAGAAGTGCTTGCGAATGGATACTCATCGCAGTTCTCGCCAGCTCTCGGATTGCCGCCGTCAGTCTATCGAATAGTCAGGACATGGTTCTTGATCTGCATGCTTCAGAATCGATAGAATCTTACGCTGCAACGGTTGGGCCTAGGAAGACAGCCAGCCGACCTTTGGCGAGCTTTTCCAATATCACTATCGCGTTTGCCAGTACCTCCGTAACGATCATACTTCAGTGTTGCTCCAAATGATGGCTTAGTGCAGTAAGCGCCCCAGCACATGTTGTTGCAAACGTCTAAGCGACGATGAGCTAAGTTTGTACCCAAGGGGGTAAATAGTTACCCTGCATGTTGTCTGCGCAATTGAAAATCATACCAGGCGCGGCGATTCCAGAGCCTATGAGGCTGGTAACGACAAGAGTCTTGAATAGCATAGCTGCGTACTAAGTAAAGAGCTTGAGAATGCTTCTGTGAGGTTTGAACAAGAACAAAGCCATATCCTTTATACTCATGTTGGCCCCATCGATCAACTGACTGTGTAGATCAACTGAGTGTTGCGAATGTTCTTACTTGTGTACACTGAAGCATGGTGGATCCAACCATTTGCATGAGATGAGAAATGGTGACAGAGTTCAGTCAAGGATTTGGAAGACATCAGTTGAAAAGCTTCTTGGGATTCATGAAGGACCGGAATTGCCCCATTTGTACTCCCCGAGTGTATTGGTCTAAGATGTACCATCTGGTCTCACTGGTAAGCAAAGGTTCATGCTGACACTGGAGGCACGAACTCGGGTCTTGCTGGAAGGCTGCTTACTTGTATATTCAAAGACCCACACCTTAGCATCTCGATTGATTGCATGATTACGAGGCCGATAGTAGCTATGAACAGACGTTGCACTTCCTGGCCGTGATTGCAGGTACATATAGAAATGTCCACAGAGATCTTACCTAAGATTGATGAGCGTACTTAATCGGTGCCCTGAAAAGACAAGCAGTTTCCTACTACGCAGTCGAAGATCGACTTACCTCATTGTACACCGATAAGCGCCGAGATTCCACTGCCAGATGCCCTGATTGGAAACAAGACATCCTGAAAGTAGTGCGTGGCGTTGTCGGAGTGTAAGAAGGAACGAGACGGCGAATTCTACACACGGATGGGAGGCTCAGTCCGTAGCTGAGCGAATCTGCATCATAAGCAGCCTCTGACATCATAATTTGCGTCTACGCGCTTTCCTGTAGTACCTTCCGAGCTCTGTACGACAGTCACTGACATTTACCCCACTTGCTATTATCGCCACACCGTGCGTTAGCAACGGATGCACGACTCCAAGGCATCTAACACTAGGGCCGGAGTAACGACAAACAAACCGGTTCTGGTTTCTTAGCTCGCCCCGCTGAAGTTCCTTCCCTTTCTCCACTTGCGGTCGTCTGATGTGGCCCGCCTAAGACGACTAGTAGGTCATTCTCACCTGCTCATTTACCTCTTCCGAGACGACTCCTCTCTGGAAAACAAACTACGCGCAATACTACCCACTACAACATGTCTTCTACTAAAGACATTGCGAGAACACTTCCCAAGAAGGCTCCCAATGCGGAACATCATCGCGCGACGCTAGACGGCTTGTCTCGCACCAAGTTTGCTATCTTCTACACACCTGCCTTAGACGTATCGGCTCGCCAGCAACTTGAAGAAAGCATTAACACGGAAGAGACTAGTACAGGGAGATCTAAACTCGCCCCTCAGCCAGACTTCAGTGGTCGCTCTTTACGAGACGTGTATGACTGTTTCATCCACCTGCGCGATCAAGACGACACCATCCATCCACTATACTTCATAGTAGCCGACCAAGAAGATTTTAGTCGCAACGGGGTGGTGGTCGTTCTGCTCAACTCCAGCCAAGACGAGGAAGACATTGTGGGTGTTGGACGCTGCAGCAATGTCGAGGCGGACTCATGGGGTGCAAACATTGATATTGGTAATCAAGATTGGCTCGACTTGAAAGAACAAGAAGCCGCAGAATGGGGCGGGGATGATCCGTACGGGAATGACGACGATAATGACGGTGATAAGCTAGGCGTCGGCGCAACAACCTCCCAAGGCACAACAGTGCAGAGCCCGACGACTCTGACTGAGCCACGCAAGAAAGTGTACGGGTGGTATAGCTTAGTCGAAAGAGGTACTTCATAATTACGCTCACATAAGACGCCCTGCATGTTAGCTAATTCTGCAAAGCTGTACCTATCAACTCCATGCTCGAGCCGTCATGGCTCAATATGAGATCAGGAGATTCTCGATTCCAGATGCTCGGCAACTTCTATTCTTCAAACAAACCTTGGGAAGACATACGTGCAGCGCATCCACAGCAGTGTGTTTTCAGGCCTTCAGTTCATCGAACCCTCATCCTTGTCGCAGAGCACGATGACGCCAACCGCCCCGAGGGCATGACCCTCGCTCGCTTAAAGTGGGATGGTGATATTGAGGTAGTGGAGGATGCGAGCCCATTGCTCATGCCGGAAGTTGAGATAGTGGCCAAGGTGAGCGCGGAAAAGGCTTTGGAGGAGGCCGACCGAGCGGCGCAATAGCTTCGTAGTACTATCATACGTGCATGAACCAAACTCTCTGGACTATGAGTCGCAATCAATGGACTTCGGACTTTCATTGTACCAGTAATTATGTTTGCGTATCATTGAATGAAGGTGGTTAGCGCTATTTGATACGATAGTGGTGGACCATGGTCGAGTCAAGAGTGTACCATTGTATCGAGCTTGACGCCACTGTCGTGTTACAGCTTGTCAAAAATAAGATAATATATAAGCTGGAGAAATTGATGTCTTTCCGAGGATACTTGACCCTGATAAGGCTCTTGATCTCCATAAACATCAATACGGTTTGTTGCACTCTGGTGGCGTAGACACGAGAGATCATTACGATTTGTAGACGAGCTCTACACTATTGTCCTCACTAATCATATAATACTTGTCAAACTTTTCTCCGCTGAAGAGAAAACATTCATGAATAGTGAAAGGCTCTTTTGTATCTGACCAGCCCGACCACAACTTACACACTATCACAGTAATTGTGATGGTATGGACTCAGACGCGGTGAGTAAGCGCTGAATGGTAAGCCCATCAAACTTACTCTGGTTTGTCTTCACTATTTTGGTGGCCGAAAAGATGGAAGCTCAAGGGTTGAAGCGTCTTTGGACATTGTGTTGACGATTAACTGACAGAGATGGGCAGATGATCGTTGGTCAAGTTGAACACAAGTAATATAAATTTCATGTCGATGCTGGACAACATGCGCTGATACTAGTATGCTGAGCTCTTGGATGACTGACTTCCCGTGGTCGTTTGTTGAGATGTCACAATATGTCTGCATGATTACACTATCGTTGATGCATGGTCTTGTACGTAGCGTAACTCAGATCTAGAGTTCCTTCTAGATTCGCTGAGTCTATGGGACATAATGCTCAACGTCTTGCACTGATCGAAGAAGTTGCCTTTACCTATTCATTCACTCATTATGTTAGTGAGACTAAGTCATTGCGATTGTTTACAAAATTATAGAGTAAGAATCATGAACTGAAGGCGAAGTTGGATTGAGGCCCCACAGGGCAGGCCTTGTACCTCATACTAAATCTGTACCTGTCCTGAGTCTCTGATGACATACAGGTATCCTTCACCAGACAACGTCGACAAGTTCTTTGCACGAAACTGAACAGTCGGTATTTCCTAGCGAACAGTCCGAGATGCCGCTATTGAATCTGCCCTTGGAGGTTTTTGAGGAAGTGATTGCGGCTCTTACGAAGAAGGTTGGGCAACGAAGTGTCGTACGGTATCGACTCATCAGCAGTAAGTACAATACATCGACGTAAAGCTCAGCGATTCAAATAAGAAGCAGAAACATTCGCAAATACAATCAAAAACCAGATCCTTGCAGCCATCGATCCCACAAACCTCGCCAAATTCTTGCACAACACTTCCTCCGCTCGTCTTTTCGAAAAGTATGGTGGCGAGATCCTTCACAAGTTCGCTATGAGCCCTCGAACAACAAAAAACCAAGTCGTTGACTTTGTCCGGGGTTTAGCCAAAGCAACTGAACCAGACACTGCACTTTACGCTGCGCGAGTGATGGTCCTGTGCATAAGTACGACGGCTATAGAGCCAAGATACCTGTGTGCCTACATAAAGGGAGTCGAGATTGTCAACAAGGAGAAGCGACCATGCTCTCTCAAGGACATGATGCTCGCTATTTCTGCAGCATCTGGGGATATTGCGCTCTTCGAAAAGCCGATGCTTACACCGGCATTGCTACTCAGACAAACTCACGATCTCTTGCCAAGTGCACTTAAAGCTGCCATTGTCGCGGACCAGTATACCATCCTTGAACGCATTCTAGAATATCTTGTGGAAAACGTCAAGGGCAAGCGGGACTCCGGATCATGGAAAGATATGCGGAATGCTGCCCAGAAGATTGGCAAGGCGTTGTGCATGGCCATACGCTTACACAAGAACGTTGCTGGAAACCTGCTTTTCGACTTCCGTGACAAGAATGAGCTCTTCGCGAGGTTTGCTCCCGATGAACTGGGCAATTGGCTTGTCAACGATGCTATCGAATACTGCAATATAGACCTATTGTATCGTGTTCTGGAGGTCGACCATCCCGGATTCGTAGCCCATGTTGACGGGGGATCCAACGGATTCTATGATCTTACTAGTCAAACTATGAAGACTCTGTGCAGAAGAGGAAGAACTGAAATGTGGGAGATGCGTAAGTGCACATTTATGAATTTTATACGAGACGTATACTGACTTCATGAATCTATATTTAGTACTCAAAGATGGTATCGTCGGACCAAACAAAGTCTACTTTAACAAAACACCACTACAGTACGCTCTTCAGAGACGACGATACGACATTGCGAATATCCTCATCGAAAACGGTGCAGCGATCGACGGTATCACTCCAGACGGGCATACGATCCTGTGGCTGGCGTCGAATGAAGGGCACACAAAGGATGTTGAGTTTCTGCTCAATCAAGGCGCGGATCCCAATTCCTGTGGGAAGGGCGGCATATCTGCGATTTCGGCTGCGATGTCATCAGGATATAGCAAATGTCTTTTCTTGCTTGAGGCAGTAAGGGATCACGGAAAGGAGTATCTCAAACGCCCCGATCTATGGGATGTATACAAGTTTGAGAAATTCGGGTTTTAGTAGCCATGAAGACGGCTCAGAGTCTGAGTATGGTGGTGAACACTGGGTCGTTGATCACCCGTTTTTGGCGCTGTAAAGAGCACTGAATTTTATTGGGTTCACTAATAGTTTCAGTAATCACTAGTAAGAACTGGATGTTTGAAGATATAATCCTACAGCATAAATTTTGCAACGTCGTTTCGTAGATGAGGGATGAAGCGTTCTTCAACAAGAACCCCGAGGTCGTACAGACTGAGGTGGCGCAACCCAAGACGCGCCCCACCATCACGTCAGTGTTGTTAGTTAGCCAACATTATCTTCCGATTCTACAACTAATAAGGTCCTGCTGACTAGCATTATTCTTCCTCCCCCCATCCAGCAGCAGCGCACCAGCACAGCATGAAATTGTTGGATCTTCCAACAGAACTAATCGAACGTATAATCGGCTTCTTTGTTAGAGATACAGGACCGTTGTACGTATCAGACTACCGACTTGTCTGCAGTACGTCTCGATAACACCACAATGTAACTCCAACTTATGCGCACAGAGCTATTCGCCCATGAGATCCAAGAAGAGATCTTGAAACGACAACCGCTCATCGTGTACTCAACAGATGAGCTCAGACTACCCAATCCAGTGAACCGCCACATCTTCATCGCGACAGATAATGCGAGATTTGAGAAGCTTTTTGCTCAGCATGGCGGCACGATCATAAGTCATGAAGTCTTTCGACGGCAGAAAGCGCCGTTGCCGATAGTCGAATACCTGCGCAAACTCGTTAATGCTTTACCGAAGCCTGAAAAGAGTCAGTTTGCGGATGATCTATGGAAAAAATACACGATACAAATTTGCACAGCTCTATCTAGTGTATACTACAAACAACTCCGCTGGCGCCTGTTCCTGCACGACTACTCTGAAATTCGAGAGCCAGATATTGCAGATGACCTACCCGCAGCACTAGCCGCGACAGGGAAACTGCAAGAGCTCCTAGATCTCGTTTCGGGCAACCCAGATCGTTTGAAAGAAAGCTGCTCTTGCCTTTCGAGCCCTCTAGAGGCAGCTGCATCATGTGATCAAGTGCACATAGTCAAAGCCATTTTAGATATCTTCTCAACCCACAATTTCGAAACGGATAAGATGTCCCAACACTTCTGGCCTTACCGAAACGATGCGATTCACAAACGTGTGAAGAGATCTGGACTAACTGCTGCGATCCGCAAAGGTGCGAAGGAATCTGGAAACATTCTACTTGATAAATGCTTTCCTTCCGCGCGACCACACAGGTCCAGCTGGACTCAATTGACCAAGGAAGTGGCAAGGTATACTGACAAAGGCTTCATGAAGAGAGTGTTAGAAGCACCCAAGTACAACGTCGGGAACAGAAGGGGATTAGAGAAAATTGATGCCGTTCAGGTGCTGAAGGAAGGAAGTTGTTCAGTTCTACGCGCTGTCATTCAGGATGGTTACCTGGATCCCAACGAAGCAATTTGCGATGTCACACCGCTTGCTTTGGTGATAAACTTCCACCGCTACGACCTCGCTCGGGTACTTATCCAACACGGTGCCTACGTTGATGGCGTACCCAATACTGGAAAACCTGTGACCGCGTTGTGGCACGCAGCTAGAGCGGGTTATCGGGGATATGGAGACGATGTCTTGCCTGGAGTAAAGTTTCTTATCAGAAATGGAGCAGATCCTGATTTTGGAGGGGACTGGAGATCTCCGCTTCAAGCTGTGGAAGAGCTGTGGCCCGACGTGCAGTATCTCTTACGACAGGCAAAAGACTATGGCCAGGACGTGGCGCTAAGCCCGGAAACATGGAGAAAGTACGAAGAGAGACCTGTAAGGGATACACTTGTCGTTGTTGACCAAAACTCGTCTTGTGGAGTTAGTGAACGCATAAGATTGTGGGAATCAGACCAAGAATGAAGGATATGCCATTTCCGAATAGAAAAAGATTTCATTTGAAGACAGTAAACAGTACCTAGAACATACTCATGTGGTACTTGAGCCACTGTTGGCCAGCAAAACGCCATGATCTCTCTGTAACCGTACACTGGATATCACAAATACAATGGATCGTACACAGTACCTCAGTACTTCTCCTCCAGTCGTGCTGTCATGCCGGTGACTGCTATTTTCCTGCTCTCCTCACGCTCCTTAATATGCATCTCGCGCTCGAGCTCCTGCTGCCTGGCCATCTTCTGAGCAGTAGTGAGCTGATCGAGCACTTTAGAAATGCCTTCCTCGGTCTGCCCATTGAAGAGACCCGCCAGATCAGTCTTCGTAGTCATGGCGAGCTGGTCTTCTAACGCCCTTAAAGCTTTCGTGCCGAGCTCGGAGACAGCTTTCTTGAACTTGCCCTCCTCATCAGCCTTAGCCTTTTTGGCTGCCTGCTCACGCTCATCAACATTGGCCTCTCCAGCTTTGCGCTTGGAGGCTTTCAGGGCCTCTTTCTTTGCTTTAGCGGCCAGGTAGCGAGCCGAGTGTCCCAACGCGCGTCCATCTTTAGTCAGCGGTTGCTCCACGTTGAGCGGCGGCGCAGTGAAGAAGAGGATACGACCCTTTTCGTCGCGCTGAAACTGCTCGCGGATCTCAAGCGGTATACTAGCGTTTGCATGGTCGGCCATGACGTAGACCTCCACAGGCTGTGGAGCCTTATAGTTGAGCGGCAATTGCTGAGGATATGGCTGTTGATAGCCTGGCGCAGCGCGAGGCGTCTGGAAGGCCTGCATGGGGGCAGTTGGTTGGGGCGTGAAGGGTACATGTGGCGTGATGGGCTGGTATGAAGGCGCCTGAGGTGCCTGCTGGTGCATATGTGGAGCGGGTGATTGAGAGTGAGTGTGGTAATGTGTCGCATGGGTTGGCGTGTATGCTGGTGCAGCATGGTGCTGTTGCGGTGTTGGAGCGGGCATTGGCGTAAGGGTCGGGGCTTGCGCAATGGGATAATTTCTTGAAGATTCGTAACCGTGCGACGAAGCCGTGGGCAAACTTGGGGTGGGCATGACAGGCGCAGGTGGAGGTGTCGGTGGTGGCGGTGGAGTGGGTTCAGGTGGTGGTGAGTCCTATAAGATCTATCAGTATCGATCTTCATGGTAACAAAGAGCATTTTTCGCTTACCTTGGGGTCACGCGGACGACGATGCACAGCGCCAATCTTTGGAGGAGCATTTTCAGCACCCCATTCCGGCTTTGGGAGATCGTCGTCCTCTTTCTGGTCGTCCTTGAGCAAGTACGCAATCGGGCTGGGTACCTTCTTCAATTTCCGAGGCGCATCGAAAAGATCCATAACATAGTCCTTGTCGCGGACCTCGTCGGGTAGACAACTGGCCCATGTCTTGATCTTGTTGAGCTTGTGGTTCTCTTCGTTGTATCGAGCTTCGCAGACGTAAATCTCCTTGTCGGAAGGAAAGTCGCGGGGACGGCCTTTGTTGTAACGTGTAATAAACATGACGAAACACCGGTCCACTACCTCGTCGATGCGATGGTCTCGATACTGGCCAGTCTTGACGACCTCATTTTCGAAGAAGTGCCGGTCGAAACGGTGCACGGTCTGCTCTGGACGGTAGTACCAGCAGGCGTTCACCCACTGTCCGCCGTTGGCGTCTTGCCAGGTACGATAGATCTGGGCCACAATTGGCTTTGTGAGGTCGTTCGCGTTCTGAATATGCACCCAGTCTCCAACCTTCCACAATTCGCCATTGTGAACAATGCCGCTAGGCATGGGAATACGTCCCTCTTCCATGACGTAGTCGGTGTCAGGCCTTTCCTTCTCGGCCTTTGCAACCTTGCGCGACTCCTTTTGGAGATGCACAGCGTCCTTGTAGATCTGACTGTCCTCCTCATTGTACTGCTTTGCGTTTTCGAACATGAGCTCCACATCCACCATAAAGTGGTCGACCGAGTTGTACTTCTTTCGCTTGAGTTTGCGCTTGAGAATGTCCATAGCCATTGGGTTCTTGATCTCGGAGTGGTATTCAGGCATGACCGTCTTATCAGGAACGCGTTCGAATGCGCTGACCATGAGCTTGTTAAGCTGATTTCGAGGCTTCCTTATGGCTTTCATGATCGTTTTGATTCGCGCTTCCATAGGTGTGTCGACCCGCGGCGGGCGCCCGCGCTTCTTTCGTGATTCTGGGTCGTCGTTCTTGGCGTCCTCCTTTGCTGCTCTCGAGCCGCCTTCTCGCTTGGTGATAGCTGCTGTGGATCGCGGACCACGCCGCCTCTTGCGTTTGCCTTCGTCTTCCTCGTCGTCGTCCTCTTCTTCATCCACTTCGAGCTCTTCTTCGTCATCGTCCTCTTCTTCCTCTTCCTCCTCCTCTGGCAGCAGCGGGTCTTGTTCTGGAATCTCCCCAAGGAACGGCAGGGTAGCGACTGTTTCGGGAACGATCTTGTCATCCACTAGCCTCTTCAACTCCCGTTCAATGACCTTCTTGACTTCGAGCGCATCCACATATGCCTGCGAATCCTGTCTATTGTACACCTGCGCATTGTGGGGAATGAGCGCCAAGTCGCGTACGAACTCGGAGACATTTTTGTATTCTCTCTGCGCGATCTTGGCCTTGATGGTGCTCAGGGCCATGGGCTCCTTGATGATGTCGTAATAGTCGGGCACGGCGCGCTTGTTTACTTTGCGCTGGAAGAGCTTGGTGGGATCATATGTTCCACTGCACATTGATTAGCCAGGGAATACATGGCGCAAGTAGTGAGAGTACTTACTCGTCGATCCTGTAGTCGTATACATTCTTGAGGAGGTTTGACATGGCCTCCCATTCCTGCGCCGTGACAGTCGACGTTGCGCCAGCGGACTCGGCCGTCTCGGTGGTAGGCACCGGAGTCGAGCTTGGGGCGCGTCCGGATGCCATGTTTGCGATAATCCAGTCGATGCCGTCGTGTTGCGGTATCCTTGTTGCGCCAGATGGCGTCGTCGTCGCGTCGTGAATGTAGAAGTCGCGACGCTGGAGCGGAAGTTTGGATTCGCCGGTTCGCCGACCCCTGCCATCCCCGGGTCGGCCTACCTCCATGATTCGGGAACATTCACTTACGCCATGCCACTGGTTCCATGCCAACTGTCGCCTTTGTAGCGTCTTTCCGTAGCTGACAAACGATTCTTTTCTAACAAAGCTTCCTTCGTGTTTGCGCAATCGTGAAGTTCTCCCTCCATACACCCACTCACTCATCGCAGCTTCCATCTAACAGCTCTCCACCGCTAAATCGCCGCCCCACCAGTCAACTGGTATCTCGCGCCACGCCCTCAAAGCTCCCTCACTCACGCTCGATACTACTCCGCTCACGCATACCAACTGTACCAAGTGATCCCAGCCAACCCATCACAACATGCCCATCCGCATCCGGTTACGCGCGCCCAACGGCACTCACACAGTATCACTCAACGATGACGCCGCTGTCTCAGACCTTCTGTCCTCTATCAGCGAAAAGACGGAACTACCACTGTTCGAGTTGAAATGGAACCATCCGCCACAACCGCTCGATCCTTCGCTGTACGGCATGTCGACGTTGTTGAAAGACATCGATCTCAAGCTAAACGGCGCGTCCATCATAGTCATTGCACAAGCTACGGGCGATCCAAGTGAGCGTAAGCAAGAGCATGAACTTCAAGCATCTACATCTCAGGCCGCGCCGCTGTCACTCCAACGGAAGCAGAACTCTACACTCAAGGACACCCCCGAAGTTCCGGTACCTGACCGTGGTGGCACCATGGTTCTTCGAGTCATGCCCGATGATAACTCTTGCATGTTTCGAGCAGTTGGTAGCGCTGTCTTGTCCGACTCCCTTGATTCCATGACCGAGCTCAGATCCATGGTTGCGCAGGCTATACAGCGAGATCCAGAGCAGTACAACGAGGCCATCTTGCAGCGCTCTCCCGATGAGTATTGCAAATGGATATCATACTCTGACTCGTGGGGCGGTGGAATCGAACTCAGCATACTGTCTCAGGAGTTCGACATCGAGATCGCCAGCGTCAACGTCCAAGACAACCGGGTAGATAGGTTTAATGAGGGCAAACAACGGCGGTGTATCCTCGTGTATTCTGGAATACACTACGATACCATTGCTCTTGTGCCACGCGGTGTGTCGCCTCAAGACCCCTCGCAAGATATCAAGTTGTTTGACGCAAAGGACGACGTAATTCTTGAAGCGGCCAGGGAACTCTGTGGGCAGTTGCAGAAAGCACATTATTTCACTGACACACAAAAGTTCGACATCAAGTGCAACAAGTGTGGTTGGAAGGGAGCTGGAGAACGGGGTGCGATACAGCACGCAACCGAGACCGGGCATAGCGACTTTGGCGAGGCGGATTGAGTACTCTTCCGTTATATCTTCCTTCCTGGCCAGACTTCGTGCATCTCAATCGACTAGAGCGTAATACATATCTTATTTGTACGATTACGAACACACGAAAAGGGCTTGTGAAATGGAGCTCTTGCCGATAAACTCACCTCTGCATGCTGTATTTCTGCATCAATAACATTACCGGATATTTCAATATTTCGATAACAAGCGGTGATTTTTTTCTGAAGTAAACACATCTGGTACTTTGCAGTTCATCACTCAACACCCGAGTCAGCCTTTAGTATGTTTCCAATAGCTGTAGGTATGCACTATCAACGGCATCTTCCCACAGCCCGTTCTAGACAACTATAGACTAGGGCGCAAGCCCGGACCTTCGCCATGTCTTACACCGAGCCCGAAACAAGCTTTGCGATGACAGTGGGACTTCCACGGATAGCGCAACCGCTATTCTGGATAGCTCCGGTGGTATGGGACGTTCCAGAAATCTTATGACAGATCAAATCAAGCCTTCTAAGGCTCCCCCATTTGCGGGCCGAGTAGAGTATCGATGATGGAACTCTACGAGAAGAGATTTCACACCTTGTCATTCGGGGAACCCGAATGGAGACGTTGTGATCTGTTTAGTGAAGACGGACGAACATTTTGGGATGATCCCTACATGGGTTTTGGGGCCCGACTGATTAACATGACATCGGAATGTTTAGTTGCACATTGTGACTATTGGCTTTTGTTGTTAGGCACATAATTCGAAACATGATAGGAATTGCAGAGCAGAGTGGTCGTCGTGCCGAAATTTTACTGGACAGAGATCACGACCGGGCTCTTTTCAGTCCAGCAGCATTAGTGTCAAAGTTTGTAGCTCAACGTCCAGAAAAGAGGCCGGCACTTATCTTCGCACTTATCTTTGAGTACGCATGCATGTTCGTGTCTGTGCTGTTCCAGGGGCCTGGAACAGTGACGGAAGGCTTGCGTCTAAACTGCGTTGGTGCCCCAGACGCCGCTGGAGTTGACCACGTGCGCCAAGCCGGCGCTCTCAACGTCGAGCTCAAGCTCTCACAGACTCTCTCGCCAGCCATATCATGTGCAGTCCTGAAGCTCGTCAGTCTGAACTGCTTGTACACAACGGTTCTTGAATACATGTCACCCGTCTTCTGCTCTTACCATAGACCCCAGTGCGTCGGAGAACGCACCGAGAACTATAGTTAGGCCTGAAGCCTAGGAAGTCTCGCCCGAGAGGATCAAGATCTTCTCCAAGGAACGACAGGGATTGCCTGTGGTTGTAATATTCTAGCGCGCACGCAGGTACGCGGTCGCCCCTGCATTCGCCGCAGGAACACCCGGCGCATATCGCTCTCTCAACTGCCGTTCTCGATTCTGTCATTACAATCCACCAAGGTTCCGATAGTCGAACCGCTCTTAGCGATGCGCCTCAAAGATTCCACATCTGAGCTACACGTTGCTTCTAGCCACGGCCATCTTCGGCCAGTAAGAGTACGAGCAGTGCCTGCATGACAGTGACACACCCGAGCACATCGCCTCGGCCCAGTACAATCTAGTAGAGACGACGGGTAAGAAATATTTACGTCCAAAGTAGGACGTTGTATAAGTACTGGCCATGCCCTATATCTGCCAGAACCATCAGCATCTTGAAATCCCATCGACTTGATTCTTACACGTTCTTTGCTTAGATTCATTCAAGATGCGCGTTACTGCTATCGTCACCGCTGCCGTCTTGGCCAGCAGTGCTACTGCTGCTCCTACCCCAGGTTTGATCAGCAGCATCCTGGGCCTGCTCACCAACGACATCAACAAGCTCTTCTCCTCGCTGGGTATCCACCTCCACACTGATGGTGCCAATCACGGCGCCACTGTTCCTTTCCACGACCAGTGCCCGTTTAGCATCCCAGCTGTCGATCTGAGCCCCATTCGCCACAGCCACGATATCAACTGGGGCAAGGGTGTCAACGGCGGTAACTTCATCAACTGGAAGACATTCAAGGCCAATGGTGCCAACCTAGGTGGATGGCTGGAGAAGGAACAAACTCACGACCCTATCTGGTGGTCTGAGGTGGGCGGCGATGGCGCTCCTGATGAATGGACTCTCTGCCAGAACCTCGGTAGCAAGTGTGCTTCAGTCTTCGAGGAGCGTTATGCCTCTTTTATAAACACCACCACTATCGACCAGCTTGCCAATGTTGGTGTTAACACCCTCCGTATTCCGCTCACATATGCTGCCTTCATCGAAGTTCCTGGTTCTCAGCTTCACCATGGCAACCAATTAAAGTTCCTCAAGACCATCACCGACTACGCCATCAACAAATACGGCATGCACAGTAAGTCGACTTACCCTAGGCTCATATTGTGGTGCCATTGCTAACAAGCTCTTTCAGTCATCGTCGGTCTCCACTCGCTTCCCGGTGGTGTAAACAACCTCGACATCGGCGAGGCACTCTTCCACCAGGCCTGGTTCCAAAATTCTTCAAACCTTGACTACTCTTTCCAGGCTGTCGATGGTGTTCTTAACTTCATCAAGCAGAGCGGCCACGTCAACGCTTTCACGATCGCACCAATTAACGAAGCTTCCGACAACTTCGCTGGTTTCGGATCTGCTGCTGGTCTAACTATCAACGGAACGAACTGGATCAACACTTACTTCAGTGGGGTACTCAAGAAGATCGCCAAGGTCGACAAGCGCATTCCTATGATGATTCAAGATTGCTTCATGGGCGCCAGTTACTGGGCACCCTTCTATGACGCATCTGAAAACATTGTCTTCGACTCTCACGTCTACTACTTCGCCGCCGCCGGCACATACGCCGGCTACGTCAACCCTGCCGTGTGCGGCCAAGCCCAATACATTGCTCAGGAGACAAAGTTTCCGGTTTTCGTCGGCGAATGGTCCCTGCAGGCCATGTACAACAACACTCTGGACACCCGCAAGACCATCTTCGACACTCAGCGTTACGCATGGAACAAGTACTTGGCTGGTGGTGCCTTCTGGAACGGAGTCTCTTACGCAACCGCCAAGGTGGATGGAGAGGGTACCCAGCGCGAGTACTGGAGCTACATTGACTTGATCAACCAGGGTGTGATCACCAAGGTTACAAACGAGTCATACTGTTAGGGGATTAGAGGAGGATGAGTTACGAAAGCATATATACCCAGATAGAATAGTTTTGCAATATTCAACGTTTTAGTGCTTTAAAGTCAAATGTTCTCGTGGTATCGAGTTTTTGTTATTTCCCATCGTTCGAGTTCTATCTTGTCGAGGATACACTTTGTTTTGAATCCTGTGACTATGACGCCGCGAAGGGGACTTCCTTCCTTGAGCCGAACAACAGACTCACTTTCACCTCTCATCAGAGCAGCAGCGGCAGCCTAGTGGTCAGTCTACTAGAGACACAGTATCCGTGCATCACTTTTACTTCATCGTAAATTTGCACCATCTCGCAGGTGATAACTCTTCCACGACATCTGAGTACCTACCCTGCTCACACGGTCCGCTTAACAGTTTTTTCAATCCTCAAACGCTTGCAGCGAAACCGTAAATTCAGGGACGCTACCAAGATACAAGCGACATCAAATCTAATCGGCAGTAGGGTGCACGATGGCGACTCAAGCTGTAGCCAAATCACTCGCGCCTACTCCCAAGCTACCAGAGTGAGTGAGTGCGTAGGCCTGCCCAAGCTCCAGTGGCTAATATCTTAGCCTCTCCGGTGAAACCATCGTGGTTCAGGTTGGCAACGAAGTCATTCACGTACATGAATGTCTGATCAGCAGCAGTTCTGAGTTCTTCAAGAACGCGACAAAACCAGAATGGAGGACCGAGTCTCGCCCGATTGACCTATCTGACGAGCAGCCCGACATCTTCAAGAGATACTGTCAATGGCTGTACACCGGTTTCATCGCCCCAGGCCCCCCAGGCCCCCCAGCAGAAAGCAGCTTCCGGTGTCTCGCGTACATGTACGTCCTAGGAGAGAAGATCATCGATTACGAATTTCAGAATGCAGTCATCCAAGCCATGATGTCTGACATAAGTCGAACAAACGTGGTACCAAGCCTGGGAACTGTCAAGATTATCTACGATGGAACGACCGAGGAATCTACTGCAAGACGTCTTCTTGTTGACAGTTATGCTCATAGCATAGTTTCTTCCTGGGGATATAGCAAGGTCCTTCTCCAGGATGACAATAGGCCCTTTCTCAACGACTTGTTTCCTGCGATATTGGAAAAACGATTATCGCCCCCTCTGCCCGAAAAAAAACCATGGATCTCGCAACGACACTTGTATCACCGAAAGGTCGCTGTCCTCAAGAGCGATGTGGTCGAGTAGAAGAATGGCGAGATGGATTCTGAGCGTGTGGGTGGGGATCAGACGGATTACGGAGGCTTGAAAGGGGCACATATGTATACCATACTCAGCTGCACGACAAGGCTTTCAATAACTACATGCTGATGAAGGAACTTGAGAACAACCGTTAATGGTATGTGTACGCGCTTGATGGACCTACGCAAACACAATGTTAAGATGAGACTACCGGATGCACAATCAAAAGATTGAAATCATCATCAGTTCACCTTCGCTTAGGCGAGAAACAGTTCACATCACCCAGGTGAAGGCGCGTTTATTAGCGAGCGAAACTGGGAGCACTCCTCTGAGCTTTCTCATCTACCACTCCCTTCAGTTTACAGACTTTACCGTCCCTATATCCAACGAGATGTCGACAGCAACAGCCACCACTTGCAGCACTGCTGCAATTGTTCTAGTGGCGCCACCCGAGAACTTTGAGATGCCCAGGTAAATCAGATATGGCAGTGCTCTATACCGCATACTAACGATACCACAGCCTGAGAGAAGATGTCGTGCCCATTCAGGTTGGCTGTGACAAGACTTCGCTGTTGCGCGTACATACCGGCGTCTTGATTAAAAGTTCCGAAATGCTCAAGAACGTAATAAAAACAGAGTAGCGCACTGATGCTACAAAGCCTATCGATATGTCCGACGTGGAGCTTACGATTTTCGAGGCATGTTGCGGATGGCTGTACACCGGGAAGATTGTACGTAGCAAGGAAGACGATTGTTTCAGTCTCCTTGCTAAATTATACGTCCTGGGGGAAAAGCTGATGGATACTGACTTCAAAAGTGCCATCATCGCTGCCATCATGCGTTCAAAAATTGACCGCAAGATGTATCCCTGCACTAGAGCGGTACAGATCATTTACGCCGGTACGCCTGGCAGGTCGCCAGCGCGACGTCTAATGGTAGACTTCTGGGTGTTCAGTGCCGGACCAACATGGAATGGGCTTTCGGATTTGATCGAGGGAACCTGTCCTGATTTCGTGAATGATCTCGCTCGCGAGCTCATTGTGACACGAGACAGGCCTGACGACTTCGTACAGAGACCATGGATCGAGGATCTTGGTTCATACCGTGTTGATAGCGAGACCAAGTAAAGAAGCTCGTTTGTTCTGAGTTGTGCGGCCAGACACTAAAAGTCACTTGGTGTACCTGGCATTAAGAACGATACATATGGGACATAGCGAACACTTTCACATGGTGATTTCTTCAGATACAAGTCGTGCTATGAACAGCTGGGGCTGGAAGACACATTGCTGGATACGGCAGAGAAGCAAGAAGGAGATTGAGTCGACAGGAAATAGGTATCTTCTCACTTACTATCTACCATAATTCATCACTCAATACTACCACCAAAGCAACAATATCATACAGTTGAAAACGCCGAACATTCTACCCTTGTGACTGATTGACCGCTTTGCGTGCTCCTAAACTCCAATTCGTATACTTAAGCAATAGTCGTCTAGAAACCAAAACCACCAGGGAAGCCGCCGGGAAATCCGCCACCCTGCTGGAACTTGAAGCTGCCACCACCGCCAGGGAAACCACCGCCTTGCCTGAACATGAACTGCTGGCCTCCGAACGGCGAGCCCTGGAAGGGATTGCCTTGTTGCTGCTCGTTATTGTTGGGGTCGTCACCGCGGTCAAAGCGTTCCTTGAGTTCAGGGTCGGAGAGGACTTCGTAGGCTTCGTTGACGGCAGCCATCTTCTTCTGCGCATCTTCAGGTGTCATATTGTTGGCTGAAGCCTTGTCAGGGTGGTAGACCTTGCTCAATTTGCGGTATGCCTTCTTGATCTCGCGTTCATCTGCATCACGCGTTACGCCGAGGACCTTGTAGTAGTCCTTTGTCTTCGACCGCTTGAGCAGTGTATGTGCTTTGTTGTGCAGCTCATCTAGCTTCTGGCTTTGGTGGTGTTCTTTGGCATGGTCTAGTGTACGAACACAGTCTTCGAATTCATCGGCTTCGAGTTGGCCTTGGGCCTTGTGGATAAGACCATGTAGCGAGTTGGGGTTGAGTTGTAGGGCTTCGGTACAGTATGGCGTGCCCTTCTTCAGGTTGTTCATCTCGACGTAGGCTTCACAGGTCATCTCTACAAGGGTTTGGTAAAGACCGTTGGGTGAGTTGGCATAGATGTAGCCTAGTTCGGTGTAGTCCTTGAAGTCTTGCTTGACCTCCTTCAGTAGACCAGGGTCTTCTTCGCCACGGTCGATGAGGAGTTTCGAGGCAGTGGCGAACTGGCGCTTCTCGAAGAACTTGCGAACCTTTTGGATATCCTTGTCGAGGTTCTTTTCTCTCCTGCGCAGCTTCATGCAAGCCTTCGAGTCGGGATCCGATTGGAGACATTGTGCGATGTGCTTGAGACCTTTGTCGGTTTCACCCAGCGAGTAGAAAGCCATGGCGGAGCTCTGAAGATGGGGTACGATGTCGCCGGTGTTGATCTGGAGTAGATGTTGTAAGTCACTGATACCTTCAACGACCTCGCCCTTTTCGAAGCGACAGCGTGCTCTTGTCTTGCGAATGTCGTATGCGCCACCTGCGACTACAATGGCGGTGCCTGCATTTGAAATGCACGAATCCCAATCACCCTTATCCGCCGCTTCTTGTGCCACGATAGCAGCGCCCTGTGCTTCTTCCAGCTGGGCGATGTCATCCGTCTTGCCAGCAGCTTCATAGTCTTTCCGTGCTGCAGCCCAGTCGGCCTTTCTGGCTCTGATCTTGGCTCTCTGCACCAAGGCGCCCTCGAAGCCAGGCTTCAGTTCCAGCACCTTATCGAAGTCGTGCTGCGCTTGTGCTGTTCTTCCGATCTGGAGGTAAGCGGCGCCGCGCCTAAAGTAGGTGAGGTAGTTGCGTGGATCGCGGGTGATGGCAGCGTCGAAGTAGAGGAGAGCGTCTTGGGTGTTGCCAGTAGCGAGTTGAACACCGGCGTCCTTGATCAGCTGCGATACGGGAGTATCCGCGGGAATGTCCGAGGCAGAGAGGGCGCTTGCGAGCGGGAGCAGCCCGAGGGCAATGGAGGAGAGTCGGAGTATCATGGCGGATTGGCGTTGAGGTTGCTATGAATGAGTGACGGTAGGTTGGATGGTGGTGAGGACGTAGAAGAGTCCGCGCAGAGAGGCAGCGGCAAGTGCGACGGTCAGTTCATGGAAGGAGCGAGTCGTGTCTTTATTTGGTCTTTCACTCAAACAATTGCAACTTGTCCTCAGCGACGCATGATAGCCGGGGCGGCGCACTGGCCACCCGAACATTGGAGCCCCAGACGCTAATGCGGGCAGGGGCATGGATGATGACGCGCCCGTGAACGCCGCCGCCGCTACGCCATCAGGACTAGAGAGACGCATACCTCATATCTAGCTCCCCTTCACACTCGCCTGGCGCACCTTTTCCCTTTTTCCTCTCATTCACTCCCCGCATATATCTTGGCCAGCCATGTCTTCTATTCGGCTACGCATCGACGGTCGCATATTCCGCGATCCTCAGAACCGCGAAGTCACCCTGCACGGCATCAACTGCGCGGCAGACGCCAAGTTCCCTGCAAAGCCAGATCAACCATCACACATACCGGACAACTTCTTCGACGGCGATAACGTTTCCTTCGTCAATCGGCCATTCTCCCTAGAAGACTCGGCCACCCACTTCTCGCGTTTACGTAGTTGGGGCTACAACACCATTCGCTATGTCTTCACTTGGGAAGCCATAGAGCACGCGGGTCCAGGAAAGTACGACGAGGACTGGATAGATCACACCATCTGTCTACTGCGCAAGGCAAAAGAATATGGCTTCTACATCTTCATGGATCCCCACCAGGATGTCGTAAGTAGTGTTCTAGCACACTCGATTACCATTTCTCTAACACACCGCGCAGTGGTCACGCTTCTCTGGAGGCTCTGGTGCGCCCATGTGGACTCTCTATGCTTGCGGGCTGGACCCCGAGCACTTCGCCGTTACCGAAGCCGCCCTTGTACACAACACATACCCCGATCCTGCCACATTCCCTAAGATGATCTGGACTACCAACTACACACGATTAGTAAATCAAGTCATGTGGACACTCTTTTTTGGTGGCAGGGATTTTGCGCCCAAGGCTATCATGGACGGCAAGAATATCCAGGACTATCTGCAGGAGCACTATATCGGAGCATGCGAGCATCTCGCCAAGCGGATACAACAGGCCGATGACTTATGGCATGATCCAGTCATCGGATGGGAAAGCATGAATGAGCCCAACAGAGGCCTCATCAGCTACCAGGATATTACCCAGATCCCCAGTGAACAGAAACTGCAAAAGGGTACTTCACCGACTGCTTGGCAGGCGATACTTACCGGATCGGGTAGAGCTTGCGAGATCGCAACTTGGGAGTTTGGTGGTTTAGGACCCTACAAGAGCGGTTCGGTATTGGTAGACCCCGAAGGCACAATAGCGTGGCTATCAAAAGACTACGACGACACCAAATACGGCTGGAAACGCGATCCGGGCTGGAAGTTGGGCGAGTGCTTGTGGGCGCAACACGGTGTCTGGGACCCAGCGACTGATACTGTTCTGAAGAAGGACTACTTCGGAATTGATCCTAAGAATGGAGCCAAGATTGATTACGAGTACTTTACGAACCACTACTGGCTACCGCACTATCGCGCGTACAGCCAGATGGTCAAGTCGATATTCCCAGACTCTCTAATGTTCTTCCAGCCTCCAGTACTGGAGATACCACCGACTGTCAAGGGCACAGAAGATGACGATCCTAACATGATCTTCTCACCGCACTTCTACGATGGAATTACTTTAATCACTAAGAAATGGTATGTTCTATCACACCGAACCCGGATATATTTCATCTAACCACGTACAGGAATCGCGTATGGAACGTCGACGTTTTTGGTGTTCTGCGAGGGAAGTATCTAACGCCAGCGTTCGCCATCAAGATTGGAGAGAATGCCATCAGGAACTGTTTCTCGCACCAGCTCAAGGCAATCCGCGACGAGGGTACAGAGTACATGGGAGTTCATCCTTGCATCTTCACAGAGATCGGCATTCCATATGACATGGATGATAAATACGCGTACAAGACTGGCAACTACAGCAGCCAGATAGCAGCGCTGGACGCGAACCATTTTGCCCTTGAAGACAGTAAAGCTAACGGTTTCGCATTGTGGACATACGTTGCAAATGTAAGTTTGTGTTCTGTACAAAGCTGGATTCTGGCTGACAAAGACAAGAACTGCCATTACTGGGGCGATCTTTGGAACGGTGAGGACTTGTCCATCTACTCAGTAGACGACAAAGCTGTACCAGCCGGTGCCTTCTCACCAGCCGACTCTCGTGCATCACTAGACACCAATTCACCTACTTACTCAAGGGCGCAATCGACCGACACCCTGAGCATCAGTCCTTCCAACCTGCAGAAGACCATCACGCCAGAACGAATGAGTTCCAAGAAGGATGAAGGCGATGTCCGTGGTCTACGCGCAGCAGAAGCTTTTATCCGTCCTACTCCTGTTGCAGTTCACGGAGACATCTCATCCTATGGGTTTGATCTCAAGAACTGCACGTTCAAGCTTGCGCTCGCTGCGCCAAGCTCGACAGCAGAAGAATTCCCTACGATCTGTTACCTCCCTGAGTTCCACTTTCCGTCGGGACAAACCAGCGTCGAAGTCAGCGGCGGCAAGTGGACCATCGCATCTGAGGAGACAAATGGTGCATTGCAGCAGACACTGCGGTGGTGGCATGCAGAAGGCGATCAACTCATCACGGTCAAAGGTGTCGTGCGAAAGGCAGGTAGCGCATTAGGCACAGAAGAGGATGAAGGGTACCTTCAGCAGTGCCAGAAGCAGACTTGCGTTGTCATGTAATGTCTCGAGCTTCTGGGGGTTTTGGTGTGGTGGGGGAATCGGACCAACGCACGGTGATGCAATGTCATCCGATGCTCAGGTCACGCAGTCAGCGCAGTTTTTGTGCATATGATCCGTTTGGGTAAACATGAGCGTTGTACGACTTTCTGATCTTGTCACGGCGTTTGGGGGCATCTACGGTAGTGTTGAGCGTGTATATAGCGATATTCGATGAAGACTAGTTGGGAAGCGACGAGCCTAGTTCTGGCGGCAAAGCAGCTGACATCGCGTTGACGTGACGTGCCTTTGGGACTGCAGCCTGCAAAACGCGTCCATGGAACGTGCGACGTGAAGATAAGCCTCAATCGCCTTTTTGAACCGTTGGGACACAGTGCACCACGTCTCGGGCCAGCAAGTCAAAGAATCTGGGCTTACACGCTACACCGCCATCTTTCTTTGGTTTGTCCCAGACATCGGCGCCAAAGCTTCTCGACCCACGATCCTTGTCCTCTACGTCTTCCGCTTTCAGCAACCGCCGCCCGAATAATCTGAGACTCGGAATAACAAACACACGCCATTTCCACAATACCCGCGGCAGCTCACGAATAGACTCACCCGACCCTACGTCCCCCGGGCCCAGGCTAGAGAAGCCGTCTCAAGATGAATGCTGGCGCAGACCAAGCCCCGCAAACAAATGGCGGCGACGGAGCACAACACCAACACCACAGCGCCAACGGAGACTCGGACCTGTCCCAGATACTAGAGGCGCTGCAGGCCATCTACGCAAAAGACTCGACCAATGATACCCGCCGACAGGCAACCGAATACCTCGAGCAAGCAAAACGGCACCCCGAAGCGCCTTCCCATGGCCACACGCTCGCCCTTGATCGCTCGCAGCCCGTGCCCCTCCGCTACTATGGCCTTACCATGTTGGAGTACTCGATGAAGTACAGCTGGGAAGATCTCACAATGGACCAGGGAACTGTGTTGAGGGGCTATGCGATCGACCTTGCACAGAATGTGTCCGAAAGCGAGCCCGTCTTCATCAGGAACAAGATCGCGCAGCTGTGGACAGAGGTTGCGAAGCGCAGCTGGGGTGCAGAGTGGCTGGATATGGACCGGCTGCTCGTCTCACTGTGGTCGACTTCGCTGCACCACCAGGCTGTCGTCTTATACATCTTGGAAACGCTTTCCGAGGAGGTTTTCAACCGTGAAGACGCTACGGCAGGCCTTCGAGGAAGCGACTTGGGACGAGCATGTGTCGAGATTTTCACACCGCTCTCTGTCATACAAGAACAACTCCCTACACGCGAGAAGAGTCTTGAAGTGCGGTGTGGGGACGAAGGGTGGCTGAGAAGGCTATGCGATAATTTGGGATGGTGCTTGGGACAGGATTACCAGAATCAAGAGGCTGTTAAAGCGAACGCGATCAAGACTATGCATGCGCTAAAGGCGGCTATGCCATGGATTATGCCCAAGGCCATTGCTGCGACACAAGTCATCGAGGCCGTCTGTAAGGCGCTGGCTACCCCAGCCGTGGAGATGCAAATCGTAAGTCACGTCTAGCTGCCCACAATATGCACAGCTGCTGACACAAATAGGCCGCCGTCGAGACTCTCCAAGCCATCTACAACCGAACCCACCTACACGACGACGAGTTTGTAGAGCTTGTATGCCCCATGTTCACACCTGGCAGTGTTTCACTCCTGCGAGAAGTATACAATTGGACACTCACGGACATGGATGTGAATGACATAGATGATCAGAAATATATGCTCTGCAAGAGACTTTCAGAAGTACGACTCCAGTTGCTCTTCCTATTTGTAATGCTTGCTAATGATGGTAGTTGGCAAATAGTCTTGGACTCTTCATCGAACAAAAACCCCAGTCGATACCCGATGGCAGCGATCTAGCGGGCATGTTTGGTTTCCTATACGACATTATGCGCAACCCGAGTCTTGTCGTCTCCATACCTGTCCTTCATTGTTGGACCAAGTTGCTACGATCGAGCATTGTGCGAGACTCTGATGTCGTCAACTCCATGGTTGGAGGATTACTCGAGACATGTTGCGCTCGACTCATCCGATACGAATCGTTGCCGGAAGATACTGAAGACGTCACATTACAGTTTCTCAACGAAGACATTGATACAATCCCTGAGCGCCATGCCTTTCTGGGTAACTACCGCAGGTTTTGCGCAGATGTGATTGAAGTCTTGGTTCGCAAGACGCCTGTTGAGGCAATGGAGCATATCCTTGCTCAAGCAACAAACATGCTCCAAAACCTGTACAATGGCCAACCCACTTTCCAACGACAAACCTTCACTAAGAATTCTCCGCAAGTTCTTCAGGTCGATGCGCAGGTCACTGTCATCGAAGCCGCACTCAAGGGATACATGAAGTGGCAGCAAGGGCAGGGCGAAGATGCACAAGACAATGAACGGACGCGCAACACCCTAGAAGATTCACTCGAACAGTGGGGCAGGCAGATCTTGCAAGCTCAGTTTGAAGACCCTGAAGTCGCAAGGAAGATAATTTCTTTGATGGCAACACTCTCAACGAAAGCTCTGGGCGATCGGCCAGGTTTCGCCCTTACTTTCCTGGAGTACATGCTTACAATACGGTTAGCCGATGACACGAGCTACCCACAGTACTCTGATTCTGTCAAAGATCTCGAGCGCATATGCAGTCTCGAGATGCAAAAACTAGCGATGAAGTTTGCTGACGATTTTATGAACGTCTACGAGCAACTAGAGGCCAAGGTCAATGAGATGATTAATGACCCAACGACTGACGAACGCCAGCGTATGGCTTACTCCGCTTTCCTTTTCATCATCATACATAGATGTACAACTTTAGAGCGCGCCACACAAGAAGAGCGCATGAGGCAGATGCTCAACAGCGTCAAGGATGCTTGGCACAATGATGAGTTCACCAACGCTATCTCTTCATTCCAATCTTTCTGCGGCGTGTTGGGCATGGGTCAATTACCCGAGTTTCTATCTGCGAACAACTTCCGTGGCGTTCAGGACTGGTCTGATCAACAACTGCCTAGTGATGGCCAAGCATTGCAGGCTTCGATACTTGAGCGTTCCCAACATCTGCCACTGCGACTTACTAAGACGCTACTGGCAGCGTCGACGGAGAAGCTTCGCGATGGTACTGCTGCGTATGAGACCGCTGCGGTACTATGGGCTGAAACTATACCGGTGCTGCTTCCCAATCTTCTTCAGCTTGTGAGCCATGCGCAAGCATTCAACGATATTGAAAGCAATTGGTCACACTTACCGGTAGAATTACAGCAGGTTATTCGAAGAGTATTGACAGATCGGTTCTGGCAAGCGGGTATATCGACAGAGAGCAGAGATGATTTCTTTGCCAGAGTCAGTGGCTCCAAGTCCACGTATGAGGGTTTCGCATCGACAGTACGGGGCACTGTACGGCAGATTAGGGAGAGCTCCTACTACATTCTTTACTCACTGACACGGTTCCGAGACTTCTTCTATGGCATACAAGACCTGCCAGGACCGCTGAGTCAAGCACTATTCGGTCATGCTGGAGCTTTGACAGCACACCATCTATCTGTTCTGCTGACAGTATCTACCCATCTCATCGAAGGTTGCCCAGCGCGGTTACGGCCACACTTCCTACCACCAATGATACAGGGGTTGTTCAGAGAGCTTGATCGAAAGATATCTGGAGAGTGGGATGAGGTTGCCCGACAAGTGGCGGAGTCAGGGGACAATGACAACTTGACGGACGAGATGAAGACGGAGAGCATACTACGTCAGCTCACATATTCGTCTGTCTCGCTTGTCGCTGTCCTGCTCGATTCGAGACAGGGTAAGTCATTCATTGCTCGTGAACGCAGTTGGTGCTTTTATCGCGAGTGCTTTTGGTGGGTCGAATACGATTTGAGCACGGCGTATTCGGATCATAGTTGTATAAGAAAATAGCTAACCCTATCGTAGAATTTGCCCGTCACGATGAGCACGGCCGGAAAGAAGCCAACGCACCGCCCATGTGCGACTTTATTCTCGCAACTCCCGCAGTTCTCGAACCCATCCTCCTCTTCTGCAACTCAACTATCCGTGTTCGAGATACCAGGTCTGTGGTCACCATCGTCCGTGTGATGCGCACCCTGCTTCTACAGTTCAAAGAAAAATCTCCCATCCGCGATTACTTTTGCAACGACATACTCAAGTCAGCTATCACATCCCTCCACGAGCCCTACTTTGTGGATTGTCAGAAAGAGCTTGCTTCCCTTATCGCCGGCATCATTCACCTGGATGAAGACATACCGCGCTCGATCATCCTGTCCTTACCCGGCATGGGTGACCAATACCGTGTCGATCGCCGACTTGCAAAGCTTCGCAACGCCAACAGGTCTGACGAACGTATGCAACGCAGCATCGTGCTCGATCTCTTGAGTAGTATCAAAGGTGTCAGTATTCACGAGCAAGGCAAGATTCAGAGACCAAAGGCCAAGCCTAGGACGGCCATGATGGAGCAGTACATGAGCGTAGATCAGCAACCAACTATAGTCAGAGGAACTTCTCCAGGCCTGGCAGGAGTGGCAGATATGTTTGGAGAGTCGTAAATATACAATGTGGTTGGAGACCATTGTCTTAGAAGGAGGATGGTGTTTGGGTACGATTTCCTAGTGGGGAGAGACAACTCGGTTGGAAAAAAGGGTATCGGGTACTGCAGTACGGTATTGGGGTGAATGAACTGAGAAAGCATTATTGAGACGACACGAAACGGCAGGCTGGATATAGGATGACTGGTATGCATAGCATGGATATTTGGTTTCTTCTGATGACGTCGCATTAGCATTACATGTTAGGCAAGAGATCTCTTTGTATTGTTGCTTGTTAGATGTCAAATCAGAAGCTTGCACCAAGAACCAACTCTATCTCTATACGTCACTAGTGTCAGATTTTAGTGAATGTATCCGTCTTATCGATTACCCCACCCCCGCTCCTATCCTACCTGGTACTTGCCGTGCCTGTCTACCAAAAGAAGAAGCAACCTGTGAATCAGCACCTGCCTCGTTGCACTCTGTTTGTGAACTGTCATTGCTCCTTTGTTCGTCTGCATTGCCTCCAAGAAGTCACACATTGTGCATAGAGGATAACAAAACTTCCTCTTGATCATGAGCGAGATACCAGTCGTGGATTTTGGCGCTTTCTTCCAGGGTGGAGAAAGCGATAAGAAGAGGATTGCCAAAGAAGTTGATGATGCATTCCGTGGGGTCGGATTCGTGTATTTGAAAAATCAGTAAGCATCTCTATAGAAACTGTATGTGAGGCATATACTAACGCTGTACACCCGTATCTAGTGGCGTGAAGAAGAAGTTGGTAGAGGAATGCTTCGCCTGGTCCAAAAAGTTCTTCGATTTACCACTCGAAACGAAGATGTTGGCACCTCACCCACCGGGAGGAAGTCATCATCGTGGCTACTCGGCGCCGGGTGTGGAGAAGGTTAGTCAAGGAGTTTATGATGTTAATGAATTGAACAAACTGAGAGAGGTAGGTCCTTTTGATCACCAGCCTTCAGAGTGCATACTAATGGGATTCAGACACCTGACTATAAAGAATCTTACGAATCTGGCAACGTGAATGACGAAGCACAACCGAATATCTGGCTTCCAGAAGATAGGCTTCCAGGCTTCCGCGCATTTATGGAAAATTACTTCACTGAATGCGCTAGTCTAATCCACAGCATCTTGGATGCTCTCTCTATTGCCCTCGATGTTCCTGAACCAGGTCTCTCCCCCACACACTCAGAGTCGCTCTTTCAACTCCGGCTCCTACACTACCCCTCTATTGACGCCGAACAGCTACGCAATAACGAACGCAGCAGAATCAACGCCCATTCGGATTTCGGCACCTTGACCCTGCTCTTCCAAGACAAAGTTGGAGGACTGGAGGTACAAGATCCTGTTGAACCAAGTACTTTCCGCGCGGCGGAACCCATCGAAGACACCGTGTTAGTCAACATTGGAGATCTGATGGCGAGATGGAGTAATGATCGTTGGAAGAGCAGTGTCCATCGTGTTGGATTGCCGCCAACACTTCAGGGGGGAGGCAAGGCTGGTGAAGTAGTGGTACCAGATCGTTATTCGATCCCTGTTTTTGCGACGCCGAACATGGATACTATCATCGATACATTGCCAGGGTGCTGGGATGAGAAGAATCCGAAGAAATACGAGCCTGTGACGGCGTGGGGGTATGTGCAAATGCGCATGGCTGCATTGTACGAGTAGCGATCAGACTGGGAAGGCCGTAAGGTGCCTGTTTTTCAATACCCGAGAGCTGCTTCTAGGCTAAAAAGGCAGATAAACCGGTCAGTTATGTTTGATCCTGAGGATGACCTGTCACAATGTGTTCTGCAGAATGCCCTGTCGTATCGTGCCACGCCACATGCAGCTCGAGGTCCTGCAAGCACCCATCGCACGGTCGTATTGACTTAGGCAACCAGGCGGACGTCCCTTAACTTGATATCAACACAGCTTTACCTATAGCAGTATCGTAGCTACACGATCATAGCGGGTAGTCCTTCTTGCTCCAAAACCAAAGTGAAGGTGACCCCGCACGTGAGGACGCGTCCGCAGGCTCTCGGGGTCGTTAGCGCCATCCCCACTTTCCTAATTGGCCAGCTCACTGAGAGCTGTATCTTCTTGTTTGCTTCGGTACCTAAGTTCTACTCGACTTCTGGTACAAACAGAGACATATCCTTCGGTATTCTGCGGATCAGCTTGTCGAGGCGCCGCAGGCCTTCGCGATGGATATCTATATTCCAGAGGTAAGTAACGACGCTGGGGTAGGGCTAATAGCGTCCCAGCCACGGCACTAGGCTAGCGAATATCGGGCGCAAATAGTAAACAGGTAGCTAACCAGATCTTGTAATTATAGGTTCCGAAGAACGCCAATAATGTCCAGTTGAAGATATTCTTGAAAGACCTACTCCTCAAACTAGAGGTGCTCGCGTTCGACATCCAGAAATATGGGGGTCATAATGGAAAGCCTCACTTCGCCATTCTCACCATACCGAGCACAACTAAAGGCAACAAATTTCTGCAACTTTATGGCAGTCGAGGACGACGCGTAGCACTTCAATCATTGGAATTTCAAGGTCAGCGACTTGTGTTTCAACTGAGTAATAGGCCTGGTCAACCGGATCCCCTCAAGGTCAAGTCATTGCAAGAAAGAGAAGAAGCTGAGAGATCGAAGCTGGGAAGTCAGGCGTCTACCTTGAAGCTAGAGCGCCCTTTAAAACGATCGACACTGTCTTTTCATACGTTGATGACAGGTGTTTGGGATTATGATCGCCTAGGCAAGCTCGTTTTTGATCAGAAGTTCAAGGATAAGAGGAATGGTTTCATCACGTTTGGCAAGAGCGCTCTAGTGGTAAGCCTGTTCTTCTAGCTCAGCCGTGACAGGGGTACAGCTGCTGACCTGATCAGATATATCTCCAAGCAGGTGTCTCCGAAAATTTCAATTGGCACTGCAGAATCGATATTCCCTACGCGATCATAGAGCATACAATTCCGTCAGCCGACAATGGCAGACACGAAACGATCACATTCACCCTCAAGTCACCTCCGAAGTTCTACGAGATCCAGTCTACAGATGATCTGCACCTGTATACTGGCCAGCAAGCATCGCACGAGCCGAATGACATTTCTTCCCTGCTAGCGAAGATGAACATGAAGCCACAGAAAAAGGTTCTCCGTCTGCAAAGGCTCTGCAAGTTGAGCAAAGCGAATGACAAGAACTCTGCTTTATGCATGGTGTACAAAATTGCCTTTCCTGACCACCAAACCGCAAGGTTCGCTTGGAACTTCGTCAAGGACTTCTCAGTACTGGACACACACTGTTGGAAGACCATGATTCCCGCGAATCGGACGAACAGCATCGAAGCCGAGTATTTGTTTGTCGAGAACAAACTTCGCGAGGCCTTCGAATTTGGGATCCGATATCAGCTATTAGCACTCGTGCTAGAGGGCACAATCACGCCGCTAAAGATGTTCGAACTCATACCTGCCGTGAAAAATATCGCGAGACAGCATGGTGAAGATCTCACTGCAATCGCAGTTCGTTGCTTAGGGAATCAGATACCTACGCCTGCTCCAGGGGTCGAGGCAGCCGAATTCGAGATCAAGACTCTTACGAATGTTCTCAATGAAAGCATCGCAAAGAGCAAATTCCACGAAGTAACTTCGCGGGACTTGCGTGTTGAACATAGCAAGCAACATCTCGTGTCAACTTACAAGGCTACGGTCACCCCCACAGGTATAGACTTTTCTACCTACTGTGGTTCCCAGAATTTTCGAATACGTGACTGAGGTTAAATGTAGGTATCTTGCTGCGTGGCCCTGACTGGGGTACCTCGAATCGCATCTTGCGAAAGTATGCCACCCATAGCGAATACTTCATGCGTGTGTTCTTCGCCGACGAGGACGGGTTGTCGGTATTTCACGACCCACGAGCGTCACAGGAAACGGTCTACGAACGCTTCAAATGCGTGCTTCAGGATGGTATTCCAGTCGCTGGGCGGACTTTCCACTTTCTCGGCTTTTCCCACGCATCGCTTCGAACTCACCAAGCTTGGTTCATGGCTCCTTTCGAGAAGAACGGTATCACTGTTCGCGCAAGAGATGTCATTCGCGACTTGGGTGATTTTACACACATCCATTGTAGCGCTAAATGTGCGGCTAGAATTGGGCAAGCATTTTCTGGCAAGTAACACATCAGTGCTAAATGCATGTTAGAGATATACTGACTCTGTATACCAACATGTAGATACCATATTTTCGGTTCAAGTTCCATCGACCGCGTTCGCCACCGAAACCAAAGACGACATTGTGCGCAATGGTCGGACATTTAGCGACGGTTGCGGAACGATATCCCTTGAACTGATTCGCAAAGTGTGGAAGGCTTTACCCCCGGATCGAAGAAGACTCAGGCCGACCATACTGCAGATCCGCTACCGAGGGGCTAAAGGTGTCTTGTCGCTCGACCAATCTCTTCCAGACGAGCAGTTGCATGTTCGAAAGAGCATGACAAAATACATCGCCAATGAAACTTGGCAAGCTCTCGAGCTGTGCGGAGCTGCCTACAAGCCCTTACAAGTGTTTCTAAATCATCAGTTCATCAAGATCCTAGAAGATCTTGGTGTTCCGGCAAGGAACTTTAAGGCTGTGCAAGACGAAGCAGTCAGTACCCTGAAGCGAATGACAGAGCATCCTTTGAATGCTGCAAGTTTCCTCGGTAAGTTATCCGGTGTAGTACGCACATACATCATCATAGACCGGAGTCATTTCGAAGCTAATCCAAGGCACCCTATGAAGAAATGTACTAACATTCGCCAGAATACTCGCACTCTGGCGTATTCGCCAAGGTCCCCAAGTTGTTCCAGCTGATGCATCAAATTAATCTATCCTTTCACGAAGATAAGTTCCTTACCGATATTGTAGAAGTCGCAGCTATGGCAAATCTGAGGAGCATGAAATATCGCGCGCGTATCCCTATAGAACGAGGCTATCTTCTCTACGGAATCATGGATGAGACGAACACGTTACGCGAAGGGGAAGTCTATATCGCGACGCGAGACTATGATCTGAATGGCGGATTGAAGACGAAACGTCTCGTCGGTGATCGCGTAGTGATTACCAGGGCACCCGGTAAGTTTTGACTGTACGAAACGGACGTGATCCAGACACTGACTGCGCATCTTCACCTCTGCAGCACTCCATCCAGGAGATGTCCAGCTTGTGACCGCCGTTGATGTTCCAAACAGCTCACCCCTCCATGCGCTCCATAATTGTGTTGTCTTCTCGCAACAAGGTCCACGAGATCTGCCTTCGCAGCTGAGTGGCGGTGATCTCGATGGAGATCTTTTTCACATCATCTTCGATCCGCGACTCATTCCCGATTTCACCGTACCGCCTGCGGATTACCCATCGACACCAGCCAAAGATCTAGGCCGTCCGGTAGAGGTCAATGATATCGTCAACTTCTTCATAGAATACATGAACATGGATCGATTAGGTCAGATCTCGAACAAGCATAAAATTCGCGCTGACAAAGCGCCTGTTGGGACTCATGATACAGAGTGTCAACTTCTTGCTAAGCTCGCGTCCGACGCTGTTGACTTTAGCAAGTCCGGAATTCCTGCCGACATGGCTTCGATACCGCGGGGTGCTGACCATATTCGTCCGGACTTTATGGCGCCCGTGTCAAACCTAGTTATCAACGAATTGGGTGCAACCGAACTTGAAGAGCTCGAGGGCGATGACATTGACGATCCTGACAGCGTAAGTGTGCTTGACCCAGACAAAGCACGAAGTCGGTACTATCGGAGCGACAAGACCCTCGGAGTTCTGTATCGCGACATCGATGAGAAGAAGTTTTTCGCACGTCTGAAGGACAATTTTGAGACGCGTCGTCCCAGGATTGGTGAGTCTTTGGTGCAAAAGCTCGAGCGATATATCGTCCGAGAAATTCAGGGTGTGCAATGGGAACACTATTGGGATTTCGCCGAAGAACTCCGCGAAGCATACGAGGAGAATCTGCTCGAAATCATGGATACGCTTCGACCGACTCGCGGCCAGCCTCTCACCGAGCTGGAGGTGTTCAGTGGTAATATCCTTGGTAAGAAAGAGCGCGCGCCATCACGCTACATCCGCGAAGCCAACCAGGAGGTTCAAGAGCGCTTCAATCGTGACGTTAACAGTATGATCAAGAGTATCATAAAGGGTGACACAGATGGGGAGGATGATGCTGATTCGGAAGCGCTGCCGCGCTCGGTTGCATGTTTTATGGTAGCGCTAGAGACCGTTGGCTGGGAAAATTACAGGAATTTGAAGAGCTGGAAGTATGTCGCTGCTGCGGTGTGTCTGGAACAGTTGGAGAGGTACAACGGGCACTTGCGGCCACTTTGAGCAGTGTCGCTACGTCTTGCATCGGCTTTCCATGGAGGATATGTATGATATTCCCGATTTCACGAAGATGCCTGGGGTAGAACAGGATGCGCTTTGACATAGGGTATCTAAAAGAATTTTACGAATCCTATGGCATCGTGATTGAATGCATCAATCAAGGACCCATATAAGTTGTAATGGAGCCGACCACTACTAGGCGTTTGCAAACGGTACATACGATGCGCAGCGTAGGAGGTCGATGATGCTGTAGAAAAAGCCCGACACTTTCAATGGATAGAAATGCGCAAGCAGCCCTTGCCTCCAAACTGGGCCTGGAAGCCTGACGAATCAGCGTCTTCGCATGCGGAGAAGCGGGTTAAGGGGCGAATGTTCGCCTCTAGGACGGAAAAAAAAAGGATTTAGATTAGAGGCTCAAAGAAGTCTTTTACTGTTGTAATTACAACATGTTGTCGTTGTGTTTGATACCAGCGTTTCTGCGCAACCATGTGTTCTCGAGGTTTGTGGTCTCAGCTAACTAATGTCACATCGTGGCCTCGCGTCCCCCATCTGGCTGCCTGACTGGTTGGTTGGGTGGCCGGCCGGCTTTCGGAAAGCCCGGATTGCATCACAAGACCATTCATCAACAAACCCCGCACTCTGATTGATCGGAAATAAAACATCACCGGTAGTAGAAGTACTGGGTGGCTATATATGTAAAATTTTCCCCTCTATTCATCGCACAAAACAACCATCTGCTTACGTCATGTGACGCTAATAGCAACATCTTCGATGGTCTAGTGGTCATGATTTCCGCTTGTCAAGTCTTCAAGATTTACAAGCGCGGGAGACCGGGGTGTATGTTAAAACCTATCCAAAAACAAACGAACGTGTTCTAATCATCCTACAGTCGATTCCCCGTCGGAGAGCTTGTCAGACATGTCTTTTTTTTTGTTGGTGGGAGTTTGATGAGGGGTAGGCGTGGCTCCCGTAACTTTTTAGGTAAGAGTGCGGGGTTGTTAGATAGAACCAATGCTCCAGCCGCCATCAGGTCTCCTGATAGTGCTACAACACTTTTTGCTTTACATAACTGTTTGGATTCAAAACTTCAAGAGAAACTGTGTGATAATCGACCATGAAACAATGTGCATGTTTCTCTAGTTCAAGCGCTCGATCATGATCGCACTATTGCTGGGTATCTCAAGACGCGGTGTGCAGGAAGACATGCACCATATCTATCAACCATGGATCTGTGCATTGACACAATTCCTTCAGCTAGCTGGGAACCCAGCTCGAGCCATCTTCTTCCCTCGTTGAGCCTTACGATTATGGTTGGCATTCGAACTCTTGTTGGCCTCTTTTCGTTGCCGCGAGATCTGCGTGCCTTTATCATCAGCGGGACCTGCGACGCTAGCGCCACCTCTTCCACCACCACGTCCGCGGCCTCTACCTCTACCTCTGCCGCCGCCACCTCTGCCTCCACGACCACCTTGCCCGTCACCACTACCCTCGTCGCCAGATCCTGCAGGACTATCCCGCCATGCTGTTGATTGAAGTTCCCGTTGTTGACCCTGGAAGTTGGAAAACTTCGCTTCGAGTCGCCGGAATTGCCTGGGATTGCGTCCCATCATGATAGCCCAACCTTCAATCGCCTCGTCCGTCATACCCGTCTCGCTCTTGAGTGCTGTTCGAGCTTTTCCCCTTCTTATCTCTGACTCGCGACCGAAAAGCTCAGGTGACATGGTGTAGGCGCGGAATAGAGCTTCTTCGTTCTTGTCGCCCAGGTCAGCATCTTCACCAGGCCCAGGTGCGGCAGTGTCGACAGATGCGCCAACATCCTCCGCATCGTATGTGTCATCACGCTCGTCGTCGTCTGAATCGAAGGCCGCCAGAGCTGCCATTATGGCTGACTTGGCGGGCGCTTCACTGCGGTCAGACAATATCTTGTCAGCGTTCAGGTCTTGACCTCTTCGGCCCATATGGAGTCGGGATGTGTCAATTGCGAGCTGATCGAACTCATCTCCATCAAACACATTGCGCCGTTCCGGAATATGTTGGCTTGATCTGGGCGGGGGCAGTGGTTGTGAAGGCGTAGCTGGTGTGGGCCTAGTACTCGTTAGTGATTCTGTTTAGAGGCAGAATTGCATGATGACAATGGAAAAGCTTACAGCTTCTCGCTCCGATCTGCTTCGGAGAGGTGCGGCGGCAGCGAGTCTTCTAAGAGATGCGCAGTAATCTGCTCAAGATCGTCGTTGTACTCGTCCAAGCACTTCACAATGAAGCCCGCGCCAAGGTCTGGGAAGAGATCCTGTATTTGACTGATCATACTCATGCGATGAACATGGATCTCACCAGTGAATGCTCCATGTCCATAACTATCTTGGTCCGCGTTGGCTTTGCCTTTATCTACCTTTCGTCGAATTAGCCTCTTTGGCCGAGCTAGACCCGATTGCCGAAATGCGCTTAATGATGCTGCAGTGTTCTTTACTCTTGCAGCTTCAGGAGTAGTAGCCTGTTCTCTTATTTTCTCCAGCAACGGCGTGTTTGTGACAAGATCAGCCACCAACGTCTTCTTCCCGGGCTCTTTCTTTTGATCTTGCTCTTCGCTGGATTTCAGGCTATACAAATGATCGGAAAGCAACGAGTATTTAGGTTTTGGCCCTTCTAATGCAGCTGTGAGACCGAGATATGCTGTCGTGACTAGCTTCTTCTGCATTGATTGCGGTATTTGTGGATATGCGGCAAGGAGAGAATCGAGGAAGTCGGACCCTGTGAGCATGAAGGTGCTGGCATCTGACGAGGCCCTGAGAAGAGGCGCAATCCGGTCAAGTGTCTTTTCAGCCTCTTCCGGCCGCTTCGATTCCAGATTCCGGATTAGAGACGTTTTTGCAGTCTGTAACGACTTCTCAATGGCCGTGCTCTTTCTCCTCCAGGACCCCTGCAAGAGCGTGCGAAACTGCTCGCTCTTTGGATACACATGACAAATACCTGATAGATTTGACCAGCTGAGCAAGGCAGTAGGTGTATCTTCCTTGGTAAAGATCCTGTGTAATAGAAAGAAAGTCTTCTTTCGCAATGACGCAACTTTGGATGCTAGCTCATCATCCAGGGCGAGCTCATGGAAGAAAGACAGCAGGAATTGTGTAAGCGAACCCTCCTCTTTGATTGCTTCTGAGAACTGCTGGTCCTCTAACCTCAGATAAAGCTCAGCTAGTGAAGCCCAGGAGTCCAGGTATAACTGCCATTCGTCGGGAAGTATGCTCTTTCTGACTTTTGCATCTGGAAAAGGCGCGAAGTGGGGTAGCGACATCACTATTGGAAATGCAGTAAGTTCGAAGCGCAGGCTGGGGCGGAAGATGCAAGGCGATGTAGAAGGAGTAAAAGAAGCTAATTCACGGTTCGATTTCTGGTGTTTGTCTGCAGTCATGTAGTCATGATGGCTCATGGGCCCGCCTGCCGAGCGATCCAAAGGGAGCGATACCCGATACGGCTCTAGCGTCCGCAATCTTGGCGCTCGTCGCCCACAGATGCAAAATGTCGCGAAAGAACTTATCGACTCCGAACGCCGTCGCCAATTTTAACGCCACCCCAGTCATCACATTACCGCGATCGAGGATCCAGGTCGTGACTGGAATCTAACTCAGTACCTTACAACAACACAACACTCCAACCCGACAAGATGTCTTACAACAAGCCCGAGAAGGACTTCGGTGAGGGTCCCAAGATCCACAAGGCAAGTCTCCTCCAATGCTATGCGCGCAAGGCCGTCTGCTGACTGTAGTTCCAGATCCGCATCACCCTCACCTCCCGCAACGTCAAGAGCCTCGAGAAGGTCTGCCAGGAGCTCATCGACCGTGCCAAGAACAAGGAGCTCCGCGTCAAGGGCCCCGTCCGCCTGCCCACCAAGCACTTGAAGATCACCACCCGTAAGACTCCTTGCGGTGAGGGTTCCAAGACTTGGGACACATACGAGATGCGCATCCACAAGCGTAAGTGCATACCGCTCTAGGCAGTTGATTTGAACAGCAGCTAATTGCCATCTTAGGCCTCATCGACCTCCACGCCCCCACTGAGGTCGTCAAGCAGATCATCATCAACATCGAGGCCGGTGTCGAGGTTGAGGTCACCATCGCCGCATAAGGGCTTGGTCCGCACAAGGGTTATGAAAGAGTGCCAAGGGTCTGAACAGACATGTGGCTATGAACACTAGAAGCTGGATATGCACGAAATGGAATGATTCAGACTTGATTATGTGTTCCTTTGGAGATATGTGCTCTTGACCGTGAGACGACACACTAGGCATACTGCACATTTTTGATGTTTGACCCGAGACGTAATTGTAGTAAATTCCAGGATGACGAACATCATCATGGATTGCTGCGAATGGCGAAAAAACGTAGAGCGTTCCTCAACGCAATCTGGGTTACAGCTACATATGTTCAGTGTTTCGTATTGTTATTCCTGTCTCCTTTCAACTTGGTATATCAAGGACGCTGCTCCCTCAGACCATGTATAATCACCAAAGTGATCAATAAGTGGACAGGGCCACGTTGGCTGGGGCAAATGATAACCAGAGTCAGTCGCTGCATACGTATATATACTCCCCGTCGAAGCATCGTTCTTGTACGGCGAGGACTAAAGGATCGAAGTGGAACACGTTAACATTACCATACCTGCATTTGCTCTGCCCTAATGTAGCGCCAGTATGTCTACAACGCGTCACACAACGCCTGAATACATTCTAAAACTATAGCCTCGTAGTATTCGAAGCCTCTTATGTTGACCGGTAGCGAGGCCATAATAGATCTAGGATCATGCGGTCATAGTTATTTGTAGAATGCCATGTGCCATTGCCGTGCATGTAGACCTTCACAGAACTATCAGCCAACAGCCTCAAACCTGATAATGACGCTTGTATATCTCCAACACGCTCACGACGTACGTATATCGAGACATAAGTGTACCTAAGCGACTATCGAGACTCCGCAGACATCACATGTCACCATGAAGATAGTGTTTATCCAGTCAAGGACTTTCTTAGTATAAGCGCTAGTCAGCTAGCTATAATCTCTCAAGACCGTGTGTCATATCCTCGTGAAGACCACCCATTTTCATATCCAGTATACATGATGATTAGAGAAGGTAAACTACTGAGAACCACCATAATCCTTTTAAACATGGTGCCAGTAGTAGCGGTAAGGTTCATCAGGACCAACTGCCGGTGCATACAAGATCAGATCCTCCACGTCCGCAGCGGGTTCCGGCGTGTTGGGCGGCGGAGGCGGAGACGAGGGAGGTGTGCCAGGAGGATACAAGGGGAGCTGCTGGTAGTGGGGGATCACCCAGATCAGACCACCGGGAGTGATGAAGACCGTGAATTGGGTATACATATTCATGGCTGTTAAGTAGTTGTAGTATCCGTAGTGGAGGATTGCTTGCGAGTTGATAGTTGCCGAATCAAATGTGAACCTTTGTGCCACCAAGTTTTGATGCGGTCGATGATACGATGTTTGCGGTAGTCAACTGCTCTCATGCCCTCCGCGTTACGGAAGGTATGACGGTTTGCAGTAGTGGATGACGTGAACGCTTGAGCTTCACCAACACAGTCCTGCAAGATTGAATTCGTAGACGGCTTGGTAGACTCGGGCGAGGCAAGGTCTTGTGCGTTGGTCTTGCTTCTGCTAGCTCGGATAGCTGTTTGGTTATCAAGCTTAGTCTTGCGAGTTGACGAAAACCGCTTCCGCAGCGAGAGCCTGGTTTTGTGCGTAGTGTCGTAATGCTCGTCGTCAGAAGTGTCAGAGGCAGAAAGGTGATCGCGGAAGATGGCCGTAGGGGGAGATAAAGCTGACGTAGGATAGCGTTCTCCAACTGCGTGCGGCTGATCACCGTTACGGCCAAAGGCGCTGAAGCGATGATGGCGTGCGTGTGCAGTGCTGTCAGATGGTGAACCGAAGGGCGATGCCGTAGCTGTCTGAGCAGTCGAGAAAGAGCTCGCAGTACTCGCGTCAGAGACTCTGTTGCGGAGATGGGAGGGACCAGGGCGAGGGGAGTGCTTTGCGACGGTTGGACGAGGCAGTGATATCTCGATCGCGGGGTTTGTTGACGTTACCCAGGGATAGTTCTTGTCCGAATTCCAAGGACGCGTCTCGGTTGCTGTGGGCGTCGAAACGATCGATCTCAGAGACCTTCTTGACGACAGAGCAGAATCCCCTGAGATACGATGCTCTTGAGGACCGACAGTATGGGAACGTGGACGTAGAATAGCAGGTGATGGAACTTGAAGCTTTGGAAGCGGAGCTGTCTTGTTGTGTGTTGGGGTGGCAGTCACGTCGTCCTCGTAGGCCGACTCGTCTGCGATTGAGTCTGCCTCACTAGCGCTGTTTGCAACACCCCCGTCGTTGGGACGACCTGGACTGCCACTCCCCTTCTCCTTACTCGTAATCTCGTCGTAGAGATCGTCCTCAATAACGACCATGTGGGATACGCCACGCATAGGCCGAAGTCGAGCTGAAGAGCGCTTTTGCGTCGGATGAATCTCGTGAATCTCCTCCAATGCGTGCTTCTCGATTCCTTCCTCAATCGGAAACTCAGATGGCTCGCCACACTGATAGTACTCCCTCAACGACGGAAAGAACTCCGAAAAGCGCTGCGTGAGCCCCCCAACAGAAGGTATAGTTAGCCGCTCAATCTCCGCCATGAGCTCCGGCGAACGCGCACGATGCATGGCGAACAAGCTCATCATGGCGGTGGGCTGCATTGACAATCTTGAGCGCTCGGCCTCATTCAATTCTGCGAGAGAAAGGCGCATTCCATTGACATCATCTGCTGATGCAGGCCGCAGTGGACTACCTCTGCTCATTCTCTGCGACGCGTTAGGCACCTCCTCCATCGACCTCGAATAGCGGAGGCCGAGCTCGTCGATCAGACCATCAAACAGGTTCATTCGGCTGAACCGCATCGAAGGCAAGCCGTGGGCCTGACCAAGCGCGCTGCCAACATTGCTACCGATAACACTCTGACGATGCGACACCATAGAAGACCTTCTCGAGAAATTGATCGGATCCTCTCCCGAAGCCCGAACACCCGACGGTGCCCCAAACGGAAAGCGAAAACTTGAACCCTTTAGGTTGCTAGCACTCGTGTTGAGGCTCGAGTCCTCGTGTGACTCCTCTTTCAGATCAGGCAAATAACGAGATGGACCAGGATACCTATATCCGGACAGCCTGAGGTTCGTCGTAGTGTCTTCCTGAATGTTGGCTAAGGGGGTCAAGGCAGAAGAGTTGGAATGAGTCGCAATATTGCTTGACGGAAGCGATTGCTGAGCTCCACCACCTGTCGCAGAGGGCGCATAGCGGTGCCATTCTAAGTGTGTAGTAGTCTGGCTGTCGCGATAATTAGGTACCGGAACAGCCGCAACTCCGTCCGTTGAGTCTGCATGTAAGTTCGAAGAGTTATCTTGCATCGAATACACAGACGAGGGCTCCAAGGTGGCAGGGGTCGGGCTATTGAGGTCTCCGTGTTGCGCAACAGGAAGCGGGCTGTTATCAAGTACCTTGTCCGGGTTGCAAGCTTGTGGTGTATCAAAGGTAATGGCTCGCGTTTTCACGGCAGGTACCCCTTTTGGCTTCGATGACGTAGCTTTTGGTGTATCGTGCACCTCCACAACAGGCAGGGATGAACTCGCGACTTCATCACAGCTCGTGGCATCGCTCATGCCTTGGTTCATATCATGAGCAGATGAACTTGTCTCATCTGACCTCGGCAAATGGCCTTGCTCGGAATACTTTCGAGACCTAGCAAAGCGCGATGGTAGTGGGCGCATTAAGAAAGAGACTGCAGCATGTACACGTTGAGCTTCCTTTGAAGTAGAAGATTCACGTGGTGGGACTACCGGCGTCATGTGCGTGGTGCTAAGCGTGGATGACGAACCAGACACCGATACTGAGCCTTGCTTCATGTTCTGCTTTGAATTGGTCCGCAGTCTGTTTGCCACGATGGAGAAGCTTGATTCTCGACGAGGCACTGGCGGCTGCTTGCGAAGCATAGCAGAGGGAGGCTTTGACCGAGGCACCTCAGTAGTCGCCCTGTTTTGGCTCATGACCAGAGTCCCTAAGTTGGACGACGGTAGTCGAGATGGTGGTACGGAGGAAGCCCGGATAGGACTTGCAGAAATCTCGACAGGACAGGCATCTGCTTCCTTGCAAGATCTATCTTGCTGGGACACAACATCGATCGCAGACGCAGAATAGCCTTTGCCAGGGTCCTTTCCCATCTGGAACGATGTCGACTCTAAAGATGCCTCTGGTTGATCTGTGCACGACTTGAAGGACAGTTCATCGGACGACTTTTGGACGTGGCTGTTCCTGGAGCGAAGAGCAAGTGGCAGTGGTTTCAAGTCGTGATCTATCGAAACATCTGCATGCTCTTCCGTATCGCTCATGTCTTTCTTGATCGTCCCGACTCGCACAAGAGCGCCAGTCCCATTCTTGGAATCGTTTCCTTGGTAGCCTGCAAGGACATCCGACATGCCATCCTGGCTACCGTGGCCAGGACTGACAGTGTTCCTGCAAACATCAGGTTGAACGCCAGATTCATTTCGGAAGCCACCGCTTTTGGCCGTTGGTATGGAATGTTGAATTGCGAATTCAAGTGTTGATGAATCAAGAAGGCTGGATCCAGTTTGCGACAAGATGCTATGGCAGTTATCTGAGCTGTCTACCGGACTCAATGCGGCTCCGGATATCATATCGGATGCAGAGTACTTTCCATCAGGTAGGCGATCCAATTGAGTGGACTCACTCGTCTTTGACATCGTCGGAGAATTTGGAGTCAGGGACTTCGGGGACAGAGACCTTGGAATCAATGACTTTCTTGACGGCGACAAGGGCTTCCCCGTGGGCGATGGGGATGTCCCCAAAAAGCTCGTTGACTTTATGGAGGACTGGATATCGTCCGTCGTTGAAGCCTCCAGTCCTCTTAGGATCAAATGCCTCGTGATACGGCGAGCTACTGGGGACGCCGGGAGTTCCGCAACGCCGTTTACGATATGGCCGATGTTTGATGACTGGGGAGACACGACCTCCATCGACATTGGTCGTGCCTCTTGTCCTAAAAAAGGATCACTCTTCAACGTCGCCTCACCAGGACTAGATTGTTCGACGACGATTTTGGTCCGGTCTGTGAAGCTAATAGGGATGGCTTCAGCTCCTGATTCTCCAGCCTCATTACGTTCGAGCTGTTCATCCATCTCATAATGTGGCACCGCAGAATGTTCTTCTGTAACGACCAGGCGGTTCGTATCTGCGGCTTTGAAGACCTTGGTTCTATCGAGGCTTCGGTGCACCTCTACAGAGATGCCATCTTTCGGAGTTGGCGGTAGGGCCATGTCAGACGATGGTGGGTCTGAGTCTGTACGTAAGTTTGTGTTAAAACTGGACATGGAAGCAGGCGCAGACCTCTTGAGGCGAGCTTGTTCGACAGCAATACGGTGTTTGTGATCAACGGGCAAGGGCGGAGCCTCTGAACGAGGCTCACCACCCCTAGGCCTATGATCCCTTCGATCTTCTAAGCGAGCCTCGCGGATGACGTTGCCCAGCGCCTTACGAGGGATCAGATGTCCGCTGTTCAGGTTCTGCATCTGCCTGGGCTGATCGCGATGATGGGATTCACCGTAAACAGGGAATCCTTCATCCTCGACGGCGGCACGATCTTCAAGACTCATGGCAGATCGGGAAGACGGGTTCGCGGCCCTCATCTGCCCTGGATTGTGCCGGCTGCTGTAGCCACGATATTCTTGTCTCTGCCCAGCATGCTGCTGCGGATGGTTGTAGTATGCACGTACTGGATTGTCATGGCTCTGTGGTTGGACAGCATAAGAAATTCGTTGGTCGTCGTACGCTTGTAATCCTTGGGGTGGTAGTCGAGCGTCGTCGCCCAAGGTGGGTGAGACTGATCTCTGGTATGGACCAGGCGGTCTGAGCCCACTCCCGTATGATATCGGGTAGTTGTATGAGTTCGAAGATCGAGATGCCGGCTGAAGGCGCAGACTGGTAAGAGACCTGTTGCTTACGAGGCCGAACCTGGGTGGCTGTATAGTATGCGTCATCGAATGCGAGCGATGCGAGTCCCTGTCGCTCTTGGCCCTTCCATTAAAAGGCGATGATCCGGAGGCGTTCATCGTTGTTGGAGAGAGCGTATCAGTAACATAATGCTGCCCATAATGTGACATTGGCTGGCGCGGTGCGGAAGAAGACGAAGGGAAGTGACGGAGCTGCTTGCTGGCTCGGCTAGAGGTGTTGGACATGGAAGAAGCTGTCGACATCCTGCTGGTCGCGCGCGAACGCATGGGACGCTGCATATTGTTGATGCCAGACAAGTCGTCAAACTGGGCGCCGATGCCGACGTTGCCCATCTCGGTCCCGGTCCGGAGCATAGACGAGACACCGCGATCGAGAGCAGGTTGAACCTCGGAACTGGGTGCCCGCGATGCGGGTTTACCTGATGTTCGGCTCAGGGCGGACACGTTGGAGGCTCGAGACATGCGGCCGCCGCCATTCGGATCTTGCTCAGAGAGCAACATAGTGCCGTCGATGCGAGAGTTGCTGAGAAAGGAAAGCAATCAAGGGCTGTATGCAGGGCGAGAACGACGCTGTTGCGGTGGAAGCTCTCTTAGCTGCGGTATTGCAGAAAGATGTAGGAGTTATTGGTATGACCAAAAGAAGAGGCGATACTGCACTAGGCGGCAGATATCCAAGAAAGACGAGAACGAGTGACCTTTACACAACTCTCGCCAACATCTCCACCAAAAGGAGAGTGCTGTTGAGAATATGAGTGCTGTGGTGGGGGAGGGGGAAGAGACGGAGGGAGCTCGGTGGAGACGCTGTTTTGATGGCGAGATCCGCGCCTACTTCACGTCCACTACGACAGGAGCTACCCCACCACGATTGTTCAGGAAGAAGGTACAGACGTCGACGACGAGAAGAATGCAGGGAGGATGCAGAAAGAATCAGTGGCAGAGATGTATACGAGACTGAGACTGGACCCTACTTACTTGTGTGTACAGCCTCTCATATCCCCAGGACGGGAGCATCAAATGAGACACCAACACAGCAATCGGCAGCTAACATTCCCTGCGCCTCCTTCCTGAGCCTCGCCTGCTCACTGCACACGATACACGCAGTGTGCAACGACCACCACAAACTACCCCCAGACGAGCATAACGGGCCACCGCATCTCCAGATTCATCCGCACGACTGTGCCTTCTGACACAGCCATCTCCATACACGAAGCCAAACCCATTACGCATTGCTCGTTTCCGCATCACATCTACGAGAGCAAGAATATATACATCCAGAAGCCCCGGCAAACCATCCAGAAGACCGGGCACAAGCCACGGTAGAGACTATAAGATTTGGATTGCGCAATACAAAAAAACGCAGTGTCAAAGGGGTATATAGCCTTGCAACGCCAGACAATAAGATCAAAGACGGCACAGGGAACAACAAAGATCAAACTTAGAGGATATCACTCAGCGATGGGGCCTATATCGCCAGATTTCTTCTTGGTGAAAAGCCGTTTGAGAGATGTGAAGCTACTTCGCTTCGATAGCCGCTTGGTCGAGGCGTCTGAGAAGGTGGACAAGGAGGTCGGTGGGCGATTCGGTATATCCACAGGTTTAGGGTGCTGTTCCGGACGATCGAACGCCGGAGAACTAGCACCTAGTCGGCTAGATATCGAACCTTTCGGCGTACTTAGATTTCTGCTAGGGAAGAGACCGAATTGGGCAGTCTGTCGAGAGGACGTGGAAGATACTGAGCGGGGTGATGCGAAGCCTGGTAACATGGCCGATGCGCCTGACACAGAAGAGTACGCCGAGTCTTTTCCGGTCAAAGGTGGGCTGTAATCTCCGTTCTGTGGTTTCGCTGATAGACGTTTCGTTGCTGGTGAGCTCTCCTCTGCAGATAAATTAGATGGCGAAGACACTTTATGCTGATGTCCCAAGAGCTGACTTGTGCGACTAGACTCTGCTTGTAGTGTCGCTCCTCCACGCTGCTCTCCATTGTGCCAGGCATCAGGGTAGTACCCAGTCTGATTTGTCTGACGTCGCACATCCATGTCAGCATTAGAGATGGCTGACGCAGAAGAAGAGTCTTCGCTTCGTTTTGGCGTCTCTGTGGAGTCGGACACGTTCGTGGTCTCTGGCTGTTGTTGAGGTCTTGCTCTTATGGTCGAATGTCTCTGAGGAGTGCCAAAACTGGCAGGGGTCTCCCTACCAGAGGACGAAGGATTCATGAATGGCGGGCGCTCGGGCGGAGGTGTAGGAAGAGGTTTGTTGTTGGCAAAATTTCGGTACGGACGTGCTTCGCGCGAGTTGGACGAGTTTCGTGAGGATGAACGCGTTGCAATCTAAACTCGTTAACAAGGCTCAGACATAGAATCCGGCTGGCGATGCTAAGATGGGATGGAGAATCATAGGCGGCCATACCAAACTTCGGCGACTTGCAGCACCACACCGCTTCTCAATCTCATTGCAGTAGCTGCTCACTTGTACGAGCACAACACCTAGTCTTTCAGCCTTTGCCACAAGGCTTTGCAAAAACTGCGACCAGCCTCCAGTATTGCCACACATGGCTGAGTATATGCGCCCAATGTCCTCATTACGGTATGTCCACGCGTCGCCTACGTCGCCTAGATACAAGTCAAGTTCTTGGTTGGCTTCGCGAAATACGTTTATATCGATCAAATAGTCGTTGAGCAATTGCGACATGCGCCCGATGGTGCGCTCGATTACGATGTTGCCGTCGAGAAGTTGGGCGCGGTATGAACGGTCTTCAAGGAGGCGATCGAATTCGTTTACGTGTTCCATGGGCACTTTTAAGCATTTATGCCGGAAGAGCATGTCTTTCATGCTGCTTTCCAGATCTTCGTTTGCCCTCTGCAAGAAGCTGTCAAGCTCATTGACATGCTTCAGCAGGATGTCTGCTACATCCGCGACCGACTTTTCCAGATGCTGATGCAGCAGATGGACGCCGAAGACGATCTGCGCGACGGTCTTCGTCAGGGGATGAAATTTGCCTTTCGGGTTATTTCTCCAATGACAGTTGTATGTAAAATTCCATGAAGGCTCTGACGCGCTCTCTTCTCTGCACAGCATCTGTTGGCGTGTCTTGACGCTCTTCTTGGGATTGACGAAAGGGACATGGCCAGTCTCGCCGGTTGCATCGAGCATGGACTCCTCGAAGGGCGCCTGCATAGAGGCGAGCGGGTGTATGGGGAAGGTTGCCGTCATGATGCGTTGATCTCGTTCGTCTTGCCATTCGTAGGAGTCGCGGTCTTCGAAGCTGCGACGACCCCTCTGCGATAAGCGTCGAAAAGGAACCATGGCGAGGCGCCGAGTCGATGTGACTAGCAGCTCGGATTATGGTGCTACAAGAGCCAAAGCCAATGCAAGCCGCAACTCGCTGTTCGAGGATCCGGGCTGTGCATAAGCACGAAACACAGAGTGGGAGGGTCCGGGGCAATGGTGTATCGTTGTCGGGCCTTCTTAAAGAAGCATGGTGAAGGATGGCATTGTGTGAAGAGGGTCGACGCCGCAGGGGATGGAAATGTTCAACGTGCCGGAGATGGCGGAAAGAAGACTGGACACGGTCCCAAGGTTCAAGGACCCCTTCGGTTCGTCAGTCATCAGGTCACAGGTCACAGATCAGCCTGGGGATCTGGCACAGAGACGGGGGTTTCTGGTCGCCAGGAGGTCTGCAGGTGGTGCAGGAGGCTTGACCGCAACAAGTCTGGCGGACGCCTTAGTGCCCGGGACGGTTGGTATTCAAAGGCAGGGCGGGGAAGCGGTGGCCGCCCTCCACCACACAGCTATCGCAACTAGAAGTAGACGAACAAGCCTCAAACAAGAATAAACTTTGGCATTGGCTATTCCCAGCGGCGCGCACCACTACAGTTATCCGTTTCCTTGGCCCCGCTGCCACCTTTACCTAGGTGCAAGCGTGTCAAGCAGGTAATCTGGCCAGATCATCACCCAACACCCAGGCCCTCTGTGTGCGCTAGAAGATGCAATGCATTCGCCTGGCCCAGACTAAGAGACGCCTCCAAGCTTTTCCATGGCTGCCCTGAGTGATGATCCCGCGATGTTGCCGTCGTCGTCCACGGGCACACCAAGTGCCGAGGCTAGTCGTGGCCCCATTGATGTTCTAGTCAGCGAAACGGTGCAGCGCATAGCAGACGTCATCGATAGCTTCGAGCGTAAGTTTAACGAGCGCCACGGTGCCTGGCCGATCTCAGCGGGATGTTTCGAGTTCGGGCTGCAAGCGCAAACTTACAATCTCGTGCTTGTGCCTGACGGCTGAGGCCACGGGTGTCCAATCACAGTGCACACGACACGCAAACTTCACGTCGCAGCCGTTGCGCTTCCACCAACTACCATTGCTACTTACGCCTACCAGCCCGTGCAACATACTTTTGACACTGAGACAGAGATTGGCTTTCACCCGCCAAAGAAGAGAAAGTTAGACGACATGGCCAGAACTGCGAGAAACAATAGCGCGAACTACCCTCTTGCGATGTCGTAGCAGCAGACGACCTAACACGTAGTCTCCATCCCGTCAACAAAACTCGGCCACGACGAACAAAACGGACCCGCACCAGAGATTACACACCGCGAGATGCAGCCTGTCCCGCATTGAATTACGTGGGTACAAAATCGCGGAAAGGTCAATGTAGACACGTACGAGAAACGAGAACGGATATGACGACAGTCGTCAGCAGCCTTTCGCGACCGGTAGCACAAGAAGCGTGAGGTTTTCCGAAGCCAAATGTTGCGAGAATCGAACTCTGGGCGATGTCACGGCGATCAAATGCATGCGCAAGCCAGGCCGTGAGAGCTCCTGAAATTTTTGCTGTTTGAGTCCTCGTTACCCATAGTCCTTACACCAAAACCACAGAGTTAAGAGGGCGACGACACAGAGGCTGTTTGGGATGCTCTCACTACAGCAATTGAATACTTTTCAGGGCTGGCGGAAGTGGTATGATGAACGATATGAAGCATGCGGATTATGCGAATGTCCGTCGCCTTGTTTTACCAGCCCCTCCATCTAACCCAGACATCCACCACCGTATCTCCATCTGATTCTGAGTCGACCACGAGATACCATCCGAATCCTGCACCAGCCACGCATGCATGGTTTGGCCAAACCATAACCCTATCGCCAATCGTCAACTCGTTGCATTCGCTTCTATCGCCCTCCCATGTCAAGATACCGTGCTCTTGACTAATGCGTCCTACTATCCATCCCGTCTTATCTCCCCGCTCATCATATATGTGCTTGGCGGAGGCATTGCCCAGAGCAGATGTAACTATGCCCCAACCTGGGTAAGACTTGCAAGGTTCACGACCCATCGCTAGAGAGCCAGCTGACACGAGGGCCTCGGGCTTTGACCGCTCGTTATACACACTCGTCACTTCGACCAACATTCTAATGCCGATGTTCGATTTAGCGAGAGGCTGGAAGGATGACGTGGCTGCGCTAGAAGTAGATGGTGGTCTTGCATGTGTAGCGACTTGCTGGCAGTCTAGTACGGGGTATACCCCAGCATGCAGCTCAACGACATGGTCTTTCTGTAGTCGTCCAAGCACGTCGTGAAACTCCTGGACCTTGGGACTCGAACTTGATAGCATGTTCTGTGCTGCCGTCGCCGTGGGCGTCGCACCCACACTGAGCACCAATTTTCCGCTGAAGCTCTCTGGGACAGCCTCGATCGCTTTTTCCAAGCCCAGTAGCTCCTCAATTAAGCCATTTGCGGCATCATCTTCAGATGATCCACCATATGAATGTCCAAAATGCGAGTAAAAACCTTGCAGGAAACACACGGATTTTGGTTCCTGACTCTTCTCAACTACTCTTTTGACTAGAGAAGAAAAGTTCGAGGAGGAAGTTTTGATGCCAGCACGTTCATAACCAGTATCGATCTTGATAAAGACTCCCATCTCCACTTTGGTCTCAGAGGTGCTAAGTCGTTTGTGGAATTTGAGAAAAGCATTCTCGTTGTCGATGATTACGTTGATAGATCTGGGTTTCAGCTTCGAGGCCAGGGAAATGAGGCGTGGAATCCCAGATTGAGGCACGGGTACGCCATAGAGGACCTTGGAGGACGAGCGTTAGTTGCAAGTCTTTAGATTACGAATTACGAAAGCTGTTATGAAAGAAAACAAAGACACGAGTTGTCATCGGGGTGCACTCGAGAGAAAAAACATCTCAATACATACACTAGCTTCCCTCCCTTTCGCCTGCGCATCGCACAGCTCCGGCAACAAGTTCTCGGCCTCAGCAATTGTGCTAACGATAAAGTTCGCCGGACCACTTTCGCCGACTTGCACCTTTGATAGTTCAAGAGTCTTGTGGCTTTTGACGTGTGCACGAAATCCAACTTTGAGTTCCGCGCAGATGTTGAGCATGGCATCGCAATTGCGTCGTATGATAGCGCGGTCGAGGACGACGGCTGGAGTGGGTAGATCCTCTAACCTTTTGCCCAGGTATTGTGAGAGGAGAGAGGCGCGCGTAGGAAGCGGGTAAGCCGACAAAGGATTGATATCTGCCATCTTGATGTACTGGTAGTCGTGAGTACTGATGTTGTTGGTTGTTGGGGTGGTCACGGTTGTCAAGAAGGTGCAGCAATGGCTTTTAAACAAGTCCTACAAATTGCGTCGCAAAAGACTTCCAGATCAGGTGCTGAGCTGTGAGTCACTTTCCAATCCTTGGGCTTTAGATCTAGGTTCTTCTCTTTCCAAAATTTGTCGTGTTGTCTCTTATCGGCCGTAGGCGTTGTACGCGTTAGCCGTCGGACAAAGTATGTGCGATGCGGAACGGCCGCGCAGCTTTGTCGAACAGAATAATCACTTCGCAAGGCCGCGGATGTCCAACAGCTCTGGTGTGTAGTAAGCTGGGGGTAATGAATTCTGCTATCGTCGCGATGCTACCTCAATGTGGAAGATGTGCAATAAGCTGGGGGTAATAGTTTGCCGTTGGAGGTGGATCTACGGAGTTAGCATAGAGTGGGGTGTTGCATCGCGACGTCTTGTGTGGGTCCGACATGAGAAGCGCTGATACGTGACAATAAGCATGCTCGCATGAAGGAATGTATCGGTGTAATTGATGAAGAAGTATGAAGTGCCAAGATACAATCTAGTCTGTGTACCGAAACCGTCACAAGGTCTTTCATACGCAGTATGCAGACCGCCAAAGCGCCTCTTAAGAGCCCGGCCCTGGCCACACACTGCTCAATCTCCTCCTTCGCCCAGCCATTGCACTTCCTGGACTAACACTCCTCGTGCCCATGCCCGTTGCCGCAAAACTATTCTCAAGTATAGCATCTTCAAGGTCATCTTCCTCTTCGATTCTCTGCACTATATCGGCTGGTGGCTCTTCTTCAAACACAGCCTGCAAATCGGCATGTGGACTCAACTGTTTCCAGCTTCTCCAAAATCCAATGTCCTGCAACCAAGTTGTGCGTTTTGAGGGCCCGGGACCATTGATGCTGAGTTGGCGCCGTGGCTTCCACAGGTAACGACGCTCGTAGTGGGAGATGGCAAGAAGGATAGGGAAGTTCAAGATTCGTATCGCTGAGACATTGATCTTGTGAAACCATCGTGGCGATAGGATGAACTTGAGAGGGAGTAAGATTATGAATGCGAGTAGATTGAAAGGTGGTCGATAGGCGAACAGAGAATCGGATTTTACACCTTCGAAAGTGAGCACCGCGCGACGGAACTGGATTTCTGCCGTCGCATCTGCGGCGATCTTGCTAAAGGTGTTGGACAAGATCGATACCAAGACTGTCAAGAATAGGGTGTTACCCAGGAAGGCGTAGATGACCATTAGGGTAGGACCGAGAATCTCATGGAAACCAGGAGCTTCATCAATGCCAGTGCCGTCCAGACCGAACCAGATCCAAAGCATCCATTTTGAGATGGTGATAGAGTTTGGTGAGTCTTCGTAGCCGACTGCTGGATTGCTTATACTCAGCCATTTGAGCGCCAACAAGAAGCCACCGAAACACCATACAGCGATTAGACTGAGAGCGGTGAACTCCTTCACCATTGCTCTTAGTGCAATGAACAACATGTTCTCCGGCATAAGGTTGAATGCGATCCGTGGGAACAGGATTGGCGACGCGACAGCCAGAACGTCGAGAGCTTGTCTGCCCGTCTCGTCTTGACCCATCATCCACCCGTGACATCGCATGCCAAGGTATATAAGGAAGATGCCGGCAAATGTGACATCTAAGAACGCCCAGAGCTCCTGCGTGTGTACTTCCCAGCCATGCTCAAGACAGGATGTAAGTTCATCGAGCACCCAGCCGCTACCGTACAGTAAGAACGTGATCTCGGCACCAGTCAGAAAATGGTCTTTGCGCATAGTCATGCACCAGCAGTAGAGTGCGAGTAGTGTGATGAACTGTACCACCTCGATGATGTTGCGTGTTCTGGGTACCATAAGACGATACTGGTTTAGTGTCGGCGCCTTCCGTGGGTCGTAGAGGGAGATGGGCTTGTGCTTGTAATGATCTGGTATGATATCCATGTATACAGTGGGGGTATACACGATACGCCCGCGATATATAGCATCGATGACTTTTTGGCTTGCAGAACCAGCTAGCAATACCTTACTCTCGGAGACGATAGCCACCTCCAGCGCTGTTAGTTTACCCTCATAATCCCCCTGGCCCTGGTACTCTGAGCTATGACGCGGCGGACAGCGTTCATCTGGCGCACCTTGGAACGGCTGGAAAGGAGCTACCATAATTTGCGCCAGAAGTAACAGACCAGCCTTGCCTGTGGACTCTTCGTCGTGCCGTCGCAGCACTTTCATAGCAACCAGCTCGCAAAGATTCGCGCGCGTTAGGTCAACGGTTTGATGATGTTGCTGAAACTGTTGCTCTCGAAGGAACTGCATTCGATTGACAAGCAGACAGTACACGATGGAAATATCTTCTTCGTCGTAGAGGCGATCCACTAATGGCTTTACGATGAGCACGTTCATGCGAGGCTCTCGGAGCTGATCCACGGTATACGGGTCCTCAATTACTGCCAGGACAAGGCGTCGTATCCTAAAATAAGATTAATATCAAACTCAGGCTCCTTACCTGCCGCAATACACATACCTGTGGATATTGAAGTAAGTCTTCTTGTTATTGTTCAGATCGGGCGCACTAGCAGTTCTCTCAAGCATTGGCTCGCCTTGACCGTTGAAGCATCCGTCAGCGCCAGCGTAGTCCTCCTCAGGGAGCAATGTCTCCTGTTCCTCTCTACTCTTTGCGGACCTCAATGCATCGCTCAGCGTTCTCTGGTTTTCCATCATATGAGGGCGCTTCAAGTACTTTCTGAACTCGATGTGCCTTGACGGCTTTCGTTGAGGTGAGGGCCTGCGCGCAGTAGGTGAGACATCCTCGCCGCCATTGCTAGAGGGTGCGATAGCACTATCATTACTGTCGTGGCTTTTGGTGGGATTTGGGTTGAACGGTGGTCGAGTAAAGGTACCGTAGGCGGGACTACCACTTCTGTTCCAATCTGGGCTTGACGTCGGGCCTGACATGTGAGGCTGCTGCCAGCCTTAGGTAACAGTAACAGGAGGAGTCCAGTAGGCTGCACAGGGTTGGGTTGGAGCGGGTCTTTTCCAGGGCTGAACGGGACGAAAGTGGATAAGCCTGAGGTCCGTAGAAGCTTGGATAGCAAAAGCTGCCACGATCTATCGAACTTCAATGCGCTTCACGCGTCGCGAAAAATAGTCATCAATTCTACTCAGCGACAATGTATAAGTAGTCTTGTCACAACTGATGTCTTTTCGTGGATGCTGATAAGGTGGGAAAAAGGAAGCATGGACCGCTGCACCGATTGCAGGGTCGGCAAGTGAAGTTTCACGCTAACTCTATTCGGTATAGATCTTCATGATCATCTGCGACGTCACTCTGTGACACTATCTCGAAGCTGCTAATTCTCACAAGAACGTGTTTGAATAGAACCAATTTGGTCCTTATACAACTATTCTCATATGCTTTGCTAATGTCAACACAAGGATGCACCATCATACAAGTGAAGATTGAAGGTCTGTTACTTTGTAGTCGCACACGTGAGCTACCTTGCCGAGTTACGCCATGATTGCGGGATTAACCTTCGCAACAAACAAAGAGGAGACGTAGCATTGCAGAAACTATCGGTGAGGAAAATGAGGCTGAAAGGGAGATAGCTAAGCCAATCTTTACCCATTTAATTGGCGAATTTGCACTCGTGGCCGACTGGGTTGGTTGACATACACAAGCTGCATCTTGAAGCGGAGTCTTCGAGATACGTGCCTCAATACACTCCAGTCCTCCACTGAGAAATACATTACATGTACTACCTAGCCAACCAGGGCATGTTAACTCCCACTGTTATCTACCTGTTGTTCTCGGAGGTCTCTCAATCGGACCGAATCAATCCTGTGGCCCCTACATTGAAGCCAAGCGGTGCTTGAGACCTTTCCTTCCACCAGATCTAGTAGCAGTGTCAGCTGTGTTTTGATCATTTGACTCTCACTATCCATTACCCCGTGGACTTCATTGTGGTCGTTTCGGGCTCCTTCAAGTCGATAGATTCCTGTGGGTTCAATGTTCGGGAAAGATAATTTGGAAGGTCACGGCCGGCTAAAACACTAGTCAAAATATCTTTCATGAAATCTGTTTTGTACTGCTCTTCCTGCGGAGTGCAGTCACCATTTTGCGAAGTCAATATAGTGTTCTGTGAGAAATTTGCGCAAGGGATCGGTATACTGATAAAAGCGATGGATGCTGTTGATCACGTTTTTCCCAAGCGTGTAACGCGCGCCGTCTGGGCACTTGTGATGAAATAGTTCCAAGATGACGCAGAAAACGATCTTCAACGAGATCGGATCTTCTGATAGTCCTCAGAATCTGTAGAGGACAATCAATCGATGATACCGGGATTTGATGACACTTGACATGGATGAAGTGCCATCAGGTGAATACTGTAGGTCGGGAACGTTGCCAGTCTGAAGGACAGTAACGTAGTCCTTGATAATGCTTGGCTGCTCAGCCGTCAAATCTACCATATCGCTATGTATTCGCTTACAGTGAAGAGCTATTCTTGGGGATCGCTTGAACAGAATATCCTTGTGTACTTAGATGCGCGTAGTATCACGAAGATGAGGCTCGCAAATGAGTAAAGTGATCATTCCGGCAGTTGAACTAGAGGACCGGTGTTAGATCGAAAACGTGATTCGGGAAGTGGAGTAATACTTCTCCACCATATCTCAAAATTCCAGAAATTCTTTTAGTACTCGTGCTATGGCGAGATGGGTTGTGCTTCGCTTGTATCTGGCCAAGAGGTTTCATAAACTATCAATGAGGGCGGTCAAAACCAGGGTCCACCATTGATCACCTAGATTCGTCACGTCCCAGTGATACACGGAGCGTTCTTTTACCGGAATGCGTCATCCGTATTCTTCACTTACAAACACTGGCCAACGTGCTTTGAAGAGCTGGGTATACAGAGTTATCGTTACACCGCACTCATCCAAATAAGGACTTGATGCTAAAGCATTTCTTTCACGAAAGCTGATCGTGCTTTTTTGCATGATGGTAGCAAATGGGCAACTGGTGACGCGAGGGTTGAGTTGAACTATGCTGGGTACAAGATGAGGATAACCATGGGATAGGTCAGCGGTAACAAGGACTCGAAATGGAGAGCGAACGTAATTCCAAGTTGATGCGTCTAATGCTGTGAGATTGAGAATCCTGTTTGCACGATCGTTCAAGGTGGAGTCCGCGTGATAAGGAGTACCTAGGTATTGTTGGGGTTGATGATATGCGTTCATCATTCCCAGCTTGACATGGATATCTAAATGAGGCTCGCTCGGTCGTTGGGCTAGCCTACCTACGAATGAGGTGTCATCATGTTCATGCCTAGTACAATTTTCCGTTTTGGTCTCTGCCACCTCCGCCTTCCCCAAGTTCAAGTCTGTGGCACCCAAGAGATCACGCGTCACCAAGTAAGACATGTGATCCATCCGGAAAGGCTTTCGTTCCATGCACCATCATTGCTACTGATCCTATCCACAACGAAAGCAATATTTTGGTCAGTGTTCCGCAGTTGGTGCATCCTTTCAGTTCGCATTGCTACGCCAATAGCGAGCGGAAAATGTAGCGCGACCACGCGCTATACACTATAACTACTCCGATCACGTTATCTGGCTCAGGCAAATGGCCTGTTTCCCTACTGGAGGCGCGATGGCGGGAAAAGCTTACCAGCAATAGTGCAGCGTGCGGCAAAGGAGAGACACTGCGCGAAATCCACGCTGAAGCAAATAAGATTCTGTAAGATATTCTAGGTATGTCACAATGGTTTATGTGGCGTGGACCCTTCGAGTAGTGCGTCGGCATCACATGACTCCGCGATGTCGTGACAAAAGAACTGAGTTGTCCACCCAAAATGCCATTGTCTCACTTAAGGCAATGCCTACACACGGAGCTCGTCTCCGCCTTTGAATCGCACCGTTCTTTCGAACAGTCATCGCCTGTACAACCAGGATGACCCACATTTTACGTGATAACAGTCGCGGCACCAATGGAATCGTCGAGATTCGCTCGCCGGTACTCTCAGTCCTTTACACCTGGCGTGCCTGCCCGAAAGAAAGGCGTGATGATTTGTATCGTTGGTGCCTGACAGGCATCTATCCGTATTGAGATAAGCGAACGGAGACGATTATCTTTGCAGGAGATAGATCGGGTCTACTCAAGGTTACACTCCTTCTCTTCGACTAAATTCGGAAGTACTCGCAATCACTCGCAACCCATTCTTCACCGTGATCGACATCTTGATTCCTTCGCTGCTCTTTCGAACTTGTGCAGCCATGCCCTCTGACTCTTTCAAGGACTACTATGCTGACCTTGGGCTCGAACTTGGGGCTTCGGCTGGAGCCATTAAGAAGGCGTTCCAGGATCTTGCTAAGAAACATCATCCAGACAAATCAGGTATAGCAGACGCCACGATCTTCCGCCGCGTCCGCGAAGCTTTTGAGAAGCTCTCGGACTCAGAGTATCGCGCTCAATACGATCGCTCCTACTGGCGCAGGAAGTTTCAGAATGACGACATTCCGACTCAAGAACAGAACCGCGGTGGAGGCGAAGAAAACTTTGGTGGCACACGTAATACAAATCATGACGCTGAGACTCAAGAAGCCCGTAGCGCAAGTCCACCGCCTGTCAAGCCGCAACGCAAGCCCAACGAGCCAAGTTGGCAGTACTTCTTGGGCAAGGCCTATACCACATGGCAAAAGGAGGAGGCCGCTTACCGTGTGAGACACCCTGAAGTGCATGAGAGGTATGTAGACCAGTTTGCTCGTACCTGATATATACTAAAGCCCTTCCTAGTCCGCTCAGCAGTGGCCCGCCTACTCCCAAGCCTGGAGGTATGGCACATGGCATGGTCGTTCTGATGTCTCACCCCTGCGTCCAACAGAGTTGCGTCTACAAGAGCACAGCGTGGCGCCTCCAGGCCGGCGGCGGAGACCATTGCGTATTTTGTATGGTTGTTCACACCGGGGGTAGGAGATGTCCTGGCTGTGAGGTGCTGGCATGTAAGGCTTGTCTCGAAAAGGTTCGCGCATTGGAACGGAGCCCTTTTGAGGGATTAAGATCGAAGGCGCAGTACTGCTCGTCCGGTAGTTGAAGTGGAAGGTGGGATCGTGTGCAAGATGGGTCGTGATGGCAATCTTTAAGGCAATGTCAGATAGGATTGGAGATAGCAAGATGTGCAGAATTCAATGGACAAGACGTCATATATATGATGCATGATCTCTGAGCATGCTCCCAACGCTTCAACTCCAGCATCGTCGTGACAGCGCAAATATGCAAAGCCGATTTTGCTGATGGTGGTTGTGAGTAGTTATCGTCACAGCTGAAACGTCATATTTGGGTTTCACGCGGCAGGAACAACCGACGGCGGAGCTGCCGCCCCTGACGGTGCATTGACCCCGCACATCCAAGACCTGGGCACGGGCTTGCATCATTGTCGCGCTCCAGCGTCCCACATTTTAGAAACGCCGTGGTGTGTCACTCCACTTATGGACGCGCAATCCGTCCAAGCCTATCGTCAGCCCGTCCCGCGAGGATGACCCCATGTATGGTACCTAGTCTTGTGCCGCTCCGCAGGCCTTCATTGGGATCAGCTTGTCCGGGTGCACGAGGCGGACGATCTATTTGCAACCGCTGCAAGTTAGCATACCGTGTTCGTATCTCCTGGTTGGCGGCGTTAGCACGGGACAGCAGCATTCCAATCCAATCCATTCACCGGACCCTTCCGGAACTAGTGCCATTTACAACCTCTTCACACATTGAGACCTTAGACTTCTACATTCCTCCGTGTTTGCTGGACATACACTTTACAACAACCGACCGACGCTTTTCGCTCATTTTCAACAACATTAGTCCACATTCAACATGGACCTTTACCGAGCTACATTCGCTGGATCGCTGCTGCTCAATGCACTCGCATTCTACCAGTCGCACCGCTCACGCAAGGCGGCTGTCGTAGAGACAGCGACTACAGACAAGAAGGATGAACACGAGCATTTAGAGCCTGACTTGGAAGGCCTAAGCAAGTTGAAGAAGCGCTTCTTTCTGATTTATTTGCTGGTCAACGCTGCAGACTGGCTCCAAGGACCATATATCTATCCTATCTACAAAGGTGCACTCGAACGACCTTTGTATTGGAATTTGGAATGCTAACAAAAGTATAGATGAAAAGGGTCTCCCAGAAGAAACAGTCGCGTTCCTGTTTCTCATAGGCTTCATCTCCGCCGGTATCTCTGCGTCTTTCGTAGGCACTCTAGCAGACCGATACGGACGTAAGACGGCATGCTTGGGATACTGCGCCCTCTACTCCCTATCATGCGCCACGCTCTTGTCCGACAACATCTACGTTCTCTTCTTTGGTCGCATCCTCGGTGGTGTATGCGCAACTGTTCTTTGGAGCGTCTTCGAAAGTTGGATGGTGGCTGAGTTCAATCAGCTCATGCTTCCGGACGGCGAACCCCATCTGAGTGCGATATTCAGCACGATGACTACTTCAAACACATGTGTGGCTATCGGTGCGGGTGTCTTCGCAGAGTGGGCGGTTAGGATGACAGGCACGGCAAAGACACCCTTCATGGCTTCTATTGGCTGCTTGAGTCTGTCTTTCCTCGCTATCTCAAAGTACTGGGGGGAGAATTATGGGACGAGCAGCCGCAGAGCTTCAGAAACTGAAGGGCTGCTCCAGCAAGAGGAAGCTACCCCAGCTCCGCCAGCCACGTCTGCTCTCCGAACGATTTTGCGCGATCGCAACATCATGATGCTTGCATTGGTATCGGGCTTCTTCGAGGGGTCTCTTTTTCTGTTCATCTTCTTCAAATTCCCAGCGTTGAAGCTCAGCCATAAACTGGCGGGCTCAACTGACGGTAAGCAATACTCCATCCAGCTGAAGCCGGGTTCACAGAGCTAACATCTACCAGAACTTCCGTTTGGTCTCATTTTCGCCATCTTGATGTGTTCTATGATGTTTGGTTCTCTCCTTTACAAACACCTCTCCACATCCGCAACACCTGTGTCAGCGCAAAAAATGCTTACAGGCATCCTCGCAGTTTCATCCGCGTGCTTCTTTGTTCCTGGCCACTTCCGCGATGAGCGCCTCACATTGTGGTGCTTTTGCATTTTTGAGTTGTGCTGCGGAGTTTACTATCCTGCAATGGGCTCGCTGAAGAGCAAGCTCGTTGAGGATGGTTCGAGAGCCAGCATTTATGGCATTCTTCGAATTCCGCTGAATGTTTTTGTTGTGCTTGCTCTAAGCACTACGAAAGAAGGTAAGCACTAGTACTTTGTCTAGATCCGAGGACCAAGAACTAACTATCAGCCCAGGCGAGGCGCATCGCGATACGGTGTTTACCACCTGCAGTCTGCTCTTGGTGGCGGCTGCAATAGTCGTTCACAAGACACTATCGTGATCTCATTATTATCCACTTTCCTATTTAGTCTATTCGCATGGCGCTAAGGATAAACATAACCTCGGGGAAACATGTTGTATAATTATCATCAACAAGCCTCCCGTAAAGCGGAGCAACACCCAAGATAGACACATCGCGAAATAGCGATTTACACAAACGATACCCACATTTCCTTTCGTAGAACACAGATCCTATGACATCATGCATTGCGACGCGATTTTGGAAGGCACGTCCTGAAACACGCGCTTTGTTCAGGAGAGCGTCGAGACAAAGACACGGCCGAAACAAGACTTGATGATGATCAACGGCCCACATGTGCCCCGCCGCTTCATCGTACGTTGTGCGGCTAATGAACTTCCCCGTCATCCACTAGTCGCTCCCTCGCTCTCAATGGTGCGAAGATAGCGGCATGCGGCTTGAGCGGGGTTTCGTATGATCAAGGCCGCACAGGTCCTTGGACGTTCTTGCTCCCTCAACGCTAAATCTGTAACGGGGCATTACCTGATGTTTGGTTGTGATAAGCGCTCGGCAGATGTACACGTAACACTGTTGGTCGTTCCGCTGTTGTCGTTTCGCACGTCCTTGGCACGTTCTAAAGGACCGACATCACGCAGCCGGACTAGGGGCGGAGTCGTTTGAGGGTTTACATGTCGCGTTTGTCTTCCGATAACTTGAATTCATCTTTGTTTCCTCCTCCCTTCACCCTGCTTTCTCTTTTTTTGTACGCTTGACGCGATCGTTACCTCCACCGATTCAACTCGGAGGTTATACATCACGGTCTTTCCTCGACTCGACTCAACTCTCCCACTATCTACAACGTCACTCTTTCACCCGCCACGATGTTTCGGTCTTTCGGTGGTACGTTCGATCAAATCAGTTTTGATTGTAAACTTGCTTACAAGTCTCCCAGCCCGTATATTCGCAGGAGTATTCGTGGTCGTTTTCCTCATCGTCATTTTCCACAACGAAGAATCCGCTGGCACGGCTCTACTTCCTTATCTCCCTGTCCTCCCATCAACAGGCTCTTCACAATCATCCTCGATACTTCAAGCATGGATAAAAGACCGATCTGCGCTGTCAGAAAAGTCGTGGAAGAAGAGCGTTGAACTCCGCGATCAGATGGCGAAGCAGCATCCGGACAACCCGAAGATTCCATTCTTCCCAATGGACTTCTTAAAATACCCATTCACAATCTGGGACTTCTTCCCAGCGACATGGACATGCCCCCATGACATCCAACGTGTTGGCCGACTCGGTGACGGAGGAAAGTGGGTCTGCGGAATGAATGTCTACGAGAGTCTTCCTGCCCCCAAGTCCGCGTCTGCGACCATCGGATCACAGGAGCCCCTATCGAGCGCACAAGACGGTCTCGTCATGTATAGCTTCGGTATCAACGGTGAATCCTCTTTCGAAGCCGAAATGCTCGAACGTATTCCTAGCGCCCGTATCTGGGGCTACGACTTCTCGGTCGATGCCTGGGGCCCGCAAATCGCAGAGAAGCATCGCCATCGAACATTCTTCAAGAAGGTCGGCCTAGGCAAGGAGGACAAGCATGACTCGGAGCCGCCATTCTGGACTCTACCTAGTTTGATGAAGCAGAATAACCACACCTACATCGATATTCTGAAAATCGATATCGAAGGCAGTGAATACGACGCTTTAGACACAATGATGAACGCTTTCGACAACATGAAAACAGCATCTGGAAAGTCCGTCCTGCCTATTGGTCAGGTTATGATCGAACTCCACCTTGGCGACGGAATCAACACCGAAAACGCGAACGCCGGCGGTAACGTAGACTTTGGGCGGTTTAGAGCTTGGTGGGAGAGGCTGGAACGCATGGGCATGCGACCCGTGTGGATGGAGATCAATCTCTTTGCCGTCACTTTGGGAAAGAGCAAGGCGAACCCAAGGTGTACGGAGTATGTTTGGGTCAACGCTAAGGACCAGAGAAGTGTCCTTTGGAATATCTAGATAGTATCTGGTCCGAAGATCAGCGGTGTTTGGGGCCTCGAAGTGGCATTTTTGAAAATTTCAGGTATAACCCAATCATATTTTTCCTATTTGTGACAATACTAGTCGTTGTCGAGGTACGTAAAGCTGGGATATCGCCACTTTCCCAAATCCCAGAGTACTGGAAGTTGGCATGTGCCGCATGATGTCAGATTGAGGCTTGACTGAATACGATCTAGCGTTCAATGTTACGCCCCCTCTATCCATCTCATGGAGCTGCACTTGACCAAGCATCCGTTCCGCAACCATTCAACAAGACTGAAAAAGACACAAATCATCGATCAAACAACGATCCGCTCCTTGTGGGGTTTCCAAGGTCGGTAAGCCTTCTCTCAAACCTACTACCGACGCCTCACATCCTGCGCCTTGCCCGGGCAACTAGCGTTTCGGCCGCCGAACACCGTCCGCGTTACACAAACAGCCTCGCAATCTACATCAGTGTCCAGGCGTTTTGTCCAGATGCTTTGCTGCCGACCTTGTAGAGACTGCGATTATGCGGATCCGCTACAGGTGGTCCAGAGCCGGTTCTCATATTAAGGAGGTCGCAATCTTAAGGATGAGGTTTGTTGGCTGAAACTTACAGTAAGCTTCAATTAGATTTCCCCACGATCCGCTATCCCATCTTGGTCGCGTGCACCGATGCCAGGGTCCAATATCCGAAGAGCGACCGTTGGTAAGCCCTAGAAACCTAGAAGCGTATGTTCTCCTGTGTATCTCAACAGTCAACAAGCCACGTCGAGGATGGTATCCTGGGTTACTGTGCATCGTGCTACCTAGACTCTGACGACTGATCCGAAACCAACGCCAAGCGCCGAGACATTGGCAGCCATCGCTTCTAGTAGTCTGACTGCCCGGGGAGAACGAAGAAGGTTATGTCGCCTGAATTCAAGGGCCGCACGACTCCAGGATCATGAATGATATTCGGGTTGGACAGCTTGCTTCTGATGGGAGAGGCTACAGCTACACTAGGTCTTGAAGCTGTGGTCGGACGACCTGAGTAGACTATTTTCGTATGAAGCGGGTCGGACCGAACAACGTTGAGAGCGCGTGTACGTCATGGAGAGAAGTAGGTAAGATTTTGGTAGCGCGAGGGAATGGAGGTGAACTGTTGTGCTCATCTTATCCACATCCATGAACGCAAATATTGTTGGCAACTCCATACTTCTCTACAAGGCGATGGAGAGTGCGAATGAGACCGCGTGCGTGCTGGTGTAAAAACATGTCACCAGATCTTGCCTGCTAACATTGGTATATTAGATTAAGGAACTGTCAGGCCAGCCCCACACATTGGATACAAGGCATTCTACAGGTACAGCATAGTTTCTAATGGTGCAAGTGTATCTGTAGATTGTATTCATGACCCAACTCAATCTCCGTTACCAAGTCCGCTTCCAAAGATCTTGTCTATCCTCGTCGCTCTCTCCCATACTATGTCACCCCTTCTGTCCTCGCTACCTTTCCTCTTGAAATATAGTATTCGGTGCTGAGGTATGAATTCCTCATCTGTTTGCTCAGTCTTCCATTTCTCGAGTCCGGTCTCCTTTGCGCCCAGGAAACGGTCCTCATATCCAATTATGTAATCGCTCGGATCAAGACTCGGATCCCAACGTAGCCGGTTGAGAATATCGGATGCAGGACGTAGTTTGGTGCTCGACAAAGGCTTCGACGTGGGCTTTGGACGCTGAGGTATCGCACGCTGAGGCTTTGTGTCATCAGCATCTTCGAGGTCTTCGTCGATAACGTCTTCTTCGTCATCCGAGTCCGAGTCCAGTTCCGTGGCATAGACACCCCACTCCCGGTCATCCAGCTGTAGATCTCTGACTTCGCTAGACCTTACTAGCGATGCATCAATCCACGAGATGTTTGGGTCAAAGTTCTTCTCGTCGGTGCGCAACTGCGTTAGGAAACGATCCAGTACCTTGTCCAAAGCTTCCTTGGCTACCTGCTTCTCCTCCGCACTTGCTGCAGAAGCGGCCTTCTCAGCTTTCGAGAGTCCGATTAGGTAACATCCTTGGTAATCTTTACCGTCATCAACATCTTTTGATTCGCTATCGGCGAAACGAGCGGGCCAGATCTGTACTTCGGAGTTGGGTATGGCTTTGTGAATGTCTATCAAGATCAGTTTATCGATTACACAAGGAGTAGATGTATCAGAGTGCTTACCTATGACTAGGGATATGCACCGAGACTCAACCCAACCAACTAAACTCTTGCCCTTTGCTAGCGTTCGGCCCCAAAACTGCATGTCAATCTTGATGAAGTTGTTGTAAGCGTGCAGAAAGTTTGCAACTCCATGCGGGATGTTCAATTCCGGTCTCGGAGCTGAGGGGGCACCGAAGAACGTTTCCCACGTAATGCCTGGCTCGCATAGCTGCTGCTCAGCGTTCTTGAAGGCCTTGACTAGTAGTTTCAGACCAGGAACAGTAGCCGTATGAGCAATGTTGGAGTTGGGTGCATGATAACCCAGCACGACCATTGGTTCTCTTGTACTGCGGTAGTAACGCGGTCGCGTTTTGTGGTAAATGGCATCGTAGACGATGTCGTTTGTCCAGTCAAAGTGGGCGTAATGGTGAAAGAAGCTTGTGACTATGTCTGCAGCCGTGACTGAGCCATAGTCGTGTCCCAGCTTCTTGCATACCCAGGACAACATGAGCGTGATGTGGACGCCACCAAGAAAACCGAACTTTGCACTGTAGATTCCACACTGAACAGCCCATAACTTAATGCAGCGATAAGCTAGGCGGAATGCAGGAAGTGATGGCAGTGTACGTTGAATGTACAGTAGATCGCGGTACGGCTTGAGTTTGCGGAGTGAAAGGACAGACAGGTTGAAGATCGGATCTGATGCTGGAATGTTACGGAACTCGTGCCACCTGTTTGCTATGTGTCAGAAATATTGCGGGATGATAGCGAAATGAAACTTACCTCTCGACAACTTGAGGGGCAGGACAGTACTGTAAATCCATGAGTATCCCATTTACGGATAGCTCAAGCATGGTGCCTGTACTAGCTTCGACCTTACGCAAGATCCTAATACCCTGACTCTCGGCTTTGGAAAGCCGTTGCCGAGCAAGCTTGAAGAAGGTCTTGGAACTGATGGTTCCAATGCAAAGGCAGTCAATATCTGAGTCTGCCGTCCATACACCTAGTGCGTACGAGCCAACTGGTACTATGACCAACGGTATGTCAGGCTGCGCTTGGTGTGAGTCCTCCAATGTACCCAATAGGACATTCTGAAGGTTTGCGAATGCGTCGCGCCATTCGCCAGCTTGTTTTTCGTTCGGGAACATACCATGTGTTTCAAGCACGGAGTGTAAACTTGTGGTGTCTGCCAGGACCCCCGCTGCTCGCCTGTATTCGATGATAAGCTGCTTTGATGACAGATCCTTATTCACATCATTCGATACCGCAGCATCCGTGGACTGAATCCTTGCTCTTACACCATAATGGTCGCTAGCAACGACCTGCTCGCCATCGATCATTTCCGGAACGCCGAAATGGTTGAAGTGAACTATGCGGAGCGATTCTTGCGGCTTGAATAATATCCTATCATAGCGTTGCGGGCGATCGTGGGAAGTGGTCGTAGTTCCAGCAGCAAGTCGGTTGTTCTGGGGGTCGAATGTCGCTCCTTCTTCACCCTCGAACAGGTCACCAGACTCAGTAGCACTTGTTTGGTCAGCCCCTTCGACACGCGCGACAGACCATGCATCAGATAATCCGGCTTCGCGGATCTCATCCTCGATCGCCGATAGTGTCGATACAGTCTCGCTGGATATGGACTGGTTCTTGACCGATAAGTCGATGGTGTAGGTCGATGTGACGAGGTTGAAATCTCCAGCAACAACCCATGATTCACGCTTGTAGTGTCGCTCCAAGTAACGTGTTAGAGTTCCCATTTGAGATTTCTTGGTAGCAACTGAGCCGTCAGTAAGACCAGCAGTCAGGTGCACCCCAGCAACAACCAAACCCTCCGACTCCACAGAGCTGGATATCGCAACGCCATTAAAATGTGCGATAAGGGCGCTCTTGTGCTTGCGATGGAAAGAGACTGAGTGCCAGGAAAATGGGTAGCGGCTTAGAATAACGACGTTCCGTAGACTTGGAAGGGGACCGAGATCGTTCTGGCAGGGCGGTCCATGTGAAACAAACGGATATCTTTGGGCGACCTGCATGACATCGGGACTATACCGCAGTAGGTAGCTAAGGAAATCATCGGAAACTTCTTGTAGCACGAGTACATCGGCCCCCGCTGAATTGGATAAGATTGTGCTGACAATCAACGGGTCGCGATCATGGTCTGGCGGATACTCGGTGTCCACCAAGACGTTGTAGCTCGAAACAGTAACTTCTCTGACTCCAGTCTGGCACATATCTCCATCTGTGTATGCTGACCATTTGTTTTCAGCTGGATCATAGCAGAGAACGGGTTCAGTCAGCACCTCGTGATCGTCAGATATAGTCTCTTGTTGACCTCCGTCGCCATCAGATTGGAGCGTAGGCAGATTTGAGCTCGGTGTTTTCACCCAATAGTCCGAGCTATGAGGTCTCCAGATATCACTCGGAGCCCCGATATCGATAGTTCCATACAGACGCATATGATCCGTTGAGAGTGTGCCAGTCGTCCTCTCACGAATCAAGATAGCAAGCGTGCCGACGCGGAACCGCATATCCGGCAGTAAACGCGCCTTGCGTAGGAGATATGACTGCGATATCAAAGGATGGCCCTGTGTTTGGCCAACAGTAAGATGTGCGGTAGATCGAGAAGGTCCCTGTCCCAAAGCTCGTAGTACGATCGTTCGCAGTGAAACGAGAGGCGAGTCAACATCCTCGCCACCGTCATCGGTAAGATAGACGTTCATGTTGTTCTTTTGAATGAATGTACCCGCTTGAACTAGTTCTATATCAATCGGAGTCTCTTGGTCAAGATTTTCTGCCAAATACTCTCGAATTTGTTGTTGTGCTTTTGGGAGCTGCTCAGGTGCCACGAAAGGGTAAACAAGATTGACGTGCGGTGGCCACTGCAGATGAGAGAAAAAGAAGTCAATGTATGTCTCTTGTATCATGAGTTGGTGCAGGACTTGCCCTTCCGTAAGCCTTGTCGTAAAGCTCCCGCAAATGGTCAACATGACGGCATTGAGAGATCGGTGGAATAATGCACAACGCGGTGTCGTATGATGTCGTTGACATCCTAGCTGGAAGTAAAGAAGGTTCGGTAGACGCCATAATCTGAATGTAAAAGATGCACGGAAGGCTATTGCAAGGGGTATATTGAACGCGTGAAAAACAACTTCGGTATTGATGGTCCTGCGCTGTTGTGATTCTCCAGAGACCTTTATGTCTTGTATAGTAAATACGACCAAACACTGTACTCCACCTGGTGTATCAGTCTACTTCCCGATCGGGTGGAATGTATGACTCTGGAGGTTGCTGAGCCTCACATATGAGGCTCAGGCCAGGTGAGCAAAAATGAGTCATTCGCGCTAACCAGAAGCAGGTCTCGCGCCACAAGTGATGAGTGCATCCAAGTAACATACTCACGAATACGCGATCTTGTTGGAGGACTATTTGCAGCAGCATCATGAGCGTAATTCGAGATGACTCCGACAGCATTGAGAACTGTCCGTGCCTAGGTGAGATGAGAGCAATGCGTGGAAGCTGTCCAGCTCGAACGGCCCGAGGCTCAAGTGGGGCCGACGCATCATAGGCTACCGTACGGTACACGAGGCACCGCGAACAACCCGTAAACCTTCGTTCACACGACACTGTTGCAATATCTAGCAGACAGCGGCTATGGTTGGCCTACTGGATCTACCGAGTGAGCTACTCTTCAACATCATCCACATTGTGCTGTCGTCACCGATTGTGCAGTCAGAGAACGGCAAGCGCTATCGAACGAGCTGGTGGAACACCACTGACCGCAATCTGTACTGCGTACTCAGCCCGGGTCACTCAAAACGTCCTAAAGCTATAGACCTACTACTTGTCAATCGGAAATTACAAATAGAGACTACAGAATATCTATCAAAAGCGCCAAGAAACTTCGAAATCGACATCGCGGTTGTCGACGACCATTGGCTCTGGCCAACACGACGTGTCATTCCCATAAGAAAGCTTGACGAAACCATCGAAAGGTTAGACATCAATATCATTCCATGCTGTACAGAAGGACAGAGGGCTCTGCAAACGGGTTGGGACGACTATATGGGGCCGAATATGTTTGATCTGTCCATGGGCAGCTTCGTCCCGGAAGCACTACTAGCCCCACTATCTTACTTCTTGCTCTATCCACAAACGGATGTGTGCATTGACAGGCAGATATCGAAAATATTCCGGGGTTTGGAAATTTGGCTCGACCCACCTTCAGATGCTCGTTCATCTAATCAATCAAACAATGACCGGAATCTGCCTGTTACTCGGATTAGTACTGTCGCAATATTCGTCAGTACATTGGCATATGGGAACGGTAACGAGGTTTTAAGCCTAGCAGCAGTGCCTTCACGGAAAATACAAGGTCTAGCTCACCTTGATTTCGAGCAGCTGTATCCAGTTGACCGTGCAAAGTCAGAACGCTACCTGCGTGGGCTGAGCAGCTATATCGAGCAGTGGGCTCGCTATTGGAGTACAGAAAGAGTAGGGCAAAGAATTGGTAGGATACAGTTTTATCTCAACGGAGAGATATGGAAGGAGCTCGATTCCGAGAGTTTTGTTACGGATATCTAAACCATAGCTTGCATTTCACAGGCGTGCCCAGCCACCCCGCCAATATCTTACCATCTTTGGGAGCACGACGTGATATTCCCAGCCGCTTTTCGCGTCCGTACAACGCGAACGATGCCCGAGCTCTTCGGCCTACCAAAAGGAACATTCCTCGACACAGCGGGCATGAATGTGTTCGCCCCGTGAGTTGCTATTATTTGGATCGCTGAGCAACATTAATGCGGTGATAGCGTTCAAGCCACAAGATACGCTACAATGATTTGGAAGTCGTCTAGAAGAGTGGTGCTAAACATCGCAAGAAGCTGGAGCCGAGTATGCATGACGGATGCTACATAGTATAAGTCACGTGGCTTGTTTTGCAGTCCATCGTAGGGAGATCATCTAGCATTGGATTGATCGGATTCGGATTCAGATAGCGGCAATGGGATCGACGGGGCGACTATCCAGAGCTCTTTCTTACGACAGCCACTTACTGCTCGCGCAATCGGGTGTTCGTGAGAGAATCGTTTAGCGGAATGTTAGCTCATCTGTCGCTTAGGCCGCTGAAACAAGCTTCACCATGATCGACTCGAAAAGCAAGCGTTGGCGGCGGGTGGGGCTCGTCATCTTGCAATTATCCGCCCTGGGATCGAGCGATGCTGCAGCCACGTTGAAAATTCCATGGGAGATCAGCAAGGGTCTGACCTATACTGGACTCGTTGCATGCCATCTTGGAGCACGTTCAAGAAAAAGCATGGATAAGATGTTGAGTGACGCACTTCACGTTAGCTTCGTCACGCGCTGCGCTCCCTAGCCACCAATCATACCTGTATTGTGGCTTAGCGTTTGAGAACTAGGCAATACCATGACGCGCCTAAGAGTTTTGTAAAGGCAACATGTCTTTGTGCAACAAGCGCAAGAACATGTCCGCGGTTCCAGATTTGATACGGGTGCAGGATGGCTGACAACGACGGTGACGATGAGTGACGATTGTGTCAAACGAGCAAGAAGGGTCCTTCTTGTCACGACGCACTCACCCCGTCTCCAGCGCTATAAGACAGTTGCCCAACACACTTTCCAACTGCCTCGAACATCAGTCAGCCAACATCTCCAGTCCAGCATCACCATCAACGCCAATACCTAAAAGTGTTTCATCATGGTTCGTGTCCAGCAGCCAATTGACGGTCCAGTCGGATCTCACGCCGTCGACAAGCGAGAGCAAACCGGCCTTCTTACACGCTTTGTTCCCGACAAACTCAAGAATACCTCTTTCTACCGCTGGTTGTTGCGTCTCACCCGCGTTCTTCAGCTTGTCTCGTCCGCCGTCTCTCTCGGCATCTTCAGTCAGCGCCTATACAAAGTCTACCGTCTCGTCAACAGTGTCAAGACACGCCGCGGCGTAAACGGCGCCTATGGCGCTGTAGAAGGCATCCTCGCCGCCGCTGTGCTATACACCCTGATCACTATGCTGCTGTCCTGCATCAAGAAATCCGCCAACCCTGGAGGTAGAACATTGAGGTGGATCTGGGTACTTCTCGACCTGCTCTTTGTCGGTGCATTCATCGCTGTCACTGTCTTGACACGCCCAGATGGCGGCCTCGCTGGTGCCAGGCACTGCTACAACCCTCGGCGTCTTGCGAACGGCACAAACCCTAGCACCATTACTGGCGAGACAGCAAGCCGTGATGACTCTTGCAACCTGCCTTGGGGTACTTTCATCTTGGCCATCATCAGCACGTAAGTTCTCCATATCCCAAAGTCCGTAGCAAGTCTTAACCAGCTCTTAGCTTCCTGCACGCTATCACCGCCTCTTTCCACGAAATTAAGGACTATCGCCGAAGTCACAGGCTCGAACAGGAGAAGGCCGCTCAGCAGCACAACGAGATGGCGGCTGACGGCGCTCGTTATTGAACGTGCATCTACCGCACGTGCAGACAAAATGGCTTGCATAATTCTCTCTTCTCCTCAATCTGCGACTAAACAAGCACGGGTTTGTAAGGTGAATTGGTTGCAGCCTTAGTATAATGCTGTTCCACGAAGTTCATGTTTAGCGTTGGCGTAATTAGTTCGGGTATCTCTACATACTGGGCAAGAGTCTTCGATATGAGATTAATAAGATACAAAGTAATCGCTTCCATCCCTAGATACCAAATGCAGTATACAGTCTTCAACGTGCTCGTCTATCAGCGTTCGTTACTCGCGCGTGGTGATCAATTTGCGGCTCTATGCATCGCTCAACACAGCCTTCTCAAACCTCTCCGCCCACCCTCCAGAACAGATTCCTCCAAGCCAATATCCTCCCCTCGCATCCTTACCTACACAATTTCCAATACCACCTGGGCCTACACCTGAACCACTTGCCCGTTTGTCGGTGCCGTACACATGAATATATGTGGGCTTGCCAGTAGTAGACTTACCGACAGGCCCGCCCTGGTTGTCGGTACGAGAAACAACTGCAGCGCTGAAATTGACTTCAAACAACTTGGCCTTTGCCCAATTAGAGACTACGAACACTGCTGGCGCCATTTGCGCATCCGGTGGTGCCATGTTAGTCTGTTGTTCGATACGGCTCGCACGCTGAGAAGCTTCGACAGCCTCCCTGTTCCCTTGCTCAACTAGGTCTTTACGTATACGAGCAGCAATATGGCCTAGTGGCATGTCCAGGAATTGCTTTAGACTGAACGGAGAGACGATGCCAGTTGCCGCGTTCCCGATGAACGCTGTTCCTCTTGGGATCAAGACTTTGTACTTGGTTGAAGATGTCGACAGCACGTCTCGCATTCCCAATACATTGACGAATATGACTGGTCGAACGGGCGGGGACTTAAGAAGCGTGGCATCGGCGGATACGAGGTGTTTGACTAACCACGCGGAAAAGATATCACCGTCGGAAAGGAAGGGTTTGGGCTCGGAGGAGTTTGAAGTGTTATAAGTAATTTGTGAGGCATCGAGGGAGGTGAGATCGTTCATTGCTTTGGTACGCAAGCGAGCCATGTAAGATGCGGGCACGTAGAGCATTCGGCCGGTTGGTGCTTTTTTTGTTTCAGAGGCTGGAGATGGGGATTCTTGTTTCTTTTCTCGCACTTTCACATCAGGAGTGCTCTTATCCTCCACTGTTGTTCTGTCTTCGTCGAGAGGCGCTCCAAGCTGTGCCAGTGGGTCGAAATCAAACCCCCAGAACTCTGGCACATCGTCATCCCTGCCCTCCAGGACCGCCTGCCACGCCTTTAGGAGCGCTTGTCGCCCCATCGCGTCAAGAAGCGTGTGCAACCAAGTGAGGGTGACAAGCGTAGTATCCTTGAAGCTCACAACGTGCAAGCCGAGCTGTGCTTTATCTGTATGGATCCAGTCGTCGAGGACCGTAGTGCTGTTTTCTGTCTGCGTAATCTCACGAAGGGAGTCTAGTACGTCAAAGGATTGGACACTGTCGTTGTGTTCATCTACCACCGGAAATTTGCGGCCGATGGGATGCTCCTCAAACCTCATGTCGTATGTCTTCTGAGTAAAGTTGACCGGTGGACGTTCCTTGGTGTAATGTGATGGTACTAGATGTGGATATGCAGACTCAGTACGTATCTCACATGCAGTTCGTTTGGGGAAACTCACTATGGTATTCGAGTCTACCATTTGTTGTGCTGAGGCGCAACCGCGCTCCTACTTTGTTCCAGCCAGGTTTCTCGAGCAGTTTCCACAGCGAGTCGACTAGCTTCTGTGAATCAAGGACGTCGTCAAAACGCATGGTGAACTCAATGGAGATATTTCTGTTCTGATTCGTGTCATCACGGCTATGGAGTGGTACGACGATGTCTGCGGGTACTTGAGAAAAGACGCCTGGTTGTGCGGTGGAGACGCTGGTCAAGGACGACATTGTGAAAGATTTGGAGGCTTTCAAGGTTTATGCAAACGAAAAGAGGGGAAATATGCGATGCGCTATATAAGTTTGCCAGAACATCTCTAAAGAGACCTAGCAGCGTAAGCGACGAGATACAGGTCAAATCCTACCTGTTCTCGCACAGTCGCAGCTCCCGAAAGCCCCGATGCCGACTACTCACGAAGTGATTTCGGGGCGCTCGATTTTACCGAAAGGCATGGCAAACCAGAAGCAAGGTGGCCTGACCCGCGCGAAAACCATTGCGACTTCTCTGTATACGGGATTCGCTCTTTCTGCTCCCAAGATAAGGCGCTCGTCAGCAGCGCGTCTGCTTATGTTCTCCCTCCCGCCAAAGGACTGACATTAAGCGGTCCATTGGCTGAATAGATAGTTTCGCATTAAGGCTTACATCTCCACCCGCATGTTTACTGGTGCATTCGTCTAGTTGGTAAAGCAATATATGAGTCTCGGGAAAAAACCCTCATGGGGCTGTATGATGGGAGAACTGAGCAGACCCGAGTAGATATTCCCATTCTTCATCATGCCCATGAGAAGCTTGTAGTCATCTCGATTTCAAAACGCACAAGCTAGATGGAGTATGTAGATGTCATTGGGATCGTTATCATTTCGTCGTTATTGTCCTCATGAGGAACGGTCAATTGCCAGGTCCAGTAAAATTCCCAATGAATACAACCAGTATTGCACAATATGCGGCAGACGCCGCGAAGAGTTCGTGTCTCGCCGCCTTCGTCAGTAGACTCATTGCGGCGCTGAACAGCAGAGTAAAAACCATTAACACACCCACCGCATTGAAAGTGTCTCGCTTGTTAGTATCGATGGTGCTCGTCGTGGTCGAGTTACCCGAAGGGTCAATCTCAATGTGCGCAGCCGTGTTCGTCAACTGGTACATGGTGATGACTGGTATCACGAGCAGACAGAATATGATGAAGGTTATTAGGATGTTGACCAGCTTGTCAATGCGCGAGCTGCTGTAGTATGAGATGTCGGGATCGGTGGTCTTCTCTTGTGCTTCCGGGGTCCGAAAGTACTTCTGCAAGATAGGTAAGTGGTGTGTCTTTTCACTTTCAAGAACACAACGTGCATACCTGTAGTGGAGGTGTTTTCGTTCGGAATACCTTCTGAAGGAACTTGTCTGTTTGTCCTATGACGGTTTCAACACCGCCATCAAAGGTTGCCCACTCGCGGCCGTTGTGAATGGTAACCATGTCCTCTTTAGTACGAATGGATTCAAGCCCTTCATCCAAAAGAGGCTTCTTCTTGTAGCAGTAGCGTCGTAAGCTGCGATAGTTTCGGTCTGACGGCTTTTGAAAAGACTGAAGGTCTCTTGCTTTCATAAGCACCTCATCTGTACCATGCTTAGCTATTCGTGCCCGGATTGGTTATCGGCGTATGCATACCATATTCTAATAGCTTGATTTTAATTTCGCGAAGTACGACTCGGCGGCTCCGAGGCGCTCCTTCATCATGAGGTTGGCTAGCATCGTAGTCTCTTGACATCAGACGACGCTGGTCTTCGAAAGAGTCCTCCAAGTCGATTTCATCAAGCTCTGCTTCTAAGGAAGTAATCTCATCCTGTAGATCAAGCAGGACTCGTGAGTGTAAGTAACTGAAGGATCGATAAAGTGCGAAGTTTGTATCACTAGCCTGAAACGCTGCAAGCCTTGGGAAGCCGTTGGGTGTTCCTTCCACTGACCGTCATCAGCACCAAGCGATATAGAGAGACTTTGGTGTGCTTACGTGTTCGGGTGTTAGTTTCAGTCACGAATATGGGGTCTGGCTCTGAGCGAAATGAACCTGTGACGCGTTTTAAGACTCCAGGCCGCTTGTTTTCGGTTTCTGAAGATGTATCAGTGTTGCTCAATGCAGATTTAACCTTCCAGCCCCCGGAGTGGCCTTGCCATGTGCTATAACCATGTCATGCATACGAGCTGTCAGACCAGAAACGGTCATCCCACAAGATTCGATGCTCTACACCGGCCATCTTTGGTGCGAAGACTCGTTGCTGATATATTTTGGGGGCCAAAACGGTCGCATAGAGAAACGTACGAGGCTGTGCACTCTCAACATCAACTTCGTTCGTTCGCACGGAGGGCGAGATGGTAGAGTGGCAATCGCTATTCTCGTCCGCTATCTCGATGAAAGCATCTCCTCTTAAGGTCGTGTCGGTATTCGTTGGAGATGCTGGCGATGGAGGTGTTTTGTCATCGGTGAACGTATCCCCGGTCATGGTACGAGGAGGGGTCATTGCAAGGCAGAAAGGCAAGCGCGACCCGCACGGAAGCGAAGAAGTGACGAAAAGAAGATGGGCAAGTTTTTGCGCACAATGAAAAATCACTCAAGCAGGCATTAAGAGTGAGATGTGGCTAACAGGTTGTGGCTACAGAGGAGTGTAAGTAGTGTTGAGAAAGCAAGGTTGAGAAAAGCGATCGCAGTATCCGTAAGACTCAGCCCCCAACGCCCTGAACGCCCCATCCCATAATTGACTGCACGCATGACGATTTCAGCTGCCTGTGGCACACCGGTGGACTCAGCCACATTGATGGTACCACTGCTCAGGCGCCGGCCTTCAGGTCCTTTTCGCGTGTCCAAGTACCGTCTACTTTGTGCGTATAGAAGTCTTTGAGCTGATACTCGACCCACCCATGCGGGCTGTTCCTACTCGCATAAATCGAGTAGGCAGCCTTGGTTTGAGCACCAGTGGACGCCGATGCCTTCTTGCGCACCAGGTCGCCCTTTCTGAAGCGCGCCTCTGCCTGAGTGTTCGTCAGAGCCAGCTATGCGTGTTCAAAAAAGAACGGACGTACCGCTTCCGGGTTTGTGATATGTCCCACTCCAGACTTGGTCAGAGGAGTTTGAACTTGGGGCGCTGAGTCCAAGTGTTGATCCTGTGCCTGAACATCAGCCCTGTGCGGCATGAAATTTGGGGCACGACTCACCTCGGCGGCCTGAAAAGGCTCAGCTTGGAGCATGTCGGTTGCCATTGTCGCTGCAAGTGTGTTAAGTGAGGCAGGATAGCCTTGTAGGTGATGCCCTTGGGAACGAGCAGGCTGTCTGCTATTATAGAGAAACGCTATTGCTGGCCTCCTTGACCGTGTACTTGCTGCAGCCAGGCAACCTAGGTTCGTGACCGGTATCGATAATGGTTGGGGGCACATTTGCGTGCACAGCCGCAGCTTACAGAAGTGCTTGCTAGGCGCATTCCGCGGTTCTGCACGACGGACCTCTCTGTGGATATGCTGTCGCTGAGCAAGCCGTCATGGTTTGCTGCCATTTGCCGCATAGGGTCATGACATGGGGCGCTTGGTCAATATGGCAAGACGAGCGTCGAGAGTGCATGGTGGAGGCACTGCTTTTGGCCCCCAAACGGTGGTGGTGTAATTGCGCGACGCGCTGATTGGCCGGGAGGAGCAGCACCTGCTATCTCCGCACCCTTGGAGCCGTGTTGCATGTCCCACCCAATATGGGGGCTGAAGGTTGGTCCACGACGGTGAACTCCATCCCTCATAATGGCGGGTTCCTGCGAACTCTTGCAGCCTCGCAGCCTGGAAGCCTCACAACACAATGGCTCCTCTCTCAGCCTCGACGGTACGCGTCGCGAACGGCGCAACGACTGAGATAGCTCCTGCCAACGCAAACCCACTCCCAGGCAAGAGCATAAATGCCGACTTCCAGATACGATATGTTGAAGACGAGCCGAGGCGCAATGAGCCGGTTCCACTGAATGGCGAATCTCTGGTAGAGACGACGCCTGGCAAGGAAGATGACGCCAGCTCCAACGCAGAAGCACAGAAGAACTGGTGGGCCGAGGCCATTGCAAAGAACATGGACATTGCAGATGGCTACACCAAAGTCGCAGTGCTTCTGATCAAATGGGCAGACCATCTGGACGAGCTAAGAACTGCTGACGAGGTATGTTCGGCTGAAGCACATCGGGACAGAATTGATTGACTGACAAACCCAAAGGCCCAAGAACTCGAATCCCTCTTCCGCGACCGCTTTCACTACCAGACCAAGACCGTCGAATTGAACATACGGAAGAAGCCGCAGCATCAGCTCGACAACCACATCAGCCAGTTCATTTGCGAGCATGACGGGACACAGAGTCTACTCATCGTCTATTATACGGGACACGGCATCTTCCAAAAGGCAACCAAAACTCTGGAGCTTACGGGAACCCAAGATCCTTCCAAGGACACAGGCTTTAGCACTGTAGCCCGAGCCACCTGGAACAAGGCTGAGGAGCAGCTGCGTCATGAAGATGTCGAGGCCGATGTGCTGACTATTCTGGATACTTGCTACGCCAGCAATCTCGTAAAGTCCAGCAGGCAGGAAGAGAAGAAGTTCGAGCTACTGAGCGCTTGCCACTTCGACGAAACGACTGCCGCACCCGGGCCGAACTCGTATACCCGTGCTTTCATCGACGCTGCTAATGAGCTCCTCGACAAAGACCCCAAGCGTCCGATATCTACCTTTAGTCTGATGCAACGCATCAACCAAGACCCGAGACGCATCGATACACCTTCCCAACTTTGGGGCCGTAGTCGCAACCCTCAGCCAAATCAAGAGCACATATTCTTGACACCTTTCGGACCAGAGAAAACTGATGCTCTACATCAGTACCGCCCAAGGGCCAAAGGCTTTCTGACCCTACGGTTTGGTCTTCGCGACGCGGAGCTAGACCAAGCACAGATCGACTACATGGCCAGACTTCTTACAAAGGCGCTGAACAACAAGGAACGCATTGGCTTGAGAAGGATTGATTGTCTGAGCATGGAGCCCGCACCACCCATATCGCATTTCGAGCGCGTGACATCCGTGTTGCGTGTCAAAGCGCAGTGGAAGAAGGTGATCGCTAGGAACAAGGAGAAGGCGCAATCGCAGAATGGCAATGCCGCAAACAGGTCGATGAAGCGCATATGCGATGAATCCGACCAACTACCAGATGCGAAGAGGCAGCATCTGGACCCGACACATCCGCCATCACCGCCAGTATCGGATGCATAGGATTGGTTTTCGTTCCTTTTATAAACTTCTTTTGATCCCGGATACCCCATAGGCGCTTGTCGCAAAGTTAACCTTTCCAATCTTTTCGTCAGCCTTTACACAACTAATACAACTGTACTCCACTTTGATCTGTCCGACGAAGTGTCTTACGGTGCCATGTGCTATACATTGATTTGTACAGCACTGTTGTTAATTGTTGGTCTAAAATCTGGCGCGACCATGCGGCGCACTGAAACTGAAGTGGTGCCACCTGCGTGGGGCACTTTCGATCTCACCACCTTCGCTAATCAGCACAACGAGATAACGCCACCCGTGCAACACGCTGGACAAAGTCACCTCGTATCTTCTGGTCTATCTCAGATGCTACATGATAGTGAGACAAACACGTTCTCGATAATGTTGCAGTATGGTATAAAAGGTAGGCCATCATAGCAAAACACACCCACATCATTATCAACACCATCATCATCATCATCACATCCACTGCTACAACAAATACCCTGACAGAATTCGAGGTGCTTGGAGAAAATCATTCAACCTTCACTCCAATACACCCCTCAATGACTGCATCCACCACAAAAACCGCCACTGTAGTGTCGGCATCGAACCAACACGACCACATCATCGGCCATTGCCGGGCACAACGGCACACACTCTACTCGTGCAGCGAAAGCTGTATCCCTGTACAGCTAAAGTCGAGCCAGAAGCCCACCGCAATTCCACAACTAAGTGAGGATACATGGACGGATAGTCAAGAGGAGCTCGAGCGCTGGGGCATGGAAGCCACCGAAATGACGAAACCCGAGTCCAGTCAAACTGCAACACCAAATGATACACATGGAGGAGGTTTGAAATATGAGGAGGTAGCGAGGTTCTGGCAATAGTAGAAGACGAATACGGGAGAAAATGATCTGGGATTGAATAAAATGTCAATGAAGTTTATTATTGTTAATGGTTCTTGCGACGACAGCATACACTGAAATTACCACCACTGATATACCAACCGCAACTAGCTAGCTCATGCATGCGACTCTACGCGCTCGACCCCATTCTGTTTCTCGTATTGCATGGCGACGTCCGTCAACGCAGGCTTCAACGCATCCGCAGCCTCACGCGTAAACTTGCGCGCGGAAACCTTATGCTCGAACATCAGGTCCAGTTCAGAGTAGGTGAAACCCTTCGGCTCAGGAAGACGGAAGTATCCCCACGCAATGAACAGAAGTGCAATGCCAGCCCAGAAGAAACCACCCTTCGCGCCCCAGTTCCAGTCGTTCTTGCCAACCATTTTCGGCATGATTGTGTTTGTGACGAAGACAATGGAGTTGTATGAAGCGCGAGAGAGTGCGACAGTCTTTACACGGAGGCGTGACGAGGGGATTTCGGCTGCAAGAGAGTAGCAGATGGGTCCCAGGGATAGCTGATTGGGTTAGCTTGTGACTGGCTGCAAGACAGAATGTATCAAACTTACCTGGAAGCAGAAGATCATGAGAATGATTAGAACGCCTCCAGCAAGACTTGCATTCTTGTTCGTAGACGGCGCTAGGCCGATGAAGCCAACAATCAAAAGTATGATGAAGATGGCGGACAATCCAACGAGGTATATGGATCGTCGGCCAAAGCGCGTCATGATCCACCAGGCGATAAAGCATCCAACTAGACCCAAGCAGTCCTGACCGATGGTTAGATGGAAGGAGTCGTCTTGACTGAGGCCTACGCCTTGCATGAATTGAGTTCTGATAATGTCAGTATATGTTCTCCATGTAGCACATGATAGAACTTACCCAAAGCCCATGAAGGGAACACCGCAAAGAGCTTGGGTGATAAAGGCCATAGCAGAGACTTCAGTGCGGTGTAGATCGCTTCCTCGGAACAAATGCCAGTAGTTGGTTCCAGCGCCGACTTGTTTCTCGTACTGATCAGTGACAACCATCATCTCCACGTGCGCATCGAGGTCGAATTCAACGCCGTCTGTGGGTGTAGTGATCTGGCGGATCGCTGCTTTGGCCTCATCGATGCGGCCTTGTCTGACTAGCCACCAGGGTGATTCCGGTGCGAGGAAGGTAGCTAGGATGATGGGGATGGGCCAGATCCACTGTAGAGCAAAAGGAATGCGGTATCCCCATTGAGTCGTGTTCTTCATCAGTCCAGTGAGAATACCAGTAGACAAAAGACCACCTATGACCCAGCACATGTTGATCCACGAAGTCATGTATCCTCTCAGATGCGTGGGGCAGAGATCTGCGGCATATGAAATTGCCAGTGTTTGGAAGACACCCCATGGAAGACCCTGGATTATGCCTCCCACAAGGAACATCTCCAGCCCCGTAGAGAAGAACGGAATGAAGATGGCGCCAGTCATGAACAGCATGCTGCCGATCATTGTCTTCTTGTATCCAATCCATTCAGTGATATAGCCGTTGACGATGAGACCGAGAATGCATCCGACCTATGTGCTTGTTAGTAAAGTCCGTTAAGCTGATACTTTCACTGGTGTATATGTGTACCTGAGTGCCATTAAGGATGATGGTTTGCCATCTTGAAGAGACAAGCTTGTTGCCATCGGCATCAATCTCATCGCCGAACTTGTTTCGAAATGGTTGAAAGGCGAAGAACTTGTTCATGAGACTTGTATCGTAGCCTTCCATGACAACGCAAAGCGATATGACGAATGAGAATATGATCGCTTTCCACCAAAATCTCAAGGACTGCCGGACCGACATGTTGTGCTCATTGTTGATAGCTGCGCTCGTCTCGTCGACGGCATTGTGCTGTCCTTGTGTTGAGGTGACCTTCTCGGTGGCCACGTTGCCGGTGGTCTTCTCCATTGAAGCCATATTGGACTTGACTCCAGAGTATGCGAGGGACCAGGAGAGATAGTCTTTGGTATTGACCTGTCGAAAAGATGTAGGCCTACCACATGGACGGATCTGCGGTCTATATAGACCTGAGCCTTTTGTATGCATAGTCAAGAGATGAACCATTTACAGGAGCCATGCCACAAGTGAAGGGCTAGCCCGAGTGCTTGGGAGTCTAAGCCCCGGTAATGGCCGAGAAGGGGCAAGAGCGGGTTGTCTTGCGGGGAAACACATGGCGGAATATTCGTACAGAGTGCCCATGGGGAGAGCTGGGGCGTCTAAGTGCGCGAAGAAAGCCAATCACAACTAGAGCGAGGTTTGCCCAGTCGGCCACCAGGTCGTGAGAGACTTCTCCGCCAGTATACCGCCGCTAAATAAGTGCTTTGGCCTAGTGTAGCCGTTTCCAGTTTTGGTCAGCCGTCCGGGGGGACGTGCGAGTCATGCAGGCCCGCTTCTCCCTCCTTTTGCCCATTCATTCGGTTCTCCGCCAGTTTTCCGCTCTCCATCCCCAGATTATTGCGCAACTTCAGACCTAGTGATGCGCAAACCATCTGCATGCAGTGCATGTCGGTAAGCCTCTGATATGCTGTCCTAGTCCGTACAGGCGCGCACCCGCTAATTTGGTTGAAGAGCTCGTCGGCGCAAATGCATCTATCCGACAAACCGGCTGGCAACGGTGTGCGAGTATTGCTTGTCACATGGTCTACAATGTCTCCGAGGCCCACCAGAAGGAGGCTATTATGCCAATCGCCAGGCTAGACTTCATGAGAGCATTGCAACTCAGCAAGCTCTCTCGCTCCAAGCCAAGACATTACCAAACCAAGGCCACGAGGATCTACCACCGGCCGCCTTGAGGCGAGCGTTAGTGGAGCTGTATTTCGACTACATTCACGACCAATTTCACTCGATGTATCACAAAGCGTCATTCATGGACGATGTGACCAATGACCGGGTACCTCATATAGTGCTCTATGCTATCTTTGCGCTTGCCGCAAGATTCTCTACCGACGAGTTCTTTGACGGAACTGATCCGAGAGAGAGGGGCGAGGTCTACCGTGCATCAAGCGAGAAGCTCTTCAGTATCCGCGAGCTCACCCCTGTAACGGTTCAGGTATGCGTTTTGCTGGGAGCATATGCCGCTGCGAGTGGCGAGACAGACGTCGAGAACCTATACTACAGTATGGGCGGAAGGCTAGCTCTAGCCCTTGATCTTCCCAATCGTCCGGTCACAAGCCTGGTGGAACGCGAAGTCAACACCAGAACTTGGTGGACTCTATGTATGGTTGATGTCTGGTCATCCACAGCCGTGAGACTACCACGTATCATGCCATTCGATAGCGCTGTGCCCCTTCCAGTGGATGAGATACCGTTCTCCGTAATGAATAACGATCTAAGGGGAGACTTCAGCGACCAAACGCCGTACCTCAACTCTCCCCTCCTTGCTGAAATGGTAAAGCTCAATCGGATTCTGGCGAGAATCATCGACTTCAATCGAGTGTGTGTATCAGAACACCTCGAAGGACCACCACTTGAAAGAGGCATACGAGAACTTTCTCGCGATCTCGACGTCTGGTTAGAGGAAATCCCGCACCAGATGCGTGATACGCCAGCAAATCTCGAAGCCTTCGCATCGCGTGGCCTTGGCCGAATGTTTATAGCTGTGTATCTTGGCTATTATCATTACGGGCTGCTTCTCAACTACCAATTTTTGTCTTCGTCAGTTGACGCGCCAACCGACTCTGCAAAATATGCTGACGCCTGCAAGCAACATGCAGCCCGACTATGCGCCCTCGTCTATCGCTCGCATTCTACACCTGGTAATGAAGTTTTGTATTCAGCAGTTTCACACATTCTCGTCGTTGCTTCCACTGTCCAGATCCATACCCTACTCTTTTCTGGCGACGAGGGTGAGATACGTATATCGAAGTCCAGGTTGGAGCGCAACTTTGAGATACTCTTGCGTCTGAAAACGTATTGGCCAAGTGTTGACGGCGCGATGAGTCGTCTACGGGCGTTCCATCAAACTTGTCTCCGAAGCAAAGAGACGAGCTTCGTTCTTGATCGATGGTTGCTGCGCTTTCTGGTGCAGTTCGCACCTCATATGGAGCTCGAGCCGAGGGACAATGATCCTGAGTACGAAGCACTACTCGCGTTAAGCAGGCAATCCCCGCTATCGTGCTATTCAGGATTATCTCTGTAATCGTGCAGGATTGAGTCAGTAGCTCCCATTCAAACATGGTGGGGTAGCATGAGCGTCGGGCTCTAGCGGCGGAAAACTGGCCAATTTTCCTGCCCTTGCGGAGCCTCCGACATGCCGCATCCAATTCTGCGGACTTGGCGCAAGAGTCCATTCATCCACGCCTAAGATCCACTTAAGATGGTACATACGTAGAAGACTGTTTAAGACGCCGTTGGTGCATCTCTCACGGAGAAACAACATTACACTTCCATCATGACCAATTCACGTAGCAGCGTTCTGCTGGTGACGACGCTGCTGGGTAGCGCAACTGCCATTAACAATGGTCTCGCTACCACACCACCAATGGGCTGGGTAAGATCCATCAACAATATTTCAGATCTATTACTGATCAGACAAGAACAATTGGAACGCCTTTGGATGCGACGTCTCCGAAGACCTTCTCCTTACGACCTCTTCACAAATCCTAAGCCTAGGATTGCGAGATCTGGGTTACAACTATGTCGTGCTGGACGACTGTTGGCAAGATCCAAAAGGTCGGGATGAGAACGGAAAACTCCATCCAGCCCTTGACAAGTTCCCCAACGGCTTGAACTCCATCTCAGATCATCTGCATAGTCAAGACCTCAAGTTCGGCATGTACAGCAGCGCCGGTGAGATGACATGTGCGAGGTTCGGTATGATTTAGCAGTCACTTTCGCTTTCTGCAGCATGCTGACATCGATTAGAGGGGTCACTAGACCATGAGGTTGACGATGCAAAAAGCTTTGCAGGTTGGGGTGTCGACATGTTGAAGTATGACAGCTGCTATCATATGGGTCGCGTTGGCACACCATCAGTGTCGTTCAACCGCTTCAAGACCATGTCTGATGCTCTGAAAGCGACAGGAAAGAACATTCTCCTCAATTTGTGCAACTGGGGAGAGGATCTTGTTCACACCGTAAGCAAGATGAAATTACGGCCTACCGTGATATGCAAAAACTGACTTCTTGTAGTGGGGAATGAGTATATCTAACAGCTGGCGCATCACAGGTGATATCTACGACTCTTTCACGCGTCCTGATGACCTCTGTGGATGCAACAGTTTGTCACCCGGCGATGTTAACTGCGTAGCACCAGGTACACATTGCTCGGTACTGTTCATTCTCAACAAAGTCGCCCCTTTTGCCGACCGTAGCATTCCTGGGGGTTGGAGCGATCTGGACATGCTTGAAGTCGGTCAAGGCGGCATGACCGACGAAGAATACAAAGCACACTTTGCGCTCTGGGCCGCGCTCAAATCTCCGCTGTTCCTTGGTAACGATCTGCGTAATATGCCAGCTTCTGCTCTTACCATCATCAACAACCCTGCCATCATCGCGCTTAGCCAGGATCCCCATGGGCGAAGTGTAACACGCGTTAGAAGGGACACGGAAGGTGTAGCGAAAGATGAGTGGGGTATTGGTGAGACACACGTCTGGGCTGGACATCTCCAGAATGGAGACGAGGCCGTGATACTCCTTAACGCTGGTGGCAAGGACATGGAGATGAGCGTCTCACTGGCCGAGATATTCATACCATACGGACCCGGTGGATCAGCACCGCACGTGAAGTATGATTGGGCAGTACACGACCTCTGGGCTCATCGCATGCCTGAAGCTACTGCCGAAGAACTACTCAGCGCAGATACTCATGTGCAGAGAGAATCCATTCTCTCAAAGGCCAATTGGTACAATGCTACTGAGATCCCTTACGCCAAAGGCCTCGCTCAAGAGGATGCGCGACTATTTGGAGAGAAGATTGGTGTAGTTGAAGCTGGTGGAATGCTCAAGGCAGACGTTAAGAGTCACGCTGCACGAGTTCTACGTCTACGTAGAGTTAAAAAGGAGGGAGATGCATTCGAGGCAAAGAGTATCTCGAGAGAAGATGGCAACGAAAGGGACGAATTGTAACGACACTGATGATTAGTAAGAGGCCTTTGGAACAGGGAATAAGAAGTGGCCTTGGTGAAGGCCAATCGAAGTGCAGATTGGTGACGCACATTCCTGGGTATTTACTTTCCGAATGGTATATTCCACCTACGTGCGCTTTTGCCAACAACTTTCTCGTTCTCCTCAGCATTGCGGTAGACCGAGTTTAGTAAGCCTGGTGCTTAAGCCCGATGCAGCCCCCATGCTCAGTCAGCTGTTTGTGACTCCTCATGGACAGTCATGCATCGCAATAGGAAAGAGCAGCAAAATGAGAGCATTGCATGTGAAGCACATGACAAAAGGCCTACTGAGACTGAAGCTTCGTTTGAAAGGGTCGACAAAATGAAAAAAGATAAAGCTGTGCTTGCGGACGTTGAGTTGCTGGAATATAGCTAGTCTTGACCTCTTGCATCATGAATCTCTTCAATATTATCAGTATTAGCACATTCGCTCTAGCGCAGTTTACGCTCGCCCAATTATCAAACTTCGATGAATGGGAGCATGAGCGTATCCAGCTCGACGACGTTTCGATTCATTTCCGCTACCATGGTGAAGGTCCGCCCATCCTTTTGGTGCATGGCTTCCCCCAGCACTCATTAACGTGGCATACCATCGGACCCATCTTGGCGCAGAACTGTATGTTCATCCGTCACTTCTCATTACGAAACCCCTCCAGGCTAATGTAACAGCAGATACTGTGATCGCCCCAGATATACGCGGCTGCGGAGACTCAGCGCTTCCTTTCTCAAAGAATTACACGGCTGCAGCTGCCGGCACCGATCTCAAAGCCATCCTAGATTACCTCAACATCACGTCTACATATGTCTTTGCGCATGACAAAGGCGTAGGGCTTGCGACTTCTCTTGCTATAGAACACCCATCGGTTGTTGAAGCTATCATTCTCGCAGAATACGCTCTCCCAGGTTACGGGTATCCTACCCAGGTAACGAGTTCTAGCTTGTACCAGAATTGGCAACTCGCATTCTTTGCCGTGCCTGATGCAGCTGAATTCTTCATTCAAGGGCGCGAAAAGCAGATGCTGAGCTGGTACTTTTTCCATGCGAGTTATTCTGGCACAGCGGCTTTGAGCGAAGACCACCTACAGCGCTACACGAACGAGATATCCAAACCCGGGTTTCTAAGGAGCGGCATGGAGTACTTTGCAGCGGCCTGGGATGACGAAGCCTACTTCACTTCGGTGTTCGGTAGCGGGAAGAGGTTGCAGATGCCATTGCTGGTATTGGGAGGCGAAGCAAGTTTTTCTCCTGCGACGCTATTAGAAGAAATATGGTCGCAGATAAGCAATGATTTCGTTGCTGAGGCGATTCCAAAGGCTGGACATTGGATTGGTGAGAATCTTCTTTTCATGGTCTATCGAGATCCGATCTGGGTTCCATTTGCATCTCGAGCTAGATCAGACCAGCTGACTCTCGAACTAGGCGACGAAAATCCAATTTGGACGGGTAAGCGCGCGTTGCAGTTCTTCGGAAGAGCTGGGCAGATAAGCAGCATCAATCTATCATATCTCAAGGACCGAGTAACTTTGCAGGGTGGTATTGTTTGACGATAGACGGCCAAATTCTTGCAAAGATACAGGGTAGTATGGATAAATTGCCGAGAGGACTTGGAAAGACAATTTAGAGCTACTGCAGAGTTGCACTATCATCATGTGTTAGGACTCCCCTCAAGCCCACTACGACGACGAAAGTCCTGTAGCCAATTGGCATTGTCAGCTACTGTTTGGTTCCACCCATCGTCCGGATCCTGATACAACAATCTTCGCGATTCGCGTTGAAACATTTCGTCCGTTGGAATAATTCCTGATAACATCTGCTGTCTTGCGAAGCGGCTAAGATGGCGTGTAAGAACAGTAGCAAAGTCGTGATCATGTTGTGTTGACAATTCTCGAAGAGCCGTCAAGGAGTCTTCAAAAGCTTGTTGATCAGGCGTATGTGTGGTTTCTGCTGCAGGAGACTCTTGTGCTGGCTCTTCAAGTTGGATGCGGGAGATCAATTGCTTTGTGTGGTCGATAGATCCAGGGTTAGTTGCTGAGAAAGGCACGACGGTATTGGCTTGTTCGGCAAGAAGGTAGGGTGGAAACGCATTGATGACACGAGCCGCCACATCGGGCTCAAAGCAGTGCTCGCCTTTCCAATCGGCCATAGTCTTGCCTTCACGAAAATGAGCTGCCAGATGATCTGATCGCTCGTCCCAGCTGTTCAAATTCGCATCGCAAATGCCGCATCGAGATTTTACTGGCAAAGTCTCAAGCTTCCAGTCGTCAATCAGAGGTAGCGTTTCGACTCCATGTACTAGGCGAAGGTGTTGGGTAAGGTGATCTTTTCGATGAAAGACACGCGGAGTATTGTTACCATCGGTACATGCCGCATGGTTGTGTTGCTGCAGATGCTGGGGCGTCGGGTCTAGTGCACTACAGTATGCACAATGTACTCTGCCGGTCAGAGGTAGTACCACAGAAGCCCCATGCGGCGTACACATCCAACTTTCGAGGTTTAAATGCAAAGACTTTTCATGGCGTGTCCAGTCGTACTTGTGCTTGAACGTATCGCAGCAGAATGTACATTTGAAGATACGCTCTGGGTCGTTCATTTTGGTGCCTCTTACTCTGCCCTTCCGGGTTTTGGTGGCCTGACTGCGACGCTTCGACTGTGACGTGGCGGAGTGGCTCGAGTTCACGGATCGCAATGAAGATTCGCTGGCAGCGCTGTCGAGACTAGTCGTTGACGAGGGGCCCCGATATTTGCGAAAGGCGTCGCTACTAGAGGGTCGGCTAATGCGTGGTGAAGCACCTACCGGTCTGTCTTCCAAAGCATGGTAGATAGCCGATAGAGATGCAGCCTCGTCTTCAGGCGGCGAGTTCCGCCACCGCTGAATAGCCAGCGACTGTCCTTCTTCGTGTCGGGGACTTCCACCAGGTATGGCTATCGGACTTGCGGTTCCAGTCGATCTGCGCTTAAAGTACTTGCTTCGACGACGAGGAAGTGTGTGTTGTCGTTGCACCAGTGGGCGTCCGTGAGTCTCATTCAATTGAAATGCATCAAACGGATGACTTGGAGAATTCACAGTGCTCATTGGTTGTGATGTGTTTTCGAACGTAAAGTCGTGGAAGTTCGGGTCGATTGCCAAGTCGTCGTCAACGCTGAATGCGGCAGGCGCACCAGATGCAGCATTAGGCGCATCCTGGCCAGGATCGGTGGCTAGGAAGTTGGAGAACCACGAAGGGTCGATAGTGTCCTCATTCCAGGGCTGCATTTGCCAATCGCTCATTCGCTGATGGTCCATAGGCTCGGTAGTCGCAATTGTCGGGTTGGTATTAAGATTGGTGAGAATGACTGAGGAACGATGGTGTCAGATGAAGGGACCAGCCCGAAGTCGGCGCCGCTAACTTTACCACAAAGATGTGTATAGATGTGGTCTAGCAAATGGTTGTGATACACTCACAGCTGCCCCGGACTTTCTCTGACCGACGCCTGCGTCTCGCAAGGCATGCGCATCTCAAAAGGCGTAGGGCGTGTGGTGGGGTAAGCTCAGAACGCGCTAGTCCGGCGATCTAGAGCAATTCTTCCGTCTAGCGCAAAGGGTCAATCACCTACCAACGCGACGTAACGTGACGTGACTGACAATGGAAGACCAAGACAGGACGGCGGCCGGACAACAAGCTGAACCAGTCCTAGAGGGCATCTTTGGTATGCCATCTTATCATCATTTCGCAACTTGTCTCTGACTCCACCTAGCGGTAGCCAAGCCTGCACATGTCTCGTCAGCAGACGTCCTCCTCAAACTTCAATCAACATTCGCTCCATCGACTACATTTGCGCCGCTGCTCAGGCATCAACCTAAACGTACCAGCAAATCATCCGATCAGGTGTTTCGTTTAGGTCATGGTGGCACGCTCGACCCTTTGGCTTCAGGCGTACTCATTGTGGGGATCGGGCGAGGTACAAAATCACTATCGCAATTTTTAGCATGTAACAAGACTTACGAAACAGTCGTCGTGTTTGGTGCTAGCACCGACAGTTATGATTGCACGGGAACCATTGTTGAATCCGCAGATACCTCGCATATCACTCGTCAGTTGGTCGAAGAAAAGCTGGAAAACTTTAGAGGAACCATCAAGCAAGTCCCTCCAGTATACTCTGCGCTGAAAATCAATGGCATCAAAGCTTGCGAGTACGTGCGACAGGGTAAGGAGTTACCAAGAGAGTTGGAGAGTAGAGAGATGAACGTCGATGAATGCACGCTATTAGATTGGTATGACATGGGAGAGCATTCCTTTGCACTTCCTGGCGGAGAAGAGCCTGCTTCAGCGCCTGCAGCGCGTATCAGGTTGACTGTGTGTTCTGGCTTCTACGTTCGCAGCTTTGCACACGATCTGGGTATCGCATGCAGCACTTTTTCATACATGGCCTCTCTGGATCGCACTCGCCAAGCCAACTTTACCGTCGATTCCTCAGCCAGATCTCCGGATACTATTTCCGCCCTCACATACCCAGAACTGGATGCTGGCGAATCCACATGGGGTCTGAAGCTCAGACCACAGCTTGAGAAGTGGGTTGCGGCGAATCCGATTAACTCAGGGCATGTCAATGGACGTCAAGAAAGCATGAAGAGGAAGATGGCGCAGGACAAAGAAACGAAGCCTAGACAGAGATTCCGTGGAGAATGGGTAGCTGAGACGAAGAAAGAAAGGATCAAGCAGCAAGGAGGTAAATTCAAGGGTAAATGGGGACGGAAGCCCAAGGTTGAGCCAGCCTCGGAATTGCCGTTAGCAGCACCCTCAGCCCAAACTACAAACACCAAAGGTGACTCGCCCAGCGAAGCGAAACCAACAACATGATAGGAACGTCTGTCTACCCCCAACAGTCTCTTGAGTTTGGAACGCGATAAGGCGTCAATGATACAATGGCGCCCCAAAGTTCCTCAGTAGGCCCAACCACTCCGAACTCCTGTCTGTCAACTCACAACATTCCAACATAGTCCACATACCCAACTCCCCACGCGGCTGCGCTCTACTGTTCAACACTAGGCTGCTGCCGTCTACTACGCCAAGTTGAAGCAGCTTCTCCATACCAATGTAGTTGTCTTTCCGAATTGCCGACAAGATTGCCGGAAGTTGCGGACATTGTAGCGCGTATCCAACGTCCCATTGCACGACCATGTCGATGAGCTCTAGGTATTGCGTTTTGAGCTCCGGTTCGGTGGGAGGAGTGCAGTGGAGAAGCATATCGTGAATAGGTGGCAGAGCGGCGATCTGTTCGCGTCGAGCGGCTGTGGAGATGGTGTCCAAAAGCACACGTACTGCATCTTTGTTGATGCCGTTGATGGCAAAACTCAACGCATCGTACGTTAATTCCGGGGCAAGGCCTATCATTTCCGTAAGCATCGAAGAATTGGTTGCACTACTGTGATAGGCGGAGAACTGCAGTACGTTCATGTCATCAAACGCTGGATCTCGAGGATGCGCGCCAGCGCGAAGTAGTACATGCGCCGCTTCTAGAGAGTTGAACGAAAGAGCAGCAGCTAGTGGTAGAGCATTTATCTCTCTTCTGTTTCGACGGAAGAAGACGTCCTCTCGTACTAGCCCGCCTTGGGCCTGCAAGATAAGTTCGACTCCTTGGGCAGCGTCTGCTGAAATCGCTCGCCCGATCGCTGTCCGCACCCCCAGATCGGTGGCGGTGCGTTGTGCAAGACATAGATCAAAGCCTCTGTCGATCAAAAGTCTTAGTATGCGAAGTGCGTCCTCTGGTCGCTTGCTCCATGTTTCTTTTGTCAACGCATTGATTGGTGACACATAGCGGGTGACCTTTCCTTGATATTGCAAGACATCGTCTTCTTTTTCATAGTGTTTTGGTTTTCCCTTTATGCTCAACATCTCTTCCACTGCGTCTGCCCATCCAGCGCGGACGAAGCAAGCTAGCACCGAGTACTCATATGTCGTCTGCCATGGGCGATGCCCAAACTCAGCGCTCTGCAGCTCGCTCTTATTATCGAATACGCCGGAAATTAGAGCCGTTGGATCAAACTTTTCATGCTGCATAATGAGTTTTAGTGTGTTTGTGCCTTGATCAACATTCTTCCACTTGGAAAGGCCATCGAGGAGGCTAGTTTTCGCAAGTCTGACTTGGTTTTCCGCCCAGTAGTGTTGGGCGTCATACATCTCCCGCGGCCATTGCTCAACCATTGGGTTTGCTCCATGCGACGCTACGAGACAGTTGATGAGATCCGCGTGCCCTTTGTAGGCAGCTGCAAGCACCGCGCAATCCATTGGAGTATAGTCACTTCTCTTCGCGGTCTCTCCGTAAGTGGCACCTTCCCTCAAAAGATAGTCGACCACTTTTGCTCGTCCACTCAAGGTAGCCTTTGCTAAAGCTTCGTGCTTCAGTCTTTTCAATTTACCGATTGATCGATACATAGGATCAGCTCCCATACCAATGACTGCTTTGACGAGAGAAAGGCTACCTTCTGCAGCAACTTCTTCGAGAACGTCAGTCAACGTGTCCTGTGATGGTCTATTAGCTGGTTTTGCCGAAGTGGCTGCCCTTTTAAGTGAGAAGCTTTTCTTGAAAGACGAAAGACCCGTCTGACTCGACGCGTCAGTTCTTCGACTGATCCTGCGCAATATCTCAGCCTGAGCCTCGCTGGGTTTCATTTCCGTTGCCTCGCTCTCTGTACTCTGCATGGTGGAAATGGAGAAACCCCTCTGTGATAACTGGAAAGGACTACCGGGCAAGCCTTGCATGGGCGACGAGATGATACTAGAGCTGCGAGTACTGCTTGTATTGCTGGTAGTAGTAACATGCCCAAAAGTTCCATGAGCTATCCTCAATGGCTCTGGTGCCGGATTGGAGGCTCTAGGGTGTTCAGAAGCGATATATATGGACTGCATTCGATCTGAGAGGCCATCTCCGTTGCTAGCGCTACTCCCCCAAGACATCGGAGGAGTCGGGAGAGCTGTTGAAGCACGTTTAAGAAAGCGTAGAGGTTGTGGTTGCGAAGACTCAGCCTTATCCTGTGATGTATGAGCTTTAGAAGCTTGGGCGCCCGGGCTGATCGGTAATTGAGAGAACTCACTAGTTGCAGGACCATGACTCTGGGCTCTTTGATGATAGTTCAGCGGCGAAGGCGCTATTTGTGGCGTTGGGTAAGATGTCGAAGGAAAATTACCATCCTTTTCTCTGTATCCAGGCGCCGTGTAAGCAGGCTTGTGTGAGTCGGTATCTGAGCACAATACGTGTTCGTTAGACGCTCCTGCTATCGCTGAGGAAGTCGATTGAGCCGGCAAAAGGTAGTCGAAGGAAGGTCCACCAAAATAGCTGCCGTATTCAGCAAAGCCGTCCGCATATCGTTCCTCATCATCCTGCATCTTTGTGGATTGTTCAAGCGCTACATTCGAGAATACCGACGGTGTGTTGGTTGTGAGGCCACGCTGCCAGGCTGGCGGCGATGTCTAGATGGCGCGGGGTAGAAGTGTATACTCGCAATGAAGGTTCAGTCGCCTCGCAGCCTGCCGTATATGCAGCCTGGGGGCATGGAAGACCACTTCAGGCGTCCACTAGGGTCAATTCTGATATTGAGATGACATATATATATGGGCCTGGAGGCTCATTGCAAGCCACAAGCATGCTGCCATTCTGAGGTAAAGAAAGGGCATCGTAGGTAGGGGTTTTGGACACAAAGAGGCGTTCGTCGCGTCTTGGTCCGGGAGAATCTGGATAAGTAACTTAGGATCGAAATAACGGATATGCTGACAGGCGAATGAGCTTCTCGCACTTCGCACGTGGGCGGAGAGTTTCGAGATACCTGCATCTCAGCCACCACGGGCGCTCACGCAGGAATGTCGCATCAGCGCTGTGTTTCGCTGCTCGTAATTTGTGTTATTCTGCATGCCGCCTGCGAAACTGTCAACGCGTCGTAGGGCAGATGGGATGTGAGCGGTTGAAGTATTTTCGTTTCCAGACCGCGTAGACAGTATGAACGGGACTCGGCGCGCACATCTTTACTCGGACGTTTTATCACAAATTTGTGATGGCATTGAGCGATCTTCTTGTCGCACCAGCTATTGTCATACATATTATAGCGACACAAAACGATGTCTTCCGTTCGCACAGAATGGCGAAAGATGGTAAGGGTAGGAACGGTTACTCAGCAAGAAGCTTTGACCATGTCGTTTCTGGTCTCGCTCGCCGTCAGCATCAACTCTTCCTCAACCCTGTCATCTAACCTGCCACTGCAGACCACTACACTTATCGATATCAATGTCTAGAAGACATTACCGAGCCTGTGTGCGATTGCACGGATGGCTGAGTCGAGAGCGCCCGCTACGATTTCTATGCTCCTTCACTGTCAAAGCTTCTCCATCGTGGATAGGCTCCAGAATAAGAAGGCAGGACATCAACACCTTGCACTTCTGTTCCAGGATCATTTGCGACATTGGGCCTTACGCGCACTCTCAATCTCTATCACCTGGGAATCTCCACGCCTATTAACATGAAGTGGAAACCAAATTAGGATTCTATAAGGTTTGTTGGCGTCGCATCGCCTCCTCTAGCGTAAAGCCCCTGAGACATTGAGCGAAAGTGTGACGCCATCCACGGCAGGGTACAGTACCCTCGAATCCAGACCAACCTCATGTCCGCGAGTCTGTTGGTCCACTCCGCAAAATTTCCTGGCTCGAAGCGCGATGGTTGTGGGATCTGGGCTGTTCGAGAAACAGAAAACCTGTCATGACGCTACACGGCGCCACACGTCGGCTTCATCGAAGAGAATGCCATGGATAAATGCAATTAGGCTTATGACATGTTAGAGGTCCGCCACAGATTCTTAGACGCCTCATCTATGAGAAGCAGGACCGACGTCTCTAAGGGAAAGTCAACCGCGGCGGCGAGCAACTGTAGTTGGGTCGGAAGCAACCCCGCGACGTCGCCAAGCCCTCGGAACGCTGTCAACATTTACTGCGATTCAAGCGTGCGTCCCCTATCGCTACCAACTCGACTTATCAAGTTACCGGCGCGTCTAGGCAAACGCCACGAGGGCGTTTCAGGAAAATCCTGTCGGGTGCAGTGGCTTCACGACAAGCTCACCCAAGAATGCTGTAGGTACCTGATGGCTTTCGGCAGTAGCTTACCACGCTTCCAGCGCACTCCAAGGCTCCTAGTTGTAGTTTGAGGTCCTCAAGCCCCTTCCGGCTTCTTCTAGTGCTGCTTAGGCTTGGTAGCGAAGTATCATTGCTCAGCTTCGGCTTCCAGGAACGTTGAGGCATCATGCCTGTCAGACGGCAGACTGAAGAACACGCGGCCAGGTTTGGATAGGTGATGAACAAAATGGGGTTTGTTGTCGCTCATGTCCGAAACACCACGCGATATCAGGCGACATGCTGAAGCTGTTGACTGGACTGGGCCATGCGACACTTGGAAGAGCTTCATCATATATGGGTTGACGTTTGCGCGGCAGCGCAAATATGATGCCTAGAAGATGCCGAAGGTCTTCGCCCATACGGCAAAAGAGCATGTCTCGTCTTGCCGGTAATAGGCTGCGAACCGCGGAGCTGGTTGATCGACTAGTGATCAGCACGGGAGGACGACGCTACCAGCCGCTTGGAACTATGCGATTCATGATACTGATATGCAGCATAACACGCCTGATCATATACCACCAGCTCGGAACCGTGATAAAGCTGCCCCTTCGTGAGATACCCTGACCCTTGTCATCGCGCTACCCGGTATATGCAGGTGTCAAGATGTCAAACAGCCCCAGGTAGAGCCCACAGTCGTCTTCACATACACTCCTTCCATTTGACCCCATTGGGGTGAAGCAAACCTCCGCCAGCCACACACGCACTGTGTGTTGCTTTGCGCAATGGAGATCATCACTTCCATTGTAAGATGTTCGCATACGCAATACTCCGAAGTCTCACTTATCGTCCACAGGTCATCCAGGGTATCTTGCTCGCTCTAGCACTAGGCGTCACGATCCTACGATGTTGGATTCGTCTCATTGTAGAGCGTCGCTCACTGACATTGCCCGACTATCTCGTGTGGGGAGGAATGGTTTGTGCGCTTGGCTGGTTCGCTTGCTCTACGAAAGCGCTCTACATCCTGATTGACCATCCTCTGGATGAGGAGACCAGAAGTGATTCCGTTGTTTACCTAAAGGTACGTCGATAGTACAGCATGTGGCATGTCCGACTGAACAGATAGGCTGACTGGTTTCCGGCGACAGGTCGTATTCGTGTCAGTTTACTTCTTCGACACGGGATTGTATTTTCCCAAAGCCTCGCTCGTCGCTTTCTACTGGTGGTTGATTCCTCAAGGCTTCAGACGCCTCCGAATCGCAGTTTATGTCACCACCGTGGTTGTTGCCTGTTCTTTCGTCGCCAGTGTATTGATGGATACTCTTATCGCACCAAACATATCGGATAACTGGTAAGGCCAAAGCAAGATTGTTATACTCGAATGTTTTTCTCCAGCTAACATTGGCTCCTCAAAAGGTCTATCGAGAACCAGCTCAGTTCAACATGGAACACTTACTCCAACCTGGTGGTCAATTGGACGCTCAATTTCGGCACTGATCTTTTGCGTAAGTGATGCTGAAGATGATCATAGGGCGCTAGCTAAGACATCTTGACAATTAGTATTCGGGCTACCGTTCTTCATCTTCAACTGCTTGAAGCTTCGTAAGCGACAAAAGATTGGTCTGGTTGGCATCTTCTCTCTGGGCGCAATCACGATGGCGATCAGTCTTGCCCGGTTCATCGTCTATAACATGGACTATGATGTTTCCGATGCAGATGGAAGTAAGTCACCACCTCGCCTGATTTATCTCAACAACCTTTGTTAACACAGCTACAGATCTATGGTGCACCGCGGAAATGTGTACAGCCGTTATCGTCGTCTCACTCCCCTCTCTGAAGGCGCTCATCATTAGACCAACGCCTAACAACACGTACGATCGCAGCAACTCTGGTTACCTGCAAGCCGGGGATGGCAAGACTATTGGCAGCAAAGGCAACGGGCATAGCTCGCGTGTTCAGGGCGGCACGTTGGACGATGACGAGATGGAACTTACTTTTCTCGTAAGAGATTTCCTTGAACGAACTGCACTTAGGACACGTACTGACTTTGCACCAGGACCGAAAGGCTAGTCCTGCACCAACTGGAGCCACTGATGAGACTAGGGTGCAAGATGGAAAAGATGGCGTGATTGTGACGACGGATTTCACGGTCACTAGAGATGTGCTGTAGATTGAGGCATAGGAACCATCCCACTCTGAGCACAAGTGTGTTAAGACACCAATGGAAGCAAAATTGCGAAATCACAGCCGTAGTCTTTAAAACACTGCAAGCATGAACTCGTGCTTTTTATGCGGCTTCTATTCACCTACGCTGGTCTCTGCTGTCTCATCGTCATACTCAGACATTGGAACCAGTCACTTCCTATGAGAATTTGATGCTCGGCTTATGTTGCTAAATTCCATTGCATCTGGATTAGACGAAATTTCGATACAGCATCGTATATGCGTCAGAGCCAGGACGGCACGGAGGCTAATGCAGAGAGAAGAAGTGAAAGGTACATTTTGGACCTGTGGCTTGATGGAGCGAAACGCAGCTACCATGGATCTGCGTATCGTGAATGAGCACAAGCCACAAGCAAAATGGCCCTGGACCGAATGCTTGCTTTGATGTTCTTGTAAACTGAAGTAAACGGGTCATAGCTGCTGGTTCTGGTGCTTGGACCGGATCATAGTTTCTCTAATGCCACTCTGCACATTGATTGCCCAGGGCAAGGTTTCCGAGTCGCAATCGTTTTGGTGCAGTGTCTTGTGTCCGGTGAATGCCTACCGACTTCGAGAATGCTTTCAGTCCTCTTTGTCCATCTTAGTGTGACAGTGACAAGTGCTAGGCATACAAAAGCATATGACGCTGGAAACCCAACCCAAGGATGTGAGAAGGAGCTTATCTGTACACCTGCTGCATCAAAGTGTACAAGAGCGCGGTCCCGCTAGCACTAAAACGGGGTACAGCGCGAATTATAGATGTGAAATGTGCATAGGTACAGGAGGTTGGCGAGGTTATCATCCGCGGTGACGTCCGTGCGGATATGACGGCGAGGAGGCGGTGCAGCGCCCAACCAGCGATTCGCTCAGATGACCCACCCACCCGCCATCATCCACCAACTCCAGTTCTCTCCTGCTGCACGTACGCCAGCGCTCCACGCTCCACGCCGTTCCTTCACCCGCACTCCACCGCTGCACCCTCGACTTGCGCCTACCCACGACGACGTCCACGGGCGTGTTCTGGATGCCGGCGATATGACGCCCCATAGCTGCCGCCTCGTTCCCTTCTCGACTCTGCTGCTGGCTTGGGCGGGCTTTGCGCTGGCCGGCGACACCATCACATCTGGGAAGATCAAAGTACAGCTGTTTGCTGCACCTTCGTTCTTGAGCGAAGTTAGTGTGGACGCGTATAATAACCAGTGTCTATCGTTGGACAATAATCTGTATGTCGCACTCGTATTGTGGTATTCGGGCAGCTGCGCTAACTCGGGAATAGTATCGATGGGCGCGTACAGAGCATTTTAGTAGGCGGGCATGATGTGGCGACTGTGTTGGCCAGGGATGATTACTGGAATTGCCGCTTCTATGAGTAAGTGGTGGATTGGGCTTTGAGGGGGCTAGCAGCTGACTCTTTGACAGCAACTATGACTGCGATGGCGACGACAATCTGGACCGGTACCTTGCGATATCCGACGGTGCAAACAACCTAGGGAGCATCGCGTGGGGTACGAAGATACATGGCCTGAGGTGCCGCAACCGTGACCATGACGATGATTGAGCGAGCGAAGAGTCACCACAAGAGACGAACACGCGCAGCGATGCGTCTAATAAGCTTAACCAGAAAGAACAGCGAGGTTCGCACACGACATGGCTTCGATATTGGCACGCCAGCGAGAAACCTCCGTCGCGAAGACAAGAACGTGGTGGGGAAGAGCGGGAGCACACGGTGCATACGTGTGCCAAGCACCGCACGAGCTGATCAAGCATATAAGCAGGAAGCATGGCAGTCGCATACCAGGGCATGCACTATTCGATATAGCGATGGGATTGGCGTTTACGTTGGGTTCTGCATCCACATAGGACAGGTGACAACACCGGCGTTCGAAGTGCTCGACGCCCACTTTTAGTGCTGTACCAGTACCGAACAAATCTAAATTTCAATGTAATGAATTGATTACCTACATGTTCTCGTTCAATGACGGCCTGAATACCTATGAATTTCGCGTTATAGAGGATTCACCAGGTCGAAGGGCTTCTCTCTCCGTGGCGACATGTCAGTTCTCAGCCGTGCACGCTCATCTGAGATCTGAAGCAGCATCGTGGGAGGTACGTAACCACCTGTCTATTCATTCATTCGTGCCATCATGAGCACCTGGGTATCTCCAGTGCAAAAACCAGCCGCTAAACGCCATGCTATGTAATGCTTCCACACCTGCTGCTTCTATAAATCGATCAAATCCGGCGCCTCTCCTGACCCTACACCTCGCAGAAGGACAATCATATTCCCAGACGTACACGGCTCGCCAATCTTCTCGCTGAACTTCAGCAGTCGTCCGCCTTCCACGTGGAAGACGCGTAGTTTCTCCTCCTCGCCGCCACCGCGGTTGTTCACGTTTTGTACCTGCAGTGACTTGGCCGCCATGTCAAGCACGCGCCCCACAGTCCATTCCTTGTTGTAGAAGAACTTTCCCGTGGGGTATTTCGCCTTGGTTGTATCGGCTGATGCTTCGACGTGTAGGTATATCCGCTTTTCTTGGGGTACGCTGGCTTCGCCCTTTGCTATCCGCTTCAGCGCATTGAGTTCAGCTTGCGCTGAAGCTGCCGCCGACGACGCTGTACTCTTTCCTATTCCCAAGAAACCCGTCTTCTTGGGGGCAGATCTCCGCTTCTCATCGTCCTTCTTCTTCTGTTCGGCCCATGCTTTCAGTCTTGTGAGTGCTGTTTGCGTGCGCGCTTGTACGTAGTTTTGCGGTCGCGCGCCGATGGGTGTGAGGTTCTTGCAGTCGTGATCCTCTTCGAAGCGATGTTTCAGACAGTATCTGCGATTACATCGTGCGCAATGTACACCTTGCGCGCGGGCGGTATCGATCAATGTCTTGCACGACGGGTCGGCACATTGTTGGTCGTGGTTGAAGACGGTCGGTTTCGGGGTAGATAGCGATGAGGCCTGGTTGTTCTTGGCTCTCTGTCTTGCCCATTCGCCTTCCTTAGGACACTTGTGCGCGTATTCGGTGCGGTGGTCGAGACAGAATTTCCTGGCTTTGTTAGCATGACAACACAATCGGATGCTTTACGCGTTGTACTTACCCATGACAACTCTCGCATCGGAACGGTAGGAAGTCCAGCACGTTGCAGTACTCCATCTGGCAATGCGCCCCAATAGCCTCCAAGTCGCCCTTCATCTCGGTGTAGCTTGATTCGTTGGACGTCATGTTTGTGGTAGAGACAAGGACAAGATATACATAAGACGCAGGTAAGGGAGATGGTGGAGAGTCACCAAGGCAAAGGCAGTGTATAATAAACAAGCTGAGCAAGCATGAGAAGCCTCGAGAAGGCCGCTTAGGCTACCAAGAGCTTACGATTGTCGCCGCGCCATCTTCGGAAGGCGATTCCGATGAAGGGCGAATGGCGCTAACCATCAACTCGCTAGCGCCAGGGTCCAGCGTTGCCATCCTATCAGTACGCGTTCATCTTCACCTTCAACATAACCATCGATTCTATCTCCACCCTTATGTTTGATGTATCTAGAGAGCATAAGATTGATATGAATCAGCACCGACTGAATGGTTCTCCAACAATCTCCACCTCCTGACGAAATCCTGACTCGAGCTTCTCCTTCTTGTCAGCCTTGTAACGAGGCTATATTTCAGCCTTGTTAGTATATCCCTTTTGTCTTCAGGCGGTGGTAGCTACCGGTATCGAAATGCACCTCACAAGCAACCACAGGTTGAGTTCAGTATTTGTTAGAAGACTTGTACGGCTTTGGCCCATTGCACTATCGTCATGCTTGCTGTTGAGGTGGTTAACATTAAGCAATATATGATGGCCATTCGTGCTTGGCGAGCGCCATCCTCATGCATGTGGACTTGTTTGATTCGCCGAAGCAGATATTCGTCAGCCGTGCCAGTGTATATGAACCTGTTGCCTGCAGCTAGCACTTGTTCCTCTCATCACAACACCTTCAATGGCGGAAGTGGTAGGCACGGTCGCTGCTGTCGTCCAGTTCGTGGACGTAGCTCTTCGTCTTTCATCTTGTCTAGAACGTTTCTGCTCAGACGTGCGCAACGTGCCGCGTCGTTTTCTTCAGCTGCAGATCGACCTACGTCAACAAATCGAGATTGCGCAGCACATACAGAATGATCATGTACCCGGGTTTGCGACAACAATATCGTCCTCGACGCTTGACGCGCCCCTACTCGAGTACATCAATCTTTCTGACGAGTTAAGCAAGATGTTGGAAGGACTGCTCGCTCGTAAGAACGAAGGAATGCTACAACGAGGCTGGAGTGGCATTTGCTCCCTCCGCAAGAAGGAAGAAGTGGCAAACATTTGCGATCGACTGGAACAAAGGGAAGCATCTTCTCCATCTGGTTGAGCGCAGCGAATATGTAAGTAGAATAGCTGGACGGAGTCGAAACCGGTTGTAGGTGACCGGACACCACAGCACTGACTAGCATGCAGCAAGCTGTCGTCAGAAACTGCGGCGACTACCGATAGAGTGAGACTCGAGGTTGGAGAGACATTGACTCTAGTGAAGACAGTCGACAAGACATTGAGCACAACTGAACACAGTGCAGCACAGCTACTACCTCACGTCGAACAGATCGACCGAAACGTATCGGCTACCTCCGAAAAAGCCGAACGAATGATACAAGACCTCCAGTATCTGAAGTCTCAGTCTACGAGTCTTTTGACAGATCGGGGTGTGAGTATAACAGCACAGGAGTCAAGCCGTCAGATGACGGCAATGATTCGCTCAAACACCGAGCAAATACTTCAGGCCATCGAGAAGCTGGGCTCCGATTTGAACAGAGTCAGTCTAGATAAAGGGGAAAGTTTTGTCATACGCAAACTAAGCGTCGACTCATCAGACACACGCGTTCAGCGGGGCGCTAGGAGTTATACTGGTAGATCTCGAAAATGTAGGTGTCGCACTGTCGGTACTGCGCGCCGCTGGCAGCCGTTATCCATTCTTCAATTTACACGAACCTTCCGAACGCAACACTTTTCATATTGTCCGGACTACCAGATCTCAGAACAGAGCCTTGAGATCACCATGCAACTCGTCCCTCCGTCCTGGCTACTTCCTTATGCTATCAACATCGGCACTCACGTAAGGAACTGGTCCACCGTTAACCCTTTCTCGATATGTCCAATAATAGTTGGTACAAGTAGGCTTGTTGATTCCAAGACCTCGCCTGCGTTCCGTGCGATAGCGAGCACTCTTGATGAGCTATGGGAACATGGACAGCACCATGTTTCTATCCCTCGGCTCCAAAACACGCTACAGACTCTATTTAACGACAGAGAAGCTTCAGTTCTCGACACCGACAGTAATGGAGATACCATTTTGAATGTACACTGGTCACCGCCTTGCAGACCATGTAACCTTAAGCTGATTGTGTGATAGACCATCACGCGCATATTCGTTCGCTTCCCCGCGATCTTCTCACGCCCTGGAAATGAATATATCAGCCTCATTCGGTTCTTGCTAGAGAGTGGTGCCGATCCCAATATTTTGAGGACCTCGTCCACGAATAGGAATGATCTGTTAGAGTTCGGCGACGTCGAAGGCACTACATGCGACTTACTTACAAGACCTATCGCGTTTCGGACATCGACATCAACGTCTGCTGGTTTGTCAGAGCTTCTGAGTATTCTCGAACTGATTACAGATGCTGGGGGTCACACTTCGAAACCCTTCGCATATGAGGACATACACCCAGCCTACAGATGCGTCAATCTTTGTCAGGAGACCCAGTACCTGAAGTACTTTGAGGATCAAATTGATAGTAAGTTCTGTCGTCTGCCAGATCGAATCCAATCGCTGATGTCCTAGTGTGGGACCTTGGCGATCTTGTACCGATGATCCTACAGCGACAAGAGGACCAATTTCAGCGGGTCGTACAAAAAGCTAAATTATCAACTCTGAATCATGGGTCTTCTGTCAACGGGCTTGCTCCGATTCATTTCGCAGTCTTATGGCCGACAGGGCTGAGAATTCTGCTTAGCAGAGGTGTATATGTGAATCCCGAAGATACGTACGGCCGACAGCCTATACATCTTGCCGTGGCGCTAGGCATATCCGAATCCGTTCGATACTTGCTCAGCGCTGACTGTGGACTCTTTACTCCACCGCACGACCGTAGCTTGTTCCAGTATGCATTGGTGTTGCCGAGTCCGCAACGGTCAGAGATCTTGCACTTGCTAATCCCCGCGCTCATCGAACGTCACACCCGCCTCATGGATATGGCAGATATGTTCTTGCCGTTCTCCATCCTTTCCAAGCTGGAACTGGCATCTGGGCAGCGAAATGAACAAAGTGCACCATCGATAATAGAGGCGTTAATATCGCACGGTGTCGATGTTCCTCAGGCTTTAGATCTAGATGGAAAGAGCTTTTACAACTTTTCAGACATGAAGGAGAACATACAGCTGGTACCTGAAACTGCAAATGCATTGTGGAATGCAGGATTCCAGAATATTGATACGCCTGACCAAAATGGTATGACACCGTACCTGCAAAGTTGGTTTTGCGCCAATTTTGAAATGGTAGATTGGTTCATACAAAGAGGGGTGTCCATAAGTTCGCAACATAGAGACGCCCCTCTGACTGCGCTACACGTTTATGCAAAGAGGCTGGAATATCCGGGTGGAGCCTTCGCATACAACATCGACGCAGTACCCACGGATCCATACTATATGGAAGTAATTCAAAAGCACCTAGAGATACCATATGACGACTGCATATGCGAGTGTTCTCTTGGAGGGTGCTCACCTGTCAAGTTCTTCCTTGGAGGCCATGATTACCTATTTGGGTTCACGCGAGGAGAGCAAATTCGGAAATGGATCGAGAATGTTAATCCACCGGCACCACTACTACGACAGTACATCTATGAATGCACACGATTCATATTGTTCGAGTTCTTGGGCGGAGAGCATACTTGCTGCTCTCTTGGGCAAAAGTGTTCTGTGGAACACAACGTACCTCAAGAAAAGCCTATTCGGAACAGATGGATGGAGCGAGTCGACAACATTCACGAGCAGTTGAATGACCACCACAAGCTCTGCGAGAACAAAATACCGACACCTCAGCGCAAGAGTTTGCAAGCCTTGAAAGACCTAGACTTCTTTCAAGCGACTTTAGACTCTGCGATGTCGCATTACGACGAAATGGACCGGCCTGATACGATGCCAGTCGAGACACAGGTGTTCCAGTATATCAACTGGCTTCTAGCGGAAAGACACTTGGAAGTCGATGTGAGCTACGACTGTCAACACGACTTAAGCTGAATTTCTGTGTAACCCTGGCAACAATGACTTCGGGTCACTTTCACACCTTTAGATAATCATAACAACAATTGATCATCTCCAATGCTCATCTAGATCAAGAAGCATAAAGACATTCAAGCGAAGGGTATAATAATGTCCTTACTACAACTTACGTATCTTAACAGTATGTGATGACATCCAAGTCTTTCCGGGCATCAGTATCGTTGTATTACTTGTGCTACCAAACGCCATATCCATGCTTATGCTTCTATGCAACGCCATGTATGTGTGCAAACCCTACCCAAACCCATGCGAGGGAAAACTACGACTTGGTCCTCGTATCAGCGTCCGAAACTCTCTTCACTAACCCTCTGATCTTGGGCCACAGTTCCGGTATGCGGAATGGTTTCGAAATGGCATCATCCATGCCTGATGCCAGCGATTGTTCAATCTGTTCCATGCGCGCATTCGCGCTGACAGCTAGAATAGGAAGGCGTAGGGATTGTTTTTCAGCCCGCTCGTGGGAGGCGGAAGAGGCAGACAAGATTTTCCTGTGCTGAGCTTGAGTAGATGATGTGGAATGCGGAGCCGACGGAGCCGCGAGGAGGCCTTGGTGTTCGTAATCGCGGATGAAGCGGGCGCAGGTAAGGCCATCCATGATGGGCATTTCAATGTCCATGAGAATGATGTCGAGTTCGTGTTTGTCTTCAGTGTTAGAGCTGTCTTTCTCGTTCCGCCAATAGACACTGTCCTTTAACCATTCTAGCGCCTCTTGACCGTTCCCAGCTACGCTGATGTTCCAACCAAACTTTTGCAGTTGTTTTCTAAGCACTTTTTGGTTGACGAGGTTATCCTCTACGATAAGGACGTTGAGTTTGATCGTCTGCATAGCCTCCTCACCTGTCATCGTTCTACGAGGAACAGGCCGCGCCTGTACCGCGCGAGCGGCAACATGGTCAGCTGGTGGATGCGCGAGGCGGGTGCTGATGAAGAACGCGAATGTCGATCCTTCTTCCTTCTCGGAGTGAACTCCGATGGCTCCTCCTTGTAATTTGGTGAGAGACTTGGAAATGAAAAGGCCCAGGCCAGAACCACCATATTTGACGTGTGTACGAGGCGTAGCTTGAGAAAACCGGGAGAAGAGTTTCTTTTGCTCATCCATGGTCATGCCGCAGCCCGTGTCCTTGACCTTGAGCCACAAAAATGCTATTCTGCCTTCGCCCCATTCCGCCTTCTCCGTAATATCGGTCTCGGGCTTTTCGTCGTCGGTGAAGGTTACTTCATTCCAACATTTTGGTGGACGGCTCCAGGAACCACCGATAGTGACGGTGATCGCCTTTTGCGGGCGATCTTTAGTGAATTTGATAGCGTTGGTGCTGATTGTATCAGTAGATGGCACGGAAGCTGAAGATTATGCTACTCACAGTAGGTTTATGAGAACCTGTAATAAACGTGACGGGTCGAGCATTATCCATTCCATTCCACTGAACGTTTCATCAACGCGGAAAGTAAGCTCGATGCCCGACTGATTACACTCGACTTCGAACATTCTGACCGCGTCTGACACCACGACCGCGGGCTGAACACGCATCGGCGTGATTAAGATCAAGTTAGAATCAAGTTTAGACAATGTAAGTACGTCGTCAATAACGCGTTTCTGATGCATCGAACACGAGACGATGATTAGTAGTGATTCAATGCAGCTCTGAACTTCCGCCTCTGCCTTGGATATGTCGGACGGTTGTTTTGATGTTGCAAATTGGCGTCCGGATAGTTGTTGGAGCGAAGCGATGACTGAGTCAGCGCATTGTATCACCGCTGACAGTGGATCTAACAATGAACGACGTTAGCATGTATCTCGTGTGTGGTTCGTACATGAGATTGACTAACTCCTGAGTTCGTGCGAGGTCATATCAATGAAGCTGTCTTAGTTAGTAAGAGAACGTGGAGCAGTGCGCGGAGTCTTACTTTTCTTGCTGTCGTTTGGCCTCCAACGCCTCATCTATGCGACGCCGCTGTACACTCTCCGCCCATTTGAAATGTGATATGTCGAACAAAGTTCCCATTATGCCTTAACTGGTCAGCACGTGCATCAATTAGTATTCAATGAACCAACATCATACTTATCACTTTTCCATTCTCGTCCAGCTCTGGGTAACTCGAACTTTGTACCCATATATTTGACCGTATGCCGTCTTGGTTGATCCATGTTTTCTTTAAACGGAATTGCACTCCACTCGATTTACCGCATTTGAGCATGCCGTCCCAATCCTGCTTTACTCTCTCCACATCCTCGTTGGAGATTAGATCGAACCACTCGTATTGGTTGACAGGTGCATGTGCGTGGCCTGTAAGTTCGAAGAACTGGTCGTTGACAAAATTCATGCCTGAAACGATATTAAGACAAATCGGACTATGGTCTGGTTGTACTTACCACTCTCAGGGACGTATATGTATATCGCTGTAGGTGAGGTCTGAGCAAATCGTGCAAACTTCCTTTCTGCAAGCCGCGCTTGTTCTAGTGCTTCCCTGAACACGGAATTAGCATATGAGCACCTTATATGTTTGCAGAGACACTTACACCTGCGCTTGTGCAGCTTCTTGTGACTTCTTCTGTGCGTTAATGTCTATTGTATTGCCGGCAATACCGATCAGTTGCTTATCGTCATCAAACACTGGGACACAAGCTGAGAGTACCCATTGCGCAGCGTCTTTCGACCCTGAGCGTGCCTTCCAACGCATCTCAAAAGTAACAGATTTCCCTTGGGTGAGCGTATTCCACATGGACATTACTAGTGCTTGGTCATCTGGATAGACAAGATCCATGAATGCGTACTCGTCGGGTTTGGCGTCTCTGGGTTGGGAACTTGACGTTGTTAATCAGGTAATGAGTAATGTTGCGGTCAAAGTTACCTGAGTCTATACCATGCCTCATTTGCATGTAATAGTTTTCCCTCTGCGTTATACTCAAAAACGCCAACATCGCTCATCTCCATCATGGTCTGGATACTTTCCCATCTGGCAGAAAGGCTTGTGTATGGAATGTTCCTGAGTGAGATTGCTCTTTCGCGCTTGAGTTCACTCATCAACTGCGCTTTTGATCTTGTGAAAACTGGTATCCGACCCATACTGAGGTCATCGTTGTCGTTCGCTTCTTTCCCTAACGAGGCTGAATCCTGCTGATCTGTATCCAACTCTCTTGCCTTTACCACTTTCCAACGGCCATTCCGCCCCGATATTTCGGCAGTCCAGACTAAATCGCCAAAGTCATATCGCGGCTTGTATTCACCCAAAGCCTGCGCCCATGAGCGGAAGAGGAGCGCTGCTCTGTCCTGGGCCAATATGGAATTGCAGAGATGGAGTTTTCGGAAAGCTTCGTTGCAGAAGAGAAATTCAAACCCTAGAGTTATCTCTCCCGCTCTGATGACGAAAAGTGGTGCTGGATCAGACTCCAGCTCCTCCAGGTCCAGCAGGCGTGCGCTGGCACACTCGGCCGACGGCATTCCGAACAGGGTTCCGATGACTTTCGATGGAACATAAAGGGACAACAAGCGATTTGATGGTCTGATATTGTATGATCTCAGGAGTTTGCTCGGCGCTCAGCGCTCAGCGCATCCTGTAGGATGTAGTGGTAGCAATGTGATGGAAGGGGCGGTGTCCACTGGGAATGGGTGTTGTAAGGGAATTGCTGTTCAAGTTCGCCACTAGGGAAATCAAACGACAGTAATCCCAGATGGTTCCACGAGCTTGTTGTCTAAAACGATGAATATGATGTGTATGATCCAGGATGTAATTGAGCAAGTCGAGGTGTTCGTGCGCTGTCAGTGGTACTATGTTGGCGTACCTTAGATGCGCGACCTGGGCTGCAAGGCCGGCGAAATGCACCAATGTGTGGCATGGCAACTACTGTATGCGGGCTGGGTGGGGATGAGTCGGACCGGTCTAGTCCTCGATGGCCGGAAAAACAGACTAAACGTAGATGCGTCGGATATCGGATCAGCATAGAAGAGAAGGGGACATCTCCGGCTATTGGTCGCCGTCGCGAGTGTAAAGCTCTGATTTTGACGCTAGTTCAATCTCGACCGCAACCATGAATTGAAATAGCTGAAGTGCCGCGTTCAGGGTCCAGATGATCGTCGATATCGGCCCAATTTTCCATCGACTGCTGTTGAGGCAACAACTCTTGCCCAACCCATGTGGCCCTGCAGCCTTTTCCGGTGTGTCATATCGGGATCTCCATCTCAAAGCACACACGCAAGCATCGATAATCCCAGTCAAACATGAAAGAGTCAAAAGACACCTTGACAGACATTCGGAAAGGGCAAAGCAGGTCATGTCAAGTTAACCTCGCTCTCCGCAAACGGGGCTTGCTGCCCAGAAGGTGTTCGATGTCGCAACATCGACAGCCGACAGGCGCTGATACCTAGATGAACCATGTTCTTACCCACAGGGTTTTCTTGTTATTTTCGATTTTAATAGCACAATTCCTCGCTCATCTCTCTTTGCGGTTTTGCACAGGTACGAGTGGCCAGTTCACGCTACAAATCACGTGCTAGCGCGCTTTCAACCTCTTGGCGTGTAACACAGGATGAAGTCGCGACTTCTGCTTGTTGCTAACGCAGCAACTCTCCGCCCACAACTAACGCCCGTGCACCTACTCTCGGTAATTGAGGGCACTTCTGCCTGTCATCGTTCGCTCGATTCGCCAATATGAGCGAGGATGAGTTCGGCTGGTCATCTGGCGATGAAGAGCCATTCGCGGCTTCCACAGATGTTGTGCTAGATGGAAAGCGCAAACTTACTGTCAACAGCGGTAACACGACGTCCTTATCCAAGCGAAACAGACATGAGAGTAGTAACACCGTCATCTCTTCACCAAACACGCTTCTTGCGAATCGAATCCTCAAGAAATGCTTCGCGATAAATGAGTTTCGGCTTGAACAGGAAAGAGCCATCACTCGACTTCTGGACGGCGGCAGCGCGGTCGTTGTGTTTCCCACTGGGGGTGGCAAGAGCCTTTGCTACCAGGCGAGTCATGTCTTTGTGCAATGACTTATCCGTCTGACTATCAAAGGTACCTGCCGTAGCGTTTAGATATCAAGACGAACAGCTTGGTCGCCGGACTGCTGACCAAAGCGGTGTCACCTTGGTCATCTCACCGCTTATCGCTTTGATGAAGGATCAGGTAGATGCTCTATTACGCCGCGGGGTCAAAGCTGCTGTGTTGAACTCGTCCGTCTCCCGCGACCAATTCCTGGCCACACAAGACGATCTCAAGAAAGGCCGCTTAGATCTTATCTATTGCGCGCCAGAGCGTCTCAACAGCGAAGGCTTTATCGCGTCACTCAAAGACATCCCTGGAGGCATCCGTTTATTAGCTGTCGACGAAGCGCATTGTATCTCTGAGTGGGGCCACTCGTTCCGCCCGGACTACCTCAAAATTGCTCGATTCGCAAAAGAAGCACAAGTTGAGCGAGTTGTATGCCTCACCGCCACAGCAACACCGAAGGTCGCCGAAGACATTAGAGATGCTTTCGCTATACCCAAAGAAGGCCTTGTCCGGACAACCATGTATCGCCCCAACCTACGCCTCCTGGCTGAGGCGAATGGCAAAGACGCCGATTACGTGTCAAAACTAGCTGCTCATCTTGCGAAGCACCCTGGTCCTACCATAGTGTACGTGACAGTTCAAAAGGGCGCAGAGGTACTGGCCGGAGAACTGCAGAAGCGTGGCTTCAAAGCTAAGCATTACCACGCTGGAATGCCTGCGCCACTGCGCTCGAAAACACAAGACGAGTTCCTCATCAGCAAAGACATGATCGTTGTTGCTACTATTGCGTTCGGTATGGGCATCGATAAGCCAGATATCCGTAGCATCGTTCATTTCGACATACCTGACAGTGTCGAATCGTACAGTCAGCAAATCGGTAGAGCTGGTCGAGACGGCAAACCGAGTGTGTGCATGTTCTACCTCTCGACAAAGGACTTCTATTTGCGCAACATCTTCACTTACGGTGATCGGCCTTCGTTACGCTCACTGAAGCTTCTGATGCAGGATATATGTTCGCCAGCTCGTAGACAACTCAAAGCAGGCGACACTTTCCAACTCTCACTGTACACGCAGGGCCAAGAAACTGACATCAAAGCTATCATTCTTGGCATTCTATATGCACAGATGGAGTTGCATTTCGAACTTTTCCGTTCTGCTGGGGCTTTATACGCGAAGTATAGTTACATTGTCAAGAACCCGAACATCGTGCGGAACGATGGATCGGCAGCAGCTTCAGCGATCGTTAGGGCATCAGTCAAGAGTAGCAAATGGACTCACGTGGCATTGGATGATCTCGCTGATTCCAGTGGCATCGCCCGAGCGGACTTAGTACGCAAAATGGACGAATGGAATGAGCGCGGTGCGATTGAACTGAAGAAAGAGGGCGTACAGAACGTATACCGCTTGGAGCGACCCTTGCCGTCCACACCAGAAGAGATTGACAATATCGTCAAACAACTTGATGAAACCATGGAAAAGACAGAGCAACAGAACCTTGCCCGGACAAAAGCATTACTGGATCTGATCACCGACAAACGCTGCTTGTCTAGGTCTATCGCGGACTACTTCGGGGAAAGCACTGATGTATCAGAAGAATGTGGACATTGCACGTGGTGTGAGACACATAGGCGAGTTGTGCTACCTGACGAGCCGCCACAAGCTCCTGATCCCAAGAAGGTTCAGCAAGTACTGAAGGAGATTAGTGTACGCGATGACCCTAGGTTCCTTGCCAAGCTCGCATTTGGAATCAAGAGTCCACGTATGACTGCACTGAAGATCTTTTCATCCTCTGCGTTTGAGTCGATGAATGTATGTGACTTTTCCGAATTGTTGAAAGTTTTCACAAAGGCTTGCGAGGAGCATAGCAAGAAGGGGAAGGCATGAGCCGAATGCGATGAGCATTCTAAAATAGTCCCTAGCCCTTTAAAAAGACGTACATGCGGTTCATCGAAGCACGCCTGCAATCGCAACGATCCGTCTCTTTAGAGACAAAATTATAGGTGCAAACCAATCAATTTCAAGGGTGGATCACATATGTACATTGATACTGAGTGGATTACATGCGTCGTGTATCTACAGATGTCGATTAAGACATGGTATGCCTCTGTAGCAAGAGCTCTCTACAACTCCTTCTTCAACTTATTCGTTTGTGTTTCCTCTTTCCTCAACTCTTTCACGCCAACCGCCGGTCTGCCCGCGACTGCTTCCTCACCACCAAACGTCTTGAACGCATTATAGAAGATCCATTCAGTAGCGTGTTCAACTGGCTCGTCGAAGACAAAGGGGAGGAACGGGACTGCTGCAAGACCAAGCTGCTAATAGTTAGAACCGCATCGAAACCAAACAGCTTGAATTTACTTACCCCAATGGGTCCCCAAGTCCTCAAGGTCTTATTCTTCGCATCCTTCAGTGCGCGCCCAGAGTACCTGACGATACTGTGGATAGTAAAAGCAGGTAGCCCCATAGACGCAACAGCCTGGAATACAGCTCTCTGCGCCATCACAGCCCTGTAATCTTCGATCGCAGGTATCTTGCCCGCAACCACCTGCCCACCGGTCAATGGGCCCCCGGCTTCGCCATACTTGACACCTTCTGTATTTGTAGCATTCCTTGCCAGGTCTTGCACCTTATCGAGAATGCCGGTGCTAGCAGTCTTCCCTGTTGCCGCGAGATCTTTATCCTTGCCTTCTCCTAGACTCTTCTCTGCTGCTTCGTCGATGTAGTTCTCGGGGTGGAGTACGTGTTGGTTGCGACAGTAAGCTTTGTAGCCTTCGTGGGCAACGTCACCAGTGAGGTAGAGCCAGGATATACCATAGGCACCTTTAACTAGGTACGGATGTGCGATGGGGCGGAAGGACTCGCCAATGTCAGAGGTGTAGGCTACATAGCGGTGCGCGGAAAGCATGATGGTACGAATTCGAGAGGCGTACGCGGCATATCGGATGTTCGTATCTGTTGTGTCTTCGGCTCTATAGTCTTTGTCAGTTGAATCTATGGATCGTGAAGAGCGTCGGAGCATCACGGACGGCCGTTCGAATGGGCATAAAGAGGACAATTGAGGGACCATTACTTACTCGCCGTCGTAGAGCACCTCCCACATTTTCTCGTCATCGTTGAGCGTGTCCTGAAGCTCTTTCGGCAGCTGTTTCCTAGCTGGTGGAATTGAGAAATCCGGTCGCGTGCCTTGACGCTCCACCGGTACGCCGTCGACCTCTACAATCTTCTTGTTGTCGTCTTTCGCCATGGCTGATGTGTTTTAGGGATTCTTTCTATGCTCAGACTTTTAAAAGATGGACAAATGACGGACAAAAGAGAGTGAAAGCAAGTCTTGGAGAGTTGCGCAGGCGTAGACCTCCATGCTTCTTTGGTACCACTACTGCCTACCCTAACCAGAGCACACCTCGGCAGCTCGACGTCACACCCACTCAATCGTTGTGGCTGTGCTAGTTCTCACCAGCCACAGTCTGTCAGCCACATAACGCCAAGACCCAATCTTCTCTTCCGAAGAGAGCTCCGCGCAAGCGCAGCATCCACCAACGCTCCACCGCACGACTCTCTATCCATTGACACTCCATCACTCCGCTTACGGCACGGATAATCCTTAAATACCGCAAAGATGGTTGCCATGTACACTATTATGGGCCGCCAGGTCGGATCGCACGTCGTATGTTCTTTCCCTTAGAGGTGTACCGGAGGAGGAAAACTTTGGTGGGATGGAGGACCGGAAGCATTGGATGAGTGCTTCGTGGCGCATGCCTTGAAGGCCATCTATGGCGGACTTTGGGGATCAGAAAGACGACATGGACCATGATCCTTGACATGGGCTGACAAGTACTGTGTTTAGCTCGCAATGGCCACCCTCGGTATCACATTCACCGGTGCTGCGCTCTCCATGGGCGGCAAGAAGGCTGAGGACCCCACCACTCCCCCGATCAACGCAAAGAGCAGCGAGGAGGAGAGCTTCGTAAAGTGCGTACACATACCCTAGAAGTGGCATGCCGCTAGCTGGTTGCGAAAGCAGCGGAGTACAGGCGCTTGTACCGGAAGACCGAGGCTAACAACATACTAGGGAGTACGTCAAGAAGGCCGCGGACAAGGTCCAAGGAAAGCAATAAACATGACGTTTGGACTGGAGCAATGATGACAGTGGACGAGAACACGATGCGGCGGCGAGACCTCTTCGGATAGCCGCAAACGTGCTTCAAGGGTGCGGAACATTGTAGATACGCCAATTGTACCAACAAGCAAACATTGGACCGATCTTTCCACTCTCACAAAAGTTGCTGTTTGCCATTTTACGACATGAACATGACTGGGTATTCGATACTACAAAGCAGAATATAGACATGAGCGTGCGCTCAAGACCAAGGTATAAAGCAGCCGTCATAACCGTCATATAACTAGAAATGTGCAAGTGCGCCTCCCGTAACTCTGGGCTTCTCAAAAGTCCCCAATCTGATATCAACCGGCTTCTTTCTCTAGTCCTGGTCCTCTTCCAGGATGATCTTTTTGCTCATACTATCCACAACCTTGCTATAGAATTTGGGCGCTTGCGCCCTCGGGAAGCAAATCTCCTCTGTGAGATAATCAGGCAGTAGATCCAAAAGCTCCTTGTCTCTTTGTTCGTGAAGCAAAGGCTGGTAGATGAATTCTGCGTCTTCGTAGGATGTACCGCTGGAGGCTACTGTGAGGTGGAAATGCAGTGCTGCAAAGAAGTGGTGTCAGTACATTGGTTATCTTTAAGTTGCAAGACACGTGGGGAATGCGACTTACTGCCGTTACGTCCTGTTTGTAGACAATCGTAAACGTCTTCCTCGTCTTCGGATCTCTTCACACCAAGAACAACGAGGTCTGTAAGATCGCTGTAAAAATCGACCTTCTGCTTTGCGAGTGTCGCTTCCTTGGCTGCTTCAACAGTGCCTGGCAAAACGACGCCGGTTGTCCTAGCTTTCACCGCGCTTCCGGGCACATTCTTGGTTTCTGGCTGCGCCGATCGGGCTGCTGCGAGCTTGCTCGACAATGCCTTGCTCTCTCCCTGTGCCGATGTGAGCGAGTCGGCGAGTTTCTTGTTCTCGGCAGCGAGACGCGCTGACTCCTTGGAAACTGCTGCCAACTCTTTCTTTATCGATGCGAGGTCCGAGGTGCGTGATTGGAAATCAGATATTTGTTGCTGAAGGGCTTTGATGACTGCGTCTTGGTCTGGACATGTTTTAGTATACGCTATTGAGTTGCGTTTGTCGCGTCGTACCTTTTGCGATCTGGTCTGTCCGCTTCTTAAGCTGTTCAAAGTTCGACTCCTTCCCTGACGAGGCAGACTCCTTGAGCGTCTCGTACTTGGCTGTCATGGCGTCGAGTTTCTTTGTTAGGTCACCGACTTTCCTTCGCATGGCAGGGTCCCGCTCAGAGTCTGACACACTTCCTGTTCGTCTCACTCCAGCTGATGTTCGTCGCGCCCTGCTGTTGGGTTGGGCTCTACGTGCGGAGGGTCGCACGTGTGGTGGCGGCATGCTTTCGGGTATCTCGTCGACTTCGATTTCCACGGATTCCGATACATCCATTGGGTCTGCGTCTGGCTCTTGTTGTGTCTCAGGGATTGTCATCTGCTCAGGCTCGGTCTCGGGCTCAGCTGCGCGTTTCGTCCCTCTTGACTTTGTCGTAAGCTTCGCCTTGGTCTCCTTCTTCACAGGCTCTTCTTTCGCGACAGCTTTGCGCCCTCTCTTTGCGGGTGCCGCCTCTTCGACCTCGACCTCCTCCTGCGCCTTCTTTGCTGGTCTGCCTCTCTTGGCTGGTTTGGGCTGCGCAACCGCCTCTTGCTCTTCTAGCTCTTCCGTCTCGTCCACATCGCTGTGAACGGCTTCAGCAAGCTCCGCTGGCGCCTTGCGACCACCCTTTGCCGACACCTTTTTCGCGCCTGCTGCCGCGCTCTTCTTCGTGGCTACCGCACTAGTGGCGCTCGTTGGACGCGTCGCTGGTCTACCCTTCGCAGTCGCCTTGGTCGCGGAGGCCGTTTTCTTCGTCTGTGCAGCTCCGCGCGTGCTTCGCGCCGGCGCTTTGTTTTCGCTATTGGATTCGGGCGTAGGATGCGCATTGAGCTCGTCAACGGTCATTTCGTCTTCCGAAGCGGATTCGACGGTAAAGGAAATGTTCGCAGCTTTACTTCGGGGCGCCATTTTGTTCTGTCGCGAAAGTTTGGTAAGGGCGGGGAGTTGGGTGTGCGGCGGCATGGGAACGGGAGTGGCATGTAAACACACGACCCTAGCGTCACTTCCTAACACGGCGCTTCTGCCCCCGAAGACGCAACCAAATCTTCACCAATAAGGGCAATGTCGTGCATGGAGAAAACTAGCATAAAATAATCGTTATTATGTACAAAAAGCTATATACTGCTACAGTAGAGCGGGCTTGGTTGCCCAGCCCAGGTATCATCCCAAAGCATGTATCCAGAACGCCCAAGATCAGTTCGTCGTGAAGTCATAGCATACGCGACATTACCGTCAAAACTTTACTCGCCGTACTTTTATCTCCCAACACTGCTTCCACCCCAATTGCTAGGCGCCAGACTGCTAAGCTTACTGGATACTGTACTGCCAGAGAACCAACTCGATGACACACCGCCGCCAAATCCGAACTTCCACCACTTGTTTCTACCATACTTTCTGCCGCCACCAAGACCAGTTCTATTGCTCTTCTTGTCGTCAATCTTGTCTTGCCATTTGAGCTTTGTTTCCATGATCGCTTGGATGGAGTTGATGATGAGGAAAGTCGTGGAGCCAATGGCGCGGAAGAAAGCAAGGCCAGCGACAGCCCAGAGAATGAATGTCAAGTAGAAATTGTTTGTCACTTTGCGATCTGAGTATGCTTCACTGACAGCCATGGCGAGGATAGCGTTTGAGATAAGCCAGATGACAACCATGTAGGTTCGGACGGCACGGTAGTAGTCTTCCTGTTGTTGCGACTCGGAGATCGGAGGCTCAGGTACTTCGACGCGATCACGAAGATTGCGCAGGGCTTCGTCATAACCACTGTCGATGTCCAATTGCTCTGATGGCATTTCGAGTTCGACAACGTCCTTGTTCTTTCCCTTTGCGTCTCCTAGATCCGTCTTCGCTACGTTGTCGCCCTTGGTTCCCCAGGTGATGTCGTGTGTATTGCAGAAGGCGTACACTTGGAGAGTGGCGATGTAGGACGGGAGAAGAGCGAAGTATTGCGCACTGGACGTGAACATGTGCCAAGGATCCAGGTACATGAAGGACATGAGGAAGTAGAGACCAATCGTCGTCGCAGTAGAGATAATAAGGTTGGTGAAGACATTGGCCCCTATTGTCTTTGGTGCTTTTGGATCTTTGAGTTGGACGATGACGATGTAGAAGGAGGCGAAGGTAGTGTACGCCATGATGACACCGTACATGACCATACTCCAAAAGAACATCTTCTTGGCTCCTTGGGGTCGGTTACCCATAGACAGGATGAATTGCATGCAGATGAGCAAGGTGCATGTGTAACGTAGGATGTAGAAGATGTATTTTCCAATGTTGTGGCCGAAGGGATCGAGTTCCGGGTCTGAAAGTGAGCCAGCAACGAAGTAGAACGTCAGGTAGAAGTTGGCAAGCGAAAAGAAGGTGAACAGAAGTTGCACGAACTGGTATACAAATTCGATGTGGAGGAGGATCTTCCGCCCGATGGTATGGTCAGTTGCCCACACTTGCTTGAAATGGAGCAATGAGTAGACAGCGGCGAAGAAAGCACCGTTCAGCCATCGCCGACGTTGAGAGATGAACTCGGGTACAGCATCTGCTATATGTTAGCTTCGGTAATCGAGAAATTTGGCGAACATTCTTACCTGGCACATCAGTCTCACCAGTCGCCGCTTTGACGTATTTCAGAACCCATTGCTCGCTACGTTTTGCTACGAGCTCCCAACATAGGATACGATCTTCGGCCAGATACATGTTTGCCGTGAAAACGTCTGCATCCTGACCATGGAGCGTTTCTCCCTTGAAGTACTGGCTAAGAGGACCGTGGCCTGTGTGGTCATTCTGCAGCGCGTGATAACGATATGCTGAAAGCGCACCTGGCAAGACAGTGATGTATCCAAATACGGACTCCAATGGCTTGTCGAGGATGTTGGACATCTTGTATTCGAAGTTCTGCGACGCGACGAGCGGGTTGAGAAGACCAAGCCAGGCTTTGCCTTTACCTGCCTTGATTTCTCCAGCAGCTCCAGCGACAGAAGAGTCGGTGTCGAATGCTTTCCACAAGTGGTACAGGGCTTTGGGTCCAGGTTTGGTTCCCACGTCGAGTAGAATGCAGACGTTTGGATTAAGCGCCCGTCCAAAAGCGTTGAAGAACCAACGATGCGAGTTCAGCTTCTTCGAGTTCTTCTCCTTCAAGCAGAAGATCATTTGACATGGCACAATGCCCTTCTCCGCGCCTTTGAACTTAAGATCTGAATCCAAGGAGACTTGAGTGGTGTATTCGTAGACGTGAGCTGTGACCTCCTTCTGGTTCACGTGGTTCTTCGCGATACCTTCTTGGAAACATCCCATAGCAGCGATAGCATCTAGAGTTCGGGGATGGACCTTTCCACGGCCGTCTGCGATAATGCACACAACGATCTTTTGCCATCCATCCTTTCCCCAAGTTCTTGACTTCATGCGCGAGCAGAAATGGCTGATGTTCTGCATGACACCGTGCATTGTTCGGGTGAAGTCGATCTCGTTCTCGTTGTACATGGTAATAGCAATGAACAACTCCGTCTCTCGCTGATTTCCGATGTTTTGGCGTAATTTGTAGCCACGATCAATGTAGTCATCTGGGTCGCATGTGACAGCCGTATATCGCATATGCGTGAACTCGATGTCATCTCGTCGCGGAAGGAAACTGTGGAGGATGGTCGGGATCTTGCACTCGAGAATAAGTTCACCGTTAATCAGGCGAACCTCCTTCTTCGTCATTACTGCATCTCGCGCTCCACGTCGTTCCTGTGCGCCATCTGGAGCTGGCCCGTAGTGCTCTGCCTTCTCATCGATTTCAGTGTACATGTCCGTATATGTATCGTCGCTCATGTAGGAGTCCCTCGATCGCAGGTCTGGTCTGTCGTCGCCAATGTCGGTGAAGGGGTCGTCGTCGTCGTGAATTGGTATTGAAGTCATGTCGGTCATGTCCATGGTGTTCTCAGATCCGCGAGAGCCCGGTCTGGCACCATTGGTGAACAAGGGCGCTGGAGGTAGTGGTCGCTGCGGACTGCCCGGCCGTGGGCTGCCATGAAGGTCTAGTGGCTCGTATGAGTTGACTGAAGCTGGTGGCCGCGAGTAGTCGTCTGATGTGCGCGTGGGTGAGTATGGCCGGTCGGGTGATAACGGCCGCCGGTAGGGAACATAATCGTCATCTGGCGGTGGCATGTTCGGTGCAGTGTCCATCACTGACGGCGTCCGTGATAAGCCGGATACTGAGGATGATGTGGGGTGGTATGTGCGCGATACTGGCGATGGAGGTCTGCGGAGATCACGTAATTGTAAGTCTGGGTCTTGTGATCGTACGGTTTTGGAGGGCGCCGCGTAGTTTGCCATCTCCGAACTGAGCATCTTCCTTCGTGGCATCTGCGTAGGTGCAGCAGCCGTGCTGGACGTTGAACTCAGCGCATCGCCGGCCTCGCGCAGGAAGTCGTGAATGTCCGATTCGGCAGCCTTCTGCTTGCCCACCTCAGACATGGTCATGCGCGCGCCCAACTCGGCAGTATTGCTGTTGGCACTTGACATGTTTGAAGTGTCCTCGAATGAGGGTCTTCTGGTGCGGATGAGATTGAGTCCAAGATGCAGGACGCAAGTGGAAGAGAGACAACAAGGAAGACAAATACTCACTGCATATAGCTTTGGCTGTCATCCACGTTTGTCAACAAGCGCATTGTTGATCCTCCTTGTAGTTGCTGAGGGGAGCCGTCATCATAGTCATATGCAGGTGGCCGTCCATAGTGTGAACCACTGTGCGGTGTGGACCCGTCCATCGTATGTGTGTGCGCCGCGAAAACAGAAATGGGTATATGAAAAGTGTCGTAATTCTTCGTGAAACCCGAGGAGTGATTGAGATGGGCAAAAATGCGATATGGATGTCTTCAAAAAGGGTGGAACAGCAACTTTTGCAGCAGTGATGCGATGGCGGTGTATGCAGCGCTGTTGTTGCTTCGGACGTTGTTATGGAAACGCCGAACCCCTGTCCCCTGTCAACCCAGGAACACACCCCATATGCGGCCCCATGTGGCTTAGACGGCGCCATCTCAACCACTCCATGTGCAATTCGTCCGTACTCGCGTGCGACTGTTTCACCTGTCGTGTTCTATTGGTTCGGGATACGGCCTGCACTATTGTGGCTCGATCATCGGTTGTCGAGGCAAATATCTGCTGGGTCTTGCCGTCTTTGCACTAGGTCTAGAGCATGGCAGAAGCACCCCACAGCCGAACAGGGTGTTCGCAGTTTACCGCCAAACCTACGACTTGTTTATCTGTTGAGCATATGCATTTGCTTCTGCCTACGACACAAATGTCCCCCTGAAATAGGTCTCGATCTTGAACTGGTCTGACGTCAGTAAGAATGGTTGCAGTCCTCGACCTGTGAAAGAGCATCTGCTCGGCCAAATGCTAGTTGTGTCGCTGAGCCTAAGTGTTGCGTGCATCTATGCTTACGATCTCTCCCTCTTCGTGACATCTTCTGCTGAGGTATCATCCAAAAGACATAACTCGTGAACGACTGGTCGTCGCAGTACATGCCTGGGTACCGTGATACTACGCGTACGTTGTGGATCAAGGATACCTAAGTAGCATATATCGCGCATCACCCAGCACCTTTTCAACTACAACCACATCATATGCTCTCTTAGTACCTACTTCTGAGCTCACAAAATCATATTACGCGACTGAGACCACGAGGGTTTATCCATCTAGACATGGCAACAACGAACTCCTCTCAAAAATACCCTCCATAAGCGCAGTGTTCCAATAATGCTCTTCAGGTGGTTTGCGTTCTACGATGCTCCAAAAGTTGACATCGACTATTAATTTACACAACTACTATACAGGCGATAGAACGACATCATCAGCAAGGGCATCCAGAGACAGCCTATATTCATGAAGTACAATGGTCTGGCCATTCAACATATGAAAGCTAGTACAATCACCCAAAGAACTTCATAACAGTCATCTATAACAATGATGTATGATGAGCCTGGAGAGATGAATCTAGAATCTAAAATGTACAGCGCAGGATGAGTTATTGAGGTTGACAGATGGGGTGAACCACAAGTTTCAGAGTAGGCGAGGCTGGAGAAGAACAGGAACTGACAGTGGAGAACAAAAGATGCATCAGACTGCGCTCCACCGCTCCCGACGCACGATCTGATCGTCGAACGTCGATCTTTCTTGCGTCATGACTCCTGACTCAACCAAGGTTCCATCGCCAGATACCAAAAGGCGGTCTAAGCGTTGAGTGCAGCTGGCTGATGCTTCATGCGTCACGCGCCCTAACTCGTCCCAGTCCGCAACTTCATTCGCATCAGTTTGACAACTAAAATACACGACTTCTAGTGTTCACCACTGGAAGACCATTGGGTTTAAGGCTGGAATGTCGATAGTTCGTGCATCACCAGCTCTAACTCTGTAACTCCTGAGGTCGTCCTAGCAGGCATCCATATTTGTAGAACCGGCGTTGAGACTACCCCGACAACTTACAGAAAACTGCTGATAACACAGGTGTTCTTTAAATGAGAGTATTGAGAAATTGGTTAGCATAGTGAGATATATGTATGCATTGCCCGTCGATTGAAATTGGGCGGGGAGGACAGTGATACCGGAGATATCTAGGTATTCAAGCCGTGACCACGCCCTAGGGATGTACTGGAAGAATTATATTGGACTCTCCGTGCAAAGCCGTACTCCAAAGAGGTATTTAGGATGCAAATATCCCCTTAAAATAAGTCTCAACACCCTTGAAACCTCCCGCGTCGACCGTGTCAATGTAACCAACGTATTGATCCGGTCTCGTAACGACCACACATCCTGTCTCCCTGTCGACACCATACCCCTTATATGCATCGCCAAAGCCCTCGAACGGATTGGCATCATCGGCATACACTGAATCGTAATCCCATCCAAATTTCGAATCAAATGGGTGCAAGATATCTGGGAAGTCGCGCAAAAGCTCTACTTCCTTGCGCTTCGAGGAGTGCAATGTGAGCACTTCCACGTTCTTGATGAGATGGGGAGCCAGTAATGATGAGGACGATAAAGTCTCGCAGAAGCCTTTCAAGCGGGCGCTCTGTTGTGCATTTGCGACATTACCGGCAAATACAATGATGCGGAATCGTCCATCGCTTTTCAACTTCTGCTGGAACTCCCAGGCTCGGCCGTCGGATTGGTTGATGACTTGGTAGCTTGGGAAACGCATGCCCAACTTCGTCTCTGAGGCGAGCTCTTGCTTGCCGATGATCTCGAACTTTGAAGATACGTCTGTCCCGTCGCCTTGATCTGCCGCGTTGCCTGGTTTGCCAACCAACATACTCGTTCCATAATCTACCGAGAGCCCTGTAGCGAATAGTTGACCTTGATTTTGTTAGCAAATGTGATTTACCTGGAAATATATATTCTTACCCTTGAGGAATGCCTGCTTAAACTCGTCCATACTGACTCCCTCCTCATCCATGACATCCTTCGCCGGCCGCCCTGAGAACAATCTTGAAAACTTGTGGTCGAATGCTATCAAATCCTGCGCAATACGCCTCCGCTCTGACTGGTATGTCTTCAAAATGGAAGGTTGAGCGATACCTTTCACCACCAAACCCAGCTTCCAACCCAGGTTGTACCCATCCTGCATGGAGACATTCATTCCTTGACCAGCCTTCGGTGAGTGTGTATGCACGGCATCGCCAGCCAGGAACACGCGACTCTTGTGATCGAAGTTCTTGCCGACTCTCTGGCCGATCTGGTACGCCGTCCACCAGTCGCAGTATTCGTATGTCAGCTTATACGGTGCAATGATCTTTTGCGCAGCGGTGAGAATAGTATCGGGTGTGATCTTTGATCTATCCGCTCGACCACTGGCGTCGGGCTTGATCTCCGTGAGCTGGATGTAGAGCCGGGCAAGCTTGTTCTCACGTGGGATGATCATCATCGATCCTGAAGACTCGCTATGTATCGCGCAACGTTTACGGACGTCTGGAAAGTCAGTAATAGGAATAATGTCCAACACACCCCAGATGTGATCTGTAGGCTCCCCTTCCAGCTCAAAGCCTAGTTGCTTTCGTGTCCAACTGTGGGCGCCATCGCAGCCTACAACGTATTTCGCTCTCACAGTCTCCGTGCTACCCTCCTTTTGCTGGCTGTTCGCGATGAGATCTTCAGTGTCATCATCTGCCAGATTACTTCTGAAGAGACCGTCGTTGATTCCAGAGCCTTTGCTTTGAGCTGGTTTGGCCTCATCCTCGGTAAGATATCGAAGCTGAACTGTGATGGGATAATTATCTGGTGAATGATCGTCTACTCGATCTTCAGTGATATGGAGCGACTCGGGTAACACCGCACGCTCGACACGTAGCGTATCCTTAGAGTGTTTTTTGATGTGGTCAAGGAAGAATCTTTCAATCCGTCCCTGGTGGAGTACGATCTCTTTGAATCGAGAGAGACCAGGTGGTGTATCGGGCACCCCATCTGAGCGGCGTATCACACCGTCTTTGCCGGGATTCTGCGTGTGTTAGGAAAGCCGAAATGCAGTCCAAAAGCGACAACATACCCACATGCAGAACTAGATGCTGGTTAGTCAAGTTCATCCAAATTATACGCGTCCAGAAAGTATACGTGTCAGTCTTTGTCTTAGGAGAGAGAGATATACGCGTACCTCTATCAAATGATTGGCTTCCTTCCAAGCTCTATCGGCGAAGCCAAAGCTGTCAAAAATCTCTAGACTGCGGAGTTGTAAACCGTCCGCTTGTCCTGAGTAAATCTTTGTGCCACGTTTGTCGACGACGCGAGCATTGATGCCACATCTCGCCATCCAAGCCGAGAGCATCATTCTGGGATCTCGTCAATATTTTCAAGATGTCGCTTTGGACATTGGTAATTACCCTGCTGGACCAGCACCAACGATGAGGCTTCAAACTTATTAGTGACATATTCAGACACGTAAACATCGGCAGACTAACACATCGCATTTTGACTCCTTTGTCTCCGAGACTGTCATCTTGGAATCTTTTCGCCGTTGTCACTAAGAGCTGATAGTTCGAGTGCAGCTACCCCGCTTGAAGGTTGCTTGAACAAGAGATGGGTGGTGTCACACATCACCAAATGTGGCTTGCATCTAATATAAGCTCTTACAACCGCCTCGTACCGGGTATCCCAGTAATCATACAGTACGGCAGTGCAATTCGGCGCGTCAAGAGTGGACATCGCGTTGGCATCGACGCGACTGGTGCGTGGCTACCCCACATCACGCCAAGCCGGTTTCGGGTCGCATGACGCATGGAACAAAATCCAGACATTGTGATTCGCGTGTCCGCGTGTGGGTCGCGACCAAGCGCAGAAGCAATCTGGAGTTTGTAAGAGCTTTGTCAACGAGAACAGAGGTGTTGCCTTCGGAAATGCTGGGGCTTGAGGTTTGTAGGCCATCAGTCATTAGTTTTGTCAGAGCTTTGTCAGGCGAAGAGGAGATGAGGATGTGGATGCTGCCGTCCCGAGCGCCGCAATGCTGGTCCTTCCACTGCGCGCTCATTTTCCGCAATGACTTCGGGCAAACTACGGGTCCCTCTTTGTGTCCGTACAACACGGGACTTTGACAGCGGCCATAACCCGCATCCCGATAATGGTTAGCTCCCCTGAGTAAATTACCGTATTTGGTCGTCGAGAGTTAAGTTCAGCGCAAAGGAGAGTTGAAAAAGTGCATCACTTGCCAGTCCTGGAGCGTCTTGCGCATCATAGCAAATTTCCACTATTCGTATGGGTCATGACGTACCTAGGTACATACATCATCAGCGCCGCCGTCGAAAGTGCACGTCACCGGCAATAAGTCTTTGGCTAGCCAACCCGCAAGTACCGCTATGGCAGGTTAAATAGTTGCACTCATCTTCCAGAACACCACAAAGTTTTACGCCCAACATGTCCACAAACTACGACTTCAAGACTGCTCTCGTGACCGGCGGTGGGGGTGGTATCGGAAAGGCGCTTGCGCACCAGATGATAAAAGATGGGAAGAAAGTCATCATCGCAGGTCGTACAGAGTCGAAATTGCAAGAAGCTGCAAAAGAGATCGGAGCAACGGCATACTACGTCCTTGATACTGGAGACGTCAAATCTATCCCGGCTTTCACCAAGAAGCTGATATCCGAGCATCCGGACCTCGATTGCCTCGTCAACAATGCTGGTGTGCAGCGGCCACTCGACGTCAACGAAATGGACCCAGAGGAATTTGGCAGCAAGGCTGACCAGGAAATCGATATCAATATCCGTGGACCCATGCACCTTGCACTTAACCTGCTCTCACATTTCAAAACCAAGCCAACGGCACTGGTGGTCAATGTATCTTCCGTTCTTGGCTTCGTGCCATTCTCCCTCGTCAGTAAGTGTCTCCGTACAAAATCTTTGTGAGGAGCATACTGATCTCATTTACCCACGATTTAGACCCCGTGTACAACGGTACGAAAGCATGGGTACACTTCTGGTCGATGAACCTACGAGCCCAGCTCAAGGATACAAAGATCAAGGTCATCGAGATTGCGCCGCCCACTGTGGCAACAGACTTACATCGTGAGAGAAAGGATCCAGATGACAACAAGAAAGAGAAGAACAAAGCTGCTTTGAGCGTAGAAGAGTTCATCGAAGAAACGTTAGGGAAGTGGAAGAAGGGAGACGAGATGATTGCCGCCGGCCCTGCAAACAAGATTGTGGATACTTGGCAGGACAACATGGGGCCCATCTTCCACGACATGGCAAAGTAGTCATTGCTGAAGAATTGATAATTGATTGATGCTTTTGCATTGAGTCCTCGAGTAGGGTTTGAAAAGCGACTGACGAGATCACGAGACACGGTTCTCGTGATTACACCGACACATGCACGGCAGAAATGATACCGACTTGACCCTGCTAATGCAGGCGTTGGTGCTTGGTTTTCATTGGTAACGAGAGGCCCTACCGATCTTCGGTCTTCGCAACAAGATTGGAAAGTATATACAAACGAATCAGGCGAACATATTTCGTCGTGTTCTCGACTTCCTTCACTCAGAGTCCAAACCATTTCATGTCCTCCGCCTCGTGTACTGGTACAGTGTGTCCCACATTCAACGCGCTGTATCCTACAAGTTTGGTTCCATCTCCATACACCATTTGTGTATATCCGCTCTGCGGGGTGTTCGTCACGTTCTTTGTGAACGAAACACCCAACAGCCCGCTCCACTCCTTAAGTTGCTCGCCCAAGTTTGGAATCTTGACCAAGGTATCAGCAGTACCGTGCCATGTCGCCATGCGAGGGTAGGTGCCAGTGTAGCCTGGGTACATGGCCTTGACCTGTGCCACCCATTCCGCTTGCGTCTTGATGACTTGGCCGTTTGCGCATCGAGGGTCTGCAGTGCTTGGGCTGGCGCCGGGGCTGCCTGCTACACAGCCCGCTGCGACACCGGAATAGCATGATCCTGCAGCGATGACATCGGGGTAGGTCGCCATCATGACGTTGGTCATCATACACCCGGAGCTGCTTCCAGTGACAAAGACCTTGGCCGGGTCGGCACCGTACTTCTTGATGGTGTACTGGATCATGTTGTTCAGGCCTTGGTTGTCACCGCCGGCATCGCGAGAGAGGCCCTTGGCAGTGTTGACTTCCCAACAGTTGTTGTCTTTCTTGGTGGACGGGAAGATGTTGATGAAACCTTTCTGCTCAGCTAGGCTGTTGTATTTTGTAGATTGAGCGTAAGCTTCTCCAGTACCACCGCAGTAGTGCAGCTATCGATGGGTCAGCGCAAGCCTTATCAAAGAAACCTTGCAAAGATAGAAAATCACGTACGGCCAGGATGATAGCGGGCTTGGTCGCAAGTTTGGCAGGAACATAGATGTTCATCTGGAGGTTGGAAGGGTTGGCTCCAAAGTCATTGACACGGGTAAGGGCGGCATTGGCAGTTGCGCAGAAAGCAACAATGCTGCCGAGTACAGAGGTGGAGAAGTGCATCTTGATTGCCGTGCGAGTTCGTGAAGAATGAGTTTCCTGCGAGTCACTTCCTTCTTATAGACCTGCTATGCTCGTATGGAGATATTCATTAGCGCGAAACATTGTGAGGTTGTTCCCCGTGGATGCTAGCCGTGCTTGAACGGTGGCATAGTGTCAATTTACCAAGTTGCCGAATCTGGGAGGCACGGCCATGCGCAAGTCCATATATAAAGGCAGTTGCTTGTTTCAAACACTTTTTCGATCCAATCATAAGCAAGTGAAACGGATCATCTGCGTTTCTGGACGACTTTTCGAGGCTTTCGTGCCTACTGAGGTTAGATATCAGGGGAACTCGTGTGGACTTGCTGTAGGGGATCAGGGATCTCGGATGTTTACCCCGGAAGAAGTCCCGCCAAATAAATTAACCTACTACCGAGGTTCGCTCCGATGCTAGTTGCGTGCAGCAGTAGCTTCTTTCACGTCCACGTCACTTGTTTTGTTTTATTGTGGAGTTGCCGTTCTTGTTTACCGTGCAACAACACTTGACTGTGTTTCTGCCAGCATCGTATGTCAACATCAGAAACGTGTCGATCAATGACATACAAGCAAACACTCAGCAGCGCACGTGTTTTATGATGATATATTTCAATATTCGTCTATTATGCTAACATGGGCGTAAATTCTATTGGGTATCTCTCAACATCGCCTCTACAAGTTTGGGTGCGCATCCTTGAACTCCTTGCTGTAAGGGTAATCGACATATCCCTTCTCGCTCTTGGGAATATAGAAAGTGTCGCGGTCGTAAGGGTTGAGCTCAATTCCCTTCTCTATCCGGAAAACAAGATCGGGGGTGCTGATGAAGTATCGTCCGAATACCGCTACAACGTCACGGTCCTTGTGCTCCTCGACCAACTTCTTCGCGTCCTCAGCCTTGAGTCCACCAGCGATGAGTAGCTTGCCCGAGTAATGGGGCAGCAGGGGGTCAAGAGAGTCGGATCCCTCAACATCGGCGTTACCAGCCACGCGGGCCTCAACAAGGTGAAGGTAGGCCAGGTTGAACGCGTCCAGTCTTTTCATGATGTCTGTAAACTGGGGAAGAGGGTCCTTCATCTTCATGCCTTGGAACTCTGAGAAAGGACTCAACCGGATACCGGTCTTGTCCGCGCCAACGGCTTCCGAAACAGCTTGAGTAACCTCGACGGCGAACCTGGAGCGGTTCTCAACAGAGCCCCCGTAGGAGTCTGTGCGCTTGTTGCAAGTATCCTGCAGGAACTGATCGATGAGGTAGCCGTTCGCGGCGTGAATCTCTACACCGTCGAAACCAGCTTCAATGGCGTTCTTAGCTGCTTGAGCGTAGTCAGAGACACTCTGCTTGATTTCCTCGACGGTCATCTCCTTGGGAGTAGCGTAGCCCTCGCCTAGGGATGTCGCACTGGAAGACTTGATGGTAATGTCGTTCGCTTGTGCAAAATCCTTGTTCGCTACACGACCGAGAGCCCAAAGCTGGAGGTAGATGTACGAGCCCTTGTCATGTACAGCCTTGGTGACTGGTTTCCATGCGTCGATCTGGGCTTGTGTGTAAATACCGGGTACGTTGGGGTATCCACCGGATTGTTTCGAAACTAGTGTAGCTTCTGTGATGAGAAGAGTTCCTGGCACGACAGCACGCTGACCATAGTACTGTGCGGCCATGGGCAGGATTTCGTGGTTGTCGTTAACACGGAAACGTGTTAGAGGCGCCATAGCAATGCGGTTCTTGAGCTCCATAGAGCCCACCTTGAGTGGCTGGAAAAGGCGTTCAGCGGACATCTTGGTGTTGTGTGTGTTTGATTTGGGAAGGTTTGACAATTCGGCGGACATGTGAGAAAAGTTGGACAATAGGAATGGCAGTTGAGATTGTTGAATAGTGAGGACGGAGAGGCGTCAATATACCTATATACGCCTCATGCTAAAAAACCATCCTGTCGATGGTTTGAAATCATCGTTCGGTCGATCTCGGCAACTGCGCGGTAAACTAACCCCATAGAACTTTCCGCTGTATTCTACACCGGTGTAGACCCTGATGTGCATGGTCCTAAGGCTCCGTTAGCTATAGACGGTAAGGAACGCCTGAATCAAGATACGTAGCCGCTGAAAGCGAGATGGTACCTGAGCTTGGCAGGGCATGAGAAATGCTATCGGCAGTGGCGGTAACGCCGAAGCTTATGACGTAATCTACATTTGTCAGGATGGTACTGTGGAACAGCGAGAGCCGAAGCTCTACCGAACATCAATCGAAGTCGGATGAGGAGATAGACGCGTGAGGGACAAGATGAGAAAACCTTAGAAGCCATAGGAGAGCACATTGTTAACGATTTGGGCGAATATTAGCAGCTCGCAGACTTTGTAACCCCACGTTATTCCTTCAAGAGCTTTTTCGCACTGTTCAACTGCGCTTCCAAATCCGCATGCCAGAGCCATTGAAAGCTCTCGTTGATCCTATCTTCGACCTTGCTCATGTCATCCTTTACTCCTTCAATCATGAGGTCGTATGCTAGAGCTGCGTCCATGCTCCGTTGAATCAATTCCTGCGTCCTTGGCCGTCTTACAGCGTCGTAGGCCTTGAAAGCAGCCTCGATGTTGTCGATGCTTCCAGCAGTAACGATCAGGTGGCTAAGTATATATGCATCTTCCATAGCCATGCCAGCCCCAGCTCCCATGTGAGGTGTCGTGGCGTGTGCACTATCACCCAGGAGACACTTACGATTCTTGAAGTATGATGCATTGTGTTGGAGGGTGAAGAGTGCCCATTTGGAGGGCAGATGGTATTTGGCAATGAGATCGATGAGCGGCGGATAATAGTCTCTAAACTTTTCGCGAACCTCGTCTCCATTTGTTGATACTGTCCAGTCGTCCTGACCCCAAGTACTGGTGAAGGATTGGTCGTGCGGCATGGCAACCATGTTGACAAATTGACCATGCTCGACAGGATATGTTACGATGTATCCTCCGTAGCCACAGTACAGCTGGCTGTTCATAGCCATCTCTTCTCCAAGTGCCCTCTTGGCTTCCTCTCCTGGAACCATCGCTCTCATCGCTATTTCGTGGGCATATTCCGGCTGAATGTCTGGACCACATACAAAGCCCCGTACTCTGCTTTTAATGCCGTCACAGCCAATGACTGCGCTAGCTAGTGAAGTCGTCCCGTCGGTAAATGTTAGCTTAAGGACTCCATTACCCACTTCTTCGACGCTTTCGAAGCTCTTGCTGAAGCTTGTTATGTCCGTAGGAAGAAGCGCAACCATCTCGTCGAGTAGCCGCGCTCGGTGTATACGCTATGTATAGGTGTATAAAGTCAGCACGTGTTCCACATGTAATTCGTACAGGGACACTTACACCTCGCATCCGAAGTCCGGCTAGCGCACCCTGTGGCTGATATGAGTCGTTCTGATGGAACGCGAGGTCTCCAGCTTTAGATCCATGGGTTCGTCTCTCATCCATACCCCATCTAATCGTGTTGAAAGTATCATCCCGCTCAGGATCTGTATTGAAAGTCGCATGTTTCATGAAGCCTTCCAGCAATCGGGGGTCGATCAAGTGTAACGCAGTCGTGGCGTTGGCGCCGAATGTGACACCAGCGCCTATCTCTGAGAAGGCTGCGGAAGCTTCGTAGATGTGTACTTTGACACCATATCTGAGCAGGCCGATTGCAAGGGCAAGGCCACCAAGACCACCGCCGACAATTGCTATCGGAAAAGTCTCATGGTTTCTGAAGGTAGTCTTGGTCGATCCATCTTCGGGCGACATTTTGTCTTGATCAAGTCACGCTCAGGGTACCTCAAAATCCAGTTGTTTTTTCGCAAGGCCACGTTTTGGATCACTGAATACGTGCCTAGGAGTATTGTCGATCAGCTTGCGGATCATGAGACTAATGCGAGCTGATGTAAAGCCGCATATATTTGACATCGCGCTGTGTAAGCTCCTCACGGGAATGGCCTGGTGGGAATGGTATATCCGGCTGGATGAAGAGACGTCGAAAGCGGGGAAACTAGGAACTGTGTAACTCGGCGCTGATTGGTGGTGATTGGGTTCTTATCTACTACAAAAGCGCTCTACGTGCTAATCGTATGGGTTGCAAGACAGCAATGCATGTTCCAGAACATGAAAATGGTCACCTGCCTAATTCATTCCAACGTCGATTCATCTCTTCACAGCTCGTTGTGCGCCGGCGCAGCCTTTTGTACGTCGACACCACAGACGGCAGGCGTACCTACTTCCATTCGGTATACACACTTCTCCTCTTCGACGATCTTCCAGATCTCATCCTTCTCCGCACAGGCTAAGATGACCATGGTGCTTCTGTTCGGTCCGTTCCAGCAATGCTGGCCGTTCTCGTACTTGAGCGCGATTCTTTCACCGCTGCCCAAGCCCCTTCCGTCGGCAGGAAGCTCTTCATCGACGGTGATGGATTCAATGCGTGCAAAGTTACCCATGCCAGTGTGACCGCCGCCCTTCTTAGGCTTCTGAGTGGTCTTTGAAAGGAAGCAATGCTCGTATGTGTATTCGCCGGAGTCGGTGGATGTGCATCGGTCTCTCAGGGCGCGGAAAATAGAGTCTGGGCCGTAGTCTTTGGTGAGATCTTCCTCGTGCTTTGAAAGTTCCGACTTGTCTCCCTCGAGTTCCTTCTTCGCAGAATCTAGCTGCGACTTGGCATCGGTAACGGCCTTGGATTCAGGTGTGTCGCCGGTCGTAGGGTCTGCAAGGATACCGTTCTCGATGAGCATGACGCGCAAGTCGCGAAGCTTGCTGTCCACCCAGCTACGGATAGAGTCGGGGAGGTATTCTTCGAATTTGTAGACTGTGTCCATGGTCAGTGAATCAATAGAGTGAGTGAGCAAACATGTACTTACGAAGCTCTACATCGGACTCTTCAACTGTCTCGAACTCTTCCCACTTGATAGCGCTCTCAGAGTCTGGCTTCAGAATCTCATCGAGATCGCGGTCGAGAGCGGTGTTGGGACCTGTACGCTCTTGTGCTGCGTAGTTCTCCCAGGCCTGCACGGCACGCTTTACACCCTCGTCGTTGAAGTTGGGGTTGTACTCGTCTTTGAAGCGCTTCAACATGCCCTCGAGCTCCTCGATCCTGGCTTGTGCCGCGTTCCTCTCGTCTCGCACACGGTTGACGTTCTCGGTGAGCTCTTGGATCCTCTCTTTGGCCAAGCTGGCCAGCACAGTAACTTTGCCGCCCTTTCCTGCGCCTTTGACGACCTTGCCTCGCTCCGCCCTCTCGATCTCGGCGAGGCTCTTTGTCAGGCCATCTACCTTGAGTGTCGCGCCTTCGATCTGTGTCTTGAGCGTCTGTATGCGGTCCTCGACCTCCTTGCGCATACGGCCAGCCTCAGCCACCAGCTCCTTCCGTTTCTGTCTTGCAGAAGTCAGGCTCTTTTGTCTCGCCTCGTCCGCCTTCCTCCATTCTTTACCGATGGTCGCACATTTGTCTTCGCACTTGACACCTCCTACACGCTCGTATTCGTCGCTGCCGTCACAGCATAGTTGGTAGTCGCATGCGCCGTCGTTGACGTTGGTAAAGGGAATGTAGCTCGGCTGGTGGCCTTTGTTCTTGCAGTAAAAGCCAGGCAGAGCCGGCGTGGAATTGACGTCTTTGCCTTGGAAGCCCAAGGGCTGCGGCGGGGAGAGGGGCGAGAGGTAGGAGCATGCCGATGTGCCTGGCTCGTCAGAGCCATCGGGGCAGTCGCAGTAGTCGTCGTTCAAGCGTGCAACGGGAAGCTTGATGGCCGGATTCGAGATACAAGTAAATGTCTCGGCATCCTTGTAGTACTTTGCAACTAGACACTGGCTGTCAGCTGTGCTCAGTCGTGCGTCTGGAAGCTCTCCACGAGCTGTAACAGGTGCAACATACACTCGGGACCAACACCCCGCGGCCGGGCGGGGTCTGACGCCGCATCTGCGGTGCTGGCTAAGAGGGGGAGTATAAAGGCTAGTGAAGACACGTGCTTCCTTCCCATTTTGAATATGGAGAGAGCAATTGGAGCTGAGACCTCAACATGCTCCAAATGCCACATCGACATAGTTTCAGGGTCCAATGGCCCGTGCGCAGCCGTCCGAGCTATCTCCAGCCCTCACCTCCGCCTCCGCAATGTCAACTCTCCGCAATGGTGCCTGCCGCCATCCTGAACGACGGACCATGTCTTCTTCTGTCGCCTCTCCAAGCACATGATATCTTTGTCGCCGTCTTCTCTTTTGTTCCAGTGTTAAGCAACGCTTACGCTTACAAAAGAGCGTTTGCTGCATGGCCTGGACATACCGACACTTCTGGGCATCAAACAAACAACAGCCGCATGCTCATGTCCTAACGCAGAAGTTACGCGCGATAATGGCATTCAATCCAATTCAGGCCATCTTCTATCCAGAATCGCTCATGTATCGGGCAACAGATACGGCTTTTGGGCGGCCGCCCACGTCTGCGCTTCAAGCAAACGCTGTGCACGCAGTCTCATTGCTCTGTTTTGAGTCTCGGAAATCAAGATGATGCATTGGAATGGCCGAGCTCGCACTCTCGAACGATTTCTGTCGTTTGCATATATACGAATCGCGTGCATGGACTATGTGAAAACGGTGTTCCAACATGATCTTCCATTCCTTTACACACCATTCTTCTATCCCGACATAACTCTAGTCCGTATCATTTCTGGCTCCAAGCAGTGTCTCCAACACGATGACATACGCTGATGAGGACGACATCGATTGGAGTGATGGCTCTTTGGATGAGAAGGTTATCGATACCTTTGCTCGTGCGACTCAACCCAGCCCATATGCAGAAACACAGAACGATCAAGGCTCGCTACTTGTATCAGAGGTTCGTGATCAGCACCGTAGATCCTGCAGCCTTCCGCTCGAATCAGGTAAGAAGCCAAGCCCAATCGAAAGCCGCTTGTTTACACTCTATAGTTTCCGCGAATGGAAGCAGCACGGCCCAGGACCCTTCGCGTGTTCAGCGAGCCGGCATAGGTGTTCATCTCAACCAGCGTCTACCTTCCAAGGAAGATTACGTGAATTATGTACTCTACCAAGCTAACCAGAAAGCTTACGAGGCCACCTTTTTGAACACCTTCGTAGCACATGCCTTGCATCCCAATCGCATAGCCCAATGTTCTGAAGATCCAACTGGTAGTATCCCAACTGTTGTGGAATATATGGAATCGGTGATTCGTGAGGTCGATAGCATCACGAGAAGGATGATCTGGAATGCCCACTGTCGTACGGTCCATCTGCTCGCAAAAGACGGCAAGGATGGCGCCCCATTTCTCGATATAGACGCACTCGACGCGAAACCCTTTTCCGATTACGGCCCCAGCAATCTCTTTCCTATGGCAAAAAGAATGGACGCATCTTGGCATCGTACCACTCCAAGTCCTCTCATGGTTCAGTACTCAACCAAGGAGTACGAGCTTGGCTATCAAGCAAGTCCTTTGGAAGAGATTGACGACTTCAATAACACATTATTCCGCAGAATAAACATCGGGGGCGTCTTGCCCACTGGACGCGCCGTCAGGTTGTCGACATCCGGGAAGCGCGAAGGTCAGAATATGCCTGGAGCAGCGATCAGGGAAGATCGAACCAACTCGCCTGGTAGTAGCCGGCTCCCATTTGCGCCTTTAGAATCAATCTCTGGTTCCCGCGTATCTCAGCCCAGTGCAGACACTCCAGTCACCATCATCCACCAAGCAGACTTAGATAGTGCTCGCCAAGAGTCTGAAGCTTCCGTCTCTCCAGCACATGCGCATGGCAGGCTATCGTACTCATCTCCTTCCCACCTCAAAACTCCCTTCGGCCACTGTGATGTGGAAACTTCGAACAGCGATAATGCCATGCAGAGTATTGAGTACACAGAGAAGGTAAATCCATGGCGAACGAGACTGGTCAACGACCACAAGCGGAGGCTGACGCGGAAATGGGGCAGCCCACCACAGGCTATTGATTGTGCAGTTCAAAGCTTCAAGCAAGCCGTTACCACGGCTATCTCTATGGGCATCCATCCTGTCGTACATAGCTACCCAAAGGAGATCGAGCCTATCACAACAAGTAAACAACACCAGAAGTATGTCAGACGCTCCTATCAGTCCCGGAACAAAGGTGGTTCAGAATCCACTGAGGGAGCCGCTCCCAAGACGCATGTGTCGCGTACTCGTCTTACAGGCTCAACAGCAGCTCTATCAGAGCCCATCCCAGACCAACTAGCCTCGACTGAGCTACCGAGAACGGCGCCTCTGGCACGATCAAAGAAGAGGAGGAGAAGGAATATAGCTGCAATCGAGCAGGTTCCAGCCATGTCCTCTACAGAGAATTGGAAGACTGCGTCTAAGTCTTGCAGAGGGTCTACACTTCACTCGAACGATGAGACCTCATCTACTGGCCAGTCGCCATATCCTGGTCTTCAGAAATCAAGAACTCTGGAGTCTCATCAGCATCTTCCCCCCAACGCTTATTTCAAGCCAATCTTGAGAGACGAGAAATTTGCCTGGCGTTGTGCCTTCAAGCACGCAATGGGTCATTACTACAATGCTGGAGACCGCAAATCCTGTAGGGGCTGCAACACCGCTCTTAGCGATAACGTTCGTGTTGTCTTGATGGATTTTTACATGCCTCCCAGGACCTTTTACTTCCAACCCGCGCAAGGTATGCGCTGGAAACCTTCCAAACAATTAAGCCAACCTCGTAAATGCGGCTTCTCTTCCCATGATGCTGTTGCGAAAGACGCTTACTGGAAAGCTATCAATTATGGTGCGTCGGAAGAAGAAGCTCAAAAAAGGGGTATTGACGCAGTAGTCGAACACATTAAACCGAAGCCGCTTCCAAAAGCACCCACACCCGAACCGACCCCAGAATCGGAGCCCGATCTTGGCCCCCATCCAAGCGGTTCGACCACGATGGAGCATGGGCAAGATATTCCTGATGGTTACTACTGGGAAAAGCGAGAGTTAGACGAAGAACATGCCTGGCGATGTGATGTCAACCACGGTCTTGGACGTTATTACCTAGCGGGTGACAGGAAGACTTGCCCAGGGTGCGGATCCAGTCAGAAAGGTCTTGGTAAGAATGAAGAGATGGATTTCTATCTTCCATCGGGAGTCATTGTCCGACAAGAAGCACCTGGCTTATCAAAATTTAAGCCTCGTAAGCCGTACAGGCTGAGCAAATCTACGACCACGCGAAGAGAACCAATCACCCACAACCAAATGTGTGCCAATGTATACTTTAGTTTTGTTGCCAACGGGTATGAAGCAGAAGAAGCTTTGCGGCTTGCGGTAGAGAGAGTCGACAGTGAGCTGGACAAGAAACAGGAGAGTAAGATGAAGCGACATGACAAGCAAGGTGGGAGTCAAGGCCAAGAGGCATTGGGAAAGTCGGGTACTTCAAGTGGTGCTACAAGGAAGGATTCTGTCAACACAAGCGAAGTCGATAGAACGAAAACCAAATGTCGTCGCAACTCTCGAGGTGGCTGTACCATGGCTCTCGTCCCGAAAAAGCGAAGCGCGAACGAACTGAGCGAAGGAGAGACCTATGGTGTCGCTGTCGGTCAGGAAGTTGGGTACACTTCAAGCGAACAAGACCCACGGGATTCTTTCGAGGTCTCATCTACGGAAGAAGAAAGCTCTGCCTCGGAGAGTGAGTAAGGGCATAGATGGCGGCTCTAGTATTCAGAGACATGAGCGTTGAAAAGCATTCCTTTGGCTATTTTGGAATAAGTTTGTTCTCGAAAAGGCCATTTCATGGAAAATCAGACAAGGATGTTTGTTGCTTTGATTTACGATCTTGCTTCCTGTCTTTACTCTGTTTTGTCTATGTATGTATGTATGTATGTATGTATGTATGTATGTATGTATGTATGTATGTAATTATGAGTTAACCATGTACAGCAGCTAACAGAAATCTTGTGCATTTGGTAGAAATGCTGAGGACTATCATACTGTCTTTGATAACCTATCTAAAAGTAGGAAATGCTGAGATTGTGTCGCGTCACGATCACTGTAGTAAGGAGGACTCCGCAACCATGACCAAGTAACAATCACTATCTCAATGTCTGACGTTGTCATTAGTTATGAATTGACCAAGCTATTCTTGTACATACGACCATAGGACACTGAAAATTAGGCTTCCCGTCCGCTCAGCCATATACAAGCAGTGTACCGGCGGATTAGTAGTTAGGTGGGTGACCACTAGCGAATCCCCGCTATTGTATGTTTTTGCATTTTTTTTTTGCATTTTTTTTGCGCTTCGGTGGGGGATACACAAGTCGCCGCGCAGATCAATCATGTGGGTCTACAACGGGTTCGCTCCTTTGGGAAGCTTGACCTTGAACACCAGAACCTGATTGTCTAGATTGTAGCCAGACGAATCTACGTACTTGTTCTGGCCGAAGTTGATGTAGCCTACAACTTATTAGTACAAACTCATTGAGCAAGTGAAACAACTTGCCGTTCTGGGTGATAAAGTCATTGTCCGAAAAAGAAACCAGGTAGTACTGCTTTCCTTCATCTTCGTCTTGCCTCTCGCTTCTACCGATATCGTCGTCCTTGTCTACGGGCAACATTGCGAAGCTCTCCCACTTCTCGTTCAGCAGGTTTGCGTCTTGTGCACCGCCATTGTGGAGACCAAATCTGCCCAGCTGGGCATTATTGTTGTAGGAAAGCCACTGACAGTAGGTGGCAGGTACGATGCCGCTCTTCAGCACGCCATCTTTGCTTGCGATTTGTCCATCATTAGCATCGGCCACTGTACCTGCGACGTTTGTGGCTTTGGAGATGTCGATCACGTCCGCGTTGCGGTAGATGGACTCGGTGCTTTCTGCACCATGGCCAGCATTAGAATCGCGCGCTAACACGAGAAACTGCGTTTCGGAAATGTAGTGCATTTCGGACTGGCTAGCAACGCGTCCTGTTGGCAGGACAGGAAGTTGAACAGCATACTCAGCCTCTAGCGTGGTTGTATCGTCCTTGACGCGGTACTTGAGGAGGCGAGTGTTGCGACGCTTTTTCGCGGAGCTGCCGCCGTCCTGGATTGTGGCACTCTGGAGCATGGTGTAGAGGTACTTGCCATCTGGGCTAGCGGTCAGAGCTTCCAGGCCTTGGTTGTTGCCTCGACCACTGTCTGGATCCTCAGGCGTAATCTCAAGTTCAGGGTCGTAAATTGGTGGAGAGGCCGCATTGAAGCTCTCTGTGCCGTTGCGACGGGGGACAAAGGCCTCTGGAGTGCGAATGGCCTTGATCATCTTGCCACTTTTGTCAAACTGGTAGACATAGGCGGCATATTCATCGCTGATCCAAAAAGACTTGTCGTCTCCGAGCACCAATCCTTCGGTATCTAGCGGGACACGAGCGCCGCCAGTACCATTCTGGCCGAAGCCATTACCAGTGTCTGTAACGTTCAGTGTTGTGTGCTCCAATATGATCAGAAAACCTACATCTAGCAAGAGGAAGGGTAGGAAACCCAGGATAAGTGATGGTCTCGGTTGGGTCAAGACCTGTTAAGGGCGTACCGTCGGGTCCAGTGAGGAGAAGGGTGTCAATGTAAGAGAACTGGAAGTTCGGACTGGCTGGATTTTCGAGGGTTGCTTCTACCGGCGTGAAAGTAACACTGAATTTGTGGATTCGAGTCTGAGTGTTTTGAGTACCCTGAGTGTTCCAACCTCGGTCAGGCAGGCCCCAAACGACGCCCTGATAAGCGCCTTTCTTGTACTTCCATGACTTCTTCTCAAATGCAATGGCACTTCCAATACCACCAATGGTGTCGCCGAACTTGTCACGGGCGTCACTGGCTAGTTTCCCGTAGCCTGCAAGCTCTTCATAGGTGTATAGCTTGCCGTTGCAGGTGGTGGAGTTTGCCGCGGTCGTGGGATCAGCACGAGTGATGACCGGGCCAGCAATGACTTGACTGACCGGAAGCGCCAGGAGGCTGAGCGAAACGGTGAACAGCATCATGAAAAGTGACTGACTGTCGTGCGCCTGGATAGGGGAGTTCTGAGCAGATCAACAACATGTATTAATACCCGCGAGCAAGAGGGCCATCCCGCAATGACGCGACCCGACAGCCAGGCAGACGAGGCTATCTTGCATGCATCTTCAACGATGGAGCTACACGTGCTCTGTCTGTTTGGCTGCAACCGACAGGGCTATAGCCTTAGTTGCGGCATGGCGTTCATGAGAGCCGTGTGAAGAGGCAAATGGCGTCGAAGAGGCGGGATGCACGAAGAACTCCATCTCCTGGGATGTCACTAAATCATACCAACAAGCGCCATAGGACTCCAGGTTGCCTGTAGATCTCCCAATGATGACGCGACTTTTGCGGAAGTGAGCGCGCACGTTGTTCGAGGACTAGTTATGAGTCGCTGGCCGGTAATAATGCCTAGACGGCATTATACTCTATCGGGCGGGCTGCATGTGAGCTAGCACAACTTGGTTGGGCACTTGGGGTCAAATATCTTGGGAGTTTGGCAATGGCACTCGACGTGAATCTTGAGAGCAGAAAACGATACCGAGCCGAATGCTCATGCTGTCCAGTGCTTGGAGGCGCTTTCTGTCGAAGACCCCGGAAAGCAGGAATCTACCAAATTTCCGCATCCCTGTGTCGAAAGATCAATATTATACAACGTGGTTGAAACAGCGGTATCAGTAGAGTGTGGTCGTGAGTGCGTTCTTGCAAGCACTACCTAGGTATATTGTGTGCTTCTTTCACTTCTCCGATTCTCCAAGAAGCTGCCGTTTTGCTAGCCAAGACGATGGACGGACACGCACTCAGCTACGACTTCTCAAAGTCGACCGATTCTGATCTTGGAAAGAGCAAGAACCCTGGTTCCTGGAGGTGTTGCTCTTTTCTCATGTCTGATGGTAGTCTTTTACATGCTTACCCTCTTAACCGCACACACATCGTTCTGCGAGAGAATTCTCATCCTAGGGCCTTCATAACACTTGCTTCCGAATCCCCTACATTCCGATTCATCTATAACAACAAAACTGATTGACTTACATCCTCCGATTCCAACGTTGGTATATCTTGCCCCTTCTTTGGTTGATACTACCGCCGGTCGTGTCCCGCAACAACGATGCTTGGAACCTCTGGCGATGGCCTAATCACGACACTCACCTCATACCTCACGTCCGACAAAGTCACACCCTCCGAAGCTCCTCCTCCAACTGACCGACAGACCAAATTTTACCCTCCTCCGGCAGCAACTGTTTACCATAATGCTGAAACAGGACTGTCAGCGAGGCCTTTCGCAAAAACGATTCCTAGACACTCATTGAAGAGATCTGTCAGCGAACTGGTAAAAGCACTAGTGTACATGCTGCGTGTTTGAAGCATGTGTTGACTCCACACATCATTATATTAGGTTGTACCAAGTCAAGCGCGGAACGATTGCTTGACGGCGACTGCAGTGCTGAATACAGTACGCTTCATGGAAGACGAGCGCCGTACAGCACATAAAATCCCATCCCCAACACGTATCCAGCTACAAACTTCTCGACCAGCTCCTCAGCGTTCCATCAGCAACTCTCGACATGAAATCAAGTCTCGCTATCATGATCCTGCCATCTCATCTGTGAGCCTCCAGAAGCAACTTGTTGAGCAAACAAAACCCCCGATCAGACGAATTCGGTTTCCGAGTTCGACTGAAGACAAAACGATGAGGACTCTCAGGCCAGAACCTACCAGATCTACTGCTATGCGCTCAGGCACAGAGCCAGATCCAGCACGAGCATTTGCGAACCCAAGAACGCACAACTGTAATGTGACACTGAAGCCATGCATCAAGAAAAAGGCAAAGAGTACCACAACAACACCACCAGGCGAATTTCAGGAGGATGCCGTCAATCTTGAGCCGGTATTTCTACGTCGTGTCAGAACAGTCGACTTTCAAAAGGCTGGTGCAAAGTCATCTCCCCCTCCACCCCAGGTAACCGTCACACCAAGAAGTCCAACCGAGACCCTGAAGTACGATATCGGGCGTAGTGCCAGGTCTGCCGACAATCATACGGAAACCGTCAAGTGGAATGCATCATGCCCGAACACAATAGGTACAGCGAAAGGTACTGCGGCAGAACCAGCTATTACGCGGACGGATGTCCATGTCATCGCCATTGCTCCATCTTGGAACGCGGAAAATTTCGCCACTGACGACGACGCTGATCCGGCAACGCCTACCATGCAGATCATTGAGACAAAGAGTGGCAGCTATGAAGTGATTTGGGACGACGTTCCACCTGAGCATACTGTTAGGACAAGAGGGCGACGAAGTTCGTCAGCAAGTCATGCTCTAGAGACTGCTAGCCCAAGCGCCAAACGTGGTCTTGAACGAGTTAACTCGAAGCTTGCGGGCTGGTCGGGAACGTGGAATAGCCCATCAGACAGCTTCAAGCCAACCATAGGTAAACCATGACCTTAAAATATGCACAAGAGACATGCGCTGATTCCATACCTATACATCTGCAGTGGTTTTTCCTGACGACGACGGTCGAGCTACTCGCTATGACTGCACGGTGGACGAAGAGGAAGACCTGGCAGCAGTGCCTCCGAACAGCCGGATGACAAGCGGTGCGCCCTCTCGCATCCCATCCCGCCCGGTGAGTGCGCCTTTGACGAGGACTGTATCATCTGAGGGGATATCGGTCCAGGACGCCTTACAAGACACGCCACAGGCGGGGTCACCGCCTCTAGAGCAATCTCTTGTGGTGCCCAGTGTTGAGATTAGGGGACGGAAGACGAAATCATCGGTAGGGGTTCAGAAGCTTTCGAATCTCGAAGAAGCAGACACCAAGTTCCGTGATCATCGCGACTCTGTCACGATTGCACACTCTCGTCTCATGCGCTCGGGCGCTGTGTCGCCTGAACTGTTTGCGCGTGTTGATTCTGTTTCGCTTGGGAGGAAGCGCATGCATGCGAGAAACCATGCCGCATCATCAGCAAGAACAATCTCGCGTCAGAAAGAAGTGTTAGTTGAGGCACTAGGGCTCCTTGCTGATGAGGACATTTCACCAGTAACATTGCCTACCGTGAGAGAGCATGCTGCACAAGCGCTGAATAAGAGCAATTCACCGTCCATCCTCCAATCACCACAACAGGCTGCCAATGAGCGCCATATACGGGTAGTGGAGTAAGCAAGTCTACAGCTGGACGGTTAATGTTGGCCAAGGGATGGGACTGGGTTAGTACATAGATTAGATATGAGGTTACATTTGTCTCTTGTAACTGTCTTTACAGAGGATTAGCAACCGCTAGACCGTAATGTCAATTGCAATGTGCTGCTGATCTTAATCTCACTGTCGGTTGGTTTTAGGGGATGATGGTGAGCGAAGGATGTTTGAGATGGATGGCTCGGCGCACGGTGATGCCGATCGGCGCAATCGCGATTCCACAGACCTGCCGAGGTCGGGCGTCACTGGATTGCAGCTATCCACGCTCCAACACTCCGGACATATGCATCAACTAAATTTGACTGTGTCATCTCCAGACACCGATGCGAGCATCTGGTTGATCTCTATTCATTGCAATACCTTTCTTGGCATGTAGCACGCATCGTCTCAATATCCTTCCATCAGGATATGCAATGCAGCGCGCTGTACCTGCATGCGCCCGTTGTTGTAATGCCTACAGAGAACTGACACTCCTGCTAAGGTTTTTGCTCTGTAGTAATGGTCTAGGGCCTGCCATGGTGGTGATCACTGTGGCTGCCATGGCTCGTAACGTCTCATCGAACGATTGGCGTCGCAGTATGCGTTTGAGCGTCAAGGCAAACGAACATCATGCAACGTTCACACCATCGTCGCTGTGGACTCGCCCAGATACATTCACTAAATCACAGGTATAGCTATGTCATCATTCGCAGCCCACAAATCCAGTCACGACGTCTCTGTCATGGCATTCGCGACGGACGACTCATCGAAGCGCGACCAACGATACGACTCCCTACGCAACACCGACGACCACTCCGATTCGAGTACAGAGATCGGCGATTGGGAGGTAGAAGAAGCAGTCCAGCGAAGACGGCGGAAGAAGACAGTACGGAGGAAGCTGAAAGGCTACAGATGGGTACTAGACACTGCGCTTCTCCTCGTTATCGTAGGATTGCTGGTAGAGAAGAGATGGCAAACACATGCAAAAAGCCACCAGTTTGAGCTCGCAGGGGATCTTACAGGCTTCGCCCCCAGGTTCTCACAACAGATTGTGAGCTTTAAGCCCGATCCAGTTTTCGCTCCGGAAGATGCGATGCAGTTTTGGAGCAATGAGACGCAGCATGCATGGTTAAACATCGTACCAGGTACGTCCTGACTTGGTTCTGTCCTTCACCGTTGTAAAGTACTGACACGCCCGATAGAGGGCCTGGGCTATGTCAATGTCGAAACTCCCTCGGAGTACTCCAACCTCCCCACCCCGATACACGACTACCCAAATCATACCGTCTTCACCACATCCGTAACGCATCAGCTTCACTGTCTTTACACCATACTGGGCGCGTACAATTCCATGAAACTTATGGTCGCCTCGCCAGTGTCGGCGAATCCTGTCAAAATGCCATGGCACATCAATCACTGCTTTGAATACATCAGACAGGCAATAATGTGCGCGGGAGATGTGGCACTGGAAGGAGCTGCGACAAGTTTCCCAGGCGATGAACACGGTGAGGATCGAGGTGGAAGCGATGGGTGGGATGCGAAGCATGTGTGCAAAGACTACGGGCAAATATACGAGTACTTGGAGAAGAAAACGATCAATCACATGAAGTGGATCTCGTCGGATAAGTAATCCACATCATGTCCTCGGGAATAGCACGTGAAGACGAGTAGCTTATGGCGCGGGCCGTTTGGACCCACGAGTGAGCCAAAGTAGCTGCGCACACAGATGACGTGGTTATCAACTTACAATCAACATTTTCAAGTCATCAGTACACGCCGTTGTAGTATACTTGCTCTATTGAGCATATCCGTGAAGATGAAGTAGTAATCTGACTGTGCACCTTACCATCAGCGGTGTTACACGGGAATATTTGCTCCGAGGACCTATGATATCTTTCTTCCAGATTTCGGCCGTTGTCTGTAATCAGCAACTTGCTCCTGCTGACTGCAATGTGAATCCTACCCAACACTGTACCTTCCGAGTCCTCCGAGCGTGCAGGAATACCATCGGGTAGTAACCCCATTAAGCATAACATGCGAGTTGCAGATCTACTGTATTAGACTTGGCCAATCGCGACCCCCGTGATTCAGCCTCGGTAACGGGGCAGCGCAGGGATGCTGTAGAGACGGCATCACCGAAATTCTGCGCTCTAGCCTCCGCGAGCACGTCCGCCCGTGAATGGGTGCGACTTCAGCAGTCGGCCGCCGCTTTGCACCGTGTCGGAGCTGATTGCTAAAGTGGATGCTTATGCCGTAGGGAGTTTTAAATCGACGGGGTGTGGAACCACTAGATCTTCGGACATCGGAGGCGTGTGGTATAAGAGTCTGGCTTGCCCTGGTGCCAGATAATATAAATTGAAGACCTGCCAAGGTTTGACATTACGCTGAGACAGAGATATCTGGCTGCACTGGACGAAAGACGTACGCGTACTGCCAACATCGGACGTCTTGGAACAACCACCGCGACAAGCGGAAAAAACAAGGGAAACGTCCAACTGCTGAGCTCGGCCGAACACCCATCGACTGACTGATACCCTTGGCACGTAGGCAAAGAGGTTGTCATTGGCAAACGGATTGAGGGGGGAGAAACAGGGACTTGGATTGCCTGATACCTGGACTTGGCTCGAAGAAAGAATCTTGGTGAAGAACGAACCTAGTCAAAGCTGACAGCGGCTGTGTCGTGTATCCCAGTAATCACCCTACAAGGTTGGCGATTCAATTACCTTTGTGAGAGGCTCCACTTGAACACTCCACGAGGCGGACGCAGTTGCCACGACTAGGCCCTGGAAGCATTTCAGAAGCACTTAAAAAAGAAGCGTGGCTGCCCACGATTTTTATTCTCCGACGTCATCACTAGAATCCTTCCTCAAACACAGTCTCATCAACTACATCCTACGAACACGATGGCACAATCGCCATTGCTTTTCATCGTCGCGGGAGCGGCCATCTCCTACATCCTATACACCCGCATCGCACTTTATCTTGCGCGACAACGCTTCAAGAAAGAGAACGGCTGCCAACCATGCACGGCGCAATTCCACAAAGACCCTATCTTCGGAATCGACAATGTCAAGGCCATGGCGTACAACAGCAAGCACCATATTCTGCTGCAAGAGAACCGGAAGCGCTTCCAAAGGCTCGGCAACACCTTCCACAACAGAATAATTACTGAGCCTTTTATCGCAACGTGTGAGCCAGAAAATGTGAAGGCGATATTGAGCTTGAAGTTCAAGGACTTTAGCCTTATACACAGGTCAACCTCTTTCACTCCTCTTTTGGGTCATGGTATCTTCAATGCGGATGGCGAGCGATGGGCTAATAGCCGTCACCTGCTGCGACCCAACTTCGCCAGAGAGCAAGTCGCCGACATCGAGGCTTTTGAGCGCCACTTCAAGCTTATGCTCAAACATATCCCAAAAGATGGCTCTACTGTCGATCTGCAAGAGCTCTTCTTCCGCCTGACGATCGATACCGCAACGGAGTTCCTCTTCAACCACTCTACCAACTCGCTCCGCATGGTTGGCCAAGATGACGGCAATAACGAGGATCTCATCTTCAGCAAGTCGTTCAACTTCGCGCAAGAGGACATCACGGTCCGCGCCCGTTATGGTATATTCGATCGATTCCGGAAGAACGAGGAGGGCAAGAAGGCTATCGACATCTGCCACGCTTACATTGACAAGTTTGTGGATGATGCTCTGCGTTTTAGACAGGAATTGGACACGGAAAAGAGTGCTGGAATCAAGGACGACAAGTACTATTTCATTCAAGAGGTGGCCAAGCAGACTACCGACCAGAAGCGGATTCGCGAGGAACTCATCAACATCCTCCTTGCAGGACGCGACACGACAGCCAGTTTGCTCAGTAACATGTTCTTTGAGATTGCCAAGAGGCCTGATATCTATGCGAAGCTGAGGGATGAAGTTGCAACGCTTGAGGGTCGCACACCAACGTATGAGGAATTGAGGAACCTAAAGTACCTCAAATGGTGTCTCAACGAATGTAAGTCTGCCTTGTGAGCTAACAATCGGCGACATGCTAATTGAGATTAGCACTCCGCATTCACCCAGTCGTACCCGGTAATTCTCGTCGAGCCATCCGTGACACTGTACTGCCCCGGGGTGGCGGTCCAGACGGTCAAGCGCCCTTGTTCGTACCCAAGGGAACGACGGTCGGATACTCGCCGTACACCATGCACCGCCGCCACGATCTCTACGGCCCAGATGCGGACGAATACAAGCCTGAGAGATGGGAGACACTCCGTCCGGGCTGGGAATACTTGCCTTTCAACGGCGGTCCACGTATTTGTCTCGGCCAGCAGTACGCGCTTACCGAAGCGAGCTACGTGACAGTCCGCATGGTACAAGAATTCAAGACTATGGAGAGCAGAGACCCCGAAGTGTGGCGAGAGAGTCTGACACTGACTCTGTGCTCGATGAACGGTACCCAGGTGGGTCTTACGCCTGCCTAGAAGGAGCGTAAGCGACAACGACTATCAAGTTGCTTCGAAAGATGTCATGCTGGAGAAGGTGGCGGAAAGGTGCAGCACGACGAGTTATGCCTGCTTTCCGAAATCGAAGAGGATTTTTCATCGATGCCGTTCACTGTGCATGAGCACATGAAGGGGCATAGGAGCAAGCTTAGGAAATGGAGGAGGCCATCTCTTTACTAGCGTGTTCATAGCTTTTTGAGTTTTTTTGCGAGGGCTCTTGGGTATACAGTTCCTATTCTTGACCTGTAGAATTACTTTGACTATGGGATTGACATCTGTTCCTTGACAAGATATTTCAGCTCGCGGGGTACCTAGGTAGAGTCCATGTGGTGCTGCTAAGACATGCTGGTGGATTCTGCCAAGCCACGAGGTCTCTGATATGTGACTTTCACTGTTTCTCTATCGGGATACAAATGACCATTATCCTTCTCTGCTAGACTAGCCAAAGCCACAGAGTTATTTGCAACTGTACTCAGCTCAATCGAGACTAGCGCCGGAAGTCCGCAACGTGGGAACCTAGAAACCCAAGTGTTGATCAACAACAGCGAGACAGGTCACGACGTACGCAACGAGCCCATTCTTCAACCCGTCCGACCCACTCGCCGGCAAACACGATGTCGCGAAGCCACCGCCCTTCCACCACGCCTATGGACTTTGAGTGGACGAACCAAACAGGGCCCATCGACACTCAATCGCCGTTCCTAGCAGCCAGCCAGCAGAAGAAGCGTAAGCCAGCAGGCCCCTCGTTCGCTTCCAGACGAGACACACAAGACAAGACGACCCCGCTGACTCCAGGGCCCTCGTTCGGCCAACCAGGTCCCCACTCAGTACTAGACTCCCCCTCGAAAGGCGGTTTCGCGACACCAAATCGGCTGCGCGACCCTGACAACCGCATGACATACTTCAGCCGCGACCCCAGCAAGCCATTACCCTCAACACCAGCGTCTTCGGTGCCGGCACACATACAACCGAGCCCCTGGTCTATGCGAACGCCCTCACACGACATCGACTTCAGCTCCGGCGGAGAGACACCCGGCACGCCCCAAGTAGACAGCGACCCCGGCACACCAGACACGCAATTGGCGAGCAAGATGGGGCGACTAGGCAATGGCGATGCCAAAGGCGCTCGACGAGAAAGCTGGTTCAAGCGAGCCTTCATGTCAAGTCCAAGCCCCACCAAGGAACCCCGCGACAAGGACATGTCGCAAAAGTACTATTCCAAGAAGGCTGAGAACCGTATAGTCAAGCGCCGGTCGGAGCGGTCGCGGTCAAAGAAACGCGCTGCCATACACGACGACGACGGCGACGATTCGGACAACCAACCAACACGCCCACCCGTTCCAGCAAAGGAGGCGGGGCCTGTCCAGCAGACTTTCGCCATGACCGTGGGCGGCTTCCTCTCGTGGGTTGAAGCGCATCCCAATCTTCCATCCGTACTATCCTACTACCTCCAACTCACCGTCAACATGTTCCTCGGCAGCCTCTTCATCTACATTGTCTACTCCGCCTGGGCCGGCGTCATGACAGACGTCGACATAGAATCCTCAAAACACGCATCCGAAGTAATGGTCGAAATTGCGGCCTGCGCTTTAGAGTACAATCGTAACCGCTGTCGACCCGAAGAAGTCGTGCCAGCCATGGAGAAGGCGTGCGGTGTCTGGGAAACATGCATGAATCGCGATCCGAAAAAGGTTGCACGCGCGACCGTGACAGCGAAGACGTTCGCCATGATCTTCAACTCTTTCGTGGAAGAGTTCAGCTACAAGTCAATGGTACGTTACCTTCTCTACTTTTCTTTTGTCAATTCATCACACCCAACAAAAGCGCCGTTTAGCTGACCATTCTCTCCTAGATATTCACAGCCATCGTCATCTTCGGCGGCTTCAACCTCTCAAACTGGGCATTCGGCCTCCTTCGCTCGCAACAGCAGCAAACACAAGCCCATCACCATCAACAACCACAGCCGAACGATTTCGTACCACAAACCCCGCACAGAGTAACCAGCGGTGGGTATATGCAGAATCACGAGAACTTCCCTCCACCCAGTGGCAACTACCAAAGCTACCAGCAGAATTGGCAGCAAATACCTCAGTACCAGCAACAGCACACACCGTACCAGAGCAATACACCATACTCGCAAAGACACATTGAGGCGCCGCCGCTGGTTCATGCGCACACTATGCCTGCTTTACCTAGTTCGGCACAAGAAGGAGCGCCTGTACTGGATGGTGGGAAAACACCACGGAAACGGGGACTGTTCCGATAACCGCTCTTTATCATAACGATTTTACTTGAACGTCTTGGTCTTTGTCTGGATAAGCGTATTGCTTCATTTCGATTTCAACTTCTTAGTATGGCCCTAGGGTAGGCATCGGTTTGGGTCGGGTCAAAAAGGTCGGCGAAGCCGGTGTAACACACTTGAATGTTATGATTGTTCATGTATCTTCTACTGCTTTCCCTTGTACTCTGTCTTCTTCAACTTGATGGCCAAGCACTCCTTACACCACCATGTTTCCTACTTTCATGACGTCATCATCAATCTTCGTACCAGTGTTATCTTGAATGAATGAATTACTAAGTTTTATCATGAGAAGCATATCTAAGCCTCCAACCTGGATATCAAATGGCCAATCATCTACTCGTGAACCACCAGAACGCCAGAATCATGGACCCCGTTCCTACATATACACATGCCCAAGTTTAAGCAACAGTCTCGGTCTTGGTCTCCTCCTTTCCGCTCTCTTCGTACTTCTCCCAGTTCGCCAGGATGTTGCCAATCTTGGGTGAGTTGGTAAGCTTGTACACGTCCTCAAAGTACTCCTTGGTCAACGCAAACGGCTTGGCGGTGACGTTGGGAATGTATTTGCCCACAAGCTTGCTGGGGTCGATGGACGTCTTATGGATCTTCTTAAGAAGGAAAGACCTGAACGGCTTCACACCAGAGCGCAAGAAGGTCGAGTGGAAGGGAACGTCGATGCCCTTAAGTGGGATGGTAGCAAACCCGCGTTGGAGGTCGAGCGGCTTAGGCTTGGCTTCTGTTTGCTCAGCGCAGCCCTTGATAATCTCAACCAAGTGGTTCTTGACCTCCTCAAGTGAAAGGGTCTGCATAAGCGCCTGGATGTCGATCTTTTGTTGCTTGAGGTAGTTGGTCACGCCAGTAAGACAGTCGAGAGCGCGGAGGTCACCCGCAGCAACGTACTGCATGTTGGCAATGTTGTAGTTGACAATCTCCAGGAGCCATCCGGTTGTCTCGGCAATGTTCTCGACCACGTATTGGAGTGCCTGCTCATTGAAGGTCTTGGAGATCCTGCTAGGGTTGACAGCGCACATGGAGTAGTTCGAGCGACCAGTCTCATCGCGCTCGACGGCGACCTGCATCGTAAGACCACGGTAGAACACAACCGAGACCAGACTCTCGATAGGCATAACCTCAGCCATGGCTGCAAGAGCAGAGTATTCACCAAGAGAGTGTCCGGCGAATGTACTCTCGACCTGGATCAAGCCCTTAGCACGCATGTCTTCGAAAGACGCCTTCTCCATGAGTGTCAGGGCCGGCTGTGTAAATTGAGTGGCTGACAGCAGACCAGTTGGCGACCGGTAAGTGTAGGATGTGGTGTTTTCGTCAATCTCCTTGAAGATCTTCTCGGATTTGATAGAGCCATCCGCAGCAACGGTCTCGAAGGTCATAGACATGTAATTCTGACGGATCGCCTTTCCAACTGGACCACCGAAATGAATGGTGAGTTCCTTCGGGTTGTTCTTTACGATGTTGGTGATAGCAAAGCCTGTTATGAGTTAGCAGCTGCACAATTTGAGCAAGGTGATTTTGACTTACCATAGTTGTCCATGAAATGCTTGTCAGCACGGTCCCAAACCTCCTTGGCCACGGGACTGCTGTTGTAAAGCTCCATACCCATGCCTTGCTCTTGCGAGCCTTGTCCAGTAAAGACGTATGAAGTAGTAGGTTGCTCGACCTCAGCCTCACCGAGAAGGACCTTGTCTTCGGTCTCCTGGTTGCTAACCTCGATCTTGATGATCTTGCGACCAGAAACCATACCGACGTGTTGGAGCTTGACGTCGAGCATATCGTCAGGAAGCACCATACCGACAAGGTTGACGTGGTAGCTCCTAACACGACCAACATTGTTCTCTGCGGCCCATGTTTCGACTAGACTTCGAACAGCTGCACTAGAGTACATGCCGTGGGTAATCGTACCAGGCAAGTTGGCGTAGCTAGCAAAGACGCGAGAAACGTGAATGGGGTTGTAATCGCCAGAGACGCGAGCGTAGTTCTCGTTGGAGGCAGGTGCCTTGAGCTTGAGTGGCGTCCTGCCGTGTAGTGGAATAGCATTGTCGAAAAGCACTGGCTGATCAACGGCGGCACCGTTACGCTCCAAGTAATCGAGGACAGGGTTGCCGTACGCGGTACCAGAGCGGTAGTCAACCGAGGCAATTTGGATCACTTCCTTGGTTGGGAGCTCGAGCAAGACCTCTCCTTGGGTCTCGATGTCTGAAAAGACTGTCTTGTTCTTGTATCGGACGACAGTCTCAAGCTTGAAGAGCAGGGTCTTGTTCAGCAGGTCGATCTCAGGCTCCTCGAAGTTGAACCACTCTTTTGACCGCAGGATTGCGACATCCTTGCTGGTGGCAAGGTTGAGCTGGATAGGTTTCTCTACCTTCCTCTGGAATGTGTTCTCAAAGTCGTCGTATGCACCGCGGTAAAGGAACTGGCTGGTAACCTCCATTACCGGCTTGCCATCACGAGTGATAGTGCCGCAGACTTCTACCATCTTACCAGAATCCTGGTTAATGACGGCATTGATCTGTGCGGTGGTGTCGAGGACATCACCCTTCTTCAAGGGCTCAGCACCGGAAATCATGCGGAATCCGTTGGAAAGGTGGACCAACTTGAGGAGGTCGCCATCGATTGCGCGAGGAAAGATGGGCTTCGTAATAGCCTTCCAGCCAACAACGATAGC